CCCCACCTCCAAGGAATGCCGAAGAATGAGCTTGTCGCCTATGCGTTTCTGTTTTTGCTTTTACACATAGATGTCCTCCTTGAGAAAGCAGGAGGCGTGATAGAATTGTGATTTGAAGTTGCAGGTGCTCCACTATAACGGGAAGAACGTGAGTCCAAATATTAGACGTGGCGGCCGCCAAACTGTTGCATTTCCTATGTCATCAAGCCGACTACCAGTCACACACCCCATCCGGCGGCGGGCTGTCATGTACATACCATCGTTCGCCGTTGCCGTCTAGGTCGTTATCGAAATAGGGTGCCACCATGCCAGCCTCTACATGTATCCAGTCTTCGTTATCGACAGGGCTGCCAAGTTCATTCGTTGCCTCCTCGGGGGGCAGCGGATCCTTCCAGCCCTGAACAATATCAACATAGCCGTAGCGACTTAAAGAACCCGACGAACTTGTCAAACTTGACAACGCCTCCTCGTCGACCTGGATAAAATACGCGTACCGCGCACAGCGGCTGGGACCATCCGGCGGGGGCGTTTCCTCCGTCGGACTCTCTGTGATTGCCCAAGTCCTAAACCTACGTTTCAGCTCCTCTCGCGAAGCGTCCTCGAGCGCAGGGTCCTCGACAAGGACTTAGTCGAGCTTTTCGACAATGTCGGGGGCGTCCGACTCAGCGATAAACCGCCTCGAGTCTTCGATAATCCTGCTTTTGAGGCCCTCCCAAATGCCAGCGAGCTCGGGTTTATACGAGCATCGGTAAATAGCCCAGCCCCATTTGGCGTTCGGGCTGTCGCATAGCGCCCACTGGATCTGGCGCGCTTCAGAGAGATCGTACCATTCCATCCCTATCGACTTCGAAACGCCTTGTGAGTCTGACCTAAGAGGCGTCGGCGACATGAAGGGCCGATTCAAGCGGGTTGGCGGGACTTTGTTGGGATGATGGGCGAAACGTATCGAATTCTGATTCAGACTTGGATGGAGCCACCGCCTGCCGACTGTTGGGATTTGGACACCGCGGTGTGGCGCAAAAACCCCAAGGACTGATGATGCAACAGCCATGTGAGTGTCGTGGAAGGATGATGGACCTTGAGAGGTGAAGAAGAAAGCCGGGAAACAAAATACGGGGAGTGCACAAAGATACCCCCTGGTGGCCAAGGCCAAAAACGGCGCGGATAACTCAACCCGCAAATGCAGTCCGCGTCGGTGATTTTGTATATACTTCGCTTTGCTCTTCGCGCCAACGAATAAATTTGCACTCACTGGACCACTCTTGCAAACATTGCATTGCAATGAACAGATTCTCAAGTGACAACAACATTTTCAAGTGATGTTATGATGGCATAGATAGATTTGACCAAGATACGGCTGCTTCTCTCAATTGACTGAATTCAGATTTGTCTAACGGAGCTGCGTTGCACAATGTGAAATGACGTGTTCTCAGATATAACTCCTGTAGGCCCGTTAATAATGCCACGGGGCTGGAAGGCTGGAACATGTCCTTTACAGTTATTATTATTTTAGGATTTCCAAAAGAGACAAACCCAATGTTGGGTTCTCCTTATATTGTCTTGTCATGGCTATATGAATTCTATGACTTGGCAATCCTTTCATTGTGCATTACAACGTACCCCATCTCTCTCAAGCTGGCGGGCGGCAACGCCGATGCTCTATGAGCCTGGCCAAATCTACAAGTGAGTACGAAACCCGAAAGACTACTTTATAGTGTTGTAATATTATAAGATTTATAACACAGCCTCGATCCTTTTTATAATACCGTAATAAATATTTTTAAACACCCCCCCCCCCCCCCCCCCCCCTTCCCTTTTCTCCCTTTTAAAGGTTAGGGTTAGGGTTAATTTAAAGTTAGGGTTAGGCTCTGTTAAGGAATGATGAGGAGGGAGATGTTGTTTATAAACCATCCCGACTAAGCATTAAAAAACCCAGGCGCAGTAGGAAGCCTGTGATGACAGTTATAACCCTCATTTATAGAGCTTTCTCTAGCGACCGAGATCCCCTACGTTTATTTCGTGTTGCCGGAGAGCCGAGGATGAGCAGCTCTCTGCGTGCCGGGGCCCGAAGAATAGCTGGGGCCATAACTGAGCTTTCTCGGCACCGGCACCCTTCACTGCAATTTTAGCCCACGCAAAGGAGGTCGAATGGCTAACTAAGCCTCGTTTCCCGATTGGTCTGTCCGACTGACTACTATATTCTATGGTCCGAAGACTCCCAGAGCCATTTGTATGATCACCTCATCACTATTGCGTATACTCCCTGTCTATTGTCTTGTACACCTCTACCACCCACTGCGCTTAACATCACGTTCACAAGAAAAGACTCTTTAAGTATCGATACATATCATTCAAATGTATTGTATTGTATTTATACTGTGATAGTAATTTGTTTGTGTCAAGATGGGAGAGATTCTCTCTAAGGTCTTCCTGCCTCGAGCGGAGAATGCCACCTCGCGGAAGTGGTCTCCAGAAACCACTCGGGATGGTCATCCTGTGTTGGTGACAAGAACCAAACAAACAGACAAGTGAATTCGCTGGATATTCCTCACGCCTCCCGTTGGTCTCGTGGAAAGGCTTTCGTCTTCTCTTCTCTTTCCGTCCCGGCTCCTCCCGCCCCTTCTCCCTTTTTAATACAACCACGCTTCGGCTCTATCTCTAGAGGAGAGCAGATCCGGCAGACAAAGGAGATTCTCTAGACTTCCCAAAGAGCGATTGGCGGAATCAGTCTGGTTCCAGTAATCCAAAAATCCAACAAGAACATCCGGATCGGCTTTACCGAGGGGCCGTCTTGCCCCTGAAAACAATGCCCAAAAATAAAGCAAATACCCTTTTCAGCGTGTCCCACGCCTTGAACGCCGTGCTTGTGATCTCACAATACACATTACACATTGGAGTATCACCGATCCGGACCAAAAACAGCCCGCTTCGCAACGCCATGCCGTGTCGTACAAATGAACAAAGGAAATAATCTTCAACATGGAAGTGAGTGGTGGGGGGTTGTGTATGTTGTTACTGGTTTTGGTACATTTATTGCGTGGCCTCGTAGGCGGGCGGCGGGATGTCGTCCCGATCCGCCCAGAAATTCGAGTTGCGTTGCTTCTCATCGTACACGCGGCGGGCAATCTCGCCCGCCATCTTTGAGATCCAAGCTTGCTCCAGAATTACGGAGGAAGTGTCGGATCCATTGTTTCGCTTTCGGTCGAGGTTGAAGGGGCTTCTGGAAGAACTCCTAGAGGAGATCGCAGCAGCTTCCGCAGCCTTCTCCTGCTGGGCTGATGTATACCTCTCGTCCTTCTCTGCCGCAGCCACCGGAACTTCAGGCGATGCAGCCTGTTCTTGGTAGATATCCATGCTCAGGGGGCTGCGCGCGGGGAGAGCCTTCTCGTCCCCATTTCTGAAGCGGACTGAGCGCGGAGACGTGACTTGGTGCTGTGTGATCTCGTGTTCCGTCTCCTCGGGGATCGAGACAGACATGACCGGTTCTGAGCTCGGTCCTGCAACCGAGGTTGTATCGGACATGGATTCGCCCATCTCGCTGGTCGTCTCGCTGGCCGTCCCGGTCTTTGAGCGACGAAGGTTGACAACCCGCGTCTTCTTCTTGCGAGACATGCGAGGATGGCGACCCGCGCCCAAAGCCAGACCGGTCGTAGCGGAGTTCAGACTGACCAAGGACGGTCTTGATGATATCGATCCATTGTCCATGCTTGCAGCTTCTGTGAAAGTATACGTCGTGGAGGTTCCCTCGACAGATTGCGTGCGCATAAGACTCGGTGCGGCCAGCGGTGTCGATCTGCCGGCATCACCACGTTCGTTCGGTCCAAGCCAGGCCCGAACCATGACATTTTGGATGCCAGGGGTGAATAGCGACAGCGTCCGATGCGAGTCGTTGAGGGCTGCCAGTCTCAGGAGGTTCTTCTGAGAAAAGAGCGAATGCACTTCCGAGCCGCCTTCAAGAGATAATGATGCCAACTCATTCGCATCAAGCACGTGACCGCGTGAATCGACAGCATCCACGGGCTGGGCGGCGAAGGGGTCGACAGCGACCTCGTCGTCCGAGCTCTCCTTTGGTACGTCGGCCTCGTCCTTCGGCAGCTGATCGGGACACCAGAGTCGCAACGACAGCTTGTGGATGATGGCGGGGAGCTCGTCCATCATCAGGTTCCGTAGTTGGCCCTCGATGGTCCGTTGTAAGTAATCCCGGACGAACTGGATGGAGTCAAAGGTCGAGGAGACCTTGATAGACTCGAGCGGGTCATTTCGAAAGACCAGGGTGAGGCCCTTCTGCTTGGAGAAGACTAATATTACAAAAGCAGATAGCTTGATCTCGGACAGGGTGATAGACAGAGGTATCGTCAACCCCGCGGCGGCGGCAAGCGGTTGCGGCGACGTGAAGGACGGCTTAGCCGACAAGTAGGTGTTCAGGGGGTTTGCCTGGATGTCTCTATATTAGTCGCTGTTATGGAGGCACGAGCGCCTGGGTGAAGCTGCACGAGGTATTGGAGAAAAGCGCGAACCCCTGCGGTACAATTTCCATGTTCATGCGACGGTCCACAACCGCGGCAGAACACGAAAAACAGCAAACATTCGCGATGCAGATCCAAACAAAGCTCCGCGGAAAGGAGCTTGAAGGAGAGCTGGCGATGGAAATGGTAGCAGCAATTGAGGCTGCACCAGGGTTGGGTTGGAATGGGGGAGGAGCACTCGCTCTGGCGATAAGCTCGATATACTCCCCGACCCTGAAAATCAGGAGCCCACTTCTTCCCGAGATAATCTGGGGGAGAAATTGGCCGATCGGAAAAGAACAAACCTTGGCCATCCATAATAGACGAGCTCTCGTCGTGGAGCGGCCCCAGGAGTCAAAGCAAAGAGGTAGAAACACCGCAGTGTAGAGTGTGGATAGTACTGTAAACAAGAAGAAATGACCACCACATACCTGTACCCTTGTCTTGAGCGTCAGATAGGCGTCGCCGGAGTAGCACATCTTGAAGATGCCGCGGAAGCGGTCCTCGGCGAGGTCGCCTATCTCGAGGATCTCGAGCTCGGGCGGGACGGAGCCCAGGTTGAGCTCGGTGACCAAGATGTCGTCGACGATGATGGGCGGCTTCGGGTTCTTGTTGAGGGCCGTGGTCAGCAGGTCGCGGGCCCGCTGGTAGAACTCCTCGTCGGCCGCCAGCGGCGACCAGTTGAAGTTGAAGGCCATGGCTTCTGTGGTTGTTGTTTTTCGGGAGGGGTTGGAAACCGGCCTGTCGTCTTATAGTCGCATCGTAGACGTGGGTTGAACTGGATGGTGTTGTCGCGGGTCGAAAGTAGGGGTGATCCGGAGCACGGGAGCTTTCTGCTACTTTTTTTTCCCTCTCGTCCCTCGGACCCCTTGAGTCAGAACAGCTCCCGGGAGTCGCGCGATCGAGTGCGAAGCTGCAGTCGTGTGTCGCCGGCAGCACTAGATTGATGTCGAGGTATTAATGTGATGGCGAAATGGCAGGCAGATGGCGTTGAAGCTCTGCGGCGTTGGAAGAGAGAGGGCGATGTTTTGTTTGGATGGTAGCTTAGGGTGTGTGCTAGGGAAGGGCGAGAGAGTTTGGAGGTGGTGGTTGTGCGGAAAATATGACGCTATGCGCAGCGGATGCTCTCTGGGCTTCTGGGCTTCTGGGCTTCTGGGTGGCCCAGGGGGGGTGCTATGGGTGCTTTGATGCAAATCTCCCCCGACTCCCCTGGGGATTTTCGGGGGTCGCTTTTAGCCCGAGGACTGGCGCAGCAGCGTCGCGCGCAAGCTAACCAGAATTTTTTTTTTTCGCAGCTTCCACACTGTCCGCTGTGCCCGCTGCAGGCGGGTGGAGCGAAAAGCTGCGAAACACTTGGGCAGGTGGGGACAATGGACGACGCGCTCGCTGGAAACGGCTAGTGCTCGTCGCCGGTCCCCTCTGCCCGCTCTGATGCGGCGCGGATGATGCTGTCACAGGCGTCCGCTCACGCGAGCAGCGAAGGGCCCCCAGCCTATCGTGTCGTCCTGGCCCCGACTTTGTCCGACCCGGCTCCAGGCTGTGATGCTATACCGTGCGACCGCTCCCTTGGTATTCCGCGGGGTTCGGCCCATCGGCCCACGTCCATGTCGATGATGATGGCAGCGAATGCCCGCACGAACCGAGATCGTAAGCAGTGTTCTGAATCCTTCTCGCGTGCATTGCCGGCACAGCATTCGCAATCGCTCAGCTCTTCATTGGTGCGTCTAGTGCAGTCATCCCATTGCGTGGTGTGATGTCTCCTTATGCTGCTGCTCCTTAGCTACTGTTAGCTCAACTTGCACATGTCCGCCTCGCCGGTGTCGTGTTTGTGTCGCATGACCATCCAACGGTGCGTGCGGCGCTATCGCCAAGCCACATGCTCCTGAGGGGAAAACCGCTGGTATGTTCCGAACCAACATGTGCATGCAGCCTTCCTTTCCATTGCTTGTGCAACTTGCGGTTGTCAGATGAGATCCCATCGTAATTCTCATTCGGGGCCCTTGAGGTATGTCAATCCCCCTTTGTCCGCCAGGTCGTTACGACGAGTCTGAGCACGTTACTATGCTACATATTGTCTAATTCACCTACCACCATCATAAGTCCGGCCACGATGGTATCTATATAGATGCGTATATATGTTGCGATACAACCCGGGGAGTAGTTTAGATAACCTCTTATAAGCCAGACGCAACAATATTTTCCAGTCTTATTTCACATGATTGTCACATCATTCAAAGATCGCGCTTCGGTCGGTCCCGTGAAATCTCAACGACGTCTCATTACAGAATGATCTTGCGATCAGTCCTCTTTGCAAGTGACACTCGTCTAAAAAACATTACTTGCGGGTGCTGTTCATACCCTCATGCCTGTCGTTGCCAGGTGCCTCTGCCTATACACCTTCCGATAGTATTACTGGTACACACACATGTCTAAAAACACATGCTGTCGTGCAACCCCTAATCCTGCCTCGATTAACCTCATTCGTCAAAGTCCTATCACCACCATTACCTGTCCCCATCGCGGGAACCTCAATCGCTAGCTTCCCAGCCTCTTCGCATCAACCTACTCCGGCTTCAGGAGCAGGCAGTGCGTCTCCATGCGAGGCTCCTCCCTTCCGTGGTAGAAGCCCTTCTCCACCAGGTTCGTGTGCGAGTTCTGCCAGTACTCGGCCTTGGACTCCCAGTTCTTCCTGTCGACGTCGGCGAGCCTGATCTCGGTCTCGCCCGGGCCGCCGGCGTCCTTGGGCATGCGGACGAAGCAGGTGCAGTCCCTCAGCGTCATGGCGAGGCCAAAGTCCTCGTCCTGCGGGTTGGTGAACATGGTGTCGCCCGGGTCCCCGCGGACCTGCAGCGTCCGCAGCTTCTGGAAGATCTGCGTCTTCTGAAACGCCTGCTCGAGCCGCTTGCGGTCCGCCTCCGCCCACCCCGGGGTCAGGTGGCGGATGGTCTCGAGCACGACGGCCGGATTGCCGTGCACGAGACCCAGCGGGCAGACCGGAGGGCTCGTCTTCTTGCCCTCGGCGCGCTTCTCGCTGTTGCGGAACCCCTCTCGGGCACAGGTCCGGCAGCGTGTTGCGTCGGCTGGTGCGATGGGGGACTGCGCCAACCACTTGGGCTTGAACTCGAGTCCGATGGCGTTCCGCCACGGGGGCGTGCTCATGTCCTCTATCAGCATGGCGTGGCCCTCGGCGAGGGTGCTTGCAGTATCTCGCTGCGAGTTGCGGTCCCGCTCCAGGTTCATCTGCTGTGTGATGCGAGGCTCGAGCTTAACGAGAAGCTGGGGGACGAGATGCTGAGCGCCGACCTTGGGCTCGACGAGCCGCTCCCGATAGCGTTGCAGTTCCTCGTAGCTGTGAGGCTCGGTGCCCTTGACTATCTTCGGAACCCGTAGGAGTAGACCTGCGAGGACGTGCTGACCTTCATATTCTTCCCCAACCCCGATCTCTGGCTCTATCAGCTTGAAAACAACATTGGCCCGGCCCTCTGCCATGTACACAAATTGTGTATGCCTGTGTAGGATGACGTTCAGCAAGTCCAGTCGCTTCCCATGTTCTGCGTCGACCCCATGGCTTCCATTGGTCGTGGGCGAGCCTTTGAGAAGAGATTGTACTGCCGCTCGACACTCGGCCCGGCTCAATTTGGTATTCCCCAAAGGAATATCCCCTGAAGAAGCCATCTTGTCAGATGTGGTGAGCAGGGAAAATACCGGGCCAGCAGTCGGGCGTGGTAATTATATATATGTGAATGTATATGTAGCAAGCCGACTTTCAAGTAGCGCCAACGTAGGCTTGGCGGCGGGCTTGAGTAGTATTTCAAGACGTTTGAAGATGGTTCCGTTGTCCCGATGGTCGAGAACTGGCGATCACGTCCCGAGTGTCGTTCGTCTTTAATGAAGCTGCTGTCCTTGCCGTGTACTTACACAGCCCCGATTGTAACCCACCGTGCCCACAGTCGCGGCTGCTTACTTTCCCCCTGTCTCCTGAGAGCAGCAGCGATCTAGAAGTCGACCAGGGAGGGGCGAAGCCCAGACGACACGAATGTCGCGTGGCCTCTGGGGAAAACGAGCGGCAGGTGATTGACCACCCCCTATAATACGAGTCTTGTATCCTTCACGGTGGCGGCATCCAGCAGACCTGAACGAGAGCGAGCTGGAAAGAGAGAGAGAGAGACAGAGAGAAAAGATGGGGGTTTGAGATCCAGCGAACGAGCTGCCTGGGGAAAAAGCAACGAGTGGGATTGTTGGTATATGTTGGTTGGATGATACACGCGTCGAAGAACAAAGCCGCCTCAAGTCAAAAGCCCCAAGGTAGCCCCTCGAGTCAGTCACGCGCAAACGGGGAAGATTCAGCCCCCAAAAGCGATGAGCTCAGGGTTTCGCATTGAATCACGGAGAGGGAGGCAACTCTGAGTAGCATCATCCATGGACCCAGCCGCGACGCAGGCGCCGCGGCGGGCGCCTAGGTCGAAGAGCTTTCCCGTCCCATTCCATTTTGGACCGGTCGGGGACTCGGGGAGCGACCTCGAGCCTAGGATGTGGCCGTGAGATTTTCCCGCTGGTCTTGGTCAAGTGGCACTCCTCTTCTTCTGGGTTTTAACACGGCCCGTTATTTCCTCTGCAGTCCTCCCCGCGAGGGGTTGCAGTTGTATGCATAGCATTGGCACCAGTATATCTGTGTGAGAAGCAAGGTTCGAGGGCACGAGAGTATCCAGATGCGCTGGAGAATTGACATCAGTGCTTCGTCGCCCTGTGCCAGGATTTCGGGTTACACTTGCCTAAATCAAGGAAAGGGGGAGGCTCCTCGGGAGAGCATGGGCCCTGGGCCTGGGGTAACTCACTGGCATTGGATGCGCTCGAGCGCACAGAGCCTCCACTGCCAGTTCATTGGCTTTTCCCCATTTGTTAGAACTGGGTGCGCAGTGGAACACTGAACACCCGGACCAGTTTACAAATACGCTGGTATAATCGTTTACCCATGGGCGACAAGTTACATGATGCAGCGAACTCAGTTGGGAGAGGCAGTGAGGCAGTGTTGATATAATAGCTCAGGGCGTTATCAATGCATGTATCCCGGCCGAGTCTCCAGCGACTCCACTCCTGCTGCATTTCTGCCTTGGTAGCATCCACGCGAACTGTTGACTGACACTGATGACGGATGATGGCGGGCTGTGTTACGATGTTACGAGTTCTCTAGGCCGTAGCAACCGTTAAGCTTCTCTGTCACATGTTCAGGCAACGAGGTGAAAGCAGGAACAGCACGTATGCCATGGTTGAGACTTGTACATTCGTTCTCCGGGGTATACCGTCCTGTCTTGAGCGCCGAAGCAATACTCTAAAGGTTGAATCTGGTTCTCTGCTTCTCCATCTTTGCCTTCCACTCCCATTGTATGGCATCGTCCCCTTCGCTCCCTGCCCGACCTATGCCCTTGTCTATACGTCGAAGCTTCAGGGTCTAGTAGATAAGTCAGTCAACAGTGTCTCGCGATAAGTCGGGAGTAGAGCAGTACTCACAAACCGCGGACCGAGTTCTTGCAGTCCAGTCCGGATATTCTCAACACCCTTCAGCTCCTTGCCGTCGGCACCGACCACGCTCTTCTCTGTTGCCTTTTTGTCCCGGAACACATAGCGATGGCGTCGGACAAAGATGTAGTCTCTCTGGTTGTGGAACGTCACAACTTGTCTTCCCTGGAACTCCGGGTTCTTGGGGAAGAGGTTGAGGAATAGCCTCGAGGTCAAGACGCCCAACGGTGTCGTGTAGTTGTTTAGCAGCAGCTCGGGATAATGATTCGTGGGGTTGCCATGGCCGGGGATCTTCTTGACATCCAGCCAGTTGCTGATGCTGAAGTGGAATGTCGGTCCAACAGGGAGATGGACGACATCAAGGCCGATAGGCCTCTTCTGATCTTCGCGGAGCACCATGACTGTCGTGTAGCCTCGGTTGGCGGCAAACTTGCTGATCTCTCTAACGCTGTACTTGTATCCATATTTGTGGGAGGACCGCGGCTTGTACTCGCTGTTGGGGAACAGGGTGCACAGCTTGTGGGCTTCGTCGTGGAGGGTAGAGTTGAGCGAGGTGGTGATCAGGACCTTGGGCTCGGGGGGAGTGTCGTCTGCGAAGAGGGAGGGGAACTTGGCGATGAGTGCCTCGGGGGTCAGGTCGAGGTTCGTGCTCGTCGTCGACGGCGCCACGCTGTCGTCCCTCATGACACGCCGGGCGCGAGCCTGCACGGCGGCTTTGCTGTCCTCCTCGTCCCCCTCTTCGTCGTCGTCGTCGTCGGAGCCCAGCATGCTGTCCCTGTCGTCGCCGCTGGCGTCGCCCTCCTCGTCGACGGCTTCACCGTTGGCGATGGCGGCCTGCCGCTCCTCGGCCTCCTCCTGCTCCATGCGCCTGCGCTTCAGCAGCTGCTCCATGTTGACGCTGGAGTAGAGGCTGTCATCGTCGACGTCGTCCCAGACTCGCTTCCGGTCGATGGTCAGGGGCTTGTTCTTCTCGAGGCGCTCCCTCCGCAGCTCCGGGTCCCTGGACTCTTCCTTCTTCCGACGGAAACGTGCCTCTCTCTTCTCCTTCTCATTTTCCCTCTTCTGCCTGACGTATAGATCCTTGCGGTGAAGCTTGTTCCCCGTCTTTTTGGAAAGACTGGTGCTGGACTTGGGCATCTTGGCGACAGGAGCGACCAGGCGCGTGCGAGTCGGCGATGGTGTAGAAAGGGTGCTCCTGGGTAGAGTGCGCAGGTCGTTTTTGCTGCGACACTGCTGATTGTAGATCGCGAGCTCACCCAGCAGCGACAAAGGGAAAAAAAAAAAAAGTTGACTTTGCTTTTCTCTGCAGGGATGCTAGGGGACTAGTTCCGCGACAGGGGAGGCCCCCGGCTCAGTGGCAGCAGCCAGAGGTACCAGCCAGAGGTACCAGTGCCACTTGGCGGGGTCCAAGAGGAACAGTGCTCTCTCCCATCTTTTTTTTGTTTGGAGGGGTAACCTGTCTGGCCGGGGGCTCGTTGGAGGGGCTCTTGGGGGTCTTGGGGGCTCTTCTCTCGGCGCGACCAGGTTCCGTCTCCAGCTGCCAGAAATCCACTGACTCAATTTGTCCGGCGTCGCAAAGGCCGCCCTGCCCGCTCCAGCCCTCCAGAGTCACCTCTGCCGGACAGGACGAGCTGCAGGTTGCGTCCGCCATTCAATTGGGGCATTTTCTAGGCCGATTTCTTGTGAGTGGAGTGACTCACCTTGTCTAATCGCATACTCGGAGCCGCCAGGTGAATGAGGGCCCCTCAGATTTTGAAAAGGCCCTTCACAGGTGGTGTAAACAACAAGCATTTTCGGCCAGCACTCGTCGGCACCGCACCACGATCGGGACTCGCACTCGCGCCCACCCTCCTCCAGCCTCTACACCACCACCCACCACCACTACCACCACTGCCACCACTGCCACCACAACCACCCCGCCGGCCCTTCCACGTCTCTGCCGCCGCCAGTCGCTACGTCGTCCACCACAACTCGACCAAGCACCAGCAGCAGCAGCAGCCCCCCAAGATGACGTCCGCCGCCACGACCCTCAAGGGCCAGCCCCTCGACCGCCCAGCACTGGACTCGATGCTGCGCCGGCGCATGTTCTACACCCCCTCGTTCGAGATCTACGGCGGTGTCGCCGGTCTGTACGACTACGGCCCGCCCGGCTGCAGTCTGCAGGCCAACATCATCGACGTCTGGCGCAAGCACTTCGTCCTCGAGGAGGACATGCTCGAGGTCGACTGCAGCGTCCTGACCCCCCACGACGTCCTCAAGACCAGTGGCCACGTCGACAAGTTTGCCGACTGGATGTGCAAGGACCCCAAGAACGGCGAGATCCTGCGCGCCGACCACTTCGTCGAGGAGGTGCTGGAGACCCGCCTCAAGGGCGACAAGGAGGCCCGCGGCCAGAAGATCGAGGAGAAGGAGGAGGACCCCAAGAAGAAGAAGCGCAAGGGCAAGGGCGCCGTCGAGGCTGTCAAGCTCGACGATGCCGTTGTGCAGGAGTACGAGGAGATCCTGGCCAAGATCGACAACTACAACGGCCAGGAGCTCGGCGAGCTGATCAAGAAGTACGACCTCAAGAACGCCGCCACCGGCGTCCAGCCCTCGCCCCCCGTCGCCTTCAACCTCATGTTCCAGACCGCCATTGGTCCCAGCAGCAACACGCCCGGCTACCTCAGACCGGAGACCGCACAGGGCCAGTTCTTGAACTTTGCCAAGTTGCTCGAGTACAACCAGCAGCAGATGCCCTTTGCCTCTGCCTCCATTGGCCGCTCCTACAGAAACGAGATCTCCCCGCGTGCTGGCCTCCTCCGAGTGCGAGAGTTCTTGATGGCCGAGATTGAGCACTTTGTCGACCCGCAGGGCGGCAAGAAGCACCCTCGATTCGAGGAGGTCAAGGATGTCGAGCTCGTCCTGCTCAACAGGGAAACCCAGCTGTCTGGCAAGACGCACGTCGAGAAGGTATCCATTGGCAAGGCTGTCGCCAACGGCACTGTCGACAACGAGACCCTCGGCTACTTCCTCGCCCGGATTCATCTGTTCCTCAAGAAGATCGGTGTCGACCAGTCCAAGATCCGCTTCCGTCAACACATGGCAAACGAGATGGCTCACTACGCCGCGGACTGCTGGGACGCCGAGCTGTTCACCTCCTACGGCTGGGTTGAGTGTGTCGGCTGTGCTGACCGTTCTGCCTACGATCTGAGTGTGCACGCCGCCAAGACGGGCGCTCCGCTTATCGTACGTGAGCGCCTCCCGGAACCTATCACGATCGAAGAGTACCAGGTCGAGTTGGACAAGAAGAAGTTTGGCCCTCACTTCAAGAAGGACGGCAAGGCAGTCGAGGCTGCTCTGTTGGCTACGACGCAGTGCGACAGGGAAGAACTGTCCAAGACCCTGGAGTCTGCCGATTCCATCACGGTCAAGGTTGAAGGTGTAGGCAACGGCGAGGTCACTGTGCCGAAAGAGCTCATTACTGTTGCCAAGCGCAAGAGAACCGAGAACGTGAGAGAATTCACCCCCAACGTCATTGAGCCGTCATTCGGTATTGGCCGCATTCTCTACGCTCTGATGGAGCACTGCTACTGGTCACGAGCGAGCGAGGGCGGCGACGAGGCCCGCGGTGTAAGTATCTACTGATCGAACAACATATGCATGGCGATTAACACATCAGCAGGTCCTATCCTTCCCTCCTACCGTGTCGCCGACAAAGGTTCTGATCGTGCCTCTGTCCAGCAACGAGGAGTTCAGACCGTTCTGCCGCAAGCTTTCCCAGAAGCTTCGCAAGATGGGTATCTCGAGCCGCATTGACGACTCGTCGGCAACCATTGGCAAGCGCTACAGCCGCAATGACGAACTTGGCACACCGCTTGGTATCACCATCGACTTCCAGACCGTCAAGGACCAGACCATTACCCTCAGAGATCGTGACTCGACGAAGCAGGTCCGTGCGGATGAGGACAAGATCATCGAGGCCATTCAGGCCATGGTAGACGGCAGCAAGTCGTGGAAGGACATTGAAGCCGAGCTGCCTGTGTTTTCGGGCCAGGAGGTTGAGCTCCCTACCCGCGAGTAGACCAAGAAATTTCTCGAGGCATAGAATAAGAGAGAATACTACATGTATGGACCACGCAGACGAACCTTTCGGATACCAAAAATGGGGGTAGATAGCGCAAGATCAGCCAGGGTTCTGTAGAGTTTCATCCCAGCTCGTATTCTTAGATGCACCTCGCCTGCAGCTATCCAATACAGTGGTGCTTGCCAATGACGATCGCTCCAAACGCCCAGGGCTCGGCGTGAAGTAAGTCGAGGATTTACGATAGCCCCAAGACTTGACAGGTGGACATTGGCTTGTAACCGGACGCGGATCTGCGGTCTAGCCAGACGCGTGCGTCTGTGTACAATCGCACGTGCGCCACGACAAGCAGATTGTTTACTCATGGATTCCACGAAGATGCACGAATTTGGAATAATTCAGCCTCGGAACTCAGCCTTGTTATAAGTTAGGTAGCCGACTATGAAGAGGCCGCCGACCCGTCGCATGCGACTCGTTCTGCGGCGAGTTTTGCGACAGCGACGTCACCAGAGGCTTAACGTCGGGAACAGAACACCTCGACGGAACCCTGGGCAACCGGGGATCTCGAGAGGCGCTGCTGGTGACTGGTTGTCTCAAGGACCGTCACCTGAGCGGCCCGCGCAGAGCGGATCGCCGGCGTCGAAACACGAGAACAGACGTTTGTGTGATGTTTCCAATATGCGGATCCTGTCACAGAATCCCTGCGCTACACCTGCATGGCGGGGTTGGCTTGGGAAATGGACTGAAGTGGGTAACGGTCGTGACGGGGCGAAAACCCCCTTTTTCTTTTCCAACGCTACGAAGAATGTTCTTTGGCGGCTTCCATGCCCTTGGCAGATCTTTGCGTGTCTTGGACTACCCAAATATGGAATGAAAGAGAACGATGGCTGCATGAAACCCCGCGAACGAGACTATACTGAAGGCGTTTGCGGCGCTGGTGAAAAAAATGCAACCGCAGCCGCAGGATCTACCTCGTCAAGCCCGTGTATCAAAGGCGTGGAGAGCCAACTTGCACTGATATGAAGCCAATTTCATAGCACCCAGGGTCCTGCTGTGTAAGAGACTGCAACTTCGTCAGCCAAGGCGTCGGGGAGCCGAGGAACAGATGAGCTTGTAACATAGATATTGCACTCGTAGGCCAATCTCGAGCATTTCAGGTTACGCCAGAAGCGACTCCATACCCGGTCCTTTCGCCTCGACTATCCTTGTTCAATTTGAGCCTGCCCCGAAGAGTTGGTACAGGTTGGGCGGGAGCAAACTCTACATGGCGAACGAACCCACACAAGGTCGAGATGGGGTTCCTGGGTTCAGCGTTCAGGAGTGCAGAGCCCAGCAGGCGAATAATAGTGCTGCGAGTTCTGCTAGTTAAGGCTGTGCGCATCGTTGGCTGAGCCGGGTATACATGTATACTATCTGATGCTAGCTCTAGCTATATCCATATATAGTAGTAGCCTGCCTCGACGGCAGACTAACTTGAAATGGCTCCCAAGCAGGACAATCAGGAGGCGACCCTGCGGTAAAGATGGCAACTGAGGATCGCCATATGCAATGGACGGTCGGCATCTTAGCAGTACGGTTCGGCCATGCTTAGGGGAAATGGCCTGACTTTCTCGCCCATGCGACTCTCCTGGAACAAGGAGTCAAGCAGATCGCTGGAGCAGATTGCTGGGCGACCTCGCCCGGGGTACGCTGGGCCGCAGACAGTCTAGCCGGAACGGGCTGCCCATGCTCTGCGTCGAGGGTAAGCCTCTCGAGGCCCATTGCCAATGCGGATGGGCCGTTCGAGGCAACGGGGCACCTTGAGCCGCCAGGATACCCGGACTGCGGTGCTAGGCCAATGATGAACCCCCGAATGCGTTTGCGCCGTGACCTGACCATACATATGGACGCAATCCGTTTGTTGTATTCCTGGGGCCCCTTGCGCGTGCCTTATCACCGGCGGTTTCTGCGTATCGCGCACCGCACAATAGCCGCCAAACCTGACCTCTTCTTCCCAACCATTTCAGGCTTGCGAAATCGACTCTGGACGAACAGGACGGTCGGGAGCCTTGCCAATTGTGCGCGGCCGCTACCGAGTGACTCTGCTCCAGTATATGACGACCCTGCCCTCTCGAGGACGAGCAACGATACGTACACGTGCGATCTCCAGGCCGGGATCCAAGACACCAAATCTACGAGCCCCTCCCCCTGCCCCGACTCCTCCTCGGCGGGCGGGTAACAACGAAGTGGCTGTTGCAAGCCCGGCCGCCCTTCCGAGCGAGCGCTGTGCCCGCGGCAAATCGAGCGAAGTCCCAGTCTGCGGCCTTGTATTTCCAGACGCCCGACTGAGTGGCCGGGAGACAGATCTGGAGGGCTTCACTGCGCGCTCTTTGGGGATTCTTCTCGAGTCTCGCCGTGAGTCAAATGTGAACCCCTCAGTGCCGGGCGCACTCATCAAATTGCGAGCATCTAGGACTAACACAGGTGGCGCGTTAGTGACCCCTGCGGCATTCTACCGACGCTCGATAGTCTGGGCCCATTCTCATCCGAGCTCGACGCTTACGTCGCTCGTGTACCACTTTACTCAGGTCTTACATTGCCCGAACTGGGGAGGGGGTTTCCTCTGGCCTGCTACGAGTACACGCATACTGTAATTCATAAAAATCCAAAGCAGCCAGCCAGCCCAGCATGGCGGCGCAGAACAGGTACGTGACTACTGGCGCTCTCTCACGCGGCCGCCCTGATGCATTTTGTTCTTGTCACACATACCACTTGGCCCTGATTGCACCCCGAAAACCCAACGGTCGCCATCCAATGCCGGCGAGGGGTCCAGCAGGCCCAGCGCCAGGCTGGTGGAAGCGAAAGAGAGAGAGAGAGCCCCCCTCCCTCTCCCCTTTGACGGCCAGGACGGTCCAGTGGCGGCGGGGCATTTTGACTTTCCCTGCAACGGGCGGGCTGGCGGGCAGGGCTAGGGGGCTAGCTACAGCGAGCACCCAGCGCGACCTAGCGCATAGTGCACACCTAGCAGCCTAGGGGGGGAGGGGGGCCCACCCCACCTCCTTGCCCTTCCCTCCCTCCTACTTGCCTAGCTGGGCCTGCTGCTGGGCCTCCTCCGCTGGGCCCTGGGCCAATGTGCCCTGTTGCCCTGTTGCCCTGGGCCTTGTTCTTGTTCTCCCCCCCCGTCGACATAGGCGCCGCCTGAAAGTCAAAGAGGGTCGCACGCCGACCCGCAACCACTCTTGTTGCAACCGCTTGGATAGTCGCCAAACCTGGTGCACCGCTGCTCTTTGATGTTTCATGCCCGAACCTTGGCGACAGACTGAAAGCCTGTTCCTCTTTTTCCTCCCTCCTCCACTGGCCAGCGTGCGTCCCATGCGACGCAGCAGCACCCGTAACTAATCATGGCGAACAACGGCAGTCTCTACTCCTCCGGCCAGTTCATGAACCCAGGCCCGGCCCCTCGTCCGCCAGTTGACCGTCCGCGCCTGAACCTTACCCCTAATACCAACCTGCCCGGCAGCATGGCCAACATGACGATATCGCCCGTCCCGCGGACTGCCACCTCGACATACACCGGCTCTACCATATCGTTACCGCTGGCCCGCGAGCGCTCCAACCAGACCGATGGCATGGGCGGCGTCGCCGTCATCAAGGAGGGTTGGGCCCAGGTCAAGGAGAGCCGGAACTTCATCCAGCCCTGGAAGCAGAAGTTCCTCATCCTGCGCAAGGAGGCCCTCGACTTCCACAAGACCGAGGGCGGCAAGGTCTCCTACACCCTCTATCTCAAGGACGTCGTCGGCGTCGGCCGCGTCGAGGCCGCCGGCACCATATTCGAGATCAAGAGGCAGCAGGGCGGCCAATCGAACAGCCCCGGCGACGACGACGGCGGCATCCGGACCCTGCAGATCCGGACCAAGAGCGACGATGACCTCTACGACTGGATCGACATGCTCTACGGCCGCTGCCCGACCATGGGCGGTGTGAGCAACCCCACCAACTTCTCCCACGCCGTACACGTCGGTTTCGACCCCCAGACCGGCCAGTTCGTCGGCTTGCCCCCGGAGTGGTCCAAGTTGCTCAACTCGTCGGCCATCACCAAGGAGGACTACGAGCGCAACCCCCAGGCCGTCTTCGAGGTCCTGGACTTCTACTCGGACCTGACCAAGCGCGCAGAGAACCCCCAGCAATACCCCAGTCTCACACCCACCCCGCCCGCCAGCAGCCAGGCGAACAAGCAGCTCGGCTATGGCGTAGGGACGTCTGTCGCGCCGCCGAGGCCGATGCCACCGACGCAGGCCCAACGCAATAACAGCTTCCCCGTCAACCCTAACCAGAGCATGGCGAATGCCACCCGCCCAAGTGCCAACGAGAACACGCAACAGCGGCAGCAGATGCAGTCCATGGCCTCCAACTACGTTTCCCCCGACGCCGCTCGTGAGCAACAGCGACAGAAGCAGCTCGAGCTCCAACGGCAAAGGGAAATGGAGGAGCGCAGGGAAATGGAGGAATACAACGCCTCCCTGCCCAAGAACAAGCTTCCGATGGCCCAGCAGGAGATCGGCGGCGGCGGCTACGGAGGTGCCTCGCCAGATCGGTACAACCCAAGCCGTGCCGCACCGCCGGCCCCGAAGCCCGGGAATCAGCCAGCCAGTCAGCTCCGGGCCCAGCGACCTGCGCCGCCGGCCCCGGGCACGCCTGGTGCCCAAAGGCCGCCTTTGGCATCGCAACAAAGTTCCTCCTCGATTCAACAGCGTGCACCCCCGAGACCAGACCAGCCTGGCTCATCTGCGCAGCGCTACCCCAACGGCACTAATGGCTCTTCTCAGCCCCGTATGAACGGCCAGGCCCCGGGACAGAGCCAGGCTGCGCGACCGCCGCCACCGGGAGCCGCGGTCAAGCCGCTCAACGTCCCGGCCAAGCCGCAACCACAGCAGAATGATGGTGTCAAGGCTGCCGAGGCTGCTCTCACAGCCAAGCCGTCGCCGTCCGAGCGAAAGCAGGATGTCCGCATGTCTACCATGTCCGAGAAGGAGGTTATGGCGAAGCTGATCGAGGCCGTCTCCAAGGACGACCCCAACTTGTCCTACTCGAAGCAGAAGAAGATCGGCCAGGGCGCATCCGGCTCTGTCTACGTGGCCAAGGTGAAGGAAGGCGCCGTTTCGGGAGTTGCTCGCGAGGTCTTGCGCGCCCAGGGTCCCCGGGCTCAGGTTGCCATCAAGCAGATGGACTTGGCGCACCAGCCTCGAAAGGAGCTCATTGTCAACGAAATTATGGTCATGAAGGACAGCAAGCACCGAAACATTGTCAACTTCCTGGACGCCTTCCTGCGAAACAACAACGCGGAACTGTGGGTCGTCATGGAGTACATGGAGGGTGGTGCTCTGACGGATGTCATTGACAACAACCCGGTCATCACAGAGGAGCAGATTTCGACCATCTGCCTCGAGGTTCGTAAAATCGGTTTATTACAAAGATTGACTTGCTAACACGTATTAGACATGCCGGGGTCTGCAACACCTGCACTCGCAGCAGATTATTCACCGTGATATCAAGAGTGACAACGTTCTCCTTGACGCCCGCGGCAGTGTTAAAATCAGTGAGTCGATCTTGGAGAGCTGCCTAGTCAAAATGCATTGCTAACGAAATGGTTCCAGCCGATTTCGGTTTCTGTGCCAAGCTCACCGAGACCAAGTCCAAGCGCGCCACCATGGTGGGAACGCCTTACTGGATGGCACCCGAAGTTGTCAAGCAGAAGGAGTATGGCCCCAAGGTCGATATCTGGTCGTTGGGCATCATGGCTATTGAGATGATCGAGTCCGAGCCTCCCTACCTGAACGAGGAGCCGCTGAAGGCCCTCTACCTGATCGCAACCAACGGTACGCCCCGTCTTAAGAAGCCCGAGAAGCTCAGCAAGGAGCTGAAGGCATTCCTGTCGGTTTGTCTGTGTGTGGACGTCAAGAGCCGAGCGTCGTCGGACGAGCTCTTGCAGCATGATTTCCTGAAGCACGGCTGCCCCATCGGAAGCCTGTCGGAGTTGCTCGCCTTCCGCAAGCACGCGAAATAGAGTGAAGAGATTGCACAGCGAATTATACCCTTCTTTTCTGGACGACTACACACTACTACCCCCCAAAAAGGGGGGTTACTTGCGGATCACGGTGAGATTGGATGGCCGAGACCCAATTTTTGTCCCCTCGCCAGATGGACAAGGGGACGGCGCCGGGCATGTTGCGGGGTAATGAATGTCGGGCATGATTTGCATGGAAAGGAGATGGCCATCATCTGGAGCATATAGAAGCTCGTGTCTCCCGTTTGGGGCATTTATAGGACCGGAACATGTCTAACCAGGGGGCCACTTGCATTGGGGGTGAAAGAGAGGAGGGGCCAGCCAGGGCAGCCCGTGTCCAGTTTCACGTTTGTGATACCTACTGTACCAACTGTGATCAACGCGGCGGGAAAGCTTGGCAAGGGCGTGGTTAATGGAAACAAAAAAACACACTTGACGCCTCCAACAAACACACACACGCACACACACATAACGGCGGATAAGTACGCTTGGTCCTTGTGCGAGACGAAACTGCGATTAAAGCATTTGGTGGATTTGGCTTGCAAATTTTGGTTTGGGTTCTTGAGATGTCGTCGGTGCTGATACCACATACTACTGCTCACTATAGACTTTTTTGCAAATCACGGTTTGGGCCTGTCAGGTGTTCTTTGTGTGTGAAAATGTCAGTAGCTCGTGGTGGTGAGGTTCCGCTGCACAGAGAGACATTGGCTTGATGTTGACCACAGAGTGTGAGCAAGCATGGGTACCTGGGTATGCGTCGAGATTTGCAGCTTTTTTGGTATACCAGCTGCATCCCATGTCTACATCGCCCATGTATAAGAGTGAAATGGTTGTGCCACGGCATGTGCTGCCAGTGTAGAGGCGTTTTCATGGCGGTACAACAGTTGAACGAACTTTCTTCTCCCAGGGTTGGGCCAAACAAGCTTAAAATGCAGCCGTTCCCCGGAGCCGGCAGATCCAGGCGATCGGCATTGGCGCCTGCTGGGCGGCACCCCTCCCCTCCCCTCCCCCAGCCCCAGCCCACCCACAGATCGCTAGGCGCTAATGCTGCGTTGAGTGGCCCGCCGTCCCAGCGAGTCACGCCCCGTCCCTTATCTTGCTGATGACATGCACGAATGACCCTTCAAACGCAGCGCCCGACCACAACCCGCACACCACGACACCCGCGATACCCACGCGACTTGCAGTGATAGGACGTTCGACGGTGCCCTCAACAAGTCAAGTCATGCCCAGGTAGACCCGATCCGGGGTTAGCTGTCCTCAACAGTAGCCCGATCCCGCGCCCTGCGATTCCAATCGCGCCTCTTGAACCCTCGTCCCGGAATCCACCACATCGCTGCTCCCGGCACATTCACAGCGCCTCGCCCTCCGACCTTATACATGGACCTGCGGTCGCCGAGGTAGCTTGCAACACCAGCGCGAGAATCGATCGACGGAAGGACGTGATTGGGGCATTCCGCACACGGAATCTCTAACGCCCCCATACCTCCGTTGCCCGCCATGGACCGCCTCCGGTCCTTCTTCCAGAAGAAGGAGAACGAGCAGGAGTACGCGCCGCTGAACGAGGAGACCCAGTTCCTGGACCGGACGAGCGACCTCGGGGACGATAGCGGCGCCGTACCGTTCTCATGGATTGAGTACGGCATCTTTGCCCTGCTGGGCGTGGCCATGCTGTGGGCTTGGTAAGTTGCTTCCATCCACCACAATTCCTTCCTTGTGCACGACTTCCAGTTTTGCTGATCTTCGTCGCCTCACTCCAGGAATATGTTCCTTGCTGCCGCGCCCTACTTCCAGGGCCGCTTCCAGGCCGACGACTGGGTGCTGCAGAATTTCCAGTCGGCCATCATCTCGGTCTCGACCATTACGAACCTCGGCGCCATGCTCATCCTCACCAACATCCAGTACACGGCGTCCTACCCGTTCCGCATCAACCTGGCGCTGTACATCAACGTCGCCGTGTTCGCGCTCCTGACATTCTCCACGGCGACCTTTCTCGACGCCTCGCCGGGCCAGTATCTCGGCTTCCTGCTGGTCATGGTCGCCTTCACCGCGTGGGCCGCCGGTCTGATACAGAACGGGGCCTTCGCGTTTGCCGCAAGCTTCGGCCGCCCCGAGTACATGCAGGCCATCATGGCCGGCCAGGGCGTCGCCGGCGTGCTGCCCCCCGTGGCCCAGATCATCTCGGTCCTCGTGGCACCCCCGGAGCAGCCGGCGGCGGGGAGTGTGGCGGGCGAGGACCGCGAGGCGGGCACGGCCGCCTTCATCTACTTCCTCACGGCGGTGCTGGTCTCGGTCGCCGCCATCCTCGGCTTCATCCCGCTGGTGCGGCGGCACAACAACATCGTCGAGAGCCGCATGGTCGAGCACATGGCGGCGTCGTTCAACAGCGTCGAGGAGGCCGAGCGCGCTGCCCGTAAGGTGGTCAGCATGGCGGGCCTCTTCCGCAAGCTGCACTGGTTCTCGGCCGCCGTCTTCATGTGCTTCGCCGTCGCCATGTTCTTCCCCGTGCTGACGCCCAAGGTCGTGTCGGTGGCGCCGCCCGACGTGGCCGGCCCCCTGCAGCGGCCCGCCGCCTTCATCCCGCTGGCCTTCTTCTTCTGGAACCTCGGCGACCTGGGCGGCCGCTCCAGCGCGCTGGTGCTGCCGTTCCGCAGCCGGCCGGCGCTGCTCTTCGCCTTCAGCGTCGCCCGCGTGCTGTTCCTGCCCCTGTACGCCCTGTGCAACATCCACGGGCGCGGCGCCGCCGTCCCCAGCGACCTCTTCTACCTCGTCCTGGTCCAGTTCCCCTTCGGCCTCACCAACGGCTGGCTCGCCAGCAACTGCATGATGGCCTCGGGCGAGTGGGTCGACGACGGCGAGCGCGAGGCCGCCGGCGGCTTCATGGGCCTGTGCCTCGTCGCCGGCCTCACGTTTGGCAGCCTGCTGAGCTTCACGGCCGCGGGCATCTGATCGCCCCGCGAACGCGCTGCAACCACGGGATGCTTGATTGCTGACTGGCTGACTGGCTGACTGGCTGACTGGCTGGCTGGCTGGCTGTGTGCATGTATGCGTGCATGTGAGGGAAGGAAGGAATGAGGGTAGTGCATCACGAGGTGTTTTGGTTGGTATGGCGTTTCGGGAGCAGTTTTTGGAAGTCCGTGATATGTGCACGTTTCCCATCTAGATTTGAGTTTTCATAGCGGAGTTTCTAGATCACGTATACTCCTGAGTGCACATTGTTTTGGGTTCCCGTCCGGGCTTGTAAGTTGGCTTGGTTCGGACACTATGTACATATGGAACCACCAAATTATAATAAAGCTCTTATTTATAGAGTGTATATCAAGCCTCCAGCTGTACTTGAAGTTGTGAAAACGACGAGACTGATCCAGCACACGTTGCTGTTATTTAAAGGGAAACAAGCCAGGTCTTGGCTTAAAAGTTTTGTAGGGCGATCTCTTGGAAAGTTGCTCGAAGTGTTGTATCTACTCCGTGAAGACAGCTGGAGGTTTCTATGCTCTGGTGGGTCCTCCTTGCACCAACGTTGCCCCACCTAAATTACGCCTAGTTCAGGTATTAGGTACTATATATCCAAGACAACGGCGTCACTCTCAGGTGCTTGCACAAGCCAGCGGCCCGTGAGGCGTGGGAAGCAGTCATTCAATGAAGCTTTGAAGTCTTTGTTCAAAGCTGCCAACCCGTTTTTGCCTCCTTGAGGAAGTGGTTCCAGGGTTTGCGAGCAGCTGGATCGAACGGAGCTGGTGGGCTGCTTGTGATACCCCGAAACAGGGCTGTCGCTTTGCTAACTAACAAAGGCAACTAGCTACTACCTGGGTACGGAGTATTATGTGGGGTGAGGCGCAGCTGCCTTAAGAGCTGCCCCTCAGCAACGTCACCCAGCATAATCGCCGGAGCGCCCAGCCAAGCAATCTGGGACGATCCAAACCCACTCGCATCCGACGACGTCCCCAGGAATCCTCCACATCACGAGAGCCCATCTCAGGCTATTCAGTCGTCAGGGAAAGAAAGAAGAAGAAGAAAAAAAACAAGAGGCTCCCGAGTGCCGACTACTTGACAACAGGTGCTCCAGGCACAAGCACAAGCACAAGCACAAGCAGACAGCCCACTCACTCCTGCTGCCACCATGCCCGAGCTGTCGGAGTCGATAACCGCCATCAAGGACGGCGCCAAGGAGGATCCCTTCACCTACCTCACCATCCTGCAGTATCATGTGACGTCGCCCAATGTCCTGCCCGCCCTCAACGACGTCCTCGCCCAGGATGCCAAACTCACGCAGGAGATAGGCTGGGACCTGGTCCAGATGCTTGTGGGCATCGACGGCTCCGAGGCCTGCCTCGAGACCGTCGCCCGCCTCGGCAACCCGCGCGAGGTCCTCATCAAGGTCATGGAGGCGCTCGAGGGCCTGGCCGAGACCTCGGCCGACGACGCCGCCCTGCTGGCGGGAGCCGAGGCCCCGGAGCCCCCGGCCAACGTCCAGGGCAAGTTCATCCTGCTGCTCGGCATGCTGGCCATCCTGCACCGGCGCATCAAGACCAAGTACCCCTCGCGCTTCCTGGGCTCGTCCCTGGTAAAGGTCTACGAGGCGTACCGGCCGGACCCCGAGATGACGGCCTCGGTCATCAACCTCGTGCGCTCGCTGTCCGGGCGCAAGCGCCCGCCGCTGCCCACGCGCAAGTCCAGCATCAACGTCGCGGACCCGGACCAGGACGGCGACGCCTCCAAGAACGCGCCCGACCCCGAGGCCGAGCAGGAGGACCCCACCGAGGAGGAGATGCAGCAGCGCCTCCTCCAGTCCTTTGTCACCTGCGTGCTGCAGAGGTACGTCAACGAGAACGAGATGCAGTGGTCGGCCAGGTTACTGGAGCAGTACTACCCGGACAAGAGAGTCCCTGGGAAGAAGACCATCACCCAGTCGTATACCGAGGACGAAACCCTGCACCAAAGGGACTCCGTTGTCGGCCAACTCGTGGTAAGTTTGGAACTCCTCGTCTGGTATTGGAAACCCAAGAATGTCTTACTGATCGCAACAGGCGTTGGCACGGGATCTTGGTCTTAGGGAGGCGTCGGCTTCCTTTGTAAAGGGTATCTACGAAAGAGCCACGGGGTTCGACCCCCTAGCGAATTTCGACGACTTTAACTCTGCGGAGGAAATCCATCTGTCCCCTGGCGGCGTGGTGGGCTTGATTGCGTACTGGTTGTTCTCGGCAGACGTTTTCGGGGCAGACAACTCGACACCCGAGATGCATATCTTCCCTGACCATCTCACGTTGCTGGAACGCTTCCTCGGAGCCGTGGCGCAGGATGAAATAACCACAAACCCCGGGGTTGCCGATGCGCTTCTCGCTATAGGGCTGGGCCTCGACCACCGGGATCTGATTACAGAGGGTTCAGAACCGAACATCATGGCGTACCATCACCACTTGACTCTGATAGCCGTCTTCCACCCCGACATCCAAGTCAGGAACGCGGCAACCACATTCGCAGGTGCGATGCTCCACTCAGACCCCGACGACCAAGGCCGCCTGGAGATCCTTGAGGACCTGCTGGAGAATTGCATCTTTGCCTCGCTCAAGGCCTGCGCCGTGACGTGGCTCAAGGAGGAGCTGATCGAGGCCAAGAAGAGCGGCGCCTCGAACCAGTTCTCGTCGCCCGACATCATCGACCGCCTCCAGTACTTCATCTTCCCGGACATGCTGTCGGTCAAGGAGATGGGCACGGACGAGCTGCTGGACTACTGGGGGCAGAACGGCCTGTTCCTGCTGCAGGTCGCCAACTTTGCCTTCTTCCTGTTCTCGGCCGGCTTCGCGGACCTGGTCCCCGCCGGCGTCGGCGCCGCTATCGAGCAGCGCTTCGTCGAGCCCCTGGTCGAGGGCGCCGAGAGGCTGCTCAAGGCGGACGAGCTGGCGGGCCACGACAAGATGGATCTGAGCATATTGACGGACCGGCTGAAGAGCCTGCCGTTGTAGACGCACTCGCCCTACTGATAGGGGGCGTGGACTTGATGATAACTGGGTTGACGAGTTGTTCAGCCGCAGAGAAAGACAGAAAGTAAACATTTATATAAAGAAACTTAACTTACGAGACCAGCGCCACGTATGCCCAAATATAATCTTCCATGCAAAACCTTTTGGACATGTCACCGTAGAGTTCCCTGTGAAAAATCACCATCTGTGGTGTTTGGAGGTTTGTGTATGATTACTAAGAGCTTGTCTTCCACTGCCCCTCTCCTTGCGGCATGTTATCTACATAAGCACACGGCGGACGTCGTAGCTGGCTCCGTGATCTCAAGTCTCATCTGACTTTGCTGCTCTGATGGCTTTGAACTTCTCACTGAACGCAGTGACCTAAAACCTGTTGGTGGAACGAAGTGTCGTATAATTTTGAAAGGGATTTGATATGGTAGATTGAGTTAGGGAAACCACTTGGCCCTTGATATGTTTAGTGCTTGTAACCGTGTATGTTTCCAATGAAGACTCTGACTCTTAGTTATGATCACATATCTTTACCGCACATAATGGCATCGTTGCTCGTTGCCGAATCACTAGATTCTCGGCTCAGCATATGATTACCGTGCCGCCATCTAGTCTACCAGTAGAGCGAGAGAGTCGAGTTACATCACCTAACAAGGTGTCGATTGCTATCCTAACAGGCGCACACGTTTATGCGTTTACCCCAGTCATATAAAGTCCAAAATGTGAAGAACACGAGTCTTTTTATTAAAGAGATGCTCTAGACCTAGACATCTAGCGATGTTTTCTCTCTCTCAACTATGTGTATGTGTGTTCTAGCAAAGAGTACTACCGAAGCAAACAAAAGGGGGTATCCATTCATGCCCACATCATTCCCAATCGTGCGCGACCAAAAAGGAGGTAATTAGTGGCGGCCTGCAACCGCAGCGCGCCCAATATTGAATCGAACCGTATTAAACCCGCACTGACGCCGTAACCCGCTATGCGTATGTTGTTGTACACTCTCTCTTGCGTGGGATATCGCGGGGGAAACAGGATGCCCGAGAGTTGTTGATGCGAATAGGGAGGCTAAGCCTCCGAGCCCCTTCCCTGACTTCTGATCAGAAAGCACTCCCCGTTTCCGTGCCCCGGTTAGGGAAAACAGCAGCCCTGAGCCCGCTTTCTTGACCGGCGCAACGACCGCTACGTGTCCGGGCTTTGAGCGAGCAGCGGGGGGTCTTCCTGCTTCCTAGGCGGGATGTCATTCTGTCTAACGTCCTCTTCGACATCCTTGGCGGCCCTCTTCTTGGCCTTGTCGTCTATCTCTTTGGCCGCGGCCGTGTCCTCAGCGGAGGGGTTCTTCTCCCTCGCCCGCGCATCTACGCTCTTGCGGGCGTCCGTGCTCTTCCGGCTCTTGCCGAGCACAACGTTGACGTTCTCACCCTTGTTGATGGCCGCAATCGCCTTGCCGGCAATGTCGACACTCTCGAAGGCCCGGCCCCGGCCCCATTTGCCGAGGTGCTTACCCTTCTTGCCGTTTCTGCCGCCGCCTTTCTCAAAGTAGCGCACGAAGCCCTTCTTCCCGTTCTCACGCATAATGACCTCGGAAAGCTGGCGCATGACGTCCCAGCCGTGGTACGTCTCCTCGCAGAGCTGCTTCCTTTCCTCTTCTGGAAGATCTTTCATTTCCCGCTGGGCCTGGATGATGCGTGCGCGACGGATGAATTTTGTGGGTGAATTGTGCCGCTCGATCTGTTTCGCCACGCCCTTGAGTGTATACCCGAACGGTGAGATAAAGGCAGAAATGTCCTTGAGTACGAAGCCGCCAAGGCCCATGCCGACGCCAGCAAAAGCGCCAGGAACGCCGCTTTCTTTGGCTCCCTTGATTGGAAGTCGCACCAGACCAGTGACTCCGTCGTAAATGCCAAAGACAAACTCGGAACCGGCGGCACGAAGGCCAGACTTGATGCCGGTCACACGGACAGGCCGGCGCACTGTATCATCGCCGTAGAGCCGTGGTGCGTTATGGAAGCCCTGAGCGATAGCCATCGACAGGTCCACGGGAGCATGTGCAATAGCACGGCCGGACTGCCCAAACCCCTCGGAGACTTCATTGCCATATTCTTCCGCCGCGTTGCCTGTGCCAGGGGTCGTGGCAGTCAAGATGGAGTTTTGCGTTTGTTGGGTGGCTACAGTCGGTCGCCTATTGTCGGGGCCTGGGTCTTGGTCGGTCGCCTCAGTGTCCGTGTTTGGGAAAGGGAACCCATTGGCCCCATGTGTTGCCAATGGCTTCGGCTCCTGAGCCTTCTTCTTTTCTTGCAGCCTATGTGCTCGTTTCGCCTTTTTCTTCTCTCTACGCGCATCACGCTTCTTGGACGTCTTGGCCAGGCGGTAGGGCACGCTTCCAAACCCGGTGAAGAATTCACCGACTGAACCCATTACTGTACCAGCGAGTCCAGTGATGGGCTCACCAGGACCCTCGAAGTCATTCCACTCCTTGTGCCTTATCGGACGCAGCCTCCGCCACGAAAGATACCCCTTTTCCACCAGGATATCAGCAGCTATGGCGCAGAGCTTCAGGCTGGTATCTTTGACCCTCCAGACAGCGACACGGTCAGTCAAAATGGAGCAACGCATTGAGCCCTCACCGTCCAGTGAGAGGTGTTGGTGGAAGGATCGGACAGCATTCTTTGCCCCGTCTCCCTCAAGCTCAATGTCCTTGGCAATTTTCTGCGCAGCTTCTATCGCTTCGTCACTAAGGCAATACTTGATTCCTTCGGCGAGTTTTTCGGCGTCGAGCTTCTTGTACGGGATGGCTGGCGATCCCGCACCTGCGTTCGAAACCATAGTGCCCCAGAAATGTTGGTCGCCAAAGAAGGGGACAATCATGGTCGGTAGACCACATTTGAGGGCGATTGCTGTAGTACCAGCACCACCGTGGATAACACAAGCTTTGACCTTTGGGAAGAGCCAATCATGTGGCGTGTTCTCCAACATGTAAATGTTGTCGGGGACATTCTCTCCCCCGAGACCTCCCCAGCCCTTTGAGACCAAGGCTCGCACGCCAGCTTGTTTGACGCCCTCGAAAATCATTTCAGTGAACTTGTCGGCGTCATCCACTACAATTGAGCCAAAGCCGATGTAAATTGGGGGGTCGCCTCCGTCAAGAAACTCGACCAGGTCCTGAGGCGGCTCGAAAGTCGAAGCCAAGTCTAGAAAGACGAAGCCGGAGATATCGATCTCCTCACCCCAATCCTCGGGTTTCGGAACAATTCCCGGACTCCAGAGGTAAGTGAAAGGTACGTGAAGCCGGTAGGTCGAGCCGGGAGCCCATAATGTAGAGACGGGGTCTAAGCCCAACGTCTTAATCCGGAAATCATTAACGAGGTCGCCCAGTCCTTGCCACACCATCATCTCCACCAGAGGATAAGACATGAAGTTCGTGTAGCCCGGATCCACGTTTGATTTCTTGATACTGGCTAGTGGGTGAGGGAAGGCCTGGGTCGGGGTGTAAGGGAAGGTGAACATAAGGTGTAGGGGAATGCCAAGTGCCTCAGCACAGTGCATGTGGGCGAAACTGGGCGGGTTGGCAATGATGGCATCTGCCACAAAAGGGGCCTTGTCACCCATCATTTTGACGTTCTGGACATCTTTTTCGTTATCAGTGGCATTGATGCAAGCGCGCCAAAACCCGTCGAACATCTCGGCCATGGCGGCTCGCCGGCGACCAATATCGCCCGCTTTGACCGTCTCTAGTTTGGGTATCATTCCAGGATTCTTGACCATGAAGGCCATCAACTCGGAGGGATCGCCACCGACTGAGAAGAATTCAAGACCAGAATCCTTTTCAACAAACTCCCGAAAGGCAGGATGGGTGGCAATTCGCACGCGATGGCCATAGTCTTCCTTCAGGACCTTGCCGATTTTGAGGAAAGGTTGCGCGTCCCCTCGTGAACCAATGACCATAATCACGATGTTCAGCCTTGGGCGTCTCGCCTTCTCCGACGTAGCAGTAGTAGCCGAAGAGAGCCGCGAGGGCGTAGGCCGCTGGGTTCCCACTCCATCTTGGGCCTTTTCGGCCGTCGTAGGCACGACCTTCTTGACAGCCGAGCCCAAGGCCTTGGCCAGATACCCGGTGTTGCTCGTGTCGTTGACAGTGATATTAAGTCGTCCGTCTCTCTTGGACACCTTGCCTCTGGTACTGTACTTGTCATTGGCCACACTGAAGCGCCCATACTGATCAGCACTGTCGGCGCGCTTGGGTCGCGTCCCACTGGCCCCCGAGGCCACTCGTTCTGCCGTTTCATCCTCAGCTTCGTCTTCCGATTCCGAAGTGGACAAGTCGTCGTGATCCTGCTCGGCCTGCTTCCATATTGACCGGTTCAACTCGGATACATTCGTACCGGCGCGCTTCACGAGAGGAAACGTGGATGTGCCGCGGGCGACCCGGCGCGGGGCCTCGGAGACGAACTTCCTTGTCCCTTCGACGGAGGGGCGGTCCGTCTGGGATTCTCGCCGGCCCGCGACGGCCTCGAGCGGTTCCGAGCGTGTCTTGGTCGGACCTTGGGTTGGATCTGGTGTCTTTGTGGCATGATCGGCCTCACTAGCCGACCTGGGGACCCTCGGCGATGTGGGCGAGGTAGGCGAGTCGATACCCGGGGGCACCAGGCCGGGATAAGCTACACGCCCGTGGGCATCGCGCAACAGAGCGGCCTTGCGGGCATCTGACTCGGTCTCATGCAGCTGAAGTTCTTCGTCGGACGGGTCGGCGTCAATGGGCGCCGTAGATGGCTTATCGAGCTCAACGGGGAGAGGCATTGGAGCGAATGCTCCCTCGGCGCTGAGGAAAACGTCTGGTGGGTTTGTGCCACGGTTATAGTCGCAGTCGACGGCTTCGTGTGTAGGTATTATAGGCTGGTACGTTCCCTGCAAAGCGACAAGGAAGGACCTGGCGTTGTTGGAGGTTTGGGTTCGGGAGAGAACGAGTCATTCCAGGCACAGCACGAGGTAGCAAGAATACAAGAATACTATGTAGGTGTGTTGCAGAGTAGGGGCTTCTCCACGCTTCAAAGTTCGGGGGAACAGAGGATCACTGATGGGTGTGCTGTAGCAAACTAGAAGGCGGCGCTCTCGTTTGACAATGGCTACTGCGAGTCACGGCAGCCCGATTTGGGCGCGCTTGTGGTTGTAGCTAGCGGTGATAATAGCAGCACAAAGAGTGGTGAGGTCGAGATCTAACTAGAGAAGAGAGAGGCGGACGGTAACTAGCTGCATGCAACGCTCTAGCGGCGGGCGCCATCGAAAAAGTTGTTGCTGATTGCATGACATCACCGTCCGGGCCAGTTCTTGGTACCTACCTAGGTACTTGACTTACCTAGGAGGTGTAGGTAGGGGCTAAGGGGCTAATCGCTAGCAGCCCACTGCAGCCCCGGGAGCCCCCCGGGAGCTCTGCAAGCCATCCATTGGACTCGGGTCCCCAGGCTCAGCGGCCGCCTGGGGCTGCCATGCAGGTGGGCTCCAGGTTCATCGGGCAACTCATTGTGGTAGGGGGATTTGCCATGCCAGTCGTGGCCCCGGCCACAGCACCTCCTCGGCTTATTTGAGCCGGAGGTCCACCACCGTTGTCCACCACCGTTGTCCACCGCTGGGCGGACCATAACGCCCGGAGAGGACACCTGCGCCTGTCTCCCGTCGACAGACAAGCTGCCCATTGGCGGACTGGCTCGAGCCTTGGCTGGTGCTGGCTGGTTGGCAATTGCTGGGCGCGCGTCCGCCTGTGACTATTTGCGACACCCTTCTTTTCTTGCACGCGCATCGAGATTGGTTGTGTACCTGGCCAGTCTGTGTCGTGTCTCTGCAGAAAACCTGGAAGTCTGCTTAACGAGAGTTTCACCACGGGGGTGCTGAGCCACCAGCGAACCAAGTTTTCGAGATGCCTTGTCACCCTCTGCTTCACCTTAATTGCTCGAGTTAAGGTTGATCGATTTACACACATGCCGGCAGTCCGCACGCGCGTGTGCGCGTTGACGTCGGGGCCAAGAAGCGGACTGAAACGCTATCGCAGATTGGATGCCTTTGGCCCAGGAACCACAATGAACAATACTCGAAAGCTTGCGAAGGTACTGTACCAAGTCCTCGCCCCTCAGGCGGATCGTTTCCCAGTGGCTGTGCATCATGACGAGGATACCTGTGATTCATTCGCAAGCACGGGAACAGTCGTCGGTGTACTTTCAGCTAGGTCATCCAAAGATGACGGACGGTTGTCAGGCTTGCTAGCAGGTTGATTTAGCCTGCTGTACTCCGTAGATGCGCTGTACTTTCTGTACCCCACGTTTTGTTCAAAGGCTTGCGCGTATCCGCCCTGACTGGCGGCGACAATTGCCACCTCGGTACGAGTTAACTTGGGGCGACCCGTGAATCTGGGAAAAAGCCATAGCACCGTTTCCCCCGTTTATGTGATTGTTTTCAGGACCATCGTGCTGCTTGCCCGATAAATCATGACCCGACTCGGACAGCACCGACTTGCTTATAGTTAGACTACCTAGTGAGGCAGGACCTGTTTATCAGCACTTGGGTTCGATGCATGGTCTATATCCCCTGCCACATCTACACATTGGTGGACCACAGCGCTAGGGTTTCCATGGCCATGTCATATCAGTCCAGAACGAGTACCCAGGCCCGATCAGAATCACGACGGCAATGGGTGGTGTTTTTGAAGATGGCTCGTTGGCTACTGTCTTCGGCCGATACGATGCGTTTTCAAACCTGTATACTGTCAAGACGCTTAACAACATCCTCATAAAAGGCCATCGAGAGCCTCGCCGCAACATCGTCGTTGGTCTCCTCCTCGGTCTCCAAAAGGTTGAGCCACTTGCCGCCCGCGATGCACCGCCGCGCCGCCTTCTCGTAGATCTCGCCCATGTGCCCTCCCAACTCGGCAAGCATGTCCTGCGCCAGCAGTCTGTCCCGGACTCTGGAGATCATGGACGGCTGGCCCCGTGCCTTTCTAAGGTCTATACCGAGCACCTTCTCCACCGGTGCCCAGTGCGCTATCTCGACGAGGACCACCCCTAGGGAGTAGATGTCGAAACTCTTCTTGAACCTAGCCCGCTCGCCTGAGCCTGCTGTCTGGGCCGAAGGGTGGCGGTATAGGTTGTGTTCGACATCATCGCCAGCAATTTCCGTCATCTCATCCTTCCGGGCCGGTCTAGAGAAGTCGAACCCTGAGATGTACGGGTTGTGGTAGTTGATGTGCCCTTGCGAGGTCCGGAAGAAGATGATGTTATCAGACCGAAGTGACTTGTGAAGCCAATTCGCCAGGTGAAGACTCTGCATCGTGTAAGTAGCTGCTCGGGAGATCCGACGATAGACTTACCAAAAGACAGTTGCTGACCGCGCGGGCGAGCTGAACTCTTTCCGTAACCCTGGGCCTGCGGTATGTTTTGGGGTCTCGCTCCAGCAATTCCCTTAAACTAACAGGAGGCATCTCGGCATGTAACCCATCCTCCTCAGGCCGTTCAAACACGAGACCTATTCTTAGATTTGCAATGTCGTCGTCGTCACTGTCATCATCGTTGTGGTCTGCTTGATCAAAGTACCCGAGGCAGTGCGGCGTCCTGAACGCCTCTGGTTTGGGACTGTGATTCAACAGTGCTGCCAGATTTTCCACTCTGTCGAGGATGACCTGTTTCGGTGGTAGAGTGTCGGTCGATGCCTGCTTATCGTACTCCTTCCATTCGACCCACACTCGCCTGTGTTGTCCATTGCCGTGGGTGAGGACTGCTTCACAACGTTGCGACCCATATGCCTCTGAATGCAATTGGATGGAGGCGGCGTCCAGCTTGAGCTCCTTCCGCTCACCTGGCTTGTCGAGTTCCAGACGCAATGCAGTAGCCTCGTCGGGTGGGTTCTGCTTCTCCGACTCGATGGCATTGTAGGCCTTGAATTTAGCTAGTTGCGACAGAAGGGTAAGCCCCTTGGCGTCTTTAGTCCTGGCGTCGCGCTGGGACTTGGACATGGAGACTTCAACTTGTGGTGCATTTGACTCCAATTTGATGTTCAAAGCCATTACCAGGCGGGAGAGGTCGGCGATCTTGCTGTGAAGTTGCAGCATGCCCCGGTTGGTGTCTTGGACTGTATGGTGAATCTCGACTTGGAGCCGCGCGTCGAGGATGTCTGTCATGTTGTCATTCAGAGTGGAAAACTTGGATATCAGTCTCTCGAACGCTTCCTTGTCAAACGTGGCCCACTTCAACCGAAGGGCCCCTTCTGTAGACTTCTTCTTGAGCGCCTGCATTGCCTTCTTGATGAAATCGCGTCGCCTTTCGGGCAACGGGAAGTTGGCGTCCGATGCATCCTTCTCCGGCTTTTCCAGGGCATCATCGGCTTCCCTGACGGCCTCGAGTCTTTTATACTCCTTCTGTTGTTCTTGGAACTCCTTGAACAAGCATTGAACTTGGACTAGCAGGTCTAGGACAATCGTCCGATGGAGTATGAAAGTGTTAGTCTCCAGTATCTTTCGTTTATCCTCCTTATCGAGGTCGGCCAAGCCAGACGTCTCACTCCAGGCGAAGAGCCGCTGTTGCTCCATCCGGAGCCGGAGGTTCAGGTACTTGAATTCATCCGGGAAGTTCTTGGCTGTGATCAACAGCTGGATGCCTGCATGGATGTTGACTTCATGGAATCCAAAGGAACTCTGGGAAGACACGAGCCTAGCTTACCTTGTACGCAGCCTGTATAGACCTGAAAGCCGATGCTTGCAACCCCTACAGCCAACCCTGCGGCACTGACAGGATCCATGTCCTCGTGTTAAGACTGGCCCCCTTTTACCTCCTAGTATCAATTCAGCTCTCATGGGTGTAATTGGGGTTACAGCTGAGTGGCGTCTATGGCATGCAAATTGTCGGTTGGTTGAAATCCTCGGAAAAGACCTGCACAGTAGTGTTACATGGATTCACAGCATTATTGGGAACCGTGCAACCCGTGGCGTCTCAACTGTGAACAAATGACGAAATCGGAGATGAGCCCGCGTGAGCTGTCAACTGCCGTTTCGTTTCGCCAGCTGGCCGTCGCCCGCACCTCTGCGTAAAAATCCATCGGTATTTGATTCTGCAGAGTCGATTATACTGGGTTTGTCTCTGCAATCCCCCAACTTTACAATGGCATACGCAATTTCAAGGGCCATCGATGGACTCACGCTGATAGTCAGTCTGCGTTGCGCCGCACAGACTACCACTGTACGTAGTATGCCATGGCATACAAGTCGTGCATCTGAACCCCTACGCTAGAATAAGCTAGGTACGAGATACAATCGAGACACATCAATCAGTCCGGTGCATCGCATCATTTCAAGGGACCGCAAGCTGAATGTGGCTAAAGATAGATATTGATATGGTACGAGTCAGGGACTCTTCAAAAGTACGACGCTGTGAGGTCGAGACACCCTGGAGCAATAGTTGCCAATTCGCAAGAACTAGTATGAGGATGCACCCCCATGTAGGATCTGCACTCGACTATCTCAGGACGTCCAGCCCCCAACTGAGGGAGGGATTGGATGCTTGGTGAGGATTAATTCCCACATGGCACTGGTCCCACCCCATCTACTTTGATGGCGGCTTACGCAGCACGCTTTTCCTAGCCCGAGGCTCGCTCGTTCCGCCAGGCAGGCCGCTCCAGTTGAGACAGAAACCGCGGGCTAAACATTCGACACTCTGACTTTGCCCCTGCATGTGGTGCGCGCACATGGCCAACGTGGACCAAACTTTCCGGTAGCAGCCGTTGTACCGGGGAGGGAGCTCGCACTGGCGCGCCCCATCCCATCAGATCTCGGGAGCGATTCATCAAAAGGTTAGCCGCTTGATCCCTGTCCCGGCCTGCTAAGTGGCTACCCGCACCATGTCCCTAGGCAGCTTGCAGCACAGAGCCAGCTGAGGTTGAAAGGTTCTCAGTCCCTGGGTGGTATCGAGCAAGTCATCAAATCTCGCAGAACTGCCGATCAGTCTCTCCCAGGCCGAGGCCTACCAGCCTGTGCATGGGGAACAGCTCTGATGGCTGGCAAGTCACCAAGCGCTTGCTTGAAGTTCGCGCCTCGACTGTGCTCGCTTGCTTATAACCGACATGTGGAGTGGGCGGCCTTCCTTTTCAGAAATTAGTATCCGACGTGAATGGCGAGCACGGCAGCCCCCGTGCGGGTGCCAATGCTCCACGTTGACTGTCTCGACTTGCTTTAGCAACGCCACACGCGTGGGCATACTGTATCTCTGTGCGTGCGCAATGCATGTGAGAGCTGGGATGGCTTGTCTTTGATCTACGGCAGCGTGTGCGGTTTCTATCATGTAGGGCTTTGCAGGGTCACCTTGCACGCACCAATACATCAAGCAGGGGGCTGAAAGAAGGTTTGTTCTAAGAAGACCCCGCCGACCTGCAGCCTCTCGGTTCGGGTTCTTCGTACTGAGAAACATCACATCACACACAGTCTAACCCATGTGCCGCGATTTTTCCTCACTCAGACCGTAGTGTAATAGACCCGGAGATACGATCGACTATAACGACGACAACAGCGACTACTCCTTCCCTGTGTTTTACTGATACCACATTCCGCTGTCGACACCCGTCTCTAATGGACCCGTCACTACCAGAGCTGGCGCTTGCGCCGCTGCCGAATGCCCCCCCAATTGGCTCTGTGCCGCCGTATAGCACCAGCGTTAGTGGAGAGAGCCCAACTGAACGATCTCGCGGCCCGCCTGCGGTCAGCTCATCGGCCGTGTCAAATAGCAGCGCTGACTCAAAAGCCGCTGGACCTACTACTCCAGCCGCTTGCTTGGCCTGTGTAAGTCAAATCGTCTTCCCTCGCAGAGGCTGTGTCTTCGGACCCCACGGACTAACGGGTCATGACAAAAGCGATCCAAGCATCTGAAGTGTGACGGCGCAAATCCATGTTCGCGGTGCCAGGCCAGCGATTCCCTATGTCAATACGTAGCGTCGCGACGTGGATATAAAGGTCCTCGAAGGAACCCGGCCCAGAATCCCAATAAGCGGCATGCTTCTGATTCACCAAACTCCAATGGCAGTGATAGCTGCCCGATGCTACTCGGCGCCAGCGTATCGACGCCGGCGGCGCCCAGCCTCGCCATGTTCAACCCGGCTATGGGCATGCCGGACATCACAGGCTCACCGTTTGGTGCCACGCCGACCGTGTCTGGCCTTCAACTTTATAGACAGCCATACCTCGGCGGTGCGAACGACGCGGTGGTGGAACTGAACCACCACAAGCCGCCGCAGTCGATACCCGAAAGGTGCATCGATTCATTCTATTACCATTTCTATCCTGGCCATCCTACTGTTCTGCCCAAAGAACGCCTGCTACGCATGGCCAAGGACAGGGACTTAGAACACCTCTTGGCGGCAATGAGATGGGCCGGGTCCCTGTATTTCGAAGTTGGGCCTCAGCGTGCGACTTTCTTCGAGGCAGCCATGCGGCTCATCTATGCTGAGGACGTTGCAAGAGACGGGTTCCTCGTCCAAGCCATGCTCATTCTACTCATAGGATTGGATGGCAGTTGCCAGCAGGAAAAGGCGCGAGACATTCTATCTGATGCCGAGAGAATCGCCATTGAGATCGGACTGTATCAGAGGTCTTACGCAATCAATAATGGGCAGGGCAATCCGATGCTCGAGGAAAGCCTGCGGCGGACTTGGTGGGACCTATTCGTGGTAGATGGCATGGTCGCAGGAGTTCATCGAGCAACCAATTTCCTCCTATTCGATATCGTGTCGGACGCTGGCCTCCCCTGTGAAGAACATCAGTACATCTCCGGGGTAAGCTCAACTATAAGTCTCTTGCAGCGCTGGCCGTCTAACAAATCTGCAGACCATTCCTCGGCCACTCTTCCTCCAAGATTTTGACGATCAAATCTTCAGTGGGGAAGAATTGGAATTCTCCTCCTTTGCGTACAGAGTTGCATCGATCCGCAACCTAGGACGAATGATGCGGCTGCCGGATAGCGTCTTTCCCGGCGACGACAATGTTGACAGGATGGAGTCGCACTTGTCAAACTGGCGTATGCATCTCCCCGAGTCGAAGCGCGACAGTCTGAACAAAGACTGCCAACACGACGAGATGATGTTCCAGGCCCACATGATCAACCACGCCTGTTCTATCATGTTGCATCAACCCCATTCGCAACTCGACTCCTCGCCTGCCCGGGACGTGAATGCCTGTGCGCCACACCAGATTGTGCGAAGCGGCGAAAGCTTCAATACTCATACTCGACATATCGTAACCGCTGCGTCTGCGATTAGCAAGATGGTCACGTATGCTGTGCCCATAACATGCCACACCCATTTCTTCACCTGTGTCTTGACCATGTCGTCAATCGTACACCTGAGCAAGTGGGCCTTGTGGTTTGTCCAGAACGACGACGATCTGCGACAGCTCATCCGGCTCAACATTGGCGCGCTCAACAAGCTCAGTTCGGTATGGTCGGCAGCGGGAAGGGCCTCGGGCCAAGTCAAGGGGGTTGCCCAAGAGATCTACCGTACCAAGAAGGCTGCCCAGCAGAACAATGCCTCGTTCTGGGTCGGATATACTCAGGAGGAGATCATCAGCAGCATGTCTGCTGATGAGTCCATCATGAGCGAGATCAACACCATGCTGCAGCCGGGCACGACTATGGCGTGAAATTTGACCGCGAGATAATGAGTGCTCCTAGAACGATATAGTTCCCGATGTGAATGGCCGGGAAAATGAGTGCTGGGTTTAATGGGCTTTCTGTGCCATGGTGACATGTCTCCTGAGTTTCTGCGACTTCACTGACTTATTGGCCCAATATATAGCGAACGCGGACGGAGTCAAAGCTTGCTTCATGGGGCGTCAGGACATACTCGCGGAAAATTGTAATTTGGGCCAGTTCAGATTCTTGGGGTCTTAGGAAGTGTGCAGGTGTACTTGGATATTGGAAAAGGTCTGTAATTGAAGGGGCGCCATGCTATGATGTACGCATCAAACAGTCAGACACGAACTGACATGTCATTCACTTCGTCCGTGCTCACTGGGGTAATCATTATTATATATGATACTGCCAACTTAATAAATAACGGTTCAAGACATGTGCGTCGCTAGACTACTGGCTCCCTTGACCTTAGTGAAACCCTATTTGTCAATCGGCGCTGCTATTGCAAGGGATTAATCATCGACTCCAGTCCGGGGGTCACCTTTAGACGCCCCTAGAGTTTGGTCGCCGACCTGAGCTTCTTCGGTGCCGACAGACTGGGGGCGCCTCAGCACCGCCGTACGAATTGCTATAATTACGGGTAGCCCGCAGCATCAGAACTCTATTCGCGCACCCATGCTCTAAATCCTTCGACCTTGGAACAGTCTGCCGCCAAGCCCCAACTGTCGTTCCGGGGATCTGGGTTCTCAGGTCCCCGCGTTCTGGCCATGGAGTTGGACGGTGGCGCTAGCTCAAGCATGCCTGTGGCTCACCTTACTTGGGCCGTCATGGAAGAGATCGCCGTCCTAGCTGGCTGGATAGCGTCAGCAATCGATTGAAACGAACTGCTGACTTCTAATTCCAAAAGCTGGCTTCAACAAAATGGCTCCGAGCTCGCAGCACACTCCATCCGCCGGCAAGGTCAGCCTTACAGGGCGACCCCCGGGCTCCACTCAATCGGCGAGCACAAGGGGTACAGTAGTTGGCGAGCACGCCGATGCACCATCGTTGTTGACCCTTGCTTCACTCAGGTGGTCCCTGGTCGAGTGGATTGCAAAGAACGGGTCTTTTCTTAGAAATGGAGCTCTTATGCAAGTCATCGCCCCGGGCTAACAGTTTTGTTTACCAGATTTTTGGGGATGTCGGTGGTACCATCCCATGACTATGGCAGGTCCTCCAAAGCCCCCAGGCATCGGTGACTTCTATACCAGTCGGGAAATACTTTAGAATCAACTTGGGTCTCCCTGCACTATGAGTCTTGAGTATTCAAATGTAGGATAGCAGTGTCAGATTACTGCGCCCCGTAACCTTGCCCAATGAGTTGGTGTTCTTACTTGATCCACTCAACATTCCTGCGCGTAATCGCCGTTCTCAGCCTCTGACATGCGGGCTCCCCGGGCACCAAGCTCATAGAATTCACATACTATCTTGATAGTACATAAACAACAGCGAATCCTATGCTATAATGGAAGCCTCCTGTTTGATTTTGTCCAGTATACTACCTTGTGTTCTGGCTGTGAAAAACAGAAGCCTGTTCTTTCTGTTACACTGATCCAAACTGCGCCATGGCATCGTATACAGTAGCAGATCAAACCACAGCGTTTCAGGGTTTCGCTCGCCGCGCTTTCACTCAAGAGAAGCGATACCCGGTTGCCAGTTCCCCGTCCAGTCGCGACATGGAGCAAGGCTCAGTGACCGAAGCTCATCTCCTAAATACTACAGTCGAGAGCATATCATGGTACGGGGTCACGGTCGCGGTCAAGGACAGACAATCCAAGTCTCCTAGAAGTCTGGTCGAGAATGTCGAAGGCATCGTCAGAGCTGGTATGTTCGGATAAATGCTCTCTACTGTGGAAGTTTTTCTGATCTTGTTCTAGGAGAGCTATGCGCTTTGATGGGCCCATCGGGCAGCGGAAAGACGACACTTCTCAACGTCCTGGCTCACCGAGAAACAAATGCAAAGACTGTCGACAGCACAGTCTTGGTCAACGATTTGAAGATGCCCCTTTCAACATTTAGAAAGATATCTTGCTTCGTCGAGCAAGAAGATGCGCTCATCGGATCACTTACCGTGCGAGAGACATTGAGCTTTGCCTCACGGCTATCGACGGACACTAAGTACATGACGCATCAATCAACGTCGAGAGTTAGGCGACTAACAATGAAGTAGATCTCTCCCTGTGAAGGATCGTGTTGCCCGAATCGACAGCCTCCTCGAAGCCTTTGGCCTACGCGAACAGGCCGACACGCTGATCGGCACCCCGATACGAAAGGGCATCAGTGGTGGTCAAAAGCGCCGCGTTGGAGTTGCAAGTCAGCTCATCACCAGCCCAAAGATTCTCTTTCTCGACGAGCCCACCAGCGGCCTCGATTCCACCGCGAGCTACGAAGTTATAAGCTATCTGAAGTGGGTTGCGAAGCGTAACAACCTGATTGTGATAGCGAGTATCCACCAGCCTTCCACCTCCACTTTCAACTTGTTCGACAAGCTTCTGCTGCTTTCAAAGGGCAAAACTCACTATTTCGGTCCTGTGCCGCTAGTAAGGCAATACTATGCTCAGCTAGGTCAGACCATCCCATTGGAGATGAATACCGCAGAATATCTGCTCGAGCTTGTCAACACCGACTTCGCTAGCAGCCGAGGCTTTGCCCCGGAGCAAGTAGAATATCTGCAGCGAGCCTGGGAGGCGTCACCGCAATGCGCGGGGGCAAGATCTGAGATGGCAGCTGTCACCTTTGACTGTGGCAAGATAGTGCTGGACGAGGCACACCAGAAGCCCAGCGTGCCGAGTGTTATCATGACCTTGCTTCACCGGTCCTTGATTAAAAGCTATCGCGACGTTGTAGCTTACGGTATACGGATTGCAATGTATCTCGGCCTTGCTATCATGATGGGCACGGTATGGGTGCGTATGGATACCGACCAGTCGTCAATCCAGCCATTCACCAACGGTCTTGTAAGTTTTGCATCCCGATTGACTCCTCGTATCTCCATATTAACACTTTGAATCAGTTCTTTGGCTCGGCGTTCATGTCGTTTATGGCTGTTGCCTACGTGCCCGCGTTTCTGGAAGATCGTCTGCAATACGTCAAGGAGCACCATAATGGTCTATATGGGGCTACCGAGCTGATCATTTCGAATTTCCTCATCGGAATTCCGTATCTATGTAAGTCTCGTAATGACAACGGTAACCTGCCATCTGTTCGTTCTAATTCCAGGCTAATCTAGTCATCATCTCGCTACTGTTTTCTGCAATTTCGTACTGGCTCATCAACTTCCGTCCTAGTGCACCGGCCTTCTTTACATACCTGATGTGGTTGTTTTTGGATCTGCTGGCGGCTGAGTCTCTGGTCGTCTTCTTCACATCGCTGTTTCCGTCGTTCGTGATCTCGTTGGCGCTCGTCGCATTCGCCAACGGTTTATGGATGAGTGTTGGCGGCTTCCTAGTGTCACCGGATATCCTCAACGTTTTCTACAAATACGTCTTCCATTATTGGGACTACCAGAAGGTCGGTCAGATCCAAGATGCTTGTTATCGCCCAGTATCACTAACAACGTATGTTTCAGTGGGTATTCGAGGGTATGATGGTCAACGAGTTCGCCGACAGAGTGTACGACTGCGCGCAAGTTCCCGGTGGTGGATGTCATTGCATGTATTCGACAAAGCTCGAGCAACAGTGCCTCATCCAAGGACAAGGCGTCCTGGACCAGTATGGGTACCGACCCGGCCACATGGGACGGAACGTAGGCATTCTGATGGCTATTGTGGTCGGCTATCGAGTAGCAGCTTGGGTGGTATTGACCTTAAGGAGGTAGTGCAATTGAGTGGAGGGAAACGGGGCACATATTGTTCTTTGCTCGCAACCATAAACATAAAACCAAGGATCTATATAAATCGTGACCATCAACGACAAGAGTACTCTCAGACTGGGACGCAGGCGAATACGCTGTACTACTTTCACGTCTGCTAACGTTGCGGCTTCAACCTACTGGCGGCAAATATGAGAGTGTTAGTGCAAATGTTGAGCTGGCAGTATGCAAGAATTTGGCCTTTTTGAGGGACGGGACGCGAGATGTGAGACTGGAGACTCTGAAGATAAACTCATGACAGGCGAGCGGTGGCAATTATTGCACGGAATTCTCAACGAATATCGAAATACTCGAACGTTACCCCGTTGGTTGGATAGACGTCAATATCTGAAGTGTCAGTGGATCTCTGTGGTCACCAACTGAGTTAGCTGGGTCGGTTGTTCGGGGTAAGTACAAGCAAGGCCTAGTCACAACCCTGGTTTGCCCGGGACAAGGGATCTTACACCGCACGCGGGGAAGCTGGGGCCGACGCCTGCCCCGGATTTTGGTTTGGTTGCTGGCCAGTGTATGCTTCAACATCAATCACAACTATGATTCGTCAGAGGTCTGTATACACAGCTCGTATTTCTATTATCTTTTTCTTTCAAGTACATATCAATGACATACTTCATCAACATGGTGAAGGAGTATGGACAGTTTTATGTCATGCCCTTGTCTTCCATCGCCTTGCACTCACCAACAATGCGGGGTATCTCCGCAATTCCAAGCTTCCAAGGCCCTTGTGGGGAGTTGAGCAAGACTATTCCAGGGTCAAGGAGGTTGGAGTTGATGGAGATCGGCAATAATGCCGACGATGGGAACTTTTGTGGGAATTTCCGGGGAACTTTCACCGGCCTCACCGATCATAAATAGACGCTATGATACGGCGTGAGTGCAACTTTCCTCTAGACTCAGGAGACTTTGAGTCCACGAGAGTCTGCTTTACTCCGTGCCTCCAGCATGCTTGTACCGCTAACCTTGGCGGTTGGCCTGCTTGCCACACGAGTAAAAGCCAACGAGCCAACTCCAGACTATACCAAGCACGTCAATCTATTCATTGGAACGGAAGGGCCAGTGCCGGGGACAGCTTTCAGCGCTGGCAATGTCTTTCCAGGAGCTTCACTACCCTTCGGCGCCGTGAAGGTTGGCATCGACACCACAAGGTGAGCCAAACAGATTTAACCGCTCCTTGTGATTGTAAACAATGTCTAATATGGATAGATGGAATGTGTCATTCTCAGCTAATGCGGGCTATACCCCAGACGGTAACGTCACAGCCATCACGATGCTTCACGAAAGTGGCACTGGCGGTGCGCCTACATATGGTCTTATCCCGCAGATGCCTCTCACAACATTGGAGGGCGTCAATCTCCTGGATAACCTCACGTATATGCAGCCACGTGTCGTTGAGGACATTGCCACGGTAGGATACTACAAGACGCAACTGGGCAATGGTGTCACTGCCGAGATGAGTGCTTCTCACCACGCCGGTATTATGAGATACCATTATCCAAATGACAGTCAGCGCTTTGTCTTGGTAGACCTTAGTCACTTCATTCCTAGCACGGGGAAGAAGGAGCAATGGTACAGCAATGGCCTGATCGAGAGGAGCGAAGATGGGGACTGGTACTCGGGTTACGGGGTTTACCGTGAAGGATGGGCGTGGGGTAAATTTTCCTGTTCACGTGTGTGAAAGAGGTTTGGACTGACTTGATTGCAGGTGGGGAGTACAGGGTATACTTCTGTGGCCACTTTGACACTAAGCCACTAAAGACTCAGTTCTTCTCGGGCAAGGCAACGGATCCCTACTGGCCGAATACGACAGATGTAAGACACAGTTTTACCGATGCCACAACGCTTCAAGGTGGTACGGTAGGCTATCAGTACGCCGATCGCATCGGCTCTCTTTTTGAGTTCCCGCCCAATACCACGATGGTTACATCCAAGGTCGGCATTTCGTGGGTATCCGCAGATAAAGCCTGCCAATTCATCGAAGAGATTCCCGCCTGGGATCTTGAAGCAACTATCCAAGCAGCCAGGGACCAATGGAACACTGAGGTGCTATCCAAGATCGATATTAAGACTGAGAATCAGACACAGCTGGAGATGTTCTATACGGGACTCTACCATTCGCATTTGTTGCCCTCGGACCGCACGGGCGAGAACCCGAACTGGATATCTGATGAGCCATATTATGACGACTTCTACACCATCTGGGACACCTTCAGATGTCTACACGCGCTTACAACTTTGATCTTGCCAAATAGAGTCATAGGAATCGTACGCGCACTCATTGACATCTGGAGGTTCGAGCGATTCATGCCTGACGGACGAAGTCACAACACCAATGGCCGAGTACAGGGAGGTTCAAATGCCGACAATGTGTTGGCCGATGCGTATGTTAAGGGGCTACAAGGAGGCATCAACTGGACCGATGCGTATCGTGCCATGAAAACGAACGCGGAGTTACAACCGTACAACAATTTTGACTTTGAGGATCCGACTGGGAGCACCAAAGAAGGACGCGGCGGGCTACAAGATTGGAAACAGTACGGCTATGTTACCCCAAACCGTGGCCGGTCACTTAGCAAAACTACGGAGTACTCTCACAACGACTTCAGCCTTGCCCAGGTTGCAAAAGGAGAGGCCCCGAATGATGTTGGTCTATACCTCAACAGGTCTAGGTGAGAGTGCCGTTTTGACTGAAAAAGGGCTGCCAGTTACTGATGGTCTTGCTAGGGGGTGGCAGAAAACCTGGAACAACAATGTGACATCTCTCAACTTCACTGGGTTCTTGGCCCCGACCTACGCCAATGGCAGCATTCTCAGTTACGATCCGTTGAGCTGCGGTGCTTGCGACTGGACCTCTTACTCTTACGAGGGTGTACCGTGGGAGTACAGCTTCAGCTTCCCCTTCGATATGAAAACACTCATCTCCCTAATGGGCGGGCAAGAGACCTTTGAATCACGCCTTGACACGATGTTCATTCCCGGCCTGACACGTTCTAACCAGGGAGGTAACAGCGCCGGTACCACAATTTTCAATCCTGGAAACGAGCCAAGCTTCATGACTCCTTTCCTCTATAACTATCTTCCACAAAAACAGTACAAATCTGTGCAGCGGTCACGGGAGGTCGTCAACCAGTACTACAACAACGGACGCTCGGGTATTCCAGGCAATGATGATGCGGGGGCCATGTCGAGTTGGCTGGTATGGAATATGATCGGTTTATATCCTGTCGTTACGCAACCTGTTTACCTGATCCTCTCCCCATGGTTTGAAGAGGTAAAGTTGAAGCTTGGAGACGAAGGCAGCATCTTGAGAATCACCGCATCTGGTTTGGACAAGGGTCCTTACATTCAAAGTTTGAAGGTCAATGGCAGAGAATGGACTCAAAGCTGGTCGAGTCACAATGACCTAGTTGGAGTTGGCGGTGAAGGCGCTTTGTTGGAGTTTGAAATGGGTGCCGACGCCACACTGTGGGATACTGGAGATATCCCACCGAGTCCAGGTGCACTCAATAAGTGATACATAGAGATGGTAAATGCTTAGGTCCTCAAAATTAGTAAAAAGAAGACCAGAAGAATGTCCCTTTCAAGGTGCTGCCCGTAAAGTCAAGCCGTTTACTACTGGCACTATTTATGTTGGCTTATACACTTTCTGGTTCGCCATGGTCTAGATCTAGTAAACAAAACGAAGTAGCCACGCAGTTCAATAAAAATCTTAGCATGATATGCATATTGTATGAATGGTCTATTTTCCGGTAGCCCCAACGACTGACAGTACATATCAAGTTGCGCCTGTGTTCGCGCATGTTACGCATGGCTCATGCAACCTGACCTGCGTATTTGTCTAGAAATGCATTGTATCGCTTGTAGAACTCAGGAGTTTCCGGTAGGGTAGCAAGAACGGCTGGAAAGCAGTGTGGAACGCCTTGGTACCCGTGTATTTCCACCTCGACGTTTGCCGCTCGCAGAGCTTCGGCGTAGGCGAAAGCGTCATCGCGCAATACGTCACACCCTCCGCATTGTATCACTAAATGTGCGGAACAGAGAGGCAAATGGTCAGCCGCACGAACCAAGAGCAAGAATGGATAGACTATGGTATGACATCAGTGGAATGGACACTTACAAGCTGGAGGTAGGCCGGCTAACGAGTTAGCAAGGAGTGGTGAATGACGGTAATCGGGTGTGGCATTAGGTGCGTATGCATCGAAGACAGTCTCCATCTCCTTGATGCCGATAACAGCGTTGTCGCGATTCTGGACGTAGCTGCCAAACTCGTATTTGTCCTTTGGGGAAAACTTTGGGTGGCAGGTTATAGGGAAGTGTAGAACTTGAGCCACAATCCCCGTAACTCTGTTTTCCCAAGCCTCGAGGACTAGTGCCGCTGCCTGGTCAATGATATAAAGTATTAGACTTCATAACTGGTATCAATAGGAACAGGCAGGGACTTACAAGGTTCCCGCCCGCACTGCTACCAGTGATGATGATTTTCTCTGGGTTGAACCCAAGAGTATTCGCATTCTTCTTACACTGAGACTGAAAGTCAACATCTGTATTTTCTTCCGGTAACTGAGTTAACCGAGACTTACCCATAGGAGCCCGTCATAGCTATCGTTTATTGCGTATGGGAACGGATATTCTGGTGCCCTGCATAAATGTTAGTGGCTTGCATCTCAAAAGTTAGATGACGTGACCGACGAACAGTCGGTAATCTACGCTGACAACCACGATATTCTTGTGAGTAGCGGCATAGACGTTCTCGGCACCATCTACTTCGTGGCGTCCAACTACCCATCCTGACGTCAAGAAAGTAGAAGAGTCAGCAGACGATACTCAGCCAATGCCCGGAGTGTTTTCACAACTACTTACCGCCGCCGTGCATGCGGTACACCAGAGTCGCGTCTTGTTTGACATTCAGAGACTTATAGACCTTAAGTTCGATCATATGGCCGTCGCGCGCAGCAAATTGCAGTAACTCGGTCGCTACGTCGCGGTATGGGTCTGGTCCACCTGGGGGCATTGGGGCATCAGGGTCGCCAGCGCCTGCGCGAATGGTGGGCCAATCGGGCATTAGATCCGAGAAAGGGGCGTAGGCGGCCTTAATGGCGGGCTCAGCTTCAGCAAACTGTGGTGTTTTCTGGGAGAGGTGGCCATATTTGGGGAGTGGCTTGAAGTCGGCGTCGACTTCGACATACTTAGGCTTGTATTCGGAAGGCATGGTTTCTGGCTGATTGATGTCAATTCCGAAGCACTAGAATAGCTCGTACAATGCTGACCATAGCTTCTTATATATCGCTCGGCTACATTAATGATCTGGCGCCCAGCCTGCATCATGATGAGCCACTTCGATAGAACGGGGCTGAATAGATCAATTGCGGACTCGAGGCTCATACGACCTGCGGGACAGGCGGTCGCCGTTATGACTACACAGTCAACATGGCATACTTTTCATTGCCCGCATCCATTATTCGAAATTGCGATTGGCTTCTTCTGTTCCTGTAAGCCTGCTACACTGGGATTTGGGCAGACGGCTTGCTTACCGGTGTGGGGCTGGGAAGCACTTGTGCGCCCCGTCATTATGATTCACAGGCGACTATGCCATCTTCAGGTACGGCGTGTCTTCAATGTCGTGCTGCACGTAGAGTCCATTTCTGCGCTAGGTATCACCAAGTTTGCAAGCTTGGGTCAGCAGCAACCGCTGGAGGAGGCGAAAATCACAGGCTTACCACGTCTCCTAGCATTACTGTCAGAGTCACTTTTCTCAACCAATTGAGCGTCTGATTCTTTGACACTTTCTGCACGTTCGTACCTCTGCGCGTCATATCGCCATCCAGGAGAACTAGCTTGGCATTTCGTGGGTTGAATTTATACATTCTAAATATCTATCGTCTTGCTGGTTCTATCGGTGTAGCCTGAATCAAGTCCTCCTCATCTAGTTGCGGCACCAAGCGCTCCACTCCACGTGTCGACTGCCAATGCACCGTCCCGTATCTGTACATCTCACCAAAAGTTCCTGGTCTATGATCAGCATCCCGAAATCCTTCTTTTTTGACGAGATCTCCCAGTGCTGGCAGACCACCTGCCGAGTTGTGATACACCTTATACATGTGACTCTTCTCCAGCATCTCCACCACGAAGGCCTCCGCTGCCTGCCTCTTTCCAGCATCCGGATCATCTAGCCGGGTGGTCAAAAGCTGAACTTGCTTATAGCCATCGTAATCTGTCTTGATCGCACCAAGAACGCCATTGTTGATGCCTTCAACCATGAACACATTGTTCTTGAAGAATTCGCGTCCGTTCCAACCAGTGCTGACGTCAAGTAGATTCCTTGTGCGGTCCGCAATGAGCATATGGGCAACATAGTCACTCATCTCGCGGATCTTGTCAGCGAAATTCCAATCTGCCATGCCTTCAGCAAGACCGATATCTTGGACCAGAGGCAGTTTGTGGAAGCCGTCGGCGTTGGTGCGATTCTTCCATAACTCCTTATAACAGTCGTGCCAGTTCTTAATGAATGTGCAACCTTTCTTGGCAGCCAACATGTAGTTGCCAAAACTGCCCCACTGCTTCCTGATTTGGCCGGTGATGATCCATGCACCCATCTCGTAGGGCGAGTTTGGAGCCGTGAGAGGGTCCCAGAACAGATGGTCTAGATGCGTGTGCAGCATGTTTCCAACATCCATACATACGCCTCCATGCTCGTAGAGCAAAGGAAGACGCACTAGATCTGCAGCGTGTTGTGCCGCATGATTCCCATCCATGGTCCTGTGGACGAAGCAATCGGGAAACCAATCCCTAGACACAAAGTTGTATATGTTGTTTGGGGAACCCTCAGCAAGGTCCACGATGCGAACGGTCCAGGATGGGCCGAGCTTCCGTACCCAATTGAACACTGTGCACCGATAGCTCGGATACATGGCATCTAGTCCCTTATCCCAGAAGGCCCATACGTTCTTTTCAGTGGTAACAGGACGGAATGACTGGAGCTCTGCAATGATGTCTGATTCAGCACGAAGGTCGAGGTGCGAGTCAGGCACTTCGCGGAGGCCTGTTGCTGTTTTGGGGATCTTGAATCCGGCCATCCTGTTGAAGTGATCAATTGCGATACTTCCTGGACTCTCGCATATTGCTATTGCGGTTTGAGACGCAACTTATAGGGCTTGTCACGTCGTCTGGAAATTTGAAGAGATTGACTGCCACCTGAATGATTCATAATGATAGCACTATCTTTAGTGGCCTAGCGCCCGTTGCACCAGCGGATCAGGACGCCTGGTGCGCAGTCTCAGAATGGGAGTTCCGACCTCAGGTGATACTCTTTCTATATTTCATCCGACATGGACCATCATAGTCGCTTCGTAGAGATGAATTGATGGAGAAGTGACTTAACGCCGATGCGCTAATTCCAAATGATGAGGCGAGTTGACCCTGGTATGGCATGATCCGGCGTCTTACTAATTGAGGTAACTGTGAACGTCGCGATTGAGCTGGTGTCGTGGTGGGGCGGTCTGCCGGCCGACATGCGCCCTGTATCTCTCTGCATCCTCCATCGATGTCAGTATTCTTCCAAACCGCAGCCACACCATACCAGTATAATATCATCTGCCATCCGCCGCCACGCTAACGTATTGCTCTGGTATGTCTTTACAGACGGTTCTGGGCCGCTGGTGGTCTTCAGCCAACGGGACGCTGAAAGGGCACCAGCTCCTCGTAATTGCCCCCGCGCCACCGGCACCTGAGTGGGTGGAGAAGGTCAAGAAGAAGTACCCGGCCCTCGAGATTATACACTACAACAAGAACCCCTGGGAGGCAGGCCAGACAGTGCCGCGTGATATTGATTGGTCGGATGTCACGATTGTCCTGACTGGACCTCTGGTTCCTCGCCCTGAGCAGGCGCCAAAACTACAGGTTGTGCAAGTCTCGAGTGCAGGAGTGAACTACCTCCTAGACAACCCTCTCTTCAAAGATACCGATGTGAATTTCTGCACAGCAAACGGTGTGCACGGGTAAGTACCGCAGTCCTCATTCGGTTGACTCGAGCCAGGCTGTCATTGATGCTGATACATATTGCAGGCCACAGATAGCGGAATGGGTAATTACTACGTATTTGGCAAGCCAACATCACAGTAAGTTGATTCGGGACACATAATGGCGTTAGCTCACGTGGGCATAGTTCCCGACTATTTAGAGCTTCAAAATCGCGGTACCTGGAAACGACTTGATGCCAACGTTCAAGACGGCGTCGGCGCGCGAGTGTAAGCCGCACCAATCCGTGAGGCTTCTCGATACCAGACTGACCTGTGCTCTTAGGGGTATCCTTGGATACGGTAGCATTGGAAGGCAAGTTGCCAGAGTTGCCAAAGCTCTCGGCATGGATGTGATTGCTTACACTAACGGCCGCCGACCCACACCTGAGTCACGCAAAGACGAGGGATACATCGTTCCTGGAACTGGTGATCCGGACGGCATTTTCCCATCCAGATGGCTATCTGGAGCAGATGATCAGTTTGAAGAATTTCTGAGCTCTGACTTGGATTTACTGGTTGTTGCAGTGCCTTTGACACCAAGTACCACCGGTCTCATCTCTGGACCTCAGTTCAAGCTCCTCTCCAAGAAAAAGACCTTTCTCTCGAACATTGCTCGGGGCCCTATCGTCGACACCGATGCATTGATTGATGCTTTGGACAACAGGATGATCCGCGGGGCTGCGTTGGATGTGACTGACCCTGAACCCCTGCCGGACGGCCATCCCTTGTGGTCCAAGCCCAACGCAATCATCACACCTCACATCAGTGGGAACTCCAGTGCGTACATGGATCGAGTGTACGATATTCTAGAGTTGAACCTCCAGAAGCTTAGTGAGGGAAAGGGGGAGTTGGTGAATAAAGTTAACAAGAAGACTGGATATTAGATGTCTTTCATTGGGAAAGTTGGTTGCAGGCGCCAGGTTGTAGAATGCGGTGCAAAGGCTGTTTGCCCGGATCAGTGTTTCTAAGCTGTGTCTTTTTTCCTTTTTCAGATGATTAGAGTTCTAAGCATGAAATACAAGTTTAGTCATGTGTTTGTTGGCATGAGATATTGAATCGCGAGCAGACGATTTAGTGCGTAACAGGATGGCGGCCAGGAGTTCTTCTATTTCTGGCAGATATTGGTTTCATAGTGACACCCCCAACTGCCAAGAACCCTGACGTTTCTATGTAAAGCCCAACTTCTATTGCTGCAGAAGACTCCTTTCTAAATGGCTTCTCCCACAATATGCTTCAAATGTTCATCATAGCCTGATCGGACTAGCTCAGCCCCTTCCATATCTCCTCTCTGTATATAGAAATTTTCCAAGGCCGTGAATGAATGACCAATACGGATACGACCTGCTTCGCTTGTTCCAAATAGCTTTTGGGCGGTCTCAAGTGCTTTTTTGTAATGAAATTCCGAAGCCCCATAGTTGCCAGTCTCATATAGAAGTTCCGCCTTAGTTTCTAGCAGGTTAACTTTCTGAAGGGTCACCTCGCCGCGGGCATCTATCAACTCCTCAGCCTCAGCCAGAGCTGCTTCAGCTCGACCATACTCCTGGGTGTCGAGACATGTGAGCGTTGTGAATATGAGAGTCGGGATTAGTCGCGCTTCGGCCATTTTGGCATTAAGGCCCGATCTTATTTGGTGGCGGAGCGATTCGATCGTGCTATCGTATCTCGAAAGTGCCGCCTCGTTGGATATGACATTAAGATCTCCGAGGAGCTTGGTCACGTCAATGCTATATAAAGGTAGGAACGTGTTCCCCTCTGGCATCTCGCGAAGGAAAAGCTCAAATTGGGCGTCCATTAAAGGAATCGCTAGTTGCCGAAGTTCATTCGGATCCAACCGCAGTAAGTTGGCCCAGAGTAAAGTCAAAGGGTGGGAGCGCCCGAAGTAAATTGAACATAACCCCATGGCTAGCCTTAGGAAAGACATCGCTAACTCATTGCCGGCTCTCAAAAGCTGCAGGACGGCGGTATACGTCGCATATATCAAGTGAGGCTCTTGTTTCCGTACGACATCTTTGTATTCATCGCAAGCTTTGTTCAAAACTTGGAAGTTCGAGGCCACTTCTTGCCGCTTGTAGATCCTATAGGCTGCGAGATACGTCTTGCTTGCCCAATTGGCCGTATCGGTTCTCTTGTCATCGTGCAATGTCAAGCCCCAGAGCTTCAGCTGTTCCTTTGATAGAGCTATGACGGCACGCAGGGAGTTGTCTGCGAGGCGAAACACGTCTGGAGGGTCGATTTTCATGGGAAGTTGGGTGTTGTTTCCCTTGCTCTCTGTCGCCATTACACGTGACGACTGCCTGTGCAATCTCGTACGCCGTGCTTTCAGCCGTTTAGACCCGAGCTCGCGCCCATGGACAACTGGGAGATCAGCGTCTTTGCGAGTAACGGCCTCGGCCACGAAACGCTTGGATTCTTCTTTCGACAAGTATTTGCGAAATCCCCACTGCTGAAAACGAAACTTATACATCCTCACTCTGGAACCACGTCAGTAACAACTTTCAGTGGTTCTCATCAGTCTATTGTGCTTACGAAGCCTTGAACCCATGGTTTGTGAGCATGATCTCCATGACCTCGTTTAGCGGTCTGTCCTCCTCCAGGTACAAGAAGGCGATTCTGTCTTTGTACTCCTGCCATTCTACAGTTGAAGGCCCGCTGCGTGCCGTGCGAAACGGCAGCGGCTGATCGAGCTGCACGACCTCAGCGTTATTAAGATCCATAGCAGTCGGTCTAACGCGTCCGGCGTTCTGGTGTGACTTCGATTGACGATGGGCGGTGCGGTCATTTTTCATTATTTCGCCCCAGGAGCTAAGGCTGCAATGGGCGAATCATATAAGTTAGGGACGTGCCGGCGCGGTAGCACACTGGGGTCTGCCACGCTAAGCATGGATTCTATCACGATCCTCCATTCCCCCTGTCGACCGGTGATAGCGCATGTGCTGCGCTGCAGCACAGCCGCAGCGCAGGAATATGATCCGTGAGAAATTAGCACTCTGCGTGGCGGCACGTAAACGAGTAGGGATATCGAAATTGAAACGAGCCACTCACTTGAGCGGCTAGTTTGTGAATCCAACACGGAAAATTATCTCTGCGGCCCCGCCATACCATTGCCTATTACCGTGGACTATGGTACAAGCTGGATGCCCGGCTATTGCGGTTCTGTGGCTTTCTGCATTGGCTAACGTAAGTTGGCTAAGTTAAGAACACCTGATCTTGGGAATTGTCGGCCTGACATGATGCGATACTGCAGCACGCGAATGCATAAACACTCATTCCTGCTCGAGCTGTTATGAAAAACAGCTGACGAGCTTGCTGTGTACAGTGATGCCTCGGAACTACGTCGTTCTGCTCAATCGTGTAATGGTTGTACGACCTCCAGACTAACACCTCTCGATGGTTATTCTTACATTCGATCAGTGATAGTACAACCTTGAATGCAAGACACCTTATCACCACAGAGTCAAGTAGGGAGGCCATTGATGCGCCACGGAGTGGCTGATGTCACTGTGGCTGGTATCATGTTGCCTTATCACGTAGGACGGGCCTATAAGCCCTCCAACCTCAGCCCAATCAACGGGCTGGAGGATTCTGCATCTTACCTTTCACATATCAATACGCCTCAGGTTGTAACGGCCACCCCAATTCTAAATCTGGGAAACGCCAGTGAAACATGTATGGTACCATGATTTACCTGGTTCGTCCAAGGGTCTGTCAGCTACTACAATCGTGGACCTGAGGTATGACGGGCGAGTGTCCTACCCTTAGCCGCCTTTTTTTGACTTATAAGCTGTTGTAGTTGTATATCTAGCTATTGGGGGTGCAGATGATTCAATGAACAGGAGAATGAAAAAAAAGTTATATCTGCAGCAATATTTGCAACCTGCGCCCTCTTCTTCTATAAACCTATCTTCTTCAGATTATTTTTCGCCTTTTAATAAGATTACGTAGCATGGACCAAGAAAATGCATAAGAGACACATTAGTTAAACAATGACTTAGCTTAGCTGGAGTTCATCTTCGGTTGTTCCACGGTGTCGAGTAACTCAGCTACTGGGAATTATCTTGTCATAACACAGGAGGTTGCCCATGTCACTTTCGGCTGTTACGTAGACTACCTATAATTACCACGCATTATCTAGAACTTTAGCGCAACAACTGCATTGTAGTATCAGATATGAAGTTCATTAGATTATTCTAGCTAAAGAAGAGTATGAGTGATGCTAAATCTGCCTCTAAGTTTCCTTCAATGGGCCGTGATATCCGTCCACCGTAAAGCATTTCCAATTTCTCGTAGTTTATGAATCGATGCGAGCTCAGTATACTTCGATATAGATACCGCAATCTGAATAGTTGCGGGAAATATCATTCTTGAAGTAGTTGGCCTTGTCAAACAGCTCTAGTTGGATTACAGAGCGTACTCCCAGGCTGCCCCAACATCCGCGCTAGCTACCAAGAAGTTGGGGAACACCCCCTGGTTGGTCGCTCCCCGTTGAAGCCCCTGAATGGTCTTCCTATCGCATGGCTCGAGACCGCCACGTCGTGATAAGTTTTGGTCAGTCTTCTCAAGTAAATGGTCTTTGATCCAACCCATCCACTTTTGTTGTGATCCTTGGACGAGAGGGAAATGACTTAACCCTTTGTATACGTTGAACTCCAGGCTATCATTGGTGCTGATCGCTTTGCATGTTTCATCTATCACTTCACTGAGGCTGTCCGGCTGAACTAAGGGATCCAGTTCTCCTACCAATGCCAGCAAAGGTCCTTTGATTTTTTTGCCACCTGTAAGTGTGCGCTTGTTGAACTGTTGGACGTATCGGTTCTGCGTCCAGTTCGCGTGTGCTATGTTAGATGGCAGGAGACCGATGCCGGCAGCAGTCTTGACTGGGAGGCAGCCATCAACTTCCGTAATGGCATTCCATCTCGACATCCCATCCTGGGTCAGACCTGCCATGCCGTATTGTGGGTACACCGTCGTGATAGAATGCATCAACAGATTCTGGATGCCAAGAATGGCAGATGCCCATGGGAGGCTCAAATTCTGTGAAGCCCGGTCTATAGACTCCAACACTCGTAGTGGTGGTGCTATCGCGACCGTTCCTTTGTAACCTGGTAGAGTGAGTTCGTCATTTGCCATGCGCTCTGCGAAGCTCCACGCTGCCAAGGCCCCCTGTGAGTGGCCCATGGCTACGAAAGGACCATCCTGTGAAATCATCGACGGGAACGCAACTCTCGCTGCCGTAATCGCATTCGCTAAATCGGAAGCTAGTGAAGGCCCACTGGCCCAGGGATGTGGAATTCGGGTGCCATTGGCAAGTTGCTTGACTCCCAGACCGAGGTAGTCGGGAGCAACGACGGCGATGCCTTGTGACGCCAAAGCAAATGGCACTTGAAAGTGATACTGCAGGGCGCGGTAATTGGAGGGTGCGCACGGTCCAAAGGTACCCGCTGTCCCATGACCCCAGGCTACAAATGGATAGTGAAGCTCTGTCTCAAGCTGAGCAGTACTGCTTGTTTCAAAACCGGCCTGGCTGGACTGCGACGTAAGTGGCGCAAAAGGCCAGAGGATGTACGCTGAAGCGGGAAGTATTGTGCCACTGAGATCAGTGGTAGTGTAGATGAATCGGGAAACGGTAAGGCTGGCGGGGACGGTGTAATTTGTCAAATTCGTTGCAATTTCTAATTTCAAAAGAGACCCTGGTTTCAGTGAGGTGGAGTAATTCGAGGGCACAGAGTAGAAAGAATCATCTTCAGAAGCACGTTGGCTCTGTTCCCAAGCCGAGGCTCGTGCGATAAGTTGTTGGCATGCCGGATCACAAGCTTGCGCTGCCACTGCTTGGAGCATCATAACAATAGAGAAACCACCCAAGAATGAAAGTTTCAACATGATGAAGAGGTTGGATGCAAAGGAATAAGATGTGGCTGGTGAGTGAGAAAGCTCAGCGAAATTCGAATTGTAGGAAAAGATAAACTCTACGAAGGCCTGCTGTTTATATAAGGGCATTTTAGCAGAGTATTACCAGCTAAAGTGAATGAGTATCCTTTGTTAGCGAATGTCAGAAATGTTTTCTCATTTCCCCCTTTGGAAAAGAAGAGTAGTGGTCAGCATTCTTTAGCCTAATTCGGTCATGCCCGCTCGTGTGAAAGGTTCGGCCGCTTTCGCTTACGTTGGCTATGGACGCTTCGCCACATTTGCTTACACTTTGAAGTTCGATTTTCACCGGTTCATTTTCAAAATAAGTCTCGGATTATTCTCAAAAGAAAAATAATACTAGGTAGTTTGTACGAAAGCTCTACTTTAACTAACAGAGAGTTATGCGAATGAGTGATTCCATTGTAACTGCATTTCCAGGGTCAGCAATCATCGTTGTGCTAATTACCTCCACTTGTAAGACGGCTCTGACATCATGATGTTGTCTCATAGGCACTTTTTGTGGCTCTGGACCTGTCCCTGAGCACGCCAAGCATCAAGAACGGTTCTTAGAGAAGCGGTGAAGTAACTGATGGATTATGAAACTAAAGTTGCCGCCCTCGCCGAGGCGGTGATGTGCGTTCGGAATCTCCGAACAGTTGGGCTGTGGCAGCATTGTGTGGCAGCATTGTGTCAAGCAGCTGACGGGCATTGGGCTTATGGACAGAACAGCTAGTGCTTACGCGATTGTGACTTGACGGAACTGTAAGTTCCCGAAACAGCGATTGTGTAAGGACAAGAAGAATATAGGACTAGATTGAATCGCCTATTTAGCTAATGTGCTTGTTCAGACTTTTAGACCCTCGACCCCAGCCCTGTTCAAGGACACTTCCCACAAAGCTCAACTTCCCGCTTGCCAAACTATTTTCCGTGACAAAGACAATTTGTTTCTGGCTTTAGTAGAAGGGTTAATTAAGCTGTAAATACTAAACTTTCATTCACATACACTACGTCAAGTCATAGCAAGATCTTACGTAGCTAATAGTTATAGGCATGGTGTTTGCAAACTTTATAAGACAGGCTATTCGGTGATCAAGAAGAAGGATAGAAGGAATTAGGAGCATGTTCCTGACATGAAATTTTGAGACCCCGTAATACAACTCGCTGGCATTCGCATAGTCACGGTTCCAGTTCGTGTCAGCCCCTCGACCTAGGGAGAAAATATTAAGTGATCAAGATGATTTGATTCTAAGCAACCTAGGGATACGAAACCTTGCCGTCTTCTTGAACGGTCAAGTCCACATACTCTCCAAACCTTTGGAGAGGTAGCCAGATGCATCGGCGTTGCGAACCGTGTTGAATACTCACTGCGTTCGGCCGACCGATCGGTGCCAAGCCCCATCGAAATTTAGACTTCATTCTGTGCATCCCCACGGATTCTCGCTGCCATCTTGTTTGTATCTCGGGGATATTCTCAGCGAAGTGGCCCATACATACAAGCTTTCGTGCATTGGGTGGAGCGTCTGATGACTCCAGACACCGATAGCACTGAGCCCCAATTTGCGGAGACACGAAGCTGACCCAGGCCAACCACATGAGATGGAGATGACAAAGTGCGCCTCTGGCCATTTGGCGACACACCCTTGCCTAACATGATCTCACGGATCTTGTGCAGCAACCATGCTGAGCGCCTTCAGAATTAATCAACGAAAGGTGTGGAAACTGGAACATTTCGCGGCCACTACGCCCCGCCATCCAGCTTGCTCCCCACCAGCGCCCCAGCATCGTGTATTACTGGGACTATTTAGATGTGCACAGAACTAGAATTTTCAGATACCTAGCTGGGGTTGTCAAATTTAGCTAACTATTTCACTGTAAATACTTGAATAATGGTTTTGATATACGGATGATATATAGTAAGCTGTTGATCATAATGGATGGCATTAATAAGAGTGACTATAATGAGTTTTACGACTGGACTAATTCCTCTCGCTTGATTTCCCACACCTTGTCCAGCCAATGGAATGTTCGCTGCGCGGAGTAAGCGAAAGCCCCGACCTTAGCTTGCAGCCCTCCAAGCGATATCTCGCTTGCTACCCACTTCTCCTTCTCAACTTCGGGCTTAAGACTCTGCAACGAGTCATAGAGTTTGTCCGTTGTAGTCGTGGGGTCATAGTACCAACTGGCGGCCGCACCAGTCACCAGAGTTGGACACTTAACATCGGCGAGGTATTCGGTGCCATCTGCCTTCTGCAGCGTAAATGGTAGACAGGCGCGCATGATAGCGGCTTCGGAGGTTTCGCCGGTGACCCAGCGCATGTGGTTGAATTCCCATCGCGCCTGAAATGAGAGACTCTGCAAGACTCGCAGGAAGCCATCAAACAACCAGTCGGGAATCCTGCCGCTCATGAAGCCGTTAAACAACGGAGCTGGCATGCGCCCGCCTGCATACATCCCCAGATCATAAAAACTGTCCACGCAGATGGCCGCACCAATGCGAGGATCGGCAGCACCGCGCAGAGCGAAGTAGCCGCCCATAGATGCTCCCACGATCGCCACGTGGTCCAAGTCCAGGTCGAGCTCAGGGTGTGCTGCGGCAAAGGCGTGTAGGTGGTCCAGTACCCTACCCGTTACTGCTTCCCAGTCTGGCCGCATAATGAGCTTGTCACGGCGGAGGACGATGCCTTGACCTGGCCCTTCGAAAGTGAGCACCGCGTAGCCCACCTCAGGGCCATAAGCGCCGTTGATAAAGTAGATTTCCTCCTGCGTCGAGTCGCCACCGCCCGAGTTGATCAAGACTGGCACCTTCTGCCCGGGGAGCCGCTTGGAGGCTTCTGGCATGTAAAGATAGCCTGGCAGTTGGGCCCCCTTCTCATAAGGGATGTCGAGGAAGAAAGTGGCCCCGTCGCGGTATTTAATACCCTTGCGGAAGTTGGCTATGGCGCGCTCAATAGTCGGCAGGACACGAGGATCATGACCGATTGGCCCATCATTCAGCATGAACTGAGCGGCGCGGAGGTAGTTTGACGACCGCAGGTAACCACGCCGAGCGCCGGCCCGGTCGCCCGCTTCTTCGCACTCTCGACCAATCCGCTCAGCCACGTTGCCAATATCTAAGAAGGCACTATACCAACTTTCTGGGTCACCATCGCGGATCCTGCCCGCTGCCTCGAGAGCTTCGCCTATCTCGGCCCCCTCATGGGGGGCCATAGCGAGCAGGCGAAGGTACTCAAAGTTGAAAAAATCGCCCTTGAAAAATTTATGCATTTTGTGAAGATGTGGGCAGAGTGCTCTGCCCAGATCTGGTCGAACAGGTCGAAAGCTTACATATTTGTTCAAATGTTGACATTGAGGGCGCCACCTCCATGAGTAGCGTATTGGGCTCTTCCTGCTCTCCGATTAGAGCTAAAGGATTCCAGGGACCAGGCGGGACTTTTCGGTGTAAGACGCCGATATTACTGCAGGGGGCTATTCCTTCGTTCGGCATCTGCCTCTAAAGATTAATGCGGCTCCACCGCCGAATCTACGGCCTGTTGGCGGCACAGTCAGTCTTGGCGATGGATAAGCGTAGTACCGCTATACTTCTTTCACAAAAGCCTTAGGTAGTAGAGTGGCTAGCTGAGAACTGTGGATAAAGCTGACTGCCGAAGACTGGCTTCTGCATGCAGGTTGCCGATTTATCTTCGGTGTCACTTAGAAAGGATTCGAAAAATGCCAGACTCGGCAATGGATAGTTGCACTGTCGCTATACACCTTTCGCAATAGTCTTAGATTGTTATGAGGCTGGCTGTGCGTTGTGGATAATGCTGACTGTCGACGACGGTCTCGAGCGCCTTCGCGATGCAAGACGCCGATTTGTGTTCGGTCTTGCTCGGAAAGGATTCGACGGAGTCAGAAATAAGGGTATGCCGAGTATGCGGAACCTGGATGGGCCACTGGGACGCGCAGAGAAGTGAGAATTATACCTTGTTTATTGCGCAATGGCTAGGACTTGAAAGAGCTCCCCGTAGGAAAGTTATTGAGATAGAAAGAGACCATACAGCTTACTGTAAAATGCCCTTTCAATAATTCTTTGAAAGCTGCCAAACTGGTGCACATCTTTTTGCATTTTGCTACCCTCGTCAACATCTAGAGGGCTAGAATCACAGACAAGATGGGTTATACACATTCTCCCAAAGAGCCCATTGCCATCATTGGTAGTGGTTGTCGATTTCCTGGAAATGCTAGCTCATCCAAAGAACTATGGAAACTTCTCTGTGAGCCAAGAGATCTTACCAAGGAGATTCCCGAGTCGCGGTTCAATGCGAATGGCTTCTACCATCCCGATGGCGAGCACCACGGTGCCAGCAATGTCACCAAAGCCTACTTCCTCGAAGACGATCCACGCCTGTTCGATTCGAAATTCTTCAGCATTGCGCCCAGAGAGGCGGAAGCTATAGATCCCCAACAGCGAATGCTGCTCGAAACAGTATACGAGGCAATGGACTCGGCTGGCCTTAGCTTATCACCTATGCGTGGCAGTGATACGGCCTGCTACGTTGGTGTCATGACAGGAGACTATGCCGAAGTGGTGACGCGGGACCCTGAGAACTTTTCACAATATATGGCCACGGGAACGTCTCGTGCCCTCATCTCAAACCGGGTGTCGTACGTGTTTGACTGGAGGGGCCCATCCATGACGATTGACACGGCTTGTTCATCCAGTCTTGTTGCCGTACATCTGGCCGTGCAGAGCTTACGTAGCGGTGAGAGCACCGTAGCCTGCGCAGCTGGATCAAACCTTATTCTCAACCCCGATAGTTTCATTGGCGAAACCAGCTTGCACATGATCTCTCCAGAAGGGAAATCTAAGATGTGGGACGCCTCTGCAAACGGGTACGCCCGTGGAGAAGGAGTGGCTGCAGTCTTCCTCAAGACCCTGTCCAAAGCTCTTGAGGATGGTGATAGAATTGATGCTATTATCAGAGAGTCTGGGGTGAATCAAGATGGTCGCACTCAGGGAATTACTCTACCGAATCCTGAAGCTCAAGCCGCGTTGATCCGCTCGACTTATCGCAACGCCGGTCTGGACTTGGACAATGAATCAGACCGATGCCAGTATTTCGAAGCCCATGGTGAGTTTAGTCGATTTATGCTTGACTATTGGTCATGCGTATGTATCTAACAATCTTTGATTTCCAGGAACTGGAACCCAAGCGGGAGACCCTAGAGAAGCGTCGGCCGTCAGTCAAGCATTCTTTCCAGACAGCTTAAACGGGGATGTACAACATCAAAAGCTATATGTTGGCTCCATAAAGACGGTCATAGGCCATACTGAAGGCTGTGCTGGTGTTGCAGGATTGCTTAAGGTGGCCTTGTCTTTGAAAAATAAGACTATTCCACCCAACCAACATTTTCACAACCTAAACCCCAGCGTGGCACCCTCTTACAAGAACCTGTGCATCCCTACCGTCCCAACTCCTTTCCCATCATCTGAACCTGGCCAAGTTCTGCGTGCCAGTGTGAATAGCTTCGGGTTTGGTGGCACCAACTCTCACGCTATATTGGAAAGCTATGTTCCAGAGGTCCATGATGTTGGACCCTGGGGCCGCAAGACAGCAGCTCCTACTCCGACAACTCTTGACAAAGACTTCACACCCCTTCCACTTCTATTATCCGCAAACTCTGGTTCCGCTTTGGAGTCCATGGTGGAAAGATACGCGCAGCATTTGACTGCCAACAACAGTCCGCTGCATGAACTAGCTTCTACCCTCCACTCCCGTCGATCTGTACTACCGTTCAAGGTGTCGATTGCTGGTGGCACTCGCGACGCAATACTTGGCGAGATGGACGCGGCGCTTGCAGAGGCACGCAACAAGAAAGGCGATTTTGGTAAGAGACCTACACAGTCATCATTCTCTGGCGCGCCGAGAATGTTGGGAATCTTTACGGGACAAGGTGCCCAGTGGCCGATGATGGGTGCCAGTCTGATGCGCAAATCAACCTTGTTCCGAAAGACAATCGCCGCCCTAGACGAAGCACTGCGGACATTGCCAGATGGACCTGATTGGGGCCTTGCAGAGGAATTGATGGCACCACCGTCCAAGTCCCGCGTGCGCGAAGCAGCCATCTCCCAGCCTGCCTGCACGGCGCTGCAAGTTGCCCTAGTAGATGTGCTGACCGCGGCGGGCGTCTCATTCCACACCGTTGTCGGCCATTCGTCAGGAGAAATCGCGGCAGCATACGCAGCGGGTTTCATCTCAGGCGTTGACGCCGTTCGGATTGCGTATTATCGTGGCCTGCATGCGAAGCTTGCAGCTGGTCGCGAAGGGCAAAAGGGGTCAATGATGGCAGTCGGCTGGGGCATTGACCAGGCCGCAAGTTTCTGTCGCTCTGAACCCCAACTGAGAGACCGGCTTTCCGTTGCTGCCAGCAATTCGCCGGGGAGTGTTACGCTTTCTGGTGATATGGATGCTGTGAAGATTGCTAAGGAGCTCTTGGACCGGGACGGTGTTTTCAACCGAGTCCTGCAAGTCGATACGGCATACCATTCTCACCATATGCTCCCCTGCTCAGAAGCATATCTAGAATCTCTGCGGCAATGTCGAGTCCAAGTTCGCAAGCCCAGGTCAGACTGCTCTTGGTTTTCGAGCGTCCATGCCGGCAGGAAGATGACATGGGAGCAGATGGCCACAGAGATTGCCGGGCCATATTGGAAATATAACATGGCACAGACTGTTCTATTCTCTCAGGCTTTGGAGGCCGCTGTAACCGCGAACGATGGCCCGTTCGCATTTGGTCTGGAGGTAGGCCCTCACCCAGCGCTAAAGGGTCCCGCGTTGCAGACTATCAAGGCCAAGCTTGGTGATAGTATTCCTTACGAAGGCGCACTGGACCGGAAGCGCGATGATGTTGCTGCATTTGCAAGCTCACTGGGCTCACTCTGGATGAGCTTTGGTCCGGGCTTTGTTGACTTCGCTGGGTACTCTTCCGCTTTTGAGGAAGACGAAGGGCGCCGCAAGAATATCTCTCCTGTTTGGGACCTGCCTATCTATCCATGGGAGCACCGCTTCCTGTGGAGGGAGTCCCGCATTAACAAGCAACTCATGTCGCGGCGCGAACCTCCACACGAACTCCTTGGTGCGCGGACGACAGACGACAGCGAGCACGAACCGAGGTGGCGAAACATTTTGAAGGTAGAAGAGCTGCCCTGGTTATCTGACCACCGAATACAGGGACAAACCATTGTACCTGGAGCTGCCTATTGTGCCATGGCTCTTGAGGCCGCGTCCGCTTTGGGTCGCAGTCGTGGTGAGAATGTGTATCAGGTTGAACTCAGAGACCTAGAGATCGTCAAAGCAATCTCACTAGACGAAGGTTCAGAGGGTACAGAGACTCTGTTCTCCCTCAAGACGCTGGAGACTGGCTCTGGCGGGCTGATCACTGCCGACTTTTCCCTAAGCGCCGCTTCTCTTGAGGATGGAATCATGAGACGTGTTTGTACAGGAAACGTGCTTATATACACCGGAGATGGCGGACTTTACAGCGGCTCCGCGTCATGGATCGAAGAAAAGCACTCACATCTACTGCCTATGAACATTGACCGTTTCTACTCGGCTCTGGGAGATCTAGGATTGGGCTATACTGGAGCATTCCGTGGTCTCTCTTCCTTAGAGCGATCGATGGACAAGGCCTCCGGCGTTATCTCCGTTCACGATGAAGCCAGGTCGGTTCCCGTGCACCCCACGTGGCTTGACGTCAGTTTTCAGACCGTTTTTGCTGCCTTTGCCGCTACGAATGACGATTCATTGTGGACCGCCTTCCTTCCAACCAAGATAGGCTCTATGAAGCTATTTTACCCCTCGGCGGACATTACAGGCCATGACACAGGGCTTGGACATGCTACCAACGAGATCGCGGTTGACTCTTATATGTCGTGCTTCGAACCAGCTTTGCCTGGGGCAATGCCCAAGATTACGGCTGATCTGAACATCTTCGACAGTGCAACTAGTCAGTGCCGAATCGAGATTCAGGATCTGACTATGAGTGCCTTCCTTCCTGTCACATCCAAAGATGATCGTCACGTTTATCAGCGTACTGAATGGGTTCAAGATATTCTATCAGGTGTCCCTGCCACCGGCGAATATCGCGATAACCGTCTGGAGAATGAAGAGCTTGCTACATGCGAGGAGGTGGCCTACCAGTACCTTGACGCTCTACGGTCGTCTAAACACGTCAATGCGATTGCTGAGCAGCATGCTATGCTTGCTCAAATCGTAGACAAGCTGCCCCTTATGCCTACCAAACCAAACGACGGACCACACATTTCCACTACCCACTCAGTTGATTTACAGCTCCTTCGAGCAATAGGAGAAAAGCTGCTGGCGAGTGGAAACCCGAGGAATAGGCTATTGCGTCGATCCAAAGAGTCCGCCAGTCTTTCTATTGATTCCTTGTACGCACAGTGGCAGTCCAGAAGGCTCGGTGTTGCTCAAACAGAGAGGGATATCATATCAACTACAAAGCAAATAGCTCATCGGTTTCCTCGAATGAAGATCCTCCAGATCGGAGCCTCGGCACTACAGTTTATCGACCGATTAACCGCGGAACTCGGTACACAATTCGCTGCTCTGACCGTCGCAGATAGGTCCGCCGAAGCTATTCAGCTGGTGAAGGATCAATCGATCTTTCATGATGTCCGAGTTCAGTTCAGTGTGCTGAATGAACCAATTACGGATGTCTTTGCTCCTGGTTCTTTCGATTTGGTGGTTATTGAAGACCCTTTGGCAGCTGCTGAGAGCATCCAGGATGCAAGGCAACTGCTCCGCCTGGGTGGGTTCTTGATTATGGCAGCGCCCACAGGAAACACTCTCCATTTGGCCATGATACAAGCTGGATGGGAATCTTCTAATCACGGTCTTGCCACGAGGATGTCGCCCGTTAAGATACATAGGAAGCTCAGGCAGGGTGGCTTCTCCGGTGCACTCTCCATTTTGTTCGATAGCGCCCAGCCTGAGAACCACTCAATCTCTGTGGTCGTGGCGCAAGCTACTGATGCTTCATTTGACCTCTTGCGTCATCCTTTGTCTGCTTCCTCGCAATCGGCTGGCATCTTCCAGGGCAAGATCATTATCCTAGGTGGAGGATCCTTCAAGACCTTGCACCTTGCTGAGACAGTGCAGTCGAAGCTTGCAAGTGTCTGGAAGGGAGACATTGACATTATCGAGTCTCTCGACGATATCGATGTTTATTCCCTTGAGAGTATCCACGCTGTTCTCAGCTTGACAGAACTTGACCACCCGGTGTTCGAACAACTTGACAGCGGCTCATTTGCTAGACTCCAGCAGGTGCTGCGCCACATAAAGACAATACTCTGGGTGACCAAAACGACTTCGTCTTTGGGGCCGTACCAAAGCGCAATGATGGGACTTGCCAGAACAGTGATCGCAGAGGATACGGATCTGATCCTCCAAACAGTGGACGTTGACACTATAGATGGATGTGAGAGCATCGTCGCAGAGAGTCTGCTACGTTTGATTGCGTCGATCCGCCTCCAGAGTCAAAACTCGGCGTTTTCGCCACTATGGACCGACGAACTCGAGCTGGCAGTCCGCGGCGGGAAGTTCTTGATTCCTCGCGTAGTCATGGATAAAGCCCGCAATGATAACATTAACTCCGTCCGAAGAGTAATTGATGCCGACTTGTCATCTTCTACAACCGCCATCACGTTGGTCAAGCCAGAGGATGGTCAATATGTTGCCTGCCAAGATAGGTCCGCTAGTGCGACTACTGCCATAGCCTTGACGGATTCTATTACAGTCCAAGTGGCGTACTGCTCTGAGCAACCTGTCTTATCGGGGCACAAAGGTACCTGCTACTTTCTCTGCGCCGGTCGTACGCCAGAGGGTACCCACGTGCTTGCACTCACACAGTCAATCACATCGCGCATAATGGTCCCCAAGGAATTAGCAGTGATTGTAGAGGTGAAAAGTCCGGAAGGTCGTGAAAACGACTTGGCTCGGCTTGTGGGAGAAGCTGCCTGCTATCTCCAGGCCAAAGTGTTGTCCAACATCATTCCCGAAGGGAACGGCACGCTTATCTATGAGCCTGATGAAATGCTCATCAGCTATCTCGACAAATGCCTACAGGAGAAAGGAGACAATTCAACTTGGTTCATCAGGTTTTTGCCTGCAACCTCCTCCCCTGCCTTGTTGGGCCGGCATGGCCGCACTATTGCTGTGCGCTCTGGCGTTTCTCGACGTGAAATCACTGCCCTTCTCCCGGCGGATATCAGCTTTGTGACTCACTTTGGAGAAAATAGAACGAACGAAAATGGAAACCTTTCTATTTTGAAAAGTTGTATTCCCAAGAAGAGCATTATGCTGCCTATCTCCAAGCTGCAGTCTGTGCTCTTTCACAAGAATGCCACTACCGTGTCAGCACGAACCTCGGCGATGCGCTCTATCGAAGAATTTCTGAACACAGACACGGTATCTCGTCTTACGAATACAAAGCCTTTGACTGTCATTCGAGCTGCAGATCTACTTGGTTCAGCTCAATCCTCGGTCAAGACTCGAACTGTTGTTGACTGGACTGGGGACCAGACTTTCAAAATCCAGCGTACACCGCTTGACCCTTCGACGCTCTTTGATTCCGCGAAGACTTATCTGTTAGTCGGCCTCACGGGCCAGATGGGTCAGTCTATCTGCCGGTGGATGGTGCAAAATGGCGCCCGCAATATCGTGGTCACAAGCAGGTATGTTGGATATCTGTATAGGTTGCATTTGAAATCACAGCCAGACTGATTATTTCGCAGGAATCCATCACAAAACTGTACCTGGGCTTCAGAGTTGATGTCTCTTGGGGCCCGAATCTCCATCAAAGCTGCTGATGTCACAAAATATGATGACGTTATGCGACTTCGTGAAGATATTGCCAAGGATATGCCACCGATTGCGGGAGTCATGAACGGCGCCATGCTGTTAGCTGACGGCCTCTTTGCTGACATGAGTTTTGATAACATGAACAAGGTGCTGCAACCCAAAGTGGGCGGTTCTCGTAATCTCGATGCCGTGTTCTCTGGCCCCGAGCTCGATTTCTTCATTATGCTTTCATCGGTCAACGCCGCTACCGGCATGATCGGCCAGGCAAACTATGCAGCTGCAAATATGGTAAGTGTTGACTATAGCGCCTATTGAAATAACTGTTATAATAACTCCCAGCTTAGTTCATGGTTGGACTGGCGGCCGATCGACGAGCTCGCGGCCTGGCCGCTTCGGTTATCGATATCGGCATGGTAATCGGTATTGGTGTCATCCAGCGTACCGAAGGTGATGCCGGCACTGGTGTTATCGAGACGAACTTACGTAAACAGAATCTGGCACCCATTTCAGAACGCGACCTGCATCATATTCTCTCTGAGGCTATTGTAGCAGGCACACGGGACAGTGATGTGGAGATCATAACTGGTCTACAATATTACGTGTCTACATCTCCCAATCGTCCATTGTGGTACAAAAACCCGCGGTTCTCCCATCTAGTGATCGAGGGGGTCGCGGGTCAGGCCAACGACGGATCTGCGCAGGACGAAAAGGCACAAAGTGTCGTAAATGCGGAGAATGCTGAAGAGGCGTGCCAAATGCTTGAAGCAGTCTTGATAGCCTATCTGGCATCCGAGCTTAAGGTGAGATATTCTGATGAATGCGGGGCACCTGAAGCATAGCAACTGACGCTACATTAACTACCAGATACCTGCCGAGGATATTAGCGTTGATAGCCCAATAATTGACCTGGGAATCGACTCCCTTGTGGCAGCATCGGCGCGGAGCTGGCTTCTGTCCGAGCACCAAGTAGATGTGCCCGTCTTGAAGATCCTGGGTGGATCATCTACCAAACAATGTAAGTTTAGGCTTGTAAGCAGTGATTGATTTCGACTAATCTCTTCATCAGTATCTCAGGAAGCAGTATCAAAGATGACTTTTGTATCGAAAGCGGGAAAGTCCACCAGCCAAACTGAGCCAGCGGCTGCCGTCAAATCTCAGGAACAACCAATGGCACCCCCTGTTAAAGCCACAGAACATCAACGCCAAGTTTCTTTGCACGATGAAGCTCGAAACGATAGTTCGTCGTCTTCTATATCCTCCACAATGTCCACCCCAGTTGGGACAAGCAAGGGGACGTCACTCAGCCCTTCGGTCGTCCAGCATGCTCTGAAGAACACTGAGACCTCACATCTCGTGAAGCAGCAATCATTATCTCTCGGACAGTCAAGGCTATATTTCTCCTCCCTGTATTTGGACGACATCGCGCCGTTCAACTGCACAACATCCTATCGCCTGTCCGGCAACCTCGATGTTAAAAGGTTGGCCGAAGCAATACAATCGATTATTGTACGACACGAGATCTTCCGGACTGCCTTCTACACAGACGAGTTGAGTGGGAAAGCTATGCAAGCAGTGCTTGATGTTTCCAGAATGAAACTGAAAGTTCAGAATTCAACCGATGAGATGACCGATATCCAGTCCGAGTTTCAGCGCATTCACCATTACAGCTTTGATTTGGAAGCTGGAGAGACTTTCATTGCCACTTTACTGTCGCACTCACCGGTGTCGCACACTTTGATCTTTGGATACCATCATATCATTATTGATGGCGTCAGCTGGCAGCTTTTTTTGCAAGACCTTGGGAGATACTACAGGGAGCCTTCGCTGCAGCTACCTGCACCAGCACAGACATGCGACTTCGTTGAGAAGCAGCGCCAAGATATTAAGACAGGAGCTTATAGCGACAGATTGGACTTCTGGAAGAAAATGTACCCGGAACCCCCTGCACCACTCCCTCTATTCCCCTTCGCCAAAGTCGGAGCTAGACGAGCTATGGACCGTTACTCGATGCGTGATACCATGGTGTCAGTCGATGCCGCACTCATCGAGAGCATCAAGAAAGCGAGTGTAGCGTCGCGCACGACGCCTTTCCATTTCTGGCTCGCCGGATACCAAGTCCTGCTTCAGAGGCTGCTCGACATCAACGATCTATCCATAGGTATTGTCGACGCAAACCGGTCTGACCCGACCTTCAGCGAGACCATTGGGTTCCTTCTCGAGATCATGCCATTGCGCTTCCAAGTGTCCAAAACCCAACGCTTTGTTGATATTCTAAGAAACACCCGTTCTAAGACTTATTCGGCGTTGTCCCAGTCCGGCGTCCCCATCGAGGAGATCGCACGTGCCTGTGGCGTTGCAGCCGACAAGACCCAGACACCTTTCTTCCAGGTCATTTTCAACTACCGCATGGGCGCGACCAAGACTCCTGATATGGGCGATACTAGCATGAGCTTCCTGGACTACTCAGACGCCAAGGTTCCTTTTGATATCGCCGTCTCTGTAGACGAGAAGGAAGACGGCAGCGGCTTCCTCACATTTTCAGCCCAAGACTACCTCTACGACCAGGAGGCAATCGATTTGCTGATCACAACCTATAAACTGCTGTTGACAGAGCTAGCAGCGGACGTTTCTAGGGTGGTAGGTGATGTTCCTTTGTACGACAACTCTTCGGTCCAGAAAGCGATCGACTTGGGGACGGGTCCTAAGACTGGGCCGGGAGTACTGGAGCCCCAGCTAGACACCTTGTCAAGAAGGTTCAGTGCCTGGGTCACCAAAGATCCGGACGCGACAGCAGTCAAAGACCTGTCGGGATTATCACGGACATACCTGCAAACTAGTCAGCGCGCCGATGCAATCGCTTTGACACTACATACCACTCGTGCCGGGAAGGGATCTCGTATCGCTGTGCTTCTCGAGCCCACGGTTGATACGATAGCAGTGATTTTGGCTATCCATCGTACCGGTGCGGTTTATGTTCCATTGGATATCTATGCTAATGAACAGCGGCTCAGTGACATACTGGACGAGTCTGGCGCCACAATACTCGTCCACCATGCAGGCACTGCCAGCCGCGCATCAACGCTGGCTGTGGGTCGCAAAGTGCGACTCCTCGATCTGGCAGCAGCAAAGGACCTAAGTGTACAGCCTTTCTCTGATGCATCATCCTCGACGGAGGATGCATACATCTTGTACACCAGTGGATCCACCGGAAAACCCAAGGGCATACCTTTGACACACGCGAATGTAAGCACTGTTATCACAGCGAGCACCCAGCGACTGTCGATCGGACGCGAGGTAGTGCTCCAACAGACAGGACAGGGATTCGACGCAGCTGCGTGGGAGATCTTTGTGGCGCTTGCAAATGGAGGGACCATCATCATGAGTGACAATCACGGCGATCCAGCCGACTTGGCCGCTCTCATGGCTCGCGAACGTGTTACAGTCACACTCTTGATCATTTCCGAGGCACATTCACTGCTACAATACGGGCAACAGTCCCTACTTGAGTGTGATGCCTGGCGCGTGGCCATCTGCGCTGGCGAGAACTTCACACCCAATCTCGTCGATAAGCTTGCAGCTCTCAACCTTTCAGGCTTGCGCGTCTTCAACGGGTACGGGCCGACAGAGACCTCCATATTTTCGGCACTGGGTGATGTTCCACTAAACCGGAGTAACACTGACAGAGTGCCCATTGGTGCACCGCTGCCCGACTATGGCATGTACATTGTCGACGCCGAAGGCAAACCCGTACCAGTTGGGTGGGTGGGTGAGGTAGTCATATGTGGACCCGGTGTAGGTTCCGGATATCTCAATAGAGCGGAGCTCACCAGCACGAAATGGAAGCCAGCCCGGTTTCTAGCAGGCCACGAAGCCGGCAGCCGGAAGAAATGGAACCGTCTCTACCTCACGGGTGACCGTGGGAGAACACTTGCGGATGGTTCTATTGTTATTTTGGGGCGCATTGATGGCGACAGCCAAGTTAAACTGCGTGGATTCCGCGTTGAGCTCGACGAGGTCGCAAGCTGCCTCGTCGAATCATCTGGTGGTTTGCTTACTGACGCTCGAGTCGTTGTGAGAGGCGAGGCCGCAGAACACAAATTCCTCGTCGCTTTCGTCGTGTTCAAGCCCGGGTTCGACGCTACAGACAAATCTGAATACTTACGGTCTCTGCTCCAGAGTCTGCCTTTGCCGCCGTATATGCGTCCCAGCTTTGCAATTCCACTCGACACACTACCTTTCACTGAAAGAGGCAAGCTCGACTCAGCCGCTCTTGCAAAGATCACGCTTCCAAGTGCACCGCTCGAAGGTGAAGAGGATGAAAAGGATATGACTGACAGCGAAGTGTTATTGAAAAATATCTGGAGAGACATCGTCCAACGAGCTGGGGGCATCCCGGTGGCAATCAGACGGGACTCTGACTTCTTCTCGATTGGCGGCAACTCTTTGCTGTTGCTGCAGCTCAAGGCGGAGATCCGACGAGTCTTTGACGTGACTGTACAACTACCAGAACTGTTTCAGAACAGCACGCTACGAGGGCTCGCTGCACGACTTGAAGGTTCGTCGGACCCGACGGCACAGGCCATTGACTGGAAAGAGGAGGCAAACCCAGGCAAGCTTGCAGAAGGTCTTCTTCAAACAAAATCTCTGGCACGAACTACTGTACCAGATGCTCTCACGGTTGTGCTCACGGGAGCCACAGGTTTCCTTGGTGCTGAGCTATTGCGTCAATTGATCGCCAACCCAACCATCAGCCACATCCACTGCGTGGCAGTCCGCAACCCTCAGCGCATTGAAACAGACTCGCCCAAGGTCACAATTCACGCAGGTAATCTTTCGAAACCGCTGCTAGGTCTCCCTAATGAGCAGATGGCCGCCGAGATCTTCGGGTCGGCACATGCTATTGTCCATAACGGCGCCGAGGTCTCGCACATGAAGAACTACCACAGCTTGCGTGCACCCAATGTAGGGTCGACAAGGGAGCTTTTGCGATTGGCAATTCGGTACCAGGACGAGAAATTTGGCCTGGCGGCATTCCACTTCGTCTCCACAGGTGGTGTAGCCACATTAACAGGCCAGGACTCATTGCACGAGGGACCAATCCCTTCGAGTGCCTTCCCACCTACAGACGGGTCGCACGGCTACGTGAGCAGCAAATGGGCAAGCGAACGACTCCTCGAAAACGTGACGCAGGGAGTTGCGGGTCTGCGAGTGGTCGTGCACCGTCCATCCAATATCACTGGCGAGGGCGTCCCAAGCCAAGACATCGTGCACAGTGTGCTGCGATACTCGAAGCTTCTGCATGCCGTGCCAGATTTAGGCCCAGACTTTGGATCATTTGATCTTATCGGAGTGCAGACGGCAGCGCTGAACATCGTGAAGGACGTTGTTGACGTTGCCGTATCAAACCCCTCATTGACCAGTGGCGAGCGGATCACCTACAGGCACCAGTCTGGAGAGACAGTCGTGCCAGCGGCCAAGCTCAAGGAGTATCTCGGCCACTCAGACCAAACCCCGTTCAAGGTGTTACCCAACCAGGAATGGGTGTTAGCTGCAAAGACTGCAGGCTTAGACGAACTTGTTGCGAGCTTCTTGAGTGCATCAGTGGAGCACATGAAAATGCCATTGCTAGAAAAGGCTTAGTAGATGGTATCATCAGGGGTAGACGGAGGTGCAACGTCCGGTGGTTAGTTCTCTAGAACACGGAAACTTGGGGAAGAGAGAAAAGTTTTGAAAAAGGGTTGGTTGGCGTTAGTATAGATTATTTGCTTCTCACGGATTTCAATTTCCTACAATACTTTTGTTTTTATATTTATTTATATCACATAGACGTACTGAGCATTTCGTTACAAACTGTGGATTATATTGGTGACACTTAACTGCAATGAATCCGTGAAGCTTAATACCACGATCCACACCAACTTAATGACACTACACGCTGGGTTCCAAGCTTTGAGACTTATATAGCGTTGGCTAAATGTCCTTTTCCTGGCTTGTCTCATTGAAAATTCATGGGGTACTGGCATGCAAGTACAGTTGATATGCAATGTTGCAGCCGTAGACCATCACTTCGTAATACGTACAGTTACACATGGGCAGTTCATGAAAGGATTTTGTAAGCTATACTATTTGCCAGCAACCAGATTGGCTGCACTTTCGACATAAGAGCAGTACGTGTTGTTGTGAGGTGCAATACGCTTATGTGGAAAGTATATGAACGCTCGGCATACATCATCTATATTTCCTCTTCCCAGTTGACTTGGCCGGAAGTGCCTTTCTTTTGTCGCGAGTGCCCTAACTTTGTATATGTCTTACACTATAGTACACTGTGTCAGGCTGTCGACCTCTAGTGCTGACCATCACAGACTAGGTACAATTTGACCGTGATAAGATGCTATTTTCGTGTGAGTGCTAACAATAATATTGCTCTACTATTTCATATCTCATGTCCTAAGTGTAAATACGAATCAAGTCTATCACCTAGCTCGCCCTCGCTGCGGCGAAGAATCTCAACCTTTTCCACGCCTATCACTGGGATGTCTACACATATCAGTCCACCCGCGTTCTCAAATTTCTCTCAGCCGGCACATTCAGCGCCGTTTCAGCACCAGCACGAACGGACCTGGTGAGGGAATTTTGCATATTGATGAACATCAATACAGGTATATGTCCACTGGCTAGTGCTTTGAGTCCAGACCATTAATTAGGACCACAGCTGTGGCGCTGACGAGGCACAGCCAAGCCGGAAGGTTGACAAGCAAAGACCTTCGGAAGTGCATGGAGAGCCATGTGCGTACCACATTCTCATTCTTCACACCTGGGTCTTGAGGGGATCCAATGGCTGCCATAAGAGACTTGCTGCGCAGGCCGTAGTAGAAGTGAGCGATGCTCATGACACTGCCGGCAAGGTACAGGCGGCGGGCCAGCTGATTTTCCACGGCGCCTCTGCCCACACTGTTGGCAAGCGCAAGGAGCATGGTGCCAGGGTACGCAATGAAGATGGCTGTGGTCCCTGTGATCCATACGCCAGGCATGTAGTATGGAAGCAGCTTGCCCGACAAGTGGTCAGGGTGGTTGGCTAGCTTGGGGTTCACAAAGCCTGAGATGAAGAGATCCTGCGCCCATGAGAACATCAGAGAGGCCGAGGAGACGGAGAGGGGGGCGAGGCGCAGAAGCGCCAGGCCGATCGTATGGCTATCGATGCCGGATTGAGAAAGTTGAGATGCCATCTTGTCAGCGTCTTGTAGTGAGAGATGTAACAGTGCAACAGTCCTGTTGTAGACAGTAACACAGGGTCGATTCAAGAGATACGATGTTATGACAGACTGCTTCACGATGTAAGACTACTCAATTGACAAGCCTCTTATACCTCATAGTTCCTTTGGATCATGAGGACTGTTACCACTAAGCTCGAACACTTGCTGTGAGAATGGTACGATGCTTTTGATCGCATGGTGATAGTATCGCCGACGATATGGAGCGACAGGAATGCACTTCGGGGTCGTGCACATCTTGGCTGGCCCTGGTGTAGACTTTCGAAGGACTCGGGATACGAGTGTTACACGTCGTAATCCGGCCTCCCTGACGATCAAGAGGCAGTGCCGGTTGCTGACACATCTGACATTGATGACATTCGGCCCAGGTGTGGATCCTCTTCGGCGCAGCTGTGGGTCTTCGGCATAGATGTGGGTCAGCCTCCGAGGCGGCGCTGGCGCGACGCTGTCAGCCTGCCTAGCGCCAGGAATGATCCCTGAGCATACCCCTGAAGCCATGAATAGGCCGACACCCACGTGTGCAACTATGGAACTAACTCCGTAACCATGATGCCGAGTGCTGAAATCTCCATTTGGCTCCTTTCTCCCTGGTCAGATCCGAGCTTGCAAAAAAGTCGCGATGGACATGTGATACGAATGCTACTTGCAAATTTTGATGTAGCTCGCACCTCCAAATCACAAGTCAGGAGATAAATTCACAGGGGATTCAGTTTTGCATTGGTCTGATGTTGAGCTGTGACTATACAGTCAATAGTATAACAGTCGAAGCCAGTAGATTTGAATATGCCAGAAGCCACGCCTCCTATCGCTCTTCTCTCTACAGCTCTTCTTCAGGTGACTCTCTGAAGCCTCATGAGTCGGTGTTTGGCACCCACTTTGCACTATCGCCCAGTCGGTCTACCGTAAGCCCAGCTCGCCCAGGGTTTCTCATGCCCGCTTCTACCTGTCGCTGATACGAGACGTTTCGAAGTCGTTCGTGTTCGGCGGGTGTCATCTGAAGCTAAAGGGGTGCACACCAGTCAGTGATGTCCTTTCGCAGCGCAGGCATGAGCGGTGCATCACTTACATAGATCTCGATGCCAATAGCGTGTATGGTCAGTGCCAGCCATCCGGCAGAACCGAAGAAGATGCCTGCCGCGGCAGCTTTCTCTGCCACGTTGCCGCCGAGGTCTGCTCGCACCATCACCCTCAGATCAGGGGGACCGCCAGCAAAGTATGGGGCGCAGTTCGGGTACAATGCAAGAGTGATATTCTGGCTTCCTGAGTAGATGCTCGCAATCTGGCTGCACATACGGGTCGTGTAATACCCCCCTTGTTGGCTGATGATTGGTGCGGCTATCTTTGTGATGATTCGAAGAGTAATGATGGAAGCAGCCTAGTGAGTAGACAGGAACATGAGTATCATTCCGTTATCATAGACCGGTTGGATGTCGTGGAACACTCACGTAGAACCAAGCTCTCAACATCCAAGCTCTATGCTGCTCGATTTGAAGCCGCTTGATATTTATGTACGCCATAGCCGTGGCAATGAGAAACATGATGCCCAGAAGCGTCAAAAAGATCTGGGTTTCGGGCTCCCCATCGAAGGCATGGCGGACAAGCATGAATGCACCTGCCGTAGATACCAAGGATAACAAAATGACGAGGTATCCATTGATACGGTGAAAGATCCGCAGTCGATGTCGGATAATGGGCACAAACTGGAAACACACCAGGAAAGAGGCGGGCAGGATAGTAGCGAGGTGCAGGAGGATGCCAACCTTTGTGTGACCCTGCAGATAGTAGAAGCACTCGCCCGGGGGTGTGTGCAGATCGATAGGAACCCGAGCCGCCGGGCCGCAAAAGAAGCCGTAGAAGTTTAGGAAGGGCAGTCGGGCGAGGGTGAAGCCCATCAATGCACCCGAGAATATGAACCACAGCACAAAGTTGTATCCTTTCGAGAAGCCTATGGGATTATAGATCTTCCGCGCTGCTCGGGAAAAGCCACCCTCGGCGGACTTCTCTAGGGTGGACATAGTACTTCGTGATTGAACTGCAGTGTGACACACCGAAAGTACACAAAGAGTGCTTGCGCGTTGCTTGATGCCTTTAGTTGTGTAGAATTGAAGAGGCTATTAATCTACCTGGAGGGATAGAATTTAGATCCAATAGTCTAGATGTCAGCCCGACAATGACTAAGTAAAGCCTGGCCGTGAAAAGATGGACTGGGAACACGACTTGATCATGCTTTGACTCGACGCTGATAGATATGAGTAAGCTATAAACGAGTCCACTTAGCGAATCTACAATTCGGTCGGACGCCAAATTTTCGGTGGTAGGCCGGTGCCACACCGAAGTGAGATTCGACTATTTAACACCCCGGCGATCACGAGTAAGCACTTTATTCAAGGCCTGCATGTTACAGAACGGGCTGGACGCAATGGATAGGACAGGCGCCCGTTGACGTGCGTGCCTATGGGCTTTCCTTGAGTTTGTCATTTAGGAAACCCAAGATGAGTTGCGTAACATGGCTACAGATTGCGCAGGACGAAATCCCCGAATTGTCAGTCAAATATATATACCCTTACGCATGAGCGAAGGTGCTATGAAAATTGCAATCCCAGAATTATTATGGATATATGTATCAAAGTCAAAGAAATTACCATAGCGCCCCATAATGCCTTCTGTAGCAGTACAGTGATATATGGCCGTTTGAGCCAGCTACAAGTCTAAGCTACCATGTACATCAGCAACAAACTATTTGTACTTGTGAACTCCCAGCAACCTCGATTTTCCCCGCAAGCCTTTGTAATCAACCTCGCAGCATTTTTGCAACCCTCTCTTAGGCCTTGGGCTCTGTCGACGTAGGCACAGCTTCAACATCGGCACCTGGCTTCTTCTTTTCTTTCAGGCCGTATTCCGTATCCAGCGTCTTTCTCAGGGAGATCTCCTTCTCGACAAACACCAGGAGAAAACCCAGGAGCGCGAAAGCCAACGAGACTTGCCACGTCATGCGCAGTGCGCGGGTGTAGACCTCGACAATCTCGCCCTGTACGTTGGACGTGGCATTGAGTGCGGCATCTGCGTAGCGAGTGACGAAATCATAAGCTTTGCCGCCGCTCAGCTGGGCCCGCAACGCAGGGTCGCTGACGCGCCAAGACTCGGCATCACACCTCGCATTGAAGATGGCTGCCGGAATTGAAACACCCCAGATCGCACCGTAGTTGCGCATAAAGTTGAATGCAGCAGCCGAAACACCAGCGTCAGCCTCTGGGAGATCAGCTTGTACAGCCGGCAGGTTGGAGGTCATCAACAATCCGAGACCGAGTGCAAAAATGACCTGAATGCCAATGTACTCGGCTTTCGAGGTGTCCTTGTCAAAGCGGCTGAAAAGCCCGAGTCCAATGACCATAAGCACAAAGGAAGCGAAATGCATAGGCCTATATCTTCCCCATTTGCTGAGCAGAAAGCCTGACGCAGTGCCAGTGAATACACTGATTGCCGAGGAAGGAAGGAATTGAACACCGCTCTGGATGGGAGACAGGCCCTTCACTGCTTGCAAGTACACTGGGAAGAAGAAGATGAGCCAGTAAAGCAGCATAAAGTCGATGAAGGCAATGATGAGAGCTGCTGCGGGGGTACGGCGCAGGAATAGTCGCTCAGGCAGGACTGGCGCCTTGACCCATGGGGCCGCCTCATAGAAGTGGAAGGCCGCCAACCCAACGAAACCGAGGATAAAAGGCACAAGGACCTGATAAGAGGCCCAAGGATAGCGCGCGCCACCCCACGATAGTGCAATGAGGACGGAGACGATCGAGAGGATGAGTATAAGGTTGCCAATATAATCGATGCGGCGCAACTTCTCCGACAGTGAACCCTGTCGGTTGAACTTGACCTGCAAGAAGAGGATATGCAATAGGAGGGCAAGGCCGGCGATCGGCAGGTTAAGGTAGAAAACCCACCGCCAGTTGGAGCGCTCGACGATGGCACCGCCGATGAACGGGCCAATAGCGGTGCCGAGAGTGAAAAACATGAAGATGGCGCCCATGTATTTGCCACGCTCTCGGAGAGGGACAAGGTCGCCAACGATCAACATAATAACCAAGTTGACACCGCCACCTCCCATGCCTTGGATAGCACGTCCAGCAATCATCATGGCAACGTTTGTAGATCCACCCGCAATGCCGCTACCAAGAGCGAACAAGCAGATGACAGCAATCATCAAGTACCGGCGACCCCAGATGTTGGCCAGCTGACCGATCAATGGAAGGAACGCACAGCTTCGTGCTTGGTTAGCCAGAGGTCAAGGCCTTAGTGGACTTGGAAGCTGACTGGACTCACCTCGTCAGAAGATAAACATTGACTATCCAGACGTATGAATCCCCGGCCCCTATCTCATTTGCGATGAAAGGCATGGCAGTAGCAACTACGGTGCTCTCTACCGCAGCTAGAAGCGTAGTGACGCACAAGGCCGGGAAGACTGCCCAGAAACGCCATCCTTTGGCTTGGTTCACCGTTGCTGGCGCTGGCGGTGCTGGTGCAGCGGTCTCCTTCGTAGGGCTTGGAGGCTCAAGATCCGATCTGGGCTTGTCAGTCTCTGACTGACTCTGGGCGTCTTTCTCCATCTTGTTTTGTATGATAGAGTCAGTGTCCTGTGCGGTTGATAGGTGAGGTGATGAGGGAGATCCTAGTTCGAGGTTGCGAGTTCTGTGTGCCGAGTTCTTATTAGAGGGAATGAAAAAAAGCAAAAGAGGACCATGTGCTATCCCAATTGAGAAATGCCGTGAATGCTAAATCCGAGACACCGAAATGGTTGTCCAGGACCAGAAGTGAAGAAGGGTGGTAATAGCCCTGGGCGGGCGAGGGGTGTGGTTCGCTGGGACCAGAGCACACGGGTGAAACCGTCGATCAAGAACGGAATTAAGAGGGCGTCGATATCTCCATGCCGGCAGTGCAATTTCCAGCAAACAAGTGATTATAAAGCAAAGCAATTCGCAGAATGGTTGCCCGGTGGGAAATTCGGCGGTTCGACAGAGGGGCGCCCCAAGGGGTGGCTCTATAACACCGAACATTTTCTTACCTCAGCCGTGTAAGGTTGCTGCAGCCCGGCAAATGGCGGATGTCCCCGTCTCGGCTAGGGTCGACGATCGTGAAGCCGGGGATATCGGTCATACCCAAACAGGGCTGAGCTTCCCTCCGAGGCGAGGCAATGGAGGGGTCTCGGTCGTGTGCGTGTGCCTGTCGCTTGCATACAGACATGTTTCGGGCCTAGTGAGGGGCAGCGACGATGCCCCCAAGTCGCGTCTTCCAACCCTACATATGAAAGCTGAGCTTTTCCCACGTCAGACTCACGGGCTATCCTCTGTTCCCCAAGAAAAACGAGTCCTGTCTCTTACCAGTTCCCTTCTCTCTTACACAAACTTCTCTTCCAGAACACTCCGCTGTAACACAAAACAAGATGTCGGCCTCCACCACATCCCCCGAGGTCCAGAAGAAGAGACTCCTACGTCTGACCATTGCCCACTACCGCAATGAGAACTGCAGCGAGAAGGACATGTACGAGTGGGGTACCAAGGAGCACGCTGTCCACGCTGCTGCTGTCCACGCCAGACACGGTATCGAGGGCTACGCTGTCGTATGTTTCTTCCCCATATATACCAACCCCGAGTAGCCCGTCCTAATGCGACTTTTACAGCACTGGTCTCCGTCCTCGTTCCGCACCGCCGCCAAGACCCTGAATGCCAGCCTGGGTGACCGCTGGGTGGTCCGCGACCAGGACATGTGGGTCGAGTTCTGGTTCCGCGACATGGAGCAGCTCTCTGCCACTGCGCAGGACCCTGACTTCCAGAAGCTCCAGGCTGCTGAGGGCCCGTATGCCAGCAAGATCCACGTCGAAGCTAGTCTCGGCTGGGTAGAGCAGTACGTTGCCGATGGCAAGGTGGTCAATGTCACAGCAGATGGCAAGCCCGACTTCCTGAGCTTTGAGGAGATGAGCGCTCCCCCGTTGTAAGCTGCCCGTTGGAAGTGCAGGGACCAGATTGCATAGGCACCGCTTCCTCGTGGAGCTGCTTGGGCGCAGTTCATGGACAGCAAGTAGATATAAGTGGTTATTCCAACGGCATTGAATTGTGATACACAAAGACAAAGACCAATTAGTAGTCGACGGTAGTGGGGACAACAATTCATGCAAACTGAAGGTCACTAAGAAGCAAGTTGAGGGAGACTCAGACATTGTCGGGAGGTAGGCTAAATTCGAGGTACTTGGACCAAGGCGTACATTCCCATAGGTGTCTTGTGCTAGCCTAAGGGACAGCTGACATGCGTCTCAAAATCTGTGCAGCAATAGTTTTAGTCTATCAGGTAAGATCTATAGAACAAGTAGCTGAGTAAATCAATTTGCCTCCTGCCATTTCTTCATGGACCCCGAAACGCCAGTTCATAACGGAGGAATGCACCGTGTCGTAATCAGAATCTCATCATGTCATGACCGTGACAAGACGAGCTCAAAAAGCAGTCCCCTGACCTGTTCTACCATAGCTAGAGTTGCGTCCTCGGTAGATTTGAGTCCCTCCAGAGATGCCTCACCAGCTGTGGGCCTTCGTTCTCGCTCCGAATCACCCTCCATGCTGGTAGCGTCTCCATCCTTCCCAGCATTGACCATGAACTGGATCAAGTATCGCGACCGCGTCATCATGATCTCGATTACTTGGACCAACACCAGCACTTGTGTCGTGGTCGACGACTCCATGGTGAAGCTGCCTATAGCGAGGCTTGGCAGGTGCATAAAGCGATTGGACGGGACAGAGTTCGAGTTTGAGTTTGGATTTGAGTTTGCCGTAGACCTCTTTAGACGCGCACAGGCCGCCACGTGCTCCAGGATGTTGTGGTAAATCTCAATGATGCGAAGATAGGACGACAGCACGATCAGCTGACACGGCTGGTCGAGAGACGGCGGCTCTACCGTCACGTCGTCGTCGTTCTTGTGCGACTTGGGAAACAGGCGGTCCAGCGTCTCAATGAAGAGCTGCGAGATCTTGAGGACTCGATCCAGCGCAAACTCCTTGCCCTCCAGTGGGCTGTACTCGCCCGGACGGTCCCACGCGCTGGCGGGCGGCATCAGCGACGCAAAACTGTACAGCTCGAGACTCAGATCGGAAAGCTGCCGCACTCCACGACTGATCATTGCCTGGTTCCGTTCTGCAGCCGCTGTGCGACCGGACGCCAGATCGGACGCGGGTGGCGAGAAACTGGGCATATCTAACGACTGGGGAGTGGTCGCCGCCAGCAGGCTGCCGTCTGTGAATTCCTTGTGGTGGAACATGCTCCCCAAGCCACCGCCGTAAGTGGACATGCCCATGGTGTTCGACTGGGCATTCGTGACAGAAGAGACAATGCTGCTTTCGGAGCTGGTGCCCACGGGGAAGGCGGAGTGGATCATGCTATCCCAACTCAAGTCGCTCTCGTGGAGAGGGGCGTCGGCGAAGGAGAAGTCGAGTCCCAGGGCCTGCCGACCCATGGCGAGGTCGGGCAGCAGGCCCTGGTGCGACTTGGGGGTTCTTGGAAGTCGGTGATCTGAGTAGTTACGGAAGACTTAGCTACGGGCTCTTGGCCACGGGCTCTTGGCTATATCACCACCATGCCCGGACCCCAGGGGGGAGAGAGACCTGTGGAGAGGACTGACCTGTGGTGTTGGCGCTAGCCAAGGCCATTGTCTCGGCGATCTCTTGGTCTGCGTCACTCAGAACGGCGACGGAGCCTTGCCCAGCAAAGGCGCTGTTGGCGGCACGGGGGCCCTGGGGCACGCCCGAGACGGTGCACTTCGCCTTGGCCCGCTGGCATCGTTGGCAGCTCTGTTCGTTGTCGTCGCGCCTGCAGCGCAGCTTCTGGTCGTGGCACCTGTCGCAAGATCGGCGGTAGTGGCCCAGGCGCATGGTTGACATTGCTCGCTCAAATGCCAACTCAGCCGGACACAGGCGGGGAATAGCAATGAAATACCTGCCGTACCTCGGGATATCTACTGACGCCCGCGGCGACATATGCCTTTAGATGTCGGTCCTGGGCCCACCCGCCTTGCCCGCCGACGCGGGGAACACAGGCCAAATAGGTAAGGCAAAGCGGCGGTAGGATTGGGCAGGATCCTCCGGCATGCAGCGACTGGGATCTGGCGCCAGCCAATTAGGGGTCCAGCCGTTTTACGTGCCTCGACACCAAATGCTGACCGCAGGCATTTTCAGGCCAGAACGGACAAGATAGTTTTGTTCTTGCCAGCATCTCACCAGCGAGGGGCAAGATGAACACATGGGGACCAAAAAACAAATTTACAAAGCCCGCACTCACCCTTGCCAACGCGGAAGAACAAGGTAGTCAGCTAAAGTCCGTGTCAGGGCGTCTTGGACCCTAGATCAGAACACACAAGGTACGCCATGCTCAAATACACTGCCCGCTGAAGGGTCTAACTTAGGGCCTGGGCCCGGGCCGCCTGCCGCGGGGACCTGCCAGCGCCTCGGAACGCCCTGCTGACCTAATCATCAAAATACAACTCTCTTTGACGCCAGCTGAATTGGCATCCCCGACGCAGCACAAGCTGGTGGTTGGAAAGCCACAGGTTGCAACATCGTACCCTGCTATTGTTTAATGTGGCCGCTTTGACCTCCGCCGCGTTTTTGCTTGCAACGTAGCCGTGAAGGATTCTCCCGTGCCGTAGTTCCTGGGCCTGCGAGGTCTCCTCTCATTCTTGGCGTCCCGCTTTACTTACACAACGACGTGTTAGTGGTTCAATCATGGAGGCTCCGCCAAGCTAATGATGAAGGGACGTGGGGAGCCGTATCAAAGTGCTCAAGGATCTCAAGGACTTTGATGGTTGCCTCTGGATGATATGATGGTCCGGCGTCAAGCGGCCGCGCCTTACAGTTGACGCGTACGCAATAAGTCTATGTCACCATCGGGGGCCTGAGGCATGCCGCTCCGCTCCGGCTCTTGAGAAGGGGCTGACTTAGCTTAGTAAAGTATTGTTCAAAAGTACCAAGCAGTGTTCCCTGCAGGGACTGGCCCACCGCCCGTGTTTTAGGCCCAGTGAGTCACATCATTTCATAAGCTTATTAGTGGGAAAGGCCACTTACCGTTGAGGCACGCAATCGACAAGACTTTTTCGGCACGGACCGATTAACAAGATACTAGCGGATGCCATTCCGGACGCCCCTAGCTTGCCCGGGTCTTCTAGTGCCGAGACTAGGACTATTACCTACTCTACACATTAGTACACGGAGGAAAAGATATTTGTGAAGAGATATCAGCAGGCTCGGTTCATGACTGTATGTATTCGTATTGAAATATAAGAAATTTTGCAATGAAAAATGTATAGTCTTTTCCAGCCTCTAAGCGGATCCAACCGACTGCGTCTCAACTAACCTAAGAAACGAGAGTCGGTGTAGTCGTTGTTAGTGCCCTGCGTGTAAGCGCGAGGAGGATTTGCCTATGCCTTAAGGGGACTAAGGTATATCGGTTTACGATGGAAAGGTCTATTTATTCCGAAACTGATTGTATGTAGAGGCAAGGATCAGCAACGCAACCACTAGGGGCCCGGATGCCTAATGGGCTAGAACATGCACTGTTTTGATAGGGGTGCATGTGATTTCGTTGAAGATCGAAAATCTTTACGAACGTAAGCACATGTTGAATTCGGCTGCGATGGCAGTCTACACCGGCGCGTCTAAGTTATACACTGCACTATACCAGGTAGTTACACACATCAAGTCCATGTTTGGAATATAAATTGCCGCGTTTTAGTCTCGTAGGACTTAAGTATTCAACTCCCTGCCTTACATACCCCCTTACGACAAGACCTAAACATGAACAACCTACCACATCCAATGGCTCCAATTACGCTAAGGTGAAGGAATATAATCTGCCAGCTCCTTGCTCTCCATGGGCTTGGATAAGCGCGGCAAGATTTTAGCCCACCCTGAGTCAGCTTAGACATTCCCACAGAACCTTCCATCTACGATCAATCATGAGAGTCATTGACTAAAGTCCCATCCATTGGGGAATATACGGAAAGCTCGGATGTGCCACGATGTGTTGCCGTGGGTGATCATTGGTCTCATTCCAATAGCGGCAAGGATGTCCGAAAATGGGTCCGGCCAAGGCCTGCAAGCCACATTTTCGGTATTCATATGTGGAGTATCGATAGCCATTTTACCGTCTACCACATGATTCTGGTTACGTCAGTCGTGACTAGTCTAGTGGACGCTTGTCCGCAAGAATCTTCAGAGGAAAACACTCAATGGTTGGAAAACGAACAAAACCACATTTACGAACATGTGACATATACTCAAAGGCTCATCTAGCCCTTCTCCGGAAAGAGAAATTATATTTATAACTAGTCCCACTTTGCAACGTGTAATAAACTACCTACTGGGGGGATCTTGCAGTCTCAATTGATCCGGCCAGTTTATCACCACTGAATTCCAGTCAAAATTTTGATTTGCAAAGGCCTTATACCAGCTACTAAAAGCTACCTGACAAGGTGAATTTCGCAGCGGCATACCCGGCTCATAGACACAGAGATACCACGATCATTTTGCAGCAAATTGGTAGCATGTTTCCTGCCTATATTACTCCTCACAAACATCATATAAAGAGCACAGTGTACACTACCATCTTAGCATGGCCTTGGGCAGATAGTTAGGACAAAATCGATTTCTAAGATAAACCTGATATTGATCATCAAGACAATACCTATCTATATAGCTACCCGACTGCCTTACCGACAATTTTTGTGCCAAGGGGAAGGCTCAGAACGCAAGAACCACTGCAGTAATTGTTTACGTGAAACCTGTCACGAACTGATTCCAATACTCTGATCTATATGAGATGCAGATGACTTTTACATTACCCTTGGCCATTAAATCCCCCAACAGGAGTAAGCCACAAGAGCCTGAAGCTTCCATCCTTGAAGGACGCTGATACAATGATAACTAAGTGTAGTTTGACCCCTATGACCGCTGCTGGCACGCTTTCACTTAGACAAACAATTTTTATCGAGTAGCATTACCAAGTCACTACCATCTCTAAGCACGGAGTATAGAAGCGCAGAGGCAGTCAAGTCTGAATCTTTTACAATGTTCCCAATGAGACCCGATTTTCCAATGCATAAGGATCCCATTGAGTAATAGTGACGTACTCATTCGCTGACATGGATCATGCAGTTCAGGCGAATTGAGGGGTTCTTCTGGGTGTTACTTGTGGGTAACCAAAATGCCGTACCGCAATCAAGCCACAGATCAGTGATAGCATCTGCGTAATTCTTCGCGGCTCAGTTTGCGAGGGAGCATTATGCGAATACAGCAATGGACGACCACGCTGCTACTAGGAATAAATACGGGTCTCCGGAGTGACAGTTATCAACTCAAACCATCTCTTGCTGACATTGCCCCTCCTATCAGTCAGTTCCGAGAGCCGTTCTTCGAAAGCAAGTGACCAATAGTTCGGTAAAGGATGACTTAGCTGACACATCCGAATAATCCCCATCTAAGTTTTATTGCACCTAAAAGACTCTGCATGCCGTACTATGCTGTACGTCGGGACTTTTTCATGTCTGAGGATAGCTGCCACAACGACGCCGCCATGTGTCACAGTGATTACGGTATCGCGCTACAGCATAACACAATCCTCGTATTGCCATACGCATTTCATTTTCAGCTTGTGGTTCGACGCAGATCATCTCTCAAAAGGAGATTCCATCCAGTCGCAAAAGCACCTTCTCTATGAACCTCACACCAACGAGAACTCTGTCTTCGTCCTGCATCCCACAGTCATCTCCGAAATCTTCATTGCCTTCGTCAAGACAAGTCAAGCACGTAATCACCACGGACGTGTATTTGTCCCCCATTCTCATTGGCAGTCTTGACTTGGCCAATTCGACAAGGTGATCTTTAATGTGGTTGTATGGGCCCAATAGTTCGGCCTTCCTCGGCTTGAAATCCTCCACTTGTAATCCTAAGGTATTTGATGGGATGGGACCTGTTATATCTTCGACTATGTTACTGTGATTACTCTCATATTCGATGAAACTGGTCCACAATCCAATCTCAAGGAGGCACACGCCCAGGCTATACACATCGTGCTGCATGGTATATTTGTCGTGCGCAAGAAGTCCTTGCCGGAAAGGATGTCTATAGAGGTTCCGTTCCCAAGCCGTATCGCCACCGCGCATGGTGTGGAAGTTGACGTTGCGGAATGAATCGAAGCCCAGAAGATACGTAGATCCAAAAGCGCGGTTATGAGATTCTTCATCCATAAATGAGAGGATTGTCTCGGGCCTGATATTTTTGTGAACGAATTCGCAGGTGTGGATGAAACTAATCGCCTCCGTAAGCTGTCGTGCCAAGCGCAATACTCGTGAGAGGCTACATTCTTGCGGGCGCATCAAACTCTGCCGTAGACTTCTCACCGTACGTGACTCTGCTGGCAGACTGAAAATCATATTCAATGATGCGATTTGGTTTTTCGTTGGGAGCTTTCTCTTGACAATGCCGTAGCTAGCCAGGAGCCCAAACGTCTCGGGGTCAACTTGCTGCAACTTCCTAGCCAGTGACTCTGAATCTGCTCGTAGCTGAGTGACATCGATTCCGGACCGGCAATCAATGGTGTCTACAGCATATCGTTTCGCAGAGTTGGCTCGTTTTACGATTCGAGTTTCTGAATAAAGGACACTTTGCGCGTCGTCCCAATCTAAACCACCTTCAGGCAAGGAGATGTGCGCCGCAAGCCCCTTGCTACGGAGAGCACCCTCGTGTGTGTGTACGTTTTGCTTGGAGCAGCCTGCATTTCCAGGGTTCCGTTAATCGAGTTCATGGTCTCCTACTCGCTAGATAGTGCACTGTCAATCAACTTGTCTCTTAGTTGCATACTCTGAACCTGCTTAGTGAGATTACTAGGGCTGAGACCCTGTGGTCAAACGGCTGAGAAGTTCATACAAATAGTAATGTTGGGCTACCGTGAGGGTTCTACGACGCGCAATTGCTTCTAGTCAAAAGGACCGTGGTGCTGACCACTATTCGTATAAACCTGCCTCGCCACGCATTGATGATGTGCCCCACTGCATAGCCGCCTAGCACTATAATATAATATTACTATTACATTTATCAGAACTATTCTAGAAAGGCTGAGAATGAATTCCGCGGTGTAATATTCAACTCCTTTTACAAGAATATTTTGTAAAGTGTTGTATTCTTAAGCTGGCTCAGGCAGCGCTTAGGTGTCAAGCAAGGTTGTAGCTACAATCTTGTATGAACCGACAGAGTCACTAAGCTGCGTCATCAATCTATTTGAGCAAAGCCTTCAGTGGATGGATTTGAAATCATCAGTGGTGGAGTCTGGGCGTGAGATCGTTGATAGACGGTGTGCGGCTGTGCATAGATATCCTGGGTACATATAGATAACGAGGACTGCCAGACATATATATGATTACATCGATACATATTCCTATTTCTTGTCTAAATACTTCCACTTCCCAGATGCTAACTCCTAATACCTTACCAGGGCGGGACTATGCGGATTTTCGCTTTTTACTGCTAACAAGTCCGGTCATACTTGGCCTCTTTATTGATTGCACAATTGCCAGGAAGATCAGGGACGGATCAGATCCAACGATCATGAAACACGGCAGCACATATTACTCCGCAGATTCGGATGGCGCGTCCATTTGGGTACATGATGCCACGTCAATGGAGGGCCTTGGCGCTTCTGATGGTCACAGAGTCTGGTTTGATAGCGCTGGCAGAGGTGAAGTCTGGGCTCCCGAGATCACCACAGACGGGGGAAAGACATACATCTAGTTTTCTTTTGGAACTGGCTCCAATCATCGTATGTACGTGATCAGTGCAAGGGTACCCCTAGGGCCCTACTCAGCAGACCAAAAGTTGGCCTTGCCCGACGATAGGTGGGCATTGATGGTACACTTCTCACCTTCGAGGGACAGCGCTGGTTTGTCTGGTCTGGTTGGGCAGGCGCTGACAACGGGGAACAGAACTTATACATATGCCGCATGAATAGCCCACTTGAACCGACTGGGAGCCGATACATTATCTCTCAGCCGCGTGAGAGATGGGAGCAGGGTGATCACCCATTGGTCAACGAGGGGCCCGAGGTTATAGTTGACCCGAACGGACAGCTGCACATCGTCTACTCCGCCAATGGCAGTTGGGGCAACAAGTATTGCCTTGCAGACCTTCGCCTTCGTAGGGGTGGCGACCCGGCACATGTACAGGATTATATTAAGTCGAATGGTTGTCTCTTCGGCACACACCAGGACAGGATGATGGCTGGTTGGGATGCTACCCTTTTCATCAACGGCCCCGGACATCATACTTTTGCCCTGTCCAATAGCGACGTCAACCAAAGCCCCCGTGGGGTGAAACACATCCCCTTTGTGTTCCATGGAGTCGAAAAAGGAACCGTATATAACTGGGCCAACCGAGCTTGGTTCACCGGCAGTTTCGTTTGGTGGAGCGGAACAAACTACCATCAGGCCAATGTGGCAGTGGATAATAATAATTCTGGATTCAGCTTCAAGATTTTTGAATATACGCCTAAGAATGTGGACCTACAGGATGTAGCTGCAAATATAATATGGCTATAATACCTGTTAATGTCAAAGCTTAATCAGGGCGGGATTTTCCCAGTTTTCGGCCCAGCTGTTGGATTCTCAGACAGCTAAAGCTACACATTCAATTGAAGGCATCTCAGATGATGATTGGCTGTCCGCTTCGAAGGAATACGCTTGAGCCTGCACCTAGCTATCCGAAACGAGGCCTGAAACTTTCAACCATTGCCACAATGTACGTTTGCTTCTTCTCAGCGTCTCAATGATTAAGCAAAATGACTACGAGAACTCTGTCGTGCCATGCTGAGGCTGTGCAGGTTTGAAACCAACAATCTTTCAGCCTCAGGCCGCACTAGGGCCGCTGGAGGACTCCAGCTGTGTGACAATCTCAACTGACCAATCACGAGGCATCGCTACGCGCAGACCGCGTCACAGTCCTCGGCCCGGCCCGAAATAATTGGTTGGACTGGTTATTCTACATTGGTTTATCTCTAGCTCCTCTTTTGGCCGGGTCACAGCCTCGATACGCTTAGCAGAGTGGGGGTTGTACCCAGCTATAAGTCTGGCGACATCCTCCACTGCACGTCTCCCTTGTCCGCCTTCGATTTGTGTTTCCATGTCTATCGCTATTTACTTTTACTTTATATAAATATTATCCAAAATGGTTCGAACAGTAAGAGATCATTCGCAGTTGTTGTAGACGCATCCAAGAGTACTAATAGATATAGTCGCAGCATTCGATGCCGAGATCTGCGGCCGGGTCTTCTACCTCATCGTCAACGACGACTGCCCTCACCCCTTCGACTCGAAGTGCCTCTAGTAGACTCTTCATGACAAACGTTCCTGCTGCAAATAACGGAGATGTGTCTCTCTACCAAGGCGTCACTACACCAAACTCGACAGGACGAGGAAGTACGAGTAGTGGTGCCACGTCAGACTTTGGACGTTTGCGATTGACGCCTTCCTCGAGCACCATCACAACAAACTTGGTGACCAACTCACTTGGCGACCTATTGATTCAATCATCCGGACGACCCTCCTTGTCAAGTTCTACGACGCAAGCAGGTGCTCAGTCACTTACGCCTCCTGCGGTTCCTAGAAGGCGGTCAAGCTCCCGCACCAAGCAGCCACCGCACGCTGTAGAAGACGAAGAACCACCGGATGATCGATTCCATGCGCCAGGATTTCAGCAAGCATATATTGAGGCTATAGAATTGGTGGCTAGCCTCAAGGCTGTCCTTGGGAGTAGCACTCTCCATGTCGACGAGGATTCTACCATTGGTCGGTTGTATCAGAAGGCCACGGAGTTGAGCGAGTTTCGATGCCTTGCTCGCCGTACTGTAGGATTTGTTGGAGACTCTGGCGCTGGTTAGTTTTTTATACCCTGATAATTTGAAAGTGATAACTCAACCAAATAATGAAGGCAAGTCAAGTCTGCTAAACTCCTTGTTGGACTCACAATCACTGGCTCGAACAGTAAGTTTACTATTTTCCGTTGAGAATACCATCTAGGTACTAATCAATGATCTCCAGAGCGGCGGCGGTGCAGCTTGTACTTGCGTCGCCACAGAGTACCATTATAATGTGAACGATAACTATATCGTTGAGGTAGACTGGTATAATGCGGTTGAACTACACGGTCTGCTGATGGATATGCTCCAAGCGTATAGGCATTACTACGCCAATGGCGATGACATGGCTGGAGAAGAGAAACAAGATTTCGCACAGCGTTCCAAGATCGCTGATGACACCTTTCAAGCCTTATTCCCATGTCGCTGGGAGGGCGGAAACCCGTCATTGACCACAGGATCAACTGAGTCAGCATTCAACACCTTGCAGTCTTGGATTTTAGAATTAGGGATCACAAACGACGCCCAACGAATAATCATGGACACTCTTGGCGAGTGTTCCGATTATCTCGTAAATCTCACATCGGACCCGAGTTCAGCCGGGGTTTCAGCTTACTGGCCGCGCATCAAACGTATTAGGTATGTTGTTCGTTCCAGGCACCACAAGAAAGTGAAGGTATACTTACAGAATGTAGGGTCTTCGTCAAGGCCCATATATTAAGGAACGGGCTTGTCCTTGTCGATCTTCCTGGTAGGTACAAGTGATCGTCAATCTCTGACATGCAAGAGTACATTGGATAGATGCTAAACCATTTCACAGGGCTTCGAGATATGAATAGCGCTAGGCGGAATCTGACTGAGCGGTATATTATTGAATGCGACGAAATATTCGTGGTTGCAAACATCGATCGTGCCACAACGAATGTCGGTGTCAAACATGTTGTCGCATTAGCAAAGCGAGCTGGCCTCTCCAATGTTGGCATCATCTGCACGAAGTCTGATGTGAGTAATTACCGTTCCACATGGTGGTTAATGATGCTAAATGTCTCTCAGATCATCAAAGCGGATGAGGCCATCAAAGATTGGCTGGGCGAAATTGCGAATAATATCCGAAAATTGTCAACTATGGTCAACAACGCAGAAAAGGAGCTTAGAAAAGTTCAAGAAGAATGCAATGACTATACTGATGATGAACTTTGTGAGGAAGACCTTGTGCGTGCTGGAGAATTAGGAAGGAAGCAGTCTCAGCTCACGTAAATGCCACCCCTCTGAAACCACACCTAGTACTTACTCCATCTTAGGAAACTGGTAAACCGGCAAAGGTTCAGGTGAGTAACAAATTCATGAGCAAGCTAGAAGCGTGTGGTGAGCTCATAATATCAACAGGCTCAGCAAGTACCTTATGGAAACTCGAAACCAAAAGACGTCCCAGAGTCTACTAGATCTCTATCAAAACGAGGTCCCTGATGGCCAGCTGAGGATTTTCTGTGTAAGCAACGACAACTATTGGCAAAATCGTGATTTGCCTGCCGATGAATTTGCCAAATTCTTGGAACTGAGTGGTATAATGGCCCTGCGACGGCACTGCATTTCGATTGTATCTGAAAGTCAGTTCCGTGGGGCAAGCAAGTTCATGAAACATGATATTTCTGCCTTGATCAGCGACGTCGAGCTGTGGGCCCAAGCTGGCGCACCCAGTTTGGATGCCGAACGAAAACAGGTAATTTGCGAAGCGCTTGACATAATTGATGGACGGCTGAGAAGGGTAAATCCGTACAAACCAATCTGCTGCACAAACCAAGCTGAGAATCAATATAGGACCTGATAGGAACCTCATCTCGCTGCAGGACTATCAACCAAGCATTAAGAAATGACTTCAATGAAGGTATTCTGCAGCGTACGTAGTCTTGAACCACGGGACGAATGCTTAGCTGACCGATCAAAGGAGCAAACATTTTTGAATGGAGCCAGGCGGCAAGAAATGCAGCAACCCAGTGGTCAGGGGTATGTAATCTTTGAGATACACGCATGTCATTCAAGTCATCCAAACTAATATCCTGTTTAGTGGCATTGGGGTGCGTCACATACCACGACTAATCTTCAATAAGATTGAGATGCTTATACTGTATATAGCTAGCTACGCAGCATTTTGCCGAAATTATGGAGAATACTATACCCAAGCGGTTGGCTCCCGCTGTTGGAACGCGGAGATGATCGAAACTATGGCCAACGACCTTGACAGACCTTGGCAGGTTCTGCTTGAGAGCGTCCAAAGTCACCAAGAGGATCTATTAAGCTCCGTTCAAGAATCGATCGACTGGGCAATACAGTATCTAGGTAAATCCCGATGCTACTGAATTTGAGCGCCTGCTAACTCGCTCTTTTTCCAATCAGAAACCGAGATTCAGGGATCGTCTGAACTTGTCGATACCCTCACCGAAGCTCTGGCATCGCGACTGGGCCATTTGTCCGATGAGTTAGAAGACATATACGATAAACTTGAATCGGACCTCTCGTAAGGGCGACAGGCTCCAGTTGCACTGACACTGCTGACACTCCTTACCTCAGTACCTTAAAGATTGATTCCTTGTCAGGTATCCAAACCTCCTACATTGGCCAGGCCATGAAGGAGACCTATGACCATTGCAATATGGAGTGTGGTACATGAATCTCCTTGTTTTTCTATTTCACCAAGGCTCGGACTCGCTAACATACTAATGTTCAGGTACCGGTAGCCACGCCCGCCGAAAAGCCATCATGAATAGGAGGGTGAGAGACCAGGAGCTTCTCAAGACTGTCATTAAAGAGACCAGAATACAGTTCAAGAGCCTCGCCGATGGTTTCCAAAGCAGTGTCCAGAGCGCTGTCCGCATTCAGTTTGATGGGCTACAAGAGACGCTGGATATCTTTCGGGAGGAGAATGCGGCATCGGAAAGTGAGCAGGATCCTGATTTCCATGGCAGGATTGAGGAAGTCGTCGGTACTTGCAGAGAGGCACTCACTAGAATTCAGGTTCAGGTTAGCGGCGTGGCGAACTGAGTTGTATTTACCCAGCAATGATTCATTGGCATGGAGCAGGATAGATCTTCTACCAGTTATCTCTTCTCCATTTGGGATTGCGTTGCCAATTTAGGTGCCGTTTCGTTTCGTTCTTACATACGAGTCGCTGCGAATTATCACGCGAGTCATGAGTTGCACCGAGCATAATCAACATGTTCATGTTCATTCGTGAAACATCTATGTACAACAGTACAACATCCATATGCAGCCGTACAAGGTCTACACAGGCAGTGCTTTTGGTGATGTGAATCCCTCCACCCAAACCGGTGCCGTGCATGGAAAGTCGTGAAACCATGCCGTAAGCCTAGATCCGTCTTCATGCCTCAACAGGTGGCAGTGCCAAAGAACCCTCCGGGTCCTGCGAGTCTTGAATGAGACCTTCCAGAAGACCTCCCCAAGCTGAATTTCGTCCACCGTAAACCAAGAAACAGATATAGCGTGCTAACCAAGCGCCCAAAACTGGTCTTCTAGGGGACCGAGGCTTGCTACCGCCCATAATAAAGTTCATATATGCAAAGAATCCCCTTTCGTACAGCTACCTCCCAACCCCTCTCGTATGTATCATGGCGACATGTGTCATTTACCGGACCTCGTGAACGTCGACCGTGTTTGACCTCCAGTCTTGTTGGTTGGTCTTTGTGAGCGAACCAAATCCAGGCATGGACGAGAATCTGTTCAACTTCTTCCTTTGCGCGGGCGTCTGGGGCTCGGTCGTATAAGAGCGTGACCTGGCCTCCTCCACGCTGTGCCTGCCGTACTCGGTTGTGGGCGATGATGCTGCCGAACTCTGCGCCGACGAGCCAGTGGAGTTCGGTGTGTTGTAAACGTACTCGCCATCAACGTAGACAGCGCCGCTGATAAAGGTGGTGCGTCTGTTGCGGTTGCGGGTGTAACGTTTCTCGAGCCTGTACAGCTCAAGCTTGGCTTGGATCTTATCGAAAAGGCTAGGCATATTGATGGCGGTTTCGCACGATTGCACAGTTGCTTTTTCTTCACACCGTTGAGACGGGGTCGTATGCTTCGAAGCGATTGCCTTTCGTAATATGTTGCGCGCTTCTGAGACACAGATTTGATCTAGATAGCTGGGCCGGTGCACAAGGACGGGATGTTGGATTATGTCTATTTTCTCCGTAGTAAGGAGTGGTAAAGAGAGTGCGTATATCGGTGGCTTGCAGTCAAAAGGAGTGGATTCTGCGCCAGGAGGAAATGAGCGGACAGGGTGGATGTATATCCTCGGTGCGAGCTCCTATCGGTAGAAGAGCAATTGGAAGGGTTGGGAAGACAAACAGGGACGGAATAGCATTGAAAAAGAGGGAAAAACCCAGAGTGTAGCCAAGAGAAGGGGGGAAGCAAGGTAGGGAAAGGTTCCAGAATGTCGAGAACGAATCGAGATGGATGGGTGGGTATGGTCGCTCCAGGGCATGAGTCGATTCACTGGATGAGCTCGCGGCCATGAAAGCACCTGCAGGTATCTTCTGCAGCGAGAAAAATGGAGCCGCAACCGGCCAGCCATTCAGGTGGTGCGCCCAGCTGCTGGAACGGTTCTCCATGGCACCGGACGGCGGAAGCCCCCAGGTGGCCTCCACACCTGATCCAGCTAGCATCATGCAGTAAACCCTGCTGGCGCTGGTCTTAGCACCGCGTGGTGTTGAATTGCGATGCGAGCGCACAGATCAGGACCAAGGGCCGCTCTAGCACTGCCAGGAAATCCCCTGCTGAAACTGTGATCATGGCCGATAGTGCATTGAGCCGGTGATACGCTGCTTGCGTCGCGTGGACCCCTTGAGAGGAATGCACCAATTGGCGCTGGACTGCCCTGGCTGGCTCGTTGGGCCGACGCAGGGGGCTCGGCCCAGGGCCCAGGGCCCAGGGGAATCAACTTGATAGGGAGCCAGGGAGGGTCGATTTCGCCGTTTGCCACGAGGTTTCCTGCGACCCAGGCTGGCGAGCCGTCCAAGAAGAACGCAACTAACTCATCCGCTAGCCTCTGGCCTGGCGGGCCTCGTAGCGGGCAACCTTAGCTAGGTCTTCACTTGATTTCAGCACACAGTCGAAATTGCGACATAGAGTTCGCGGCAGGCTTTCGGACGGGAGAGGAGCTGAGCCGTGCCAGGTTGCTGGGAATTGCAGGTTTGGCCTCAGCCGATAAGGTTTGCCAGATGCGGATTGTAAGCGCATAACCAGAGGCAAGTACAGCCAGTTCAATTGAACTTGCTCCTTACGGGTTGCGATGGCATCAGCAAGACTGGGATAGACGGTCACCCTGGAGGCCGGTGGCTGCGGAGCTGAATGCACGAGTCGTCAACGGGACTACTCCAATTCTTGGAGCCAAGTTCCGAGGTCTCCAGCCTGGAGGCCGGCGATCAATTTGGGTTCCGTCGCTATGGATCAGCAGCTGGCTCGACCGCGTCCGTTTCTCCAGGCACTTGTTGACTCGCCCAAGCGTTCGACGCAGCTCGATGGAGGGTTCATCCTGGACGATCCACGTGCGCAAGAGTAAGAGGGCATTCTGCCGATGCTTCAGAGATGCTTCATCTCTGCATTGCTATCATGTTGCATAACAATATGGCTGCCGATCAGTCAGCCAGCCAGGCATGCTGGTAGGTCATCACTTGCTGCCGCTACCGCAATCATCAGGGCACTGTAAAGCACCGGTAAGTTACCAAACAATCCCATGGAACCTGCCGGTGGGCAAGAAAGGACGGCCGTATCTCGAGGTCTGGTGAGCTTGTCCATCGCCTTTGGGACCAATGCTGTTTGGACGGCAGCATGCCGCTGGGAACTTTCTGTACCCCTCACAAGAGGCTGCAGAACGACCTGTCTCGGGTAGTTAGCGGTCCACAACCCGTTTATTTCCAGAGTATGAATCCCCATGGGTTGGGGTTCCAAGATTCAGGGCCAACAGGAAGGGGCCTGTGCGCTGGGCTGAAGATTAACGCTAATTAACGATCGACATGGACTTAATTACAGTCTTGAGCACATCAATAAGACAGGTTGAGATTTTGATCTGGCAAACACCGCGAGGTGCTGCAAGATGGAAGTCGATACTGGAGACTCCATCTCATCCAAGACCCATACAGGATCCGGGGTAGAGCTACCCATAGAGGGAACCCGAGGATGGAACAAGTGCAGGAGCTTGGACTTCTTGACCAGCTGCCGCCGGTTGGAAATTCACCCCTGGATTTTCATTCGTGACCAATGGAATAGGTATCATCGTCCTAACTTCTGACTCAAGCAGACTCTTCATCTCAAATATCAGAGTTGTAAAAGCATTCAATGGAAAGAGCTCTTGAAGGTTCTAATCAGAAGGCAAAGTCACACACACATGACAGAAAGCGTTGTGAGTCGGTTTTTCTTCTTCAGAGAGGGTGCCATATACTTTGGTTTTATGTTGTAACACGTGTGGATTTCAAAGTAAGGGCAGACAATATTACATCCTCTAATGTAGAATTACGGGATCATAGCGAATTGAACACATGTGCAAAGGAACAGTCGAATCTATGCAAGCTCCACGCCTCCTCGCGCGGGAGTTACCAGAGGTGCCTGTATCCTAGACTCGGGTGGGGCCTGCTCTGTTAGTGCCCACAAATCTGGAGGATACTGTTGATATATGAGTGCTTGTTCCTGGGCCGTAATCTGCCTCCTTCGTGCCTCCCTGTCGAGGAGGTCCTTGTCTCTGTCTTCGATCTTCCAGTAGTCCTCAACATCGGTGACGACGGGGCTTTGATAGAGCAAATCCCAAGGATAGTACGTGAAGGGGACGCTGGGGAACCGCCTGCGCATCTCTTCTGACAGAAAGCGCCCAACCCTGGCGCTCGAACACCGAAACGCTATGTCGACTGGCATTAGACTCATGTTGTCTCTTCGGTACAGATCCGCCCCCGGAAACCCCACGACCCTCTGCATGATATCTAAGCAATCCAACGAAGCCGCCCAATGGACAAGGTTCCTGCCTTGGTGGTCCCTTTGGTTCACGTCGACATCCGAGTAGTCGAGCAAAGCCGCGATCGTATCCTTGAAACCCATGTCCAGGGCAGCTTGAGCCGCCGTGCGGCCGTTTCGATCCTGCACGATGGAGCTGGCACCATGAGACTTCAGGACCCTGCAACATACAGTATTGCCTTTGGCAGCTGCATAGTGGAGCGCAGTACTTCCGGAGTGGTCAATCTGGTCCAGGATGCTACCGTCGTTACAATTGAGTATGCATGTGTTGATGACGTTGGGCCAGTTGTTTAAGGCAGCGTGATGCAGCACTCCTTTCCCTGAAAGGTCAATATGCTTTATTAGTCCGGTGAAACCACAGTGATTCAAGAGCATATCAGCTAGGCCTTGATTATCCTGGATGAATGCGCAGATCAGGGGACTTAGTTGCCCTGGTTCTGGCAGCGGGGACGCAGCAGAAGCTCCAATCAACACCCGAGCAGCATCGGCATGGCCCCAGTACGTTGCCAACGCCAAAGGAGTGCGGCCTTGCTTGTCAATGATGTCGATACGGATTCCTGGTACCTGGAGGAGCTTCTTCATCCGGCTAAGTTTACGCATATATGTGGCCAGATGAAGTGCGGTATAACCCACAGCATCTTGTGCATTCACATCGAACACTCCATTCTCAAGAAACTTTTCCAAGACTTCATCCGTGCCATGCGGTATCAGCGAGTGCAACGCCGCTTGGCCCCTTCTGTTTTGTCGGTCGAGGTCCGTCTTCGGGTTGTCCATGATGATTTGGAAGATATCCCATTCTCCCGAGCGAATCGTGCTCTGCAAGATGGTTTCCGATACTGACTCATGGGGGTCGTTCGGGTTGGCGCCAAGTTCCAGCAACAGCAGCATCATCTCTTTCATTTTCTTCTCGTGGAGACGGAATGAGCAACCTTGAACGGCTCTCCACTCGCCTGATCTGGCATTCCATTTGTCATCGATATCGTACCCGTTCTCGTGGAACCTCCTCACTAGTTCCTGAGAGCCAATGAGGAGCGCTACCACGTTGAGGGGACTGATATAAGGCACACCTAACAGGGAACTGCCTGTGAACTTTGTCACCGCGAATACACTTTGCGACGATCCCATTGCGGCGTATTTGAGCCAGATATCATCCCGATGATTGACTCTTTGCAAATGATTCAAGTAGAAGTTGGCCGAGTATTCGAGGAGGGGGTGGTCGAAAACAATATCTGTGCAGAATGAGTAGCGTGTTTTGTAACGTCTGGAGACATGGTGGAGAGTTTACCTTCCGTTGGAGTTACCTTTGAAGCCTGAACCAAATCCTCCAATCCGAGGTAATCGAGACAGGCTTGTGCCATTTGATAGTGTGCTTTATCAAGCCAGCCTGGGTGTTTCCTCGACCAAGATGCATACAAATACTCATTAAACGAGAGGTGAACAAATGTGAAAGTCCCGTCGCTCTGGATGACCACGAACTCCGGGAAATGCTGACTGATGGACTCAGCAACGTTTCTCAACAGATCGATATCTGTGGATGACGAGGGAGATTCGTCAGATAAGAAAAGGGTCAGAAGAATGGTGAGTTCCATTTCTTTGAGTGGTCGTCTTGCAATGGCGATAATTGTGAATATAGCCCACATGTGTTGTCGTACATCCTTTGGGACCCTGTTTATCATCTCTTCGAAAAGATCGTCGATTCCAGCAGGGTTTGAATCCAGTTGCTTCAGTTTCTTCCGGACCTGTTCATTGTTCCAAAGGATACCCTTTTTGAACGACTCCCAGGCCACAACCGCCCACAGAAACATGCCAGATGCACGGCCTGTTATCTTCTTCAGTATCTGCTGTTTGTCATGATGTCCGACAGAGTCAGCGAAGCTCCTATTCTTCTTTTCGAAATCCTCGATGCAGAATTTGATATAGCTTTCCACCCCCGGCCGGTTTAATGAAGGTGACATATGGACCACCAAAACGGACTCCATTTCTGGCAAATGCGCAAAATTATATCGACTCGAGCATAATACTTTTACCTGGTGGCCAGGATGTTGCGTCTTGAGTTCTGCCACGACGTTCCAGAATCCAGAAAGGAGCGAAATAGCGTAGTCTGTTGCGAGTTCATCGATGGCATCTAACGCAATAACACATCGATTCATTTTCTCCATACCTAGAAGGTCTACAATTGCTGGCCACAACTTATCTGTTGTCGTTGAAATCGTTACCATGTAATTCACCCGTTTCTCCAGCCGGTTCCGCACAAGACTTTGCCCTTGAGGAAGAAGCTGCAGAAGCTGGTGGAGGATGGATCGAAGAACTGTCTCATCTGTTGTGGAACCATCCGGGTCATGAGAACAGAAAAAGCTTGCAACTTTGAAATCGTCGACTAGACCGGTATCCCGAGAGCCTGATTGGATCTCCTCCACAGCATACCTAGCTAGGACACTTTTGCCCGCGCCGGGAGGGCCCGACAGGAGCAGCATTGATGTTTGATCTGATCTGGACCATTTCCGAAATGCTTCGTGGCGAAAAAGCCACCCGCAGGTTCCCGTGTGTGGCTGTCGGGGTCGGAGCTGAGATGATCTGTAGTCATAGCAGTACAAAGCATCGAGTAAAGGCTTGCACTTGGCTTCGTCGTCCCCTAAAATGCACTCCTCCACGAGGTCGACGACCGCATTCTTTACAACATTGAAATGATGCTCGTTCCGAGGCGAAACCCTGGCAATCTGCCGGTGATCTTCATTGATCGGGATAGTCCGCTCATTCGGGAGACCGAGGATGGCGGAGAACGGTTCGACAATCAGCGAAGGCCCGAGTGGCTTCTGTTCGTAGAGCGAAATAATCGACAGAGACTTGAGCAAATTCTTCGACTGCTGCGTGATTTGTTCCAGAATCGGTGATGATGTCTTTAGAGCTGCCAGCAAATCTGACCTGACACCGCTGCCAAATGTCGCCACGTTCGCTAGTCTGGAAAATATGCTGGCATAACTTGCTGAGATGGACCCGCGGTGCGGTGTTCCCATAAAAATGGCACCTTGGGTACTATTAATCAAGTCCTTGTATTCTTCGCCAGCCAGAGTTCCCGAGATCAGCATCTGTTTGAAAAGCAAGCCTCCAAGACTATGGCAGATAAAGATAAGGGGCCTTTGTCTGCTGTCGTCACGGCGCCGCTCATGATCAAGACTCGACAGCAAGTCCCGGGAAAACCCGTCAAGGGTCATGGTCGAACTGCTAAAGAAGACAGCCGAATCGTAGCCATAAGTGAATATTCGCGCCTCGGGGACATGAGCTGGCAGTGAGTCACGCAGCCACAAGTGACCATCTTTCTCAGACCAGGTGTTGAATGCATCGCCATTCAGCCCATGAAGAGCAACTATACTAAGGGGATTGTAAGCTGTGCTGTGCGGGTGTGGTAGAAGTTCACGATGAATGAGAACCTACTCGACCTTGCAGACGTTGGGGGAGCCTGATGGGATATGTAACACAAACAAGCCATGCCGCTGTCCAGGTCTCCTAGAGGTAGCAGCCATGCTTGGTGAGATCTGCTGCTGTACCCTACGGCAGCCGTTTCAATGCCACTTCAGAGGTAAAGTAAGAGTACCTCATCAGAAGACTATGGCGTTCAGCTCGCCATATGATGCGAGGCTGAGCGCGGGGTAATTCGACTTTGATCGCCAGTTCAGCTGGGTGGCTGTGCTTGGAACATCAGACAATTGTAGCCAATGGCCACATAGAGATGATAGTGCAAATCAGATACCCAACTTGATGCTACGGAATTTACCGAGAAAGGCGCATGCTATAATCACCTGAGCGATGGCATGTATACCACTCTCCCTTTTCTCAGCCAATTTTGGAATCCGCTTAGACAGTAAAGATGCTTGTAAATGAGTAAATGCATAGGCCGAAATTCGGTGAGGCAGAATGAGTCGACCTTGTCGTATTGAGAAGTCCCCATCACCATACGTTGTCGCATGTGCTGCGACCAGCGCGGTTCTTCTACTCGAAACTTCACCTAAGATATATCTCCTCGGTGTCTGATCATATGAAATGCCCTGTTTATGAGTATAGAAGAACTCGGCCGGGATTCGAAATGTCTTGCTATTCATTACCTTTGCGGAGGTAGGGGACAGTCAAGACGACTAATGTAAGGCAACCTGTTATCGGTGCTCTTCGACATGGTAGCTCCTTTCGCCTACATCTGTGTATTCGATATGACGCCGCAAACATGAGACCCGACACAGGCCTGCCTGCCTGCCTGCCTGCCTGACTCACCCATGCCATATCTCCATTAGCCTGGCTGCACGAAGAGATGCTGCCCTCACGTCTTCTGTCGCTGTCTTCCCTGCCAAGTCCCTGAACCGAGAAATCCAGAACTCCCACCGTTTCGCATTCAGGCCCGAATCGCCGTCGAATAGCGAGCCGCCTTTGAACATCCGCTCCTCTGTCTCGTCCAGTTTTCTACCCGCCTGGAGTTGTTGGTATAACAGGGGCCCATTGTGCTCGATGATTTGAGCAGCCGTCATGATACGGCAGTCGACGAGCAGCGGGGTCGTGGTGATGTCTTCCTCCAGAGCGGCCCGCAGCATCCAGATGGAGTGGTCTTCGGATCGAAGAACACCGGCAGCATTTAGTCTGGCGAAGAAGGCGTTGGAGTTGACCCACTTTCTGGTTATCTCCGCCTTTTCTTCATCGTTTTCTGGGGTCTTGGGTCCGTTGAGCCATTCCCTCACTTGCGCACTCAGGACGGGGAGATCCGCCCATAAACGTGACTGCAGCAGCCCGTATTAGTACACACAACCATGGCCCCCTCGCGAGAACAGATTGAATTCTTACATCCCATACTTTGATGCCGGCGTCGGGCAAGAGAGCCAGTTCCCGAACGACCCTCACGAGCTTATCTTGGGCGGGGTGGTCGTGGGGTACCTGCTCCGCAATGCTAATCAGGTCGGCCCAGGCAGACCACAATGCTCCCTCAGCTGCATCCTCCCCCTTCTCGACGACACTGTTGGCGATTACCTGCGCCGCGTCGGCTGTAGATCTGGAGCTTGAGAACTTCAAGTAGTCGCCAAACGTGTCGAGGATCCGCGGGTTGATCTGCCTGTTCGCGTCGCGGCTCTGCTGGAGGGCAATATCGCGCGCCATGGTTGTCTGGTATCTTGTGAGCAAGCGCAAGTGCTTGGCAAACTGCTTCATGAGCCGTCGGCGTGTAGGTTGAGTGATCGCTGCAATATATGTATTCCAGTCCCAATTCACCAGTTCTTGACACCTCATTTGCAGCTTCCTAATGCGGTACCGACCCGGGCTCCAATTTGCCGGTACGTCATCAGCACGGGCCATTTGGTCTTGGGCGTCCAATTCGAGGTCACATCGGAGCAACGTGGTGATCTAGGGACCGAGACCAACGTCAGGTCTTGGTATTATTCTCTTATTCTCCAAGCACACGTCGAAGTCTACAAAATATACGCTCAATCATCTGTCCTTTCTGTCTTGGACATGACGCAAAAGTATTGTCTAGAGCCACTAATGCCCAGGAGGACGAAGCGCCTCTGGCAAACCATCAAAGCACCAAATGAACCAAACATGGTCTGTATTTCCACCTTTATAACGCACAAGCATCGGAGCGGCGTAGTATGTAGTGTAGCTAGGAATACCTGATCGGCCTCCTATTTCTTCACAGATTTGCGTCTCCATGAGTGTTTGTGGCATCAGCGGCGAAGTTTACGATGCCGTAGGCTTCAACTCACCATGAGATGCCGCTGGCGTAATATGGAATAACCATGGAACTCCGTTGTCCCTTCGACCGCAATGCTGCGCTTTTGGAGACTTTTACCCGTGGCGCGTTCTCTCTGGACTTGACACGGTCCATTGAGCGCTATCGGTTGCTGGGAACCTCAGGAACCCAACGCCACAGGCGTCTTGGATTCCTGGCAATCACACTCGTTGTGGACTTTTCATCTTCGAGCGCCTTGAAACACCAAGAACACGCCTCGCTACAGGAACAGCAGCGAGACATCTGGGGCTGCCTTTCAAATTCCTCCTCGAAGAACCTGTCCACCAGCTGACCTCAGGGCGAGCCAAGCCAAGCCAAGCTATGGCCAGTAACGACTCGAGCGACACCTCTACCACCCTAGACGTAGATGATGAGCCCAGCTCCATCACCCGCGCCGAGGCTTGTAGTACTGGGGCAGGATCGGATGGCCAACGCGTCTCAGCCACAGAGTCACCGCCGCCCAGCATCGAGGGCTACGAAAACTGTGAGATCTGCTTCGACGATGCCCTCTCTACCCAGTTCACAACCCTCCCTTGCGAGCATGGACACAGGTTCATGACTTTGTGTATCACCACATGGTTCCAGCAACTCTACAACCAGCAGGGACCCCAGGTACACTGCCCCAAGTGTCGTGAAGAGTTCAAATACACTGCATGCGGTCATCCCCTGGAGGCGCATCGCCTTGTGGAGCCCAGAAACGTTCTCAAGGCTGATCTGATGGTGGCTGAATGCTTGTCATGCCAGAGGGAAACGCGATCCCGTCGCTTTCTGAAAATTCGGCGTGACTTTGACAAGCATGAAGGACCTGACTGGGACATGATTGAACCCGGCGACTTGTCCCCAGCCCTAGAGGCACTGGCTGCTGTCAGATTCGCCGACGAGTACGAGGAGCTGAAGGAGGACTTCGCAAACCGAGTTCGACTGATGGAAGCAGAGCTCGAGGAGCTGAAGGAAGACCCGGTCTTGTCAGACTCGAATTCCCATGTCTGGGCACTGGAGTCAATCCTCGCGGGGATCGAACGTATGAGGAACGCGCCCCAGGAGGCGGAAATCCTTCACCCAGAGATATTCGACTCACCCTCAGAGGAAGACGACGAAGACAACGACGATGAGTAAGGGAAAGGGATGCATATGCGGCGTACTGGTCACTAGAGTGGTGGAAATGTTCCGGAGGGTCTTGGTTCAATCATGCTTGTGTAATCGTCGCAATACAATAGATATGGAGGCTGCATCTTCCGTGGGGCTTTGTCACTCTTGGAAAGAGGTTACCATCAGTTGGCTTCACCACGCCTCAGTCCTCGATGAAATAAAAGCCACATGCTGCGCTTTCGTCACCCCGCAGTATTCACCGTGAGCACATGATTCTTGGTCGATTCACATGGAAACGTTGATCTCGATGCAGCTGTTTGTGAGGGAATCTCGCATATTTTGTGGGTGCTGCGGTCAACTTGCCATTGCAAAAGTGGCATAGAACTAGTTATGCGCGGTGATCTGCAATTACTTCATGGTCTCAATCCCTGTAGAGACATGTGCCTGTCGGATCGAAATGCACGTGAAATTGGACCAATAAGCTGCGAGGACGAGAGCATCTCATGTCCCAAATAGGCGTCGAGCTGGCTGTTTTAGTTCGATGATTGATGGTTGAGTAAGGGCATTGATTCCATCGCATCGGCCAATCCCTGCGACAGACAAAGCAAGTCACGACTCGATCTACGCTAAGCATCATGTCACACCGAAATCAAGAAACTTGTTCAGCTTGCAGCCCCGTCTGATCTTCAAGAGACGTTTCGGTGATATTCAGTGATTCTCAGGGGATTCGCTCACAGGAGCCACAGACGGAGTTCCCGGCAAACCCACGAGCCAGCCAAGGAAAAGCCAAGGGCGAGAAGAGTCGTAAGCCTGCGATCCAATGGATCCAACGGCAGTCCGATGTCCGCAGCCTCACCTGCGCTGATGAGCCGCAGTCCCGAGCCAGAGTTGTCGCAAGGGCTTTAGCGGGCGCTTAATGCACGATCCCGCTGACAGAGTGTCGAGTGTTTGCGTGTGCCAACCCCAGTAGCAAGAACTCTCAGCAGGGTCCGTTGGTGGGAGGTTGGGGGAAACGGGTGGTTGGCTCACAGGGCTTCCTTTGGGCTGAACTTTTTCTAGACACCCCCGTCTCTGCCAGTCCTACTCCATGGCTCCATGGCTCCCCAGCAGGGACCCTACAGACTCCATAAAAGTCAATGACGACAGCAAGGGTCTCGATAGGGCACTTGATACCCGGGTGCTGGCAGCGGGACGATGCTGGCAACTGGGGCCTGGGTACCCATTTCTGCGTCGTTTTAGACTTCAGATGTCATAGCCGCACGATCCGGGACTGGAGGGGACGCCCCGGCGCCCGCAATGGCGTTGGCTAGCGCGCCACGCACAGCGAATCGTCAGCCGCCTCCCGTACACCATGGTGAGCATGGCTTCAGCCCAAGCTCGCTACGGTTTAGCAAGTCCTCGTGCTACCCGAATGCCCAGGGATGCATGGCGGGCTCGACGCTTTGATCAGTGGGACACACTGGTCTAGGGCCGCGAGTTCGCACTGATCGCTTGCGTGCGCGGCATCACCGCTGCTTTCGCGGGGCATGACGTCGGATCTTTCGGATACTAAGTAGCGGTCGCGGAATGCGTAGCACGATATATTTCGACCCGGGACCCCGAGTAGAGTTGCAGGTCGTGTTTTCGTTGTAACCCCAGAATACCACGAGCTACCGGCCCGCTTCTCACTCGTTGTGACCCTGTCACACAAGTTCTGATACCCCTGTCCCCTGCCGTCGTCCAAGACCTCCACCATCTGGACCCTACACCCACCACACACAGCCAAAAACAACATGAGCTCCTTGATCGTCACCATCGTGGTGGTCGTTGTGTTAGTCGTCGTTCTCGGCGGCGGCATCCTGGCATGTGCACTTGGCTGGGAGAAAATCATCGCCCGGGTGACACCCAACCGCTGGCAGAGAAAGCCACAGCCTTCTCTTAACGAGAAGTGGCCCAAGGACTATCCCTACCCATCACGAAGCTCGGTCGAGACCGACTGGGCAGGATCCCCTATCAGCTCACCTGCGTCGTCCCCTGTGGCATCGCCGAGCTCCTCCCCAAGGTCTTCGAGACACAACTCCGACTCCCTGACAAAAGGACGCTCTTCCATGCGCGAGTATGTTTGAGGGTTATTAGCTACTATAGCACTTGCGACTTACGATATCATGATTTACGAACAAGGGCATTGGCGTTTTGAGCATAGGTGGTGACAAGATGCTCTCCACATGGACACATGGAAGCAGCAATCAATCTCTCGGGTGGTTCCTTGTTTTTGTTTCTTTCTTCTTTCCAACAGCATCATCGGAATCATCACAAACATATGGAATTGGCGTTGCATTGGGAAAGGTGTCATTTAGGATTATATATGATCCACTACCAGCGATGGGCGCTGCATAGGTATCTCGTGGTAGTTATACTACATCACATCAGATCTCTTTACACCAAATTCAAATTATTCACAGCTCACCACAGCCATCAAAACCATGAGATATGTTGTCACACATCAATCATTATTATAATCCTACATTACTACAGTGGCCGAACCCATAGATTCTGATCATTGATCTACCCGGCCACGATTCAAGTCAATCTCGGCAAGCTTAATAGGCTTCGTACGGCGTACGGCCTTGTGTCCCACGAACAACACTACAAAGATCACCAAGCTGATATAGGCAGCGAAAAAGTCGCTGGTGTTCCACTCGATGAACACGGTGAACCCGTTAGTAAGCAGGATCAGGATGAAAAAGAACAGCCCGTACCATGCGAGGTACGGCATCCAAGGGGCTCGGTATGGCAGGTCGTTTCGGGACAGGCCTTGGACTCGGAGAGCCTTCATGAAGCGCAGGTGGCAGACGCTGATACAAGACCAGGTGATGAAACCGGCGATTGCCGTGATGTTCATGAACCAGTTGAAGACATCGGCACCACTCGAGGACAGGTTGAGGAAAGCCAGCAAGCCAAAAGCCGAGGTAAACAACACGGCGACGTACGGGGTGCCGTTTCGGTTGAGGCGTGCCATAAACTTGGGCGCGTGACTCTCGTCGGCCAAGGCAACGATGATTCGGCTGCCACTGTAGCAGTTCGACTGTGCGGCCGAGAGCACGGCAGTGAGGAGGACGGCGTTGATAATGTCGGGCAGGACCGACACGCCAGCCAGGTTACAGGCAATCACCAACGGCGACGAAGACGCATCGCTGGAATCTCCCAGCAATCCACCGTTGTCGTAGGGCACGAGCAGACCGATGAAGAAGATGGTCGATACGAAGAGACTGAAAATACCCCAGAATGTCCAGCGGATAGCCGAAGGGACGGCCTTGGCGGGGTCGGCCGTCTCGCCGGCTCCTACACCCACAAGCTCGGAACCCTGGTAACTGAATCCAGCGGTCACTAGGACCGACCAGAAGCCCACGAACTTGCCGGTCGCACCCGTGTAGATGGACTCGGCGAACGGGCCAGGAGTCACCCAGTAGCGAAAGCCGAGATATCCCTGCTCGCCAGCACCGGCGTTGATGCAAATGGCGAAGATGATGAAGCCAATGATGGTCACGACCTTGATGCTCGAGAGGTACATCTCAATCTCGCCGAACCACCGCACCGGGAGCAAGTTGATGCACGTGAAAACGACCCAGAAGACGGCAATAAAGATAGCGATGCTGAGAGACTTGTTCCAGTACTGGATGATGATACCGGCCGCCGTGAGTTCCAGGGCAAATGTCATGGCCCAGCTGAACCAGTAGATCCAACCCATGGCAAAACCGAGAGACGGGTCGACGAATCGGGAGGCGTAAACCGTGAACGAGCCGGGGACGGGGATGAAGCTGGCCATCTCTCCCAAGCTCACCATGACCGAGAAGACGATGGTGCCGACGAAGACAAAGGCGATGAGGGTGCCGACCGGACCGGATGTCGACAGGGCGGTACCGCTACCCAGGAAAAGCCCGGTACCTATCGTGCCACCGATGGCGAGGAACTGGAGATGGTGGCTCTGCATGCCACGCTTGAGCTGGGTGTCGGCGGCCTCGATGTCCTTGGAGCCATTGAGCGAGTTGGAGCCCGAGGCGTCGCTGGCCGGCTTGACCTCGAGGTCCGTTGACTTCTCCATCATCATGATTGATTCTTCCTGGAGCGTCCGCTGCGGGCAGACGGCGCACAAGTCACGACGGGGAAGATGGGAGGTGGTCGTGTGAAGGAGAAGGGGACACGCTCTTCGACTTGTAAAGCAGCTCTACTACCACAGAAAGACAGAAAACACCTCCTCGGGCTCGGGGGCTCACTGGAGCTCCAAAGCTTTAATATGGAAATCTGTACCTACCGACGCTATGCGCGAGCGGCGACGTCGCGCGCGGTCGCGGAGCCTGGACGAGCTCCATATCGCGGGTCCGCCCATCACCCATGAAAATTTTCTCGTACTGGCAAAGAGAGCTATGGGAGCACGCTGAAACCTCACCACGCGATCTTCGTGAGGTGACGTTGGAATCCGGGCCCTGCAGAGCGCCCGGCCGGAGGCGCGCTAGGGAGCGGGAGGAAATTTTCTGCACCCACCGGCCAGGGCGGCGCGGCCAATCAGCGCCCGGCCTGACTAAGAGAAATCGCCTCACGTCCCTACAGCGGTCCGATTGACAGGTCGTCCCAGCGTTTGCGGGCCACGCCGTCGCCGAGGCTTGTCGCATAGAGGTTCCATATAGAGATTGCAGAGCCGATCATGTCGGTCAAGCGAATTGGTCACGCGTGCAAACACTGATAACAACGGTCCGCCCCGTACCGCAACCATACGATGTCGCCCCCTATAGGGTGCTTTGCAGTTGTCTCGGTTGGATATATACTTGGCCACCCGCGTTGCAAGGGTTTTCTTTCGGCTACAGCTCCGGACAGCCCCTGTCGGTAGTAGAAGCTAACGTGGACGGAAGGCATTAGACTTATTATGTCCCTTGTGTCAAGACCACCTGTATGACGGACAACGTCGATCCTCGCCGGATAAGGCTCAGCATATTCATGGTTCCATACGAATTCAGCAAACCTGATTCTCTCTATAGTGACCCTTTCACTGAAAATTCCCCGCATCCGCCAGCGGTTGGGATTGGTCACTGTCATTGAGATATAAGTCACATCACATACAGAAGCCGATGCGTCAAGGTGCCACCTAACTTCTCAACAGCGGCTACGAACAGTCACAGGTCAGACTTCAAAAGCCAAGTGATTACAGACGATCAAGACGGGATGGGGCTTTTGAAATATTCTTGATTTCCTCGTGTACTCACAGAACATGTCTCTGCTGTTGACGTTGTTGCCAATGGCTGGCTGGTATCGGTATCCCCCACCCGGAGAAAAATCCTATGATATATAACCTCATGTGTCATCTCCTGATCCATTTTGACGCCTTGCTGGTGAAGCCTTGCCCGTTCTAGAAAACGATTGCTCTGGTTGCGCCATGCTAGAAAGAACATAAACCCTAAATCATATCCGGTGTGCCTCTTTGATCGTCCCTCGTTCCCCTTCCTATAATTTGAGAGAGTTCTGCGAGCTTGACCGGTTTCGTCAGAAACAGGTCCAGGCCGCTCGCAAATGCCTCTTGCTGCGCATCATCGGAAGCCAATCCCGTCAGGGCGTAAATGGCGCAGCGGGGAAGCTGCTTGTCACGCTCGAACGCGCGTATGTGCCTAGCAGATTCGAAGCCGTCCATGACAGGCATTGAAATATCCATAAGGATGCACTTGAACTGGCCGTTGCCTTTTTTGAACGTCTCCAAGGCCTCAAGACCATTTGAGGCTGTCTCATACACGCGACCGAGTTTTTTCATGTATACGGTGAGTATTTTGAGGTTGATTGCGTTATCCTCGACAAGTAAATAACGAGCGACAGGAACGACCGGTGATCCGGTCTTCCCTCTAGGAGTACTACCCTCTGAGGGGAACTGTTCCAGCTCCATGTGCTGTGGTTCTGTGCGCTGCAACTCTTTGGGTTGCTGCTCAGTCGATATCGACCAAGGTTCTGTTGGGCCCTTCGGCAAAGAAGGTGGGAGCTCCGCTGCATGGTCGTCGACAACTCCGTTAGGTTCGACGTCGGGTTCGGGAAGGTATTCTGGGCCTACATCCGGCGACGTCTTCGACGTGTCCGTAGGGCTTGCTGTCTCTGCAACGTCGAATTCGGATGGTACTTGCGTCGATAGAGCGGACTCCTGGAGCTTTGACCAGCGCTTAAAGCACTGGAGAAGGATCTTCGCAAGCTTTCGAGGACCAAGGCTAGAAGTGACAGGTTAGCGAGTTTTGGGAGGACAATCATGATGATACTCACGGCTGTGAAATGAAGTCGACAACACCCACACCATCCTTACGCATGAACCGAGGAGATGTAGATAATTGTCGTGCAGCTAGAGCGCTGCGACATATCGCGACTGTCGGGGTTGAAGTATGGTCCCGCGCCACAAGTTGATCTAAATGGTGCGCTCCGCACAGAATAAGGTCCGGTAGAAGATGGTTGGCTTCACTGGGCTCAATGATGTGCATATGTAGCCATTCTTTGCAAACCTTTACCAACATGGCGTGTTCGTCAGTCAGGGCCTGCATGGCAACGTCGGTAGAGGGTATCCCTTCGACGGACGAATAGCCAGTAATGGCAACGCGCAGTCCCTTCAGTTCACACACCTGGGCCCGAAACTCAGCCTGTGTATCAGTTGGCAAAGAGCCCCCGGGCGTTGGCGGCAGCGTCTTTCTGAGTGGAACTTTTACAACCACTGTCGATCCCACGCCGAGTTTACTTCGTACATGTATCGAACCACCCATGGCACCGACAATCTTATGCACCAGGCTAAGACCAAGACCCGTGCCGGGAGTCAAGCTATCTACTTGTGAGAACGGCCGGAAGAGGCGATGGTGCAAAAATTCTTGGGACATGCCACAACCGGTATCTGCCACTGTAAAGCAGACCATGCGCTTGTTTTGTGGTTTCCCAGCCAGTGGCTCTTGGTGTAGGGTAATCTTGACGGATCCGCGTGCTGTGAACTTCAGTGCATTGCCCAAAACATTGAGCAGTATCCGCCGGATCGCCCCCGGCTGAGTGGTGAATGCCCAGCGCGAATTAGCATTGATATCGAGGCTGACCACAACATCTCCCAACACAACCTGAATCTGGCCAGACCTACCGCGGATACCTAAAGCCTCTATAGCCTTCGCACTATCAAGTCTGCGCATGGCATCCATATCCGCGTCCTGGGACCCCTGCCCATCGACGAGCCGTGTTACAGACTGAGTCTGAAAGCAATGGCCCGCGAAGACGCTTTCCACAACCTGCTCTGCGACAACATCGACCTCGACATCTGAAGTAATACTCATCATGCCAGTCTCGATGGACACGTCGTTACTGGAAGAGACGCCACGTTTCCCCCGGATACTGTTCCGGCGGTCTGTGGTAGATGTTTTGAACTTGTTTATTTTAGTCCAGTCGAGAAGGTGATCGATGGTATCTACAAGGGTGCGGCTGCAATTCTCGATCGAGTTGAGAACGTCCTTCTGGAATACATCCATCTCTGTGTCTTGGAGGAGCTCAGCACCGAGAACAATGCCGTGAAGAGGAGAGCGTAATTCGTGGGACAGGGAGCCAAGGAGATCCGTCTTTGTTTTGTTGAGGAGCATTTCGCGTGCGCGCTGGACTTCGGCCGTTGCTATGCTCGCGAATGCGATCAAATAACTAAGCTCGCCTTCGACTGTGAAGGTACGGGTTGCTGTTTTGGTGTAGGCAAACCCGCCGGCGAGCCAGCGTTGCCTGTGTGCGTCCCACACGGGGAAAAATGCCACGCTCCGAGCCCCCGGGAAAAGTGAGATGATATTCGTCCCGTCGTTCTTTCTAGACCATGATTTGCTTCTAACGGGCTGTGGTCTAGCATTCTCAGGCTGCGAGACTTGTGTAGACGGAGAGGGGGTCAAAGGAACCGAGGAGGCATCATCACTGGAGTCTGATGACTGCAAGGAGCCGTTCCCATCGAAATTGAAAATCTTGCCGTGGGGATACCGTCGGAGAAGCTTACTCAAATACTTTTCGGGTATGACTGTCGACCCCGGTGCACCATCGACGCTGGAGCGCAGAGAATCGGAGAATCCAAGCACACGACAAGGCGCATCCTGGGCAAAGGATGACTGAAAGGCTCTTCCCTCATCACTGCTCGACGACTCGGTACCATGCATGTTATCTGTGCGAGTGACATCGCCACCAAAGGACGAAATCGCTGCATCCAGGAACAGAACGCCTTCAACCTCGACAGACTCTCTCAACACATTTGCCGCCTTGGAGAGAATATGTTTCAGGTTGCTCATCTCGGGGTTTTCTTCCGGTTTCGGGGAATCTACTATGACGACAGCCTCAAGACGCCGGCTGAGAGTGGTGTTGGTCTCCACAGAAGGGGAAGACGGCGTCTCTGTGTCCAGAATCCCGTTCAGACTCCCGTCAGGGCTGTCTACTTCAACCCGCTGTTTCTCTTGGAGGGTCTGCTGCTTCGCGTTGAGCGAGCCCTCGAGCCTGAAGTCGTCCTTGAACGAGTCGACATTAGGGCCCTCCTGCCAGCCGGCCAGGCTAGCCTGGCCTTCGACAAACGAGCCGACACCGCGGACCATACGATCGGCGCGACGATGGCCATCCCTAGAGCGTATGGCGCCCAAGTAAGTCATGACTGATTGGGACAAATCCTGCATCAGCGCAATCGAGGCCTCGTCCAGTTCCTTTCTGGCCTCAGCGCCATATACGCTCAGCACGCCGATGTTGATGCCCCTGGCGGTCCGGAGGGGGGTGGCCGCGTAAAAGCGATGTGGCCAGTCCTTGAAGTACGGATTCTCGGACAGGCGCAGCTCCTCGGACAGATCCGAGATGACGGACACAGGCAAAGATCTGGGGTCGGTGGGCTGGGACGCGCCAAGCGTGTTCTGGAGAACATGCTCGCACATGGAGACCGAACGGGGCACAGCGAGGCCGCATAGCAGGAGCCGATCAGAACCTTGGCGACAAAGTGTTGACGGCGAGAGGGGACCTTGAGGGGTGGCCTCGGCAACCACGTACTGCCAGCTCTGGTCGAAAAGGGATATGATGGCGCGAGAAGCGTTGAAGCGCAGCGCTGCCAGCTGGGCCAAGCCGGTCAGGACGGTGTCGCTGGATGTGAGATGCGCCGAGGATTGGAGCGTCGGTCCCGTCTGGTAGGATAGGTTCATGAGCTGCGGGGCGGCATATCTAAACGGGCGCACTTGGAGGTCAGGCAGATGCCCAGCTTTGGTAGAGGGCTGCCAGGAAGGAGAGGACCCGGCGACGAGGTTCTTGGGCGACTGACCTGAATGTTTCCCGGCCGCGGGCGGCTTCTGACACGGTAGCCATGGCTCTAGCGGGGGGGGCAACGGGCAGGTCCCGAGGCCCAGGGCTCGACAGACGGAAAGCTATCGATGGTCACATGGACGCAAGCGGTCGCATCAGGCGCGACAAGTGCAGCGAAATCCGGTCGTTGTCATTTGGTCGGGCAGGAGAAGGCGGCGGGCAGGTAGGGGCAGGTTGGTAGGCAGGTAGGTTGCGGTGGTGGTGGCGAAGTCGAAATCGTGACATTGGGGGATGGAGTTGAAAGATGGGATTCACCTGCAGACCAGCAGAAGCCGATGGTCGATCCCTCACCAGCGGGGCCCTAAATTGCCCACCGGCTTGACTGGACTGGGCCTCCCAGCAACTACTATGTATAAGGGTCCTCCTGTCTGGACCAATGGGCCCTTGGGGAAGAGGGGGGTTCAAGGAGGTCCCGTTCCCAAAGCTTCCCAGAATCAGCCCTAGCTGCCAGACTTTGGCTCGAGGCCTGGAGGCCCAGCCAGCGGCGGCAACTGAGGGATCTGAGGCGTGAATGCTAGCGCTGCTCCGGCGCCTTGGTGCCGCCCAATCACAGCGTCGCCTGGGCCCCCGGACCTACCCTCAAGCGACCTAGCCTGCAGAAGCACCTTGCTCTGTTACTTTTCCATGCACGCAGTAGCAGGGGTTGGCATTTGTGCCGACCGTTCTAGATTCCATCCCGATCAGCAGGATGCGGGACGAGGCGGGCTCACACCCATCACACAGCAGATAAGGCATGGAAACCAAGTTATAGGTGTGTGGATCTCATAAGTCTATATACGCCTTGTAGTAACTCATCCGATACGATCTTTCTCGACACGCTATACTCCCCTATCGTCCTATGAGTCATGCCCTTTGCGTCGCTGGGTCCTCGAAACAAAACATGGCAATTTCAATTTATGCCGTGGAGGGGGAACAATAAACAGTCGTTTTCCCCGCCCTTCCAATTTGGCATGTTCAATTGTGAACAACTACCACCTGCTGTAGGTACGGAATGCGCTAAAGACACCTAGGTACCTAAGTATGTATACTTACCTGTGTACGCAACAACTCCTCTCGCCCAGGGGTTATGATGTTAGAACTACACATCAGGTAGGCATATGCAGCGTAGACAGAGCCCCTCGGCCCAACGATGTCTGTCATCAATATGTGGATGGGACAACACAAAGCCGGCCTCCGTCATTCAGGAGGACGAAGCCGTTGCAGTAAGCCCCAGCTCGGCTTGCAAGGTACAATATCGACCCGGCCATCTCCTCTTGCGTGCCGAATCGCCTTGCCGGCATGAATGCTGGATGATCCACTGCCTCGGATTCAGGGTCGCGAGTGTCCATGATGGGCGAGGCCATTTCCGACGGGAACCCTGCACGGCTGGTCAGCCTAGTCTCGTACAACTCACAGGCCCAGGAAACTCACATCCGGGAGCTATGGTGTTGACCCTGATCTGATAAGGCGCCAGGTTGGTTGCGGCTTGCTGCGCCAACTGCGCAATCGCCGCCTTGCTTCCCGCGTACCCTGGAGGCGCTGACCGCTCACGGCTAAACGACCCCACGCTTCCTACGAAAACAACTTGGCTCTGCACCGAGGGAATCGTGCTCTCTGCAGTCAGGGGCGCTCCGAACCCTCCCTTTAGCGCAGTCTGGTTGCCGGCATCGAGAAGACCCAAGAAAGCAAGCATCGTAAAGTATGCCCCCGTGATATTGATATGAAGTACGCCTGTGAAGTCTTCCATTGCAACGTCGTCAAATAGGCGCCTTCTAAGCTCGTCGATGTTCATTTGAGGGTCAAAACCCTGTGGTGGTCCATATGCTCCTGAGTTCACGATAACGAGGTTCACGTAGCCAGAGTCTTTGGCAACAACGTCTGCAGCCGCCTGTAGTGACTGCTTTGAGGTGACATCACATACCAGTGGACTGATAGCAGGGTGGGTAGTAGCTGCTGCTTCCAACGGTGCTTGACGTCGACCAAGAATGTAGACCTTCTTTGCGCCAGCTCCTGCGAGAGCCTTCGCCATCATCAGCCCCAGCCCTTGATGGTATTAGACATGGTAGAGATATAAAGGTCCCTGGAGAGTTACCAGTGCAGCCGCCACTTATTACGGCAACAATTCCATCAACTCTGAATAATGCGGAGGAATCCATCGCAGGCTGGTTGTTCGAATGTGAGTTGACAATAAGAGCGTCATGGTGTGATTGACTGAGCTTTCCGATAATCAAGATTCGCCATCAAGTTCCAACTTATAAATATAATCATGCAAACGTTCCTTGACGGATTAATAATGGCCACTTTGCTTAAGTCCGCTTCTCATCATTGTATCACACTAGCCCATCATAACAAAAGCTTCCTTTAGCGGCTGTAAGGGGTTCGTAAACTCCACGTGATTGCGGAGAATGCGGCCAATCATACCTAGATGCACTGGCCCTAAACAGCGAGCAAGGTTTGGGCGGGTTTAAGCAAGTTATATCCGCTGACATTTGAGAGTTGAAGCAGACTGGTGCGGAGAATATGTGGTCTTCAGCTTTCATTAGCCGATCTCTGTCAGTCAGGAACCGCGCCCTACTCGTTGAGATTGCTGTCACCGGGAGTTCAACCCACTTACCGGCGGCGCGAATCTATTTGTTGCCGCAAACTGATAAACTGTGCAGAAACCTGTTAGTGCGTTGACTTAATGGCTTCATTTACAGCAACTGAACGATAACATCAGAATATGTAAAGTGATAAGTTGGTGTCCAATCACTCGCGGAAATCCACTATCTGCCGCCTGCATTATCCGCAAGCCGCATCTTACTCTCTACTTCCGCACCGCCGGTTTGAAGGCCTCCAGCTCGAGCCCGCTAGTCTGATAAATTGCCAATTGACGGGTCAGGCTAGTAACATTGGATGAAGTGGTTTCGTGTTCGATAAGCACTCGGTGGAGGTCCAGGCGACGAGACGCATTCGCGCTAGCCAAGAGATATGACTGTGCGAACAGGTGTTCATACATGTCAAGTAGCTGACGAGATTGGAGGTTTGGCCCCAGTAGCATGCCCGTATACAATATAGCTCGTGCACAGAGCGCCTCCACGCCTCGTTCTGGGTAAGTCTGGGTTGTATTGCCTTATCATGAGGCTCAACAGTGAAAGATACTTATTCAAAATCAAATCATCTTTAAATATGGCAGGCAAATTGATGCTGTAGTTCAGGATATCACGCTGCATGGTCCGAATCCAGACCAAAGCAACCAATTTCCACCGGGCACACGGGCTTCTACATTTAGCCAAAATGAGTATCTGCGTGATTGGCGCTGCTGCATCCTGTAGTGTTAAATGTATTTCGAATCCTAAAATGAGACAACAGGTCTAGCAGCTGCCTTGTAGGCTTGCCGTTGCATATTTACTGACTATTGAATCTGCCGTGTCACCCGAGTCGGGTCGTTATTGGGTGAGGGTCAATTAGAACACCCCATTTTTATTCCCGTCATGCAATACTGTAACAGTCGCTCTGTACGGGGGAAGGCTTTGAAGATTGAGGTACTTAAAACGTTCAACTTTCTTGCAGATTATGTTATTTTCACCCTTCAACTGTCGCTTGTTTTCGTTTATATTCACACAAGATTCTGTCCGAACCGATACTCTGAAGCAACCCGCCATGCTACTATACCAGTCTTTTATACTGCTAGCCATCTTCGTTGTCAGACTAGCGGCGGTTCTTTTACCTTTTGAGTTTATCCAGCTTAATGCTACCGACATTGAGAAATTCCCTGACATAGGTTTTCCAAGTCCAAACAATACAACCAACGTGCATGCTCTTTCCGACTGCAGAGAATTTCCTGGAAGCTCAAAATGGCCGTCAACAGAAGACTGGAGACGCTTCAACGGTTCTATCGACGGCGCTTTACTCCAGCCATTACCGCCCGGAGCTGTCTGTTATAAGGGCTCTTCTTATGACGAACAGAAATGCCAATATTTGCTCAGGAATGCAACCTCATCGCGGTTTTACATCGATGATCCATTGACGGTGCTATCGGAATGGCCTACTGGTAGCACATGCTTACCCAATCTGTCGCCGACTGGCAACTGTACGTTAGGAGGCTTGGCTAGCTACGTAGTGAATGCTACAACGGTCAAACACGTTCAAGCAGCAATCAATTTTGCTAGAAATAGGAATCTCAGGCTAGTAATTAAGTAAGTGGTCCACACGGCATAACTTAACGGTGGAGTTGACACGGCACTAGGAACACAGGCCACGACTTTGGAGGAAGGTCAACGGGAGCTGGTGCTCTCAGCATTTGGACTCACAATCTAAAGGAATTCCAGTATGCTCAGGAATACAATATCGGCGAGTATGACGGTCCGGTGGCTCAATATGCCGCAGGAACTGAATCATGGGAGTTGATGAACCGGATGGTCGATCTTAATGTTACGATCATTGCCCCCGGGGTTGGAACAGTGGGTGCTGTGGGCGGCTGGCTCAGTGGTGGTGGGCACACAACAGTCACTTCAACATTCGGCCTCGGGTCCGACCAAGCACTGTCGATCAACGTTGTGACTGCCGATGGCAACTTTATAACGGTTGATCCGTACAATAACAAGGACTTGTTCTTCGCCCTCCGTGGAGGCGCTGGAAGCACATTCGGCGTCGTTACCTCTGTTACCGCCAAGGTGCATCCACGAATCAACGTAACTTCATCATCCCTAAATTTTGCTTTCGACCCCAATCCACCAGCTTCAAATGTCAGCTTTGGCAATGGAACTTCGGCTCTCGGGTACTACGTCAAGGATATTGAGACCTTCTGGCGGGGGGCTAGCCTATACTACCTTTTCACAAAGAAGGTTGTGGAGGCCGGTGGAATTGGATTCAGCTACATATATCCACTTGGCAACGGCAGTTTTCGCTTTACAGGATCATCTTCCTTACCAGGAAAAACTCCGGACCAAGCCTATAATTTCATGCAACCCTTGTATGATGACCTTAACAAAACGGGGATCGCTGTGAGAAACGTAAGAGCAGCGCAGTCCTTTCCGTACGGGTCTCGTGGTTCTGGGCGGGGCGCCGTTCCAAACAATCGACGATATACATCGCGACTTTTCCCGCGAACACATTGGGATGACACCAAGCTGTTCCAACAGTCTATGGCCGCGATTCAGACAGCCGTGGAAGCCGGATATACGTTCCACGGTACTCTCAACGGACCTGGCTCGGAGATTGCTGGCTGGCCGGGTAAAGATAGTGCAGTAAACCCGGCCTGGCGTGTGGCTGTGCTTCACGCAATGCTCTTCTACAAAGATACAACAGGGATCCAGACAGCATTGGAAGCTCGAGAAAGCGAAGCAGATATCAATCGATACATGGACACCTGGCGCCAATTGACACCCGGTTCAGGAGCGTACATCAATGAAGCAGATCCTGCTGAGCCGAATTGGCAACAGAGCTTCTTTGGGGAACATTATCCCCGGCTGCTGAGCATCAAGAAGGACAGAGACCCATGGGGAGTATTCTGGGCACCAACCACCGCTGGCAGTGAGGATTGGGAGGTACGCACCGCTGATGGGTATCCTCACTCACAAAACGGCAGGCTTTGTAGGGTGCAACATTAGGATAATTGTGTCCCCTTCCGCCCTGGTGGCTACCAATCACTATCAACGGACCATGATAATAGTATGGCATTATTCTGTCATGTTACATAAGTCCAACCGGCCTTAGGGACTGTCTTCACTCCACTACGCTGTTGTATGCCTTTCACTGCTGCGCGTGCGGCCATCGCTATATCAGCCTCATCTGCACACATCAGTCTGCTATCCTCAACCAAAAGCGAGCCATCTACCATGACATGTGTCACATTCTTTCCCGTACAGGACCCAACTACCAAGCTGACGGGGTCCATGCCGTTACGTGAATCTTGGTCCCATGGCGCCGCCCAGGCTCCGCTGACATCCAATACAACCAGGTCGGCCTTTTTGCCTACCTCAATGCTCCCTATCTCTTTCTCAAGACCCAATGCTTTGGCGCCTCGTATGGTAGCCATTTCCAGAGCCTCGTGGGCACCTATGGAGCCAGCGCTCAGTGTGGTTCCTTTGTGTACTATCGAAGCCAAGTGCATTTCTCGTAGCATATCATAGGAATTATTGCATGGCGCGCCATCCGTCCCTAACGCCACGTTGACGCCTGCCTTTAGCATGGCTGGGACCTGCGCGACACCCGAAGCCAGTTTCATGTTGCTGGTCGGGTTATGCGCCACCGTCGTATTGGTCTCGAGCAAGATTGGCAGATCTGCCTGCAAGTCGAGGTGACACATGTGCGCCAGCACGGTTTTCCGCCCTGTCAGTTCTGCGTCGCGACAAAACTGCATTGGTGACCTCCCTGCGTAGACCTCTCGGAAGATCGGCAGATCCCGCGGCGCCTCGGCGCAGTGCATGGTAATGCCGATGTCGTGGTCGCGGCAGATGCGGCCGACCTCGGCGAAAGAGGAGATGGGAGCGCCACGCGGCGTACCGCACGCTGCCCACACGTGGACACGATCATTGCTGGACCCGTGAAACGTGGTGTGCGCTGAAAGCAGGGACTCGATGCTCATATGCGATAGATCCTTGTCACGCGCGTCCGCAATGTTGAGGGCCGGGTTGGTCTCTACGAATTTCACCAGCTTGCCCTGTGTAGGTGGTCAACATTGACTTCCAAGCAACATTTCGAGGATCCGTGACGAACCAGACAAGCCCGAATGCCCATCTCAGACACCGCGCTGGCCACATTGGCGAATCCACTTCCGTGTGTTAACATAGCCTCCAAGAAGCAAGTCGTTCCGCTCAAGAGCATCTCGGCAATTGTAGCACGTGCAGCGACGTAACCATCGGCTGAGACTCCTTGTCCCGTATATGCCGCCTCGAGAGGCCATATCCGATCGCAGAGCCAGGAATGCAAAGGCAAATCCTCTGCTAGTCCGCGCAGCAGTGACTGCGCCAAATGCGCATGGGTATTTATGAGTCCAGGAATGATTATGCGGCCAGGTAATGATATAACTTTGGTGTGCGGTTGAACAGATTCTGGATTGCCCGGCGATACATCAAGTATCCGCGAACCTCTAGTGATGATGTATCCCTTGAAAATCACCCTTCTGGTGGAGTCCAGAGTGATTATTGTGACATCTTTGAAAAGAACAGCCCCTGGTTGTTCTGTCATCTCACCAAGGTAAATCAGCCTAGGCTTGAACAGAGAGATGGTCTTTTGTCGGAGTCTTGAGTGCCCGCAAACTAGATAGTTGGTTTCTCAAGAGGCAAATCGAGTTTCTCGTCTCTAGACAATACGAGGACCCAAGATGGAACAAGCCCATATTCACCACGTGACTCTATTGTCGTGGTCGGCGGATAGAGAGTGGCCAGTGTGCCAGCGGCCGCCCCCGGTGCCGATAAGCCGCTAGGTTATCACAGCTACGACGTATCCCCGGATCCTCTCTCCACAGTCGGGCACCTCCGGTCAGATAGGGTGGAAGTCGGGAAGTGAATACACGAGCCAATCAATTCCTTGGGCTTCGCTGAAATAACCGATAAAATAAGCTCAGAAGGGTGGAGGCACCATTTTACGGGGATTGCAAGCTGGAGATACCATCAGCAAGATAGGCAGGCCCCGGATTCCAAATCTGCCGAGGCAGGCGTCCTCTGATTGGGTAGAGCCAGGCTTACTGCCATCATTTAACATGTCCAAGGACCTCGCCGTCCGCGTTCGCTCGCGCGTCTCTTTCCAAATGAAGCTCTGCTGTTGCGAGGGAGTCATATATCACTGGCGTAAGATCCATCATGGCGTCATTTTCACAGGAGAAGAAGAACGACAAGAGTATCGAACCCGAGATTGCGGGTGCGACACTCGAAATTGGGCAGTCAGCTGATCCAATATGGAAAGACAAGCTGTCATATCTGAAGCGGTATGTCACGAGTAAAGAAGGTTGGGTCGGGGACTATGTAAGTGAATAGTCGAGTTGAAAACCCTCTTCAACCCTCGGCAAGCATATCTCAATTCAAATTTGGGCTACGCTACCAGCGGATAGACTAAAAGAGAACAGGACTACCTTTACCTCATTACGCCCAACATATGGCCACTGAATAAGAAGTATAAAGGCTACAAAGCGCCGTTCTATGGCCTGAACGATGAGGTGCCCATACTTCTGACCGTTGTCCTCGGGCTGCAGCACGCACTGTGTATGATCGGCTCTATCGTCTCCCCGCCCCTGGCCATTGCCGGCGGTGCTTTTTACTTTGATTCCGCAATGACACAGTACCTGGTCTCAGCTGCGTTCATCACCACGGGAATTGCAACAGCCTTGCAGGTGACGCGGGTCCACATCGCCAAGACGCCCTTTTATATCGGCACTGGGCTGCTGTCCGTCGTCGGCCCAACTTTCGACATATTGCCTATTGCTTTCACGTACACTGGTATGCGCTACGCCAATGGGACGTGCCCGACCGCGGAGGACGGCACCCAATTGCCTTGCCCTGAGGCTTGGGGTGCTATCCTTGGCTCAATTCTGTGCACCGTCTGGGTGCAGATTCTTATGAGCTTTGTGCCCCCGAAAACGCTCAACAAGATATTTCCAAAGGTTGTCACGGGAAGTCTTCTGCTGCTTGTCGGTATTTACTTGGTGGGAAATGGAATGAACAACTGGGGCGGCAGCAGTAACTGCCATGCTGGCACGGGGTTCTACGCTCTCTGTCCGGATGTGTCGTCTCCCCAACCGTTACCTTGGTATGTTCAATAGCCCGGCGGAAGTAGCAATTGGGTTTTTATGGGTTAAAAGGCTAACAAAACTACAGGGGAGATCCCAAACTCATTGGGTTAGGCTTTACTGTCTTCGTTGCAATCATTTTCGTCGAGCAGTTCGGCTCACCCCTGATGAAATCGGCCTCTGTCATCATCGGACTCTTTGTCGGTTGTCTTGTGTCTGGACTAACAGGATACTGGTCAATGAGTAACATTTACGCCGCGCCGGCTGTGACATTTCTCTGGGTCCATACCTTTCCATTATCAGTCGACGGCGCCTTGATACTACCGCTACTCATCATGTTTATCTGCGAGGCCGTGTCATGCATGCCGGACATACTTGCTACTGCAGAGATTAGCGATGTCGACATTGAGGGCACTGAATTCAACGCGCGTGTCCAGGGCGGAATTTTGTGCGACGGTATGGGCAGCTTGATCGCCGCTCTTGGCACAGGCCCCCCAATGGTCAGGTACGTAAACCCGAAGTCCTTTCATCGGGCCATGCCCGCTCTGTCTCATCATGTTACTACCTGGTATGTCGCTTGATCTTAGAACTGATGTATTACCTCCGATGTAGCCAAGCTGGTAACAACGGAGTCATCGTCATAACTGGCTGTGCATCCCGACGTGCTGGCTGGTGCGCCTCCGTCTTTCTGATACTGATGGGGATTTTCGGCAAGTTTGGGGCCATCTTCGGTTCCATGCCTCCGTCTGTATTGGGCGGCATGCAGGTCTTCCTATATAGCACAATCGCAGTTGCAGGCCTGAGGGTGTTAGGCTTAGTCCGATATACGCGGCGCAACCGTTTCATTCTTACCGTTGCGCTAGGCATCGGCTTCGTGGACATCACGCAGCCAGACTGGTGGGACAGCATTTTGACATACTCGGGCTCTAACGTTGCCCTCTCTGGGTTTGAGCAGGGTCTTAATCTTATAGTACAAACACCATTCATTATCGCGGCAGTGCTAGGTGTTTTCCTCAACCTGGCCTTACCAGACGATGCTAGTCAGATGGATGATATGCTGAGAGACCAGACCGGGCAGGCCGTCTTACACAAAGAGGAGTAGAGGCCAGGTCGGAAAACCTACAGACCAAAGTTAAATGCAAGTTAAATACAAAGGCCGACTGGTCCTTTAGGACGCGCTTACCTATCCCAAAGCAAGTGATTGACCGCACTGTATTGGTATAAGAAAAGCACATAAAACTAGTATATTCCTGGACACGATCACTGCCGCCTTGTATGCCTTGAGTAAGTGAAAATGCAGTATATATGCCTTAGCTTGCAGGGAAGTGAATGCCCAGCTCCTGTGGGCCGCACCCGACCGATATTCGTTCGGTTGGCGCAGTCAGATTCCAATAGGTCTGCTTTCCATTGCTCCGGTCACGCGCATGAGTTTCTGCACAATATGGAGCGCTAAAAAATTGATTGGGTCTTGTCACATTAGCAGCTGCCTAGCTGCGCCACCCATAACCACGCGATCTATCAGGTGTTCGAATATTTATCAAGTCCAGTTGCAACCCCGCCTTTCGTTGGCCATCAATTCACTGTTGAATATTGATTCCTCAACATGCTAGACAACGTGGAAAGGGACATCGACAAAGCCCTGAACAGAAAGGTTGACTTCAAATTTCCGTGTATAGACGCAAGTAGGCAAGTGAGGTTGCTCCGGTGTTCTTCAAGCGCCGCCACAGGCTTGGTCTACACGCTAGAAGTGGTTCCACTAGAGAGATTGCATCGCAAGCACTATAGAGCACTGTCGTACATATGGGGATCATGCCACACCACCAGCGACGCTCGGCAGATTTTAATCGATGGCCAGGAATTCTATGTCCGCCGAAACCTACACGACTTCCTAGCTGCTGCTAGGTCGAGGAGAGAAGGCGGTTTATTCTTCATCGATGCGATTTGCATCAATCAGCTTGATGTCGAGGAACGACAATGCCAGATTCGAGAGATGACCCGGGTGTACCGGTGCGCCGATGAAGTTATTTCATGGCTTGGAGTTCCGGGGAGGGCGCAATCCAGCAATTTGCGGGCCTTGAGTCGGGCAAAAATGCACGACTCTGTCAACTGGACCGCTGAACAGAGAGCTGGGTTCAAGTATCTCAGCTATCATCAGTACTGGCGGCGGGTATGGGTCGTTCAGGAAGTATTGTTGGCGTCCCATGTCACGATATGGTGTGGTAGTTCCTCGTTCCCTCTAAATCTATTTGGCGGTCAACCCAATCCGTTTCACGGGGCTACATCCAATTGCTCGTACTACGGAAGGCCGACAGCTGTGTCAAAGGTGCTTCCTAGGCTACAGAGCCCTGCATCGAAGATTATCACACATCGCCTGCGCTACGTACCCAGTCCTCTACTATGCCCTCTGGGACATGGAACGAAAGTCGACACGATGGAAAGCCTGCTCAGAGACCTACGGGTTTCTATTACGTCGATAAATATATATCAGTCACATCTACCCGATCTACTCTATCAGTTGATCCGCATTTTCGGATCACTGGAGTGTACGGATCCGAGAGATAAGGTGTACGGCTTCCTCGGGATACTCAATGAGCGCAGCCGAGCCATGATCATGCCAGATTACGGGAAAGACATCAAACACGCGTACTATCAGGCCTTAAAAGTTGGTCTGCAAGAAATGTACGATGAAATTGGGCTATCGGCATTCTTCACCTCGGTCGATGAGCAACCCGCAGTGTATCAATATCACGAGCACTTACGCGACGTGTTTGAGATCGAGCACGATGAGGCTCTTGCCATGCTGAGGCAAGTTCTGGGAGAGTTGAATTTGTATAACCGACTGATGGAAGACATCCTTGAGTTGGAGTTGCTAGAGCAGCTGCCATGGAAGGGCACCAAAGTCAAGTTCCTGCCGGGAATCGACATCTACGAGCTGGCTTCGAGAGGCGAGCCAGCCATGCCGTCGGGACTTCTATTCCGGTACCATGAGCGCCAACAGCGATGCATATCCAAGTTGTAAGTCCCCCAAAAGACTATCCGACGCCGCAAAGTACACTTTTGGCGATCAATATTTGCTGACAGCTTTATAGTTCAACGTGGCTGCACGCAAGATCAATGCGAAATCCATTGAGAGCCCGTGTAGATTTATGAAATCCCAGTTCCGCTTTTTGAGTGACTGGGCTAAGCTTTTTGGTATTGGTGGCGGGATTGTCCGTAAACATGGCACTTTTTCGGTCTTTGCACAGTTCTTGATACTTACTAGACAATATGGTTAGCATGTCCTCACCATTACAAGCAAGCCCTCTGTAGTTTCTAAGGATCGGGCTCGGCGGATGTATATTTTTCAACACTCGGTGCAGATACGAAAGGCTATAGAAACAATTACTGGCAGTCGTGTGTGACTGAACATTGTTAAAAGCAACCGCCTCGGTCCATATCTGGATTGGTGGCATCCTCATAGTTCGGAAACTGTTCAGGACAACACGTTGAGTAGCTTACACCCTACTGCTTGCTAGGCAAGTAACTCTCGTCTGCAGTTGTCTCGGCCCGCTTAGAAGGGAGGTAGCTCTCATCGGCTGTGGTCTCAGTTCGCTTGCTAGGCAAGTAACTCTCATCAGCCGTAGTCTCAGCTCGCTTGCTAGGCAAGTAGCTCTCATCTGCGGTGGTCTCAGCCCGTTTGGATGGAAGGTAGCTCTCATCGGCCGTGGTCTCAGCCCTCTTCGAAGGCAAATAGCTCTCATCAGCCGTGGTCTCCGCACGCCTACTGGGTAGATAGCTCTCGTCTGCGGTGGTCTCCGCTGTGGTCCGAACATTAGAGAAACAGGAGTGACGACCAGAGGCCGAAGGCTATGAGGATTCGGACTTACCACGTGGGAGAGCGGGGAGAGCGGTGGCTCCCGCGATGAGGAGAACGACGACCGAGTAGAACTTCATTGTTTCTTTATTCTTCCGTGGCTAAAAAGCGACTGTTGTGGTAAATGTTGGGAATGGCATGACTATCATTCGACGAGGAGTTCGGGAGCCGGAGACCAAGCCTACACTTATACCTGGGTACTTGACCCCAGTTTCTGACTGGCGTCGATCGCGGCATCCGGCCAGGATTATGATATGACCCATCGTACGGTCACGATCACGGATCGTCCCCGCTGGGGCCGACGCAACGTCTCACAAGCTCCTCCTCGCCATATGCTGCCGCCGTGTACGGTGTCTTGGCGCTGCATGCGACCCTGCTTCTTGGTTGCGCATTGGTGAGCATTTAGTCGGATTTTGCCGATGGGGCGAATGCGAGCGATTTGAGGTCGGATCTTGCATTATTGCCATCAATCGGGAGGGCCGGAGCAATTGACGGGCCCAGCACTCTGGCCCTCTGCCCGTTCCAGGGCCCGTGGATCTGATGACCTAGGCCCGCAGTATAGAAATCCCCGCAGGTGTGATTAGGTAAGACTCACGGACCCTCCGCAGTTCTCATCCTATGAGAGAAGGGGTGACATGGCGTTTTCCCAGGGGTTGGAACCGAGTATGCATGTCGTTTCTGCAAACCATTCCAGCATTGGCAGGTGGGTTTCTAAAGGATTCGAGCCAAGCCACTACAGAATGCACTTCAGGAGACATGGGTATAGTCCGGCCTGCTGCATGATGCTTGATAAGACGTTTACTGTCGGCTTGGGGAGTGGAGCAGCCTGGTTCAGTACATGCATCTTCGCAGCCTGCTGACAGCGAAAGTCGCTTGCTTTTACCATCGTTAATCCAATATCAAATCCTGTCAGAGTCTTGCACAAAACTTCGTGCCGACAACCAAGATGCATCAGACAAACAGGAGTGCTGAGTACGAGCGACTATACGTTGATCGCTCTTCCGGCGAGAAGTCGCAAGAGTCTTTCGACGATGAAGAAGGGATGGCCGCACTTTCACATCTGAAACAGAGCCGGTGGCGGTCATGGCGAGGCTGGCTACTTCACCTAGGGCTTCCCCTCGTCTATACTCTTATATTCGTTGTAGCAATGTATCGCTCGTGGGATGACGGGGGCGGCGTATTCAGCTTGGTGGATTGTAGGTTTCTTTGCACCCTGAGTCAATCTCATGACTGATTTGCCGTTAGCACCTGCGAAACAAGTTGGATCCAATATGCACCTCGAGGTTTTCCCACTGGACAAATTCCTTGAGGGGCCATACACTGGTGAACCTGGAGCAGAACTCGACAGAGTCTGGGCTGACTTATTACAATGTATGTTGAAACAATTGATATCGCACACTCTGCCTTCCTCTGGTGTGGACTATTCTGATATGAGAACTCAAATACAGATAACAACATGCGGATACCGGAGGAATGGGTAAAAAGTCATGACCGAGAATATCAAGCAGTTAAGCTTCCCGATGGGGGCTACCTGGGCGTGTTGAGCGTATTTCACGAGCTTCATTGCATTGTAAGTTCCTCCATCCCTCTTGCCAGCCATACAGTTATCTAATCAATGCGCGCCGGTAGAAAAGAGTATTTCGAACGCTGCATGCGGATTACTACTTTCCAAACGCCACTGCGGAAGTGCACAAGGAGATGATCGAGCATGCCGGTAAGATATTCTTGGCAGAATCTGTCATGCCGATAGATGGTTTCTGTATGGCTAACTGAGCTGCTCTTTCTAGAACATTGTCTCGAGCTGTTTAGAATGTCAGCAATGTGCCATGGCGACGTTTCAGTCTTGACACACAGGTGGGTGGATGGCGACCTGCTGCCTCACGTCAATCAGAGCGCGCCACATCAATGTGTGGACTGGAACCAGGTCATGGACTTCGCGGCGTCGGTGTCGGTCGACGTCTTCCGGAAAGACTACATTGTGAACCCTGAGACCGGTATGGATTTTCCTCCCGAAGACACGGATGGCAATACTAACAGGACGCGATATAGGAACCAACCCCTACTGGCATGATGAGCCACGTTCATGAAGGGACGGTTTACACGCAGTCTATACGCGGACGATGGAACATTTCCCATGAAGTCTGTAGCATCAGACGTGGCCAGCCCCACCTTCATCGCGACTATATACCTGGGTAGGTAGGTAGGCAGTCGAGGGTATAGGTGGGTGCCGACCGGAAACCATGTTGGTCACCGAACTACAGGCCACCAAAGTGCGGCTTATCGGGACGTTGACTTTGATTCACATGGTAGGGTAGAAAGCGCTGAATAATACTCGTGGCGACTCCACATGATCGCGAAATGTCATTTCATTTTCCAGGGAAACGCATGGCAGCCCGTGCATGTCCTGGAGTGACGGTGCAGCTAAGTCAGGTAGGTATCTTGGGAGCCCTGGTGGGGCGAAGAAGCGGACGGAAGATTTGCTCCGGAGACTGACCATGCTCGTGGCATAACCTGTCAACCTTGAAGTGGGAAGGAAGAATTACGGCAGCATATCGCAAATTCGTGAAGAGCCGCCAATATCGTGCGGGTAAAGAGAACAGGTCGTTTCTTGATCGTCTCATGTGCTTTGGCGAGATAGCGCAGCGCAATCTGCAGCGTTCGATAGACAAAATGGAACGATACAGGTTCGTCCGGTATGCAACGCTGAGTGTATGCCCGGATGATATGCACAATCAGGTGAGCGCTGTACATTGCACACGTCATGCGCGAGGATGCAAATTTGCGCAACATGCGAGATCATGAAGTAAGAAAGCAGTCTTGTCATTCTACCATCATGGATGCGATTGCAAGCTAGCGAGGCGGTGGCAGGTGGCTGTTGTCCAAAACCTGCGTCGTCAGAGCTGGGATGTAGGAAAAGCCGGGACCTGCGGCGCTGATCTGGGGCCTTTTTCTGCATCCCACTGCTTCAAGACACCACCACACATCCCAGTTGCCAGTGGCCGAGTTTGCTTCCAGGTGGCTACGTACCCACGTAGCCAACAATGCGTGAGGAAAGTCACGGCGCCATCAGACTGAGATGCCACGCACCACGGGCCGTGAGACCCAGGAACGTCATAGCCCACGAATGCCGGGGTTTCAGCAGACAGGCCTGACAGGCAGGTAGCACAGGAGGGAGGACAGGCAGGATTGCTGTTGAAACATTCGCAAGAGACACAGCCCGCAGGCCAGAGGCCCAGACAGGCGCAGAATAGAAATGTTCCACGATGCTCAAGACGTTAAAAATAGGCAGGGCTGGCCGATTGAGCTGGGCCAGCCACACCACAGGCCTGCGGCCCTTAGACACGATTCCCACGCGATTCTCTGATTGGGGGCCGGCGAGCGTTGCTGCGGCTAGGCGGTCGCTTGGCTCCCTGACACCTTAAAGATCCCTGCCGAACATGATGCAAGTTACGTCAGTCGGCGGAGAGAGCTCCTTCGCACCCGCGTACCACCTCGGCCACGGTCGTGGACGAAACGGAGGTATTGCGGCGCGAGCATCCAGCTCTGTGCTCGACGGCTGGGTGCAGCGACATCGACAGAGCCAGACATCTACGCCAGTCTGATCTCATCCGCGGGCGTGCCGCTGGCGCCGGGAAGGCAGGGGTGACGGCCAAGGTTTCCGAGGCGGGAGGTACCTGGATTGCGGGTCTGAAGTTGGGCTGACAGGGATCGGCAAGGATTTTGTTCAGCAAGTTGAAGAAGTGCTGGCATAATTCTTTGTTGGACACAAGCCTCCTCCTTCTGTGTCCCGTCCATGTCCATGATGCACGTAAGCGTCGAATGAAAAGCAGCAGTGGCTTCTGCTCCCTCTGTCTGCTCCCTCTGGTTATTTCTGTCGTTCCACGGCCCATCGCACGCTGCCCTCTTGACCAAGACATAACCCCCATCTGCGTTGCCCTCAAGACTCGGGCCAAAATACCACCCCGCCAGAGAGCAACAGCGCAGCGACGTCCAACGCCTACCTAACGTTTAACTACCCCGCCATCGTCAACCCAGAGCTCCAGGCCCCAAGAAGAAGGTCCACGGGCAGACCACCGTAGCTGCCACGCCCACTGCCACTGCTGTCCCGCAAACTGCCAGTGAATATTTGAACTGCCCAACCAGTTCCCGTAGCACGACCTGGCCTCATCGGCCAACATCTGACAGGCACACCGCTTTGTCACTCTCCTGCCTCGATCGCAGCTCGGAAAGACACGCAAAAGACCACCATCGCCAGTCGCCCGTCATGGCGCAGGAGGACACGACGCCCGGCAGACTGCTGCTGATATCAAACCGTCTGCCCATCACCATCAAGCGGAAAGAGGATGGCCAGTACGACTTCTCCATGTCGTCTGGCGGCCTGGTCACCGGGCTCAGCGGCCTGAGCAAGACGACAACCTTCCAGTGGTACGGCTGGCCCGGCCTCGAGGTGCCCGAGGGCGAGATCGACAAGGTCAAGCAGCAGTTGAAGGACGAGTACAGCGCCTTCCCCGTCTTCATCGATGACGACCTCGCCGACAGGCACTACAACGGCTTCGCCAACTCGATCCTGTGGCCGCTCTTCCACTACCACCCCGGCGAGATCACCTTCGACGAGGGCGCCTGGGAGGCGTACAAGGAGGTGAACCTGCTGTTCGCCAAGGAGGTCGTCAAGGATGTCCAGGACGGAGATATGATCTGGGTCCACGACTACCACTTGATGCTGCTGCCCGAGCTGCTGCGCCAGGAGCTGAGCGGCAAGCGGAAGAACGTCAAGATCGGCTTCTTCCTCCACACCCCCTTCCCCAGCAGCGAGATCTACCGCATCCTGCCCGTGCGCGAGGCCCTCCTGGAAGGTCTTCTGCAGTGCGACCTCATCGGCTTCCACACCTACGACTACGCCCGCCACTTCCTCAGCTCGTGCTCGCGTATCCTCGAGACCCCCACCACCCCGAACGGCATCGAATACCGCGGCAATTTTGTCACCGTCGGCGCCTTCCCCATCGGCATCGACCCCGAGAAGTTTGTCGAGGGCTTGAAGAAGCCCAAGGTGCAACAGCGCATTGCAGCCTTGTCGCGCAAGTTTGAAGGCGTCAAGCTCATTGTCGGTGTCGATCGTCTGGACTACATCAAGGGAGTCCCGCAGAAGCTCCACGCACTCGAGGTCTTCCTGACCGAACACCCCGAGTGGATCGGCAAGATCGTCCTGGTACAGGTCGCCGTGCCCTCCCGGCAGGATGTCGAGGAGTATCAGAACCTGCGAGCCGTGGTCAACGAGCTGGTCGGCCGCATCAACGGCAAGTTCGGCACCATCGAGTTCATGCCCATCCATTTCTTGCACCAGAGTGTAAACTTTGACGAGCTCTGCGCACTGTATGCTGTTTCCGATGTCTGTCTTGTTTCGTCGACACGAGATGGGATGAACCTGGTTTCTTACGAATACATTGCTACGCAGCACGACCGCCACGGAGTCATGATCCTGTCCGAATTCACTGGAGCTGCACAGTCCTTGAATGGTTCGCTCATTGTCAACCCCTGGAACACCGAGGAGCTTGCAAACGCCATCCACGATGCCGTCACCATGTCCCCCGAGCTGCGCGAAGCCAACTTCCGCAAGCTCGAGCGCTACGTGTTCAAGTACACCAGCGCTTGGTGGGGACAGAGCTTCGTTTCCGAGCTGGCCAAGGTCAGTGCAGATCAGGGCGAGAAGCAGTCTCTTCACGGCATCGGCGAAGTAGGCCAGAAGATCGGTGGTGCTGTGCAGACGCTGAAGGATGCCGCAAGCTCGGCAATCGATGGTGACGATGAAAGCTCGAAGTAGAGCCTCGGCTTTCTGGGGAACAAATCAGAAAGCGTCAGCGACCCTGCTGTAAAAATTTCCGACGCTTCGAATAGGTACGCGAAGGTCATGGCGTTGGCTGCGGAGAGGGACAGAAAGATACTGGCCGATAGGATCCGCGAAGGGAATCGACGCTGGGCCCGCGGGACAGAGGAGTCTCAGTGGCTCTAAATTTGCATGAGGCTACCGGGACATTGAAGGGCAATCATGGCAAATTCCTGAGCCTGTATATGAGGTATGGAAATGGGCTTACAAGGCTGCTCGTGGTTATCAGATAGACTAGGCGTCATGGTATTCTGGCACGGCATGATATGATGAATAGATTTTACGACATCAAGTCTGACCTATTTACATTCTTTGTGTGCCATCTTTGTATACTTTAAGCAATATTCGGTGCCATTGCCAACGCCGATTATCCAAGTACATTTGGGCCATCACTTTTTCACCCTTAACCAGAGCATTTTAATAACATACAGGAAATATACTTTGAGCTGCTGTTATCAAAACGCCTTCAAGAATTGGCCACGATATCGAAGACTGAGCAGCGGCTTTGATTTCTATGTTTCTAACGCATCTTTGCTCCGGCACGTTCTAGCTGGTGGCGGACTTTCGCATATAGGCCTGGCCGACTCGCCCGTAGAGATTCTCGGTCGATTTCATCCAGCTTTTGGTAGCGCAGCTCCAGCATCTTCAGCGGCGTATGACCGTGCGCATCTCGCGCGTTGATGTCAGCGCCCCTGGACAGCAAGAAATCCAGTATGGGCGCGACCTCGTCATACTCCAGCTGGTCGAAGGGGCCGTTCTCGCAGCCGCAGTCGGCCTCGAAGCGCAGCACATTTTGGCAGTACCGGTGGATCGCGGTGCCGGGGTTCGCGCCGACGCCTTGGTTGATGTCCAAGCCCGCAGCCAGCATGCAGTCCAGCAGCTCGGTCTCGCACTGGCACATGAGTCTCTGCTCGTCTTTGAAAACGTTGTCGACGATCATGTGCAGCACACCGTAGCACGACGGGTCATCACCAAAGGAAGGGCGGCACGCGTCTATCTGCACGCCGAGACTTTGGACAACTCTAAGCCAGTCTGGGAGATGGTTCTTGCTCTGGCAACATTGGGCGGTGGTGTTACGCCACGTTTGACTCCCTGCTGTCGTCCGTCTCGTGAAACCATCAGCCCCTTGCGAGGAATGTCTGTTGAAGAATCGAAATATGAGAGGGTCCTCGCAGGTGCAGGGGCTGTTTTGTTCCAGTGCCCGAGGAACAAGCGTCAACAGATGACCAAATACCCCGGCTGCCGGGTAGGGTGAAAAGCTTGTACACTCCATCATATTGTCGAAAAGGAACCAGCGCATGTCGGTCTCCAGCAGCGCGCCAGGCGCCATGGCATCAAGGAGGATGGTAACGATATCGACAGAGACAGCAACCAATTGCTCTTCCCCGTCTCTGAGACAGTCCGTAATACACTGGAGCATCTCTCCCAGAAGGTGAGGCAGCGAAGCGCTCTCCTCGTCCACATGAGCTCCGTTGTCGATCAGGAGTTGAATCATATCTTTCTTTCCGAGAGTCACCGCGGCTGCCAAGGGGCCTCGGCATCCAAGGCGATTGATAACCGCACCCGAATGTACCAAGAGCTGGATTGCCTCCTGGTCAATCGCTCTCACCACCATGGTTGTTATCAGGCTGTCGCCATTCAATAGAAAACTCTCATACGGCATGCATACGCCAATATCGTCCATTAGGTATTGCAAGATCTTGATGTCTCCTAGCAGCGCGGCTTGCTGAAAGACTGTCGTCACGTACAGGCGCGGTAGACGACGCGTACCACCCGCGCCACGTTCCAAAGAACGCACTATGTCAAATCCTTGACAACGGAGATACTTGAGAAAGCGGATCTTCTGGTCTGAATCCGACATTTGGGATGTAACAGCTACGTGGGCCAAAGTGCCTCGGCGCTCCTTGGACTCAAACATGTTCGACATGACGCTTCTCTGTATAAGGGTGATGGGGCCCGAAAAGGGCGAAGATGAATTTTCATTGTGATCTCTGCCGCTGTCAGCGCGGGAACCGATTCGAAAGTTGAGAGGACGATGCGATCTTACTGGAAAGAGAAGATTGTATTCTTGAGATCTACACCGTTATCGAATGCTCTGAGGCAGGCCGCTTCATCACAGTACAGGGCTGCGGTCTGTATGAAATTGCGAAAATGTCGGAACGGACTCCGCTCAGGATGCGTGTCAATGTCCTCCCGAGACAGCGCCCAGGCCTCCCATAGTCGGGGAGTCAAGAAGCGGTGGAGCCATCTGCACGTTTGGGATAGCTTGATCACGCTGGATATGTTGATGTCGCGTGCTGATGGGGGCCAGCCGTCGTATTTCAGGTATTCAACAACTTGAAGGAAGAGCTCTGCGGGTAGTCTTTGTAGTGTGCCTTCTGATATCGTCGCATCTATCTCGGTGAATGCGGAGCTCATAGCAAAATTACCTGATGCCATGGCGGCTTCGTTGTGGAATAGGATGGTACAGGTGGACAACGGAGGCAAGGGTAGATTTAGGTAGACAATGGGAAATGTTGAGATGAGTGCACAGGGAATAGATCAGAAAGGAATAAGACATAATTGACATGAGCATTTATGTCGTATCGGAGTAGCGCTCTGAGCTGGGCCACGGGACTAAGGTTAGTGCTCTACTGTTCCAAATTATATGCAAACTTTATCAGTTCGAAGCGACGTGAATTTGCTCTGTAAATCAAAGTTGAGAATACGTTGGTGTCCAGCCTTTCGTCTTATGCTTCAACTCTTAGCTACAGATGCACATAATTCCATAGAATTCATCAACAATTCAACTGCTTTCTTGTGGCACTGCATTGGTTTGTTTTCAAGCTAATCATTGCAGACCATATACATATAGAGGAATTTCCGGAAATTTGTGGCACTTGCCAACATATCTTGCAATTTATAATAATCCACTTGTGGGAGCAATGAAGACTTGATTCCTTTGTTTTAAAGCCCTGCGATATAAATACACAAAACCCCTTTTTGCCCCAATGTCTTGCCTCCTTCTTCGAATATGTTCTTGACCAACGACTCCAACCAGTTCCACACCGTTCAACTACAGCTAAGCCGAAAGCTAAGTGGTTGCTCCTTTTAACCACTCTGGACTGCTAAGGGCACTTTTGGTTTCCCTCCGGTCCCGGTATCGCAATGGAGAAGGAGGCGGGCGGATCTCTGTTACCGCCAGCGACAGAGTTCCCCTGAGAAGCACCCGTTCCTTTCTCAATCTACTTTTAGACCAGTCTCTTTGTCTGCTTAATGATCTCCGAATGAAACCCCCGGCCAAGGAGTGCTCTCGAACTAGACGTTCGAGATGCTCGTGAGCCAGAAGTACGTGTATTTTCTCTGACTCCTCAAATCTCTTTTCTTTCCCTCGTCTTTTTCTCTGTGGTCTTTGCGAATCATCCTCATTTGGTATGCCGCAATTGCCGCGATCAAGACTCATATCTAAGCACTTGGTAAATCTGAGTTTTTCGTACATCATAGGATTTGCAGCAGGGCATTGATTCACTGGTGGTGCCGTGTCAGTCATGATCACTGGTTGGTGAGCTATATTCTACTGGGAAGGTTCGAATAACTTGAAAATCATCCTGACAGTGGTTTGCTGTACTCTCTCACCAAAAGTTCTATTGTTAATCTCGGTACTAAATGAGGGTATCTCAACATCGCCTATGGAGTCTCTAGAAAATTCTTTGATTAACCGCTGGCTATCTGTACGCATTTTAAGCAATTCTTTGTCATCAATGCCCCCGTCATCCGAGATTAACTCTCGTCACCGTCGCTATCTGATTGTAGGAAGTCTGAAAGATCTGACATCAAGAGATCAATAGGTTCCTCAATAGTTCCTGACCTAAAAGTCGTTCCCGGAGGTGGCCTTGTGTCTCTACTGGACCCAGCCTGGGAATTGCCTGCAACACCCCCTGGTCTTGAAGCTCGCGCCCGCTCAGGGACTGTTGAAGGGCCTTGAGCTGCTTGTGGACCATCTTGGCCAGACGCACTGGTAGTCAATGGTAAAGACGGGATATTCTCGGAACCTTCACCAAACTGAGCTGAGTTTTGAGAGCCAAGGTTCTGGGAAACCGGACTGCGCCCTGGTCCGGTAATTGGAGATGACAGGTTGCTGTTGGAAGATTGGTTTCTCAAGCCACGGGCCTGCGTCATTAACAGCAATCGTGATCCGATTGGCGTTTCCTGGCGCGAACTGGGTCTTGATCCCGGAGCTGAAGGTCTTTGCGATGAAGAGCTAGTCGGGTCTCCAGCATCAGGCATTTGGTTTGATTGGCGTGGGGTGCTGAGATCATCATCGCCATCCGCTCCCGAGTCGTCCTGGCCTGAGACATTTCCTTGCAAGGAGTCGATGTCGACCATTTCCTCGTCTTTATCTTCTGGTCTGTTCACGAAGTCGTTGAACTCAATCCTTGCCTCCCTATATTCTGGCATATCCCGCAGTGCTTTCTTGGTCCTGATCCTGATCCGTCTTTGTAACTCAAAGATGTTTTTGGTGTCCGTAAGATACACAACTTTCGGTTCCTTTGCCTGGCCCATCCGTTGGACCCGGCCGATAGCCTGGTCAAAATCGGCTGTCCTTGGAGGGGTCTCACAGAGAATAACCCTGTTTGCACCTTGGAGATTGAGTCCGACAGCGCCCAGCACATAGGTCAATAGTAAAACTCGAGGTTTGCTTCCCGGCTCAGAAGGCTTGTTGATTTCCTTCATGCACCAATTTCTGCAGTGATTGGACTTTGCGCTGCGTCCCGTACCGGCGGCGCCTTGTGGCAACTTGGCGTGGAAATAATAGAAGTCAATCTTATCGCAGTATGTTGGGAAAAGTAGCATGAAGGCAACAAAAGCTGGAAGGGGCCCGTCCATGAAGAGCAACGAATGCTCAATTTTCTCAAAATCTTGGTTTCCGGCTTCGATGACTTCGTTGAATATCTGACATATCTTTTTGTATTTCAAAGACTTTTTGAGCTCTGAGCTATATTTCCAGAGAAAGCAATTCTGTAGGACAGCGAGAATGTTGTGTTTCGGGGCCCTCGCACACAGTAACTTTGTAATTTCAAAAGCAATCTTATTTATCTCCTCTGATGCCAATGCCTCTGGTTTTATACTGTGTTCTGTAATGATGCGAGCAAGGGCTGGGAATGACATGGCTCGTTGTATCGTCAGATATGGTCGGTTATCTTCTCCCAGTCCTTTACGCGCAGCCTGGCCCAAATGTTTCGCCGACACGGTCTCGATGGTAGGCTCCGCTGTTTTCTTTCCATCTTGGATCCATTTGTTTCTTTCCTTTCTGAGCTGTTTCAAGATCCAGGTTTTCACCTCTACGGTTAATCGCTTCAATGCGTTCAAATGTGCGCCTGCGGGTGTTGGCAGCACAATCTCTTCGTATTGCAAGGGTGGAAGGTCCACAATTGGATGCCCGTTGAAATGGTCTTCCTTCTTACGAGCTATCATTATAGCATGTAGCAGATTAGGGTAGGCTTTCTTGCCAACCTCAATCCGCTTGTTGATATCGTTTAATTTTTCTGTATCAGCAGCATCAGCGTCGGGGTAATTAGCTTCCAGGAACCGCCAGTCTTTCTCGAGTTCTAGGAGTTCATCTACTGTCTTGATGTTTCCCAGGTTGAAACTCCAATCGAGAGATGATGCTTGATATATGGCGTGTTCCAGAAATCGGCACCAGAGAGGAGGCCCATCGTCCAGAATGCTGCCAGATACGGCTACCGCCATCAGTGGCCGCGTCGAAATCTTCCTCAACCTCTCCATAAACTTCAAAGTCTCGGAACGTTCTCCGACCGCTTGTTTAGATCTAGCACCAGATTTTGCGCCTTTGCCCGGCTTGGGTTGCCTCGCTCCCGAGTATCTATGAACCTCATCAAAGAAGATGAAGCTTGCACCGAGGCAAAGCGCATCGTACGTTGCGTTCCTCTTTGAAATGCCTGCTTCTTGATGTACCCGTTTCTCCGTAAATCGTTGGCAAAATCTGTTAAGCGAGTTTCTAGACACCACAATAATATTCCTGGTCAGTCCGGATCTCCCTTGTATCTTGTGCTTAAAGACTGGCCTGGTTTTTGTGCCTTCGCGTTGAACTTCGATGACGCTGGCTTTTGATTCTGCGATAAACTGGGGCCTGCTGTACTGTGGCCACATTTGTGCATATTGATTGTGATCGATAGTGGCAGTGATTGAAGGCACTCCTTCTACTTGAAAGTCGTGGTCAAGATGACTCTCGAGCTCACTCGCCCAAACCGGTATAACACCAGCTTCGGCAACAACTATTGTAGGAAGATAAGGAAGGCTTCTGGCAATCCGACCGGAATCGCTGCTATTGATGCACGGACAGCGAAAACAGAAAGGGTTTTGAGATGGACAAAACGACTCGTCGTCCTGACCCTTCCAAGGTAGGTGGTTACCACGTTTAGCAGTTCGGTCCGCAACAACCTGGGCCCACCTGCTCTTTATTTGATGAAAGATAACGAATGTTGCAATAACTTCTAGAGATTTTCCTACGCCGGGGGCATCACCAAGGAGGAAAGTGGAAAGCTTTGTCCTTGTCACTTGAGTGAGCATGGCCCATATTGCAACAAGCTGGTGGTCTTTGACGGGTCGTAGAAGGCCCGGGATTTTCAATTCCAAAGTGGCTTTTTCGCACTGGAAAAAGTTGCAAATATTCTCCCAGGAGAACTTGTAGTCGATTTTGTCAATCATCGCGTCAATGATAACGCTGTTATCAGGAAGTTTGACGTCTGTTTCGCTATCGTCTGGGTCCGAGTCTTTTTCACTGTCGCTTGCGGGATGGCGCGCAACTTCCTTTCCTTTATCGTTCTTTTTGGGCGTTTCGGGTCGGTCGTTGCCAGTTCTAGGCCTGCGTCCGGTGGAGCCCTCACGTCTCGGCGTCTTTGACGCGGCCTTCCCTGGTATAGCAGGATCAGCAGAATCATCAAGATTCGAGTTCTCATCGCGGTTGCGCTTCGAGGGTGTCATTGGTACGTTGCCTGAGGGCGTCCCCGTTCCCTTTGCGGGTGTTATCGGTACGTTGCCTGGGGCCGTCCCCGTTCCCTTTGCGGGTGTTATAGGTACGTTGCCTGGGGCCGTCTCCTTTCCCTTCGCTGGTATCGTTGGCGCCTTGTCTGCGGCCTTGTCTGCGGTCTTGTCTGCGGTCTTGTCTGTGGCCTTCTCTTTACCAGCTTGTCCTATCCCTGGGGCATTTTGCTGGCGAGCCGGTTCGGAGTTCATGATATGTAGCACGGGCAATCCGCTACCTTGTTCGTCCTCGAGCAGCTTGACTTTTCCACGCTCAATCCTGGCCAGGAGAATGCGAAATTCTTCCGGCTTACGAATTGAGACCAGATCACCAGCCATAACTAAGGTCATGTTTGCTCGCCATTCCACCTCAACGTGCTGCGCATACCAGCGTTGAATAGCCTCCAAGTCGTAGTTTGAGGGTATCCTTAACGCGTATTTCCGACCTTCCTCGCTAATAAAATGACTTAGCAATTCCGACCTAAGCTCTCCATCGGTGCCCTTGGTTGTCAGTAGGATGCCGTCGAGATTGACATTATTCTTAGCTAGCTCGATGCCGCGGGCGACCTGCGCTGCAATACTTTCTTCATGGAGGTGTTTTTCATTCGGATTGGCCATTTTTAGATTTATATTAAACAGGTCGTTCAAAACGACCGTTGTGTGAGTACCAACAGTAGAAGATACTAGAAGGGTTGATGGTTCTAAAATCTCCGATATTACGGGCAGTAGAAGCCTCTGCTATATAAGCATTGATCGACTCCCTTAAGGGTCTGACTTAGGCTTGTCTGGCTAGTTTTAGACATTCTTTATGGCCTAGCCCTTTAGAACTTCGAATACTTTCAAAGCAATGCTTTTGAAGGTAGACCGGATTTGGAACAATAAAATAGTCAAAAGGAAATTCAAGCCAGTAATTGTCACGGACTGGCCAGTGCAAGGGGACGAAGGGTGGTCCACCTCACCTGTAAACAACACACACCACAACTGTGGAGGGAGCTCTTCTCTCCCCTCTTTCCTAGATTGAGATTTTCTATAATAACACAGGATTTGCAGCAGAGTCTCGATTTATTTGTGGTGCCATAATAATAATAATAATAATGATACACGATTCATCCTTTATAAAATAAAAATTAGTTTAATTATCATCAGAACTATAGTCGCTAAACAAGTCCCATTTGTCAGAATCAGAATCCTCGTCTTCATCTTCTTCATCGTCTTTAGGGCCTTCATAGAAAAAGTTACCCTCTTCATCATACCAACCCTCCGATTCCTCTTCGTCTTCCGGCTTCCGCGGTCCTTTGCCCCTAAAGCACCATACGTGGCGTCCGATGAATTTCGTGTCTATCCGGGTTTTGTATCTGATGTCCTTCCCATACCATTCATCCAACATCTGAAGCGAGCGTTTTGAATCAGGGTTCCAGGTCTCTGGATCATGTTCAGGATCATCCACTTGTTCATGCGTCCATCGAGGGCGCCACCACATCGCAAGCGGCCGTGCAAGGTCAGCAACTATCTCTCGCACGGGAGCCGCAGGCTCACCAAACACAACCACGATAGATTTTTCATTAATCATAGTGAACGTGGTGGCGCCAAAGCAGTCGATTGCTTCAATCTTGTATGCTGCAAGTGCCTCTCTGCACGCGTTGGTATACTGTAGGTCCTGGCAAACAACTCGTGGTCGTCTGCCCCAGACTTTGCGGAGGTGCGTCGCAAGATACGCAACTACGGCGGTGTTGTCCCAGCTTTGCATATGAATATCCGGGTCGTCGTCGTAGAGCTTGTCTCCCGATTGGAGTAACGGCACAAGGCGTCCCAGCCCAAAGCATACCACTTGCTCAACGGGTTCTTTGATTTTTGCGAGAAAGAGGTTATCAATGAAAGATATGTCAAACTTTTGAATACTCATTTCGACCCACGACTTTGCTATTTTCCGAATCACAGTCTGCTCCGTCCATGCTGCTGGTGGTCCTTGATGCATCACCGGCGAAAAGCGGACCGGGTGGTATCGATGGAGTTGGTCCGCCCTCCGGTATAGTTCTTGCTGACGCTCCCCAGTGATTGTAATCATATTCCCACGCCCCATCTCCTCTGGACCTAAGTCATTCCGACGTGAGTCGGGAAACTCGTTTTCCCATGTTTCGTTATCTCTATCTGGCGTTGGGAACGAAGAACAAGTTTTGCCACCAGCAGCCAGTTGTGCCTCCATCCATAGGAGTTCTTCCTTCCGAAATATCGGATCCTCGACTTCGAATTTGACCATTTTAATCGAGCTTGGCTTGGATACGGTTTGGGTTAGAGTCTGTAGAAGGCGAGAAGGGATGATGTATGACCAACGGACTGGCGAAGTATGCGGCGAAAACAATAGACTGGGCAGTCCACAACCACGGAGGTCACTGGTTTATATGCTAGCGGTAAGTAAGAACCGGTAAGGCCTCAGCCGAAGCTGTGATCAGGCAGTGAAGCTGGATGTCTTCCTTTGTTCATCATCCGAGTTCCGATCCATGGATGTGCAACAATAAACAGAGATCGACATCCTTTCAACTTTGGGGTCCTTTCTCTCTATCTCTCTCCCTCTCTCTCAAAACGTGTGCATGCAGTTGGTGTTCTGAGCGATGTATTCAAAGAGACCTAGGCAACAAAGCCTGAGGCCTCCCATTCAATATCCGGCGCCCTTTGTGAGCTTTGTCGTGACGCGAGATTCATAGGACTTGGGATCTAAAGTCTCATATCCTCTGCCGATGGTGTCCATAGATGGCAACTTGGCGACTTGCTTCCCCATCAATCTCGATTCTGCGTGTTGAGTCGAGCGGAATGTTCAAGCCCTCAGCTCATCGTAAAACAAAAAGCAGGTCCAACAACGCGGGCAAAAGTGCACCAGGTATACGGGCCCAACGGGATCGATGGACGGCGGTGAATCCCTCCATTCAAAATGTCCCAATGAGCCAATTTGCCCTGCAGGGGGGCGTGTAGTGATAGCACCAATAACCTTGAGTTACGGGCAACAACGGCGCAGGGCAGCCAAGCAGCGCCAAGGGCCTGTGGCGCTCATCCTGCACAGCCACATTCACCCCCACCATCCATCCATCCACACACATTCATCCAGTCCTCCATCCGCCCTTGTGCCCCGCCACCCCTCGTACTATGATGTACTTTGCAACCCCCCCTCCAGAAAGAAAAAAAAGATACCTACCTACTGGACCTATCAGGCCAAGATACTTGGTACCTTAGTCAGGCTTGCTCTGTTATGACGCAGCTCTCCGTGACGAGCCGTCAGTAAGGTCAATACCAAGATATCGGCGAGCGAGGCGTGTCGCGGGCAAGGCTTCCCTGATATTCCCATCTCCCTTTGTTTGCCGCATGCCAGCTTGCGACTTCCTGCCTCTTTTCCGGCCATCATCTTGAGCTTGAGCGGCATCCTCGTCATCCTCGTCACTGCAACGGCGGCCGCGCTGCACTTTTCCCTATCTTTCCCCCTTTTCGAGCCCATCGTCACCCCGCAGTCGCCGCAGTCGCCGCAGTCGCAGTCGCAGTCGCAGTCGCAGTCGCAGTCGTAGTCGCAGTCGCAGCCGCAGCCGCCACCATGTTCGTCCTCAAGAATGTGGGCAAGCTGATCTTTGGCAGCAACAGCCAAGAGTCCATGATCGAGCTGCCCCAGGGTCAGCTGTACCTGGTTCGCCCGCTCTCGCCCAAGGGATACTCCGAGCTCATCTTCAAAGACGCCACCGTCGGCATCCGGCGCACCGGCCAGGACTTCCAGTACCAGCTCGTCGTCCAGCGCGTCTACGAGGAGGGCGAGGCTGAGCTGCTGGCCGACGAGGAAGGAGAGGACGCCGAGATCGCAGCTCTTGCCGCCGAGCGAGACGAGAAGACCTTCCTGCTGGACGAGGCCCTGCACTTCCGCGTCGAGACCCGGGAGGGCTCGGGCAAGATCCTGGCCTGGAAGGACCTCAGCGGCGATGCCGGCGACCTCTACGAGTTCGTCTGCGACGCCTCGGTGCAGCTCATGCAGGTCGAGGCCTTCGAGCGCATCGCGAAGCAGTGCCAATACGAGCGCAAATACCGGAAGCCCCACACCACTGCCTCGGAAGCCGACCTGCGCCAGTTCGAGTTCGAGGACGAGCAGCCCATCCCGCAAGCCAGTCCCATCCATAGCCCGACCATCGGCCGCACCTTCGAATCCACCGACGACATGTTCTCCATCAAGCACTCGGCCAACACGGGAGCGAAGCGGGATGCCACTCCTCGGAGGGCACCTGTCGCGCCCATGAACGCCAGCGACGACGAGCCCCAGCCACCAGAGACACCCCCTCAACAGAGGGAAGTCAAAGCACCGACGCGCGATATCGCCCCGCCCTCGGTCCCAGCCCAGCCTGAGCCCTTGGAGATTCTGTCCATGGAACTGGCAGAGCTGCACTTCTACGACCATCCCTCGGGCTCCTTTGTCCTGAAAGACACCTCCGTCACCGCCCAGGTCTCGGATATTGGCCACTGGCAGTATTGGATGCACGTCGCCAGCAAGGACCAGGAGTGGATCGGCATCCCCGTCGTCGCCGATGTCAACCCTGTATTCAACTTTGAGTTCCTGTCCTTCATCTTCAACCAGTTCACTGATGATGGCTCGGCGTATTCGTGGCTTCTGCGCTTCAAGGACCAGCCCACCTTGGAACGGTTCCAAGAGGGTTTCATGCGAGCCCTCTGGGAGCAGCTGAACGAAGTCAAGTGGACCAAGGTCAAGGACCAGGAGCGCCAGTACGTCCTCGACGCATTCGAAGACCTCAAGATGGATGACGTTCCCGAGGAGGGTCACGAGGACGAGGAAGAGCAGGAGATTGAAGAGGTTGATGACGACGAGGACCCCGGCGCACAGAGCGAACACTACGACACAGACGAGGAGCAAGATGACCTCGAGACGCAGCCAAAGGACGGTGCCACGAACAAGTCCATATCCGTTGGCTACAAACATGACCGATCCTTTGTGGTCCGAGGTTCCAAGATCGGCGTCTTCAAACATGCACCCAACAACCATCTCGAGTTCTCGACCAACATCTCCGAGGTCAAGACTCCCAGCGGCACTCTGTTTAGCCCCAAAAAGGCCATGTTACACAATGAGGACCGCAACATGATCCTGCAGAACGACACAGATCCCAACAAGCTCTACCGAATGGATCTCGAGTATGGTAAGGTGGTGGACGAGTGGAATGTTCATGACGATATTCCTGTCGTCACCTTCGCCCCGGAGAACAAGTTCGCGCAGATGACCCACGAGCCCACCTTCTTGGGTGTCAGTCACAACTCCTTGTTCCGAGTGGACCCTCGTCTCGCTGGCAACAAGCTCGTCGATTCGCAGCTGAAGCAGTACGCCTCCAAGAACGATTTCAGCGCCATCTCGACCACGGAGAAGGGCTATGTGGCCGTGGCATCCAACAAGGGTGATATTCGACTATTTGATCGCCTGGGCATCAACGCCAAGACCCATATTCCAGCCCTTGGCGAACCCATCCTTGGCCTGGATGTCTCTGCCGATGGTCGCTGGGTCCTAGGTACTTGCCGTACCTACCTGTTGCTCATCGACGCCATGCAGAAGACCGGCAAGAACGAAGGAAAGCTGGGCTTCGAGAAGTCCTTCTCTGCTGACGCAAAACCTCAACCTCGCCGTCTGGCTCTCACTCCCGAGCACGTAGCTCAGTTTGCCTATGAGACGGGCAAACCCGTCACCTTCACACCTGCTCGTTTCAATACTGGACATTCGCACGAGGAAACGTCCATAATCACTGCCACGGGGCCATACATCATCGACTGGAACCTGAAGAAGGTCATCCGTGGAGCCAAGGCTCCCTACACTATCAAGAGATATTCCGATGAGGTCAAGGCTGACGACTTCAAGTTCGGTACTGACCAGAATGTCATCGTTGCGTTACCCAACGAGGTCAACATGGTTGGCAAGCAACAGTTGAAGCGGCCGACCCGCGAGAGCATCGCAGGGCTTGGCGCTCGGCTGGCGACCCCGCGACGCAGTTCCGGGCGGATAGGCACTCGGGAGAGCGGTCGTTATAAGCTTGGCAAGGATGATGTGGTTGCCTCCCCATACTAGCCTAAACGAGATCGCTGTGGTAACGATGGGCTAGATCTTACGAGATTGCGGATCACGAGATTGAGAGGCCTTCTTGCGGAGGAGGACGTTGATTTTCTTTGACTGGTGGGTTTGCTATGTTATGTTTTGCCTAAAGAGTTAGTCGGTTTGACCAACACAATATTCCCCCGGCGTTGACAAGGCAAGGAGCCATTTGAGGTATGGATAAGTGAGACGAAGAATCGGTGCTAGCCAGCTAGCTAGGGTAGTTTAGAACACAATCCACATTGCTTGCTTCACAGGCTTTTTATTTCCCTCTGCATATAATTGCGACAAACTCATGCCATCTCGAATAATCATTGATGTTGAGCTGGCTTGGAACCGTGAAATTCTATGCCCTCCATCAGATAGTATACCTTGAGAGGTGATTCAATAGGAAGTACACATTAAGCGATGATGGCATTGGTCACAGGCAGATTACGCATACTGATATTCCCCGTGCATCAGGGCACTTCTATTATTCTGACGAAGAGCTATCTGAAACTAGACCAAGCTGTCTACTCTAACGACGCTTGATTCCAACCTCAAGGCCGAGCGGTTTTCTCAAAAACCCCTCGCGGGTCTCCATGACCTTCTGCCGCAGGAACACGTCGTACCGCTTGACCCACGTGGCCGCAATCAGCTTCATCTGCATCTCGGCCAGGTTGCGCCCGACGCACGACCGCGGGCCGTGGCTGAAGGGGATGAAGGCGTTCTTCTGCTGCGGCGTCAGGTTCTCCCACCGCTCGGGCACGAACTCGTCGGCGTCGGCGCCCCAGATCTCCTTGGAGTGGTGCATGGTGTAGGTCGGCACGCTCAGCACGGTGCCCGCCGGGAAGAAGCGCCCGTTGAGGTGGATGCCCTGCGACTCGGCCGGGATCTGCCGCGGCAGCCCGATGCCCGACGTCGAGTGGTACCGCAGCGTCTCGTTGATGACCATCTCCAGGTACGGCAGCCGCTTGACCTGCTCAAAGGTCGGCACCTCGGCGTCGTCCGAGATGACCTCGTCGAGCTCCGCGCGCAGCTTGGGGAATACGTGGGGGGTCCGGACGACGTGGTACAGGAGCGCGCAGGAGCTGTTGGAGGTCGTATCGCTGCCGGCGATGAGCTGCGTCAGGGCTTCGGCAGTCAGCTCTTCTCTGCCGAGCGGCTCGCCCTTCTCATCCTTCCCTTCCATCAATCGAGCCAACAAGTCCTTGCGGTTGATATCTGGCGGCGAGGCCAGACGGTCACTAACACGTGCGATGGCAATACCAGCCAGGTTCTCAACAGCCTCTAGTCCTTTGCTCTGAAATTCACCCATTTGTTAGCTGATACTCTTCATCCTACGCCAAACCAAATAGAAAACCTGAGTTGCTCACAAAAAATGGGTCTGGCAGCCACTTGGCGTATGGCTTCAACCAAGGCATGGCTCCGAGTGTGGCCGATACCTCGCCACGGCGATTCAAGATCTCACATGCTGGTGCGTATATGGGAGGGCTCGTCGGGGATGCTTTGATCTCGGCAATGTCCGCGCCAGATGCGAGCATCCCAAAAGGTTTGCCAAAGGCCAGGTCGGCTATCGTATCAAAGGCTAGGTAGTTGACTAATCATTCAATCAGTTCGGAATCCGGAGAAGACTGCAGGCCTCGCACGTACACCAGGATAGGCAGTCTAAGTGAGCATAGCCATCAGGAAGAGGCGTGCTGCTGAGAGAGTCCCATTGTTTGACGAAGAGTTCCAGGTTCTGTCGCACGTATGGCTCAAACTCGACAACCGACTTTGGTGCAAAGGTATGTGAGACTATCTTCCGCTTTCGTGAGTGCTCGGCCCGGTTTCTCGTGTTAAACAATCCCCGGCGAATTGACACGAAGGGGTCATAGAAGTCGCTAGTCTTCAAGTTAGATGGGATTTCACTAGACACGGATCAAGACAGTTGGACGTGTACTGACGATTTCAGAAAGCCATTGCCGTGGCCGTATATCACTGGAATTGCATCGACATCTGCCACGCTGACATGGTTCGGCGCGAGCCGTACAACCTTTCCCAGACGTTTGTGGGCTTCATTGACGACCTCGTATCGGTTGCCTCGTCTGCAAACCGCGAACAGCCACAGGTCTGTAAACTGAGCCGGGAAGACAGCGGGTATACCCTTCAGGTCCTTGTATGACACAAGATAAGGATATAAGACATAGGCAATCAGAGCGACAAAGGCCGCCACTGGCGCCCAGGGCGAGAGGAGGACATTAAGCACTGCCATCTTGACATTCGAGATGACCAAGAAACGATAAGAGGGGATCACGCTACGGGCCCACAGAGAATATTTATATCCATGACGAACCCAGGTATACTACCAGGAGCCCCGTGTATCATCAGGGTTGCGCACGAGACCACATCGCGTTGCGGATCGATCATCATTCATCCAATGGAATATGCTTGTTTGCAGGGCATTGAGCGCGAGAAGCGAATGGCGAAAGGGCGAGCAACAAGACCAAGCCACCAAATCCACTCCGTTTCCTGGTGCCGAAGGCGCTTGTTCATGCACAAGACACCCACGATGTGGGCTTGAGGCGGGATAGCCTGGGCTGGGGTAAACTAACTGACTTACAAAATAGATGGCCACGGATCAGGGAACGGATCTTACCCCTGTCCCCTGGAGACTCCAGATTCCGCCTTGACCGCCAAGAAGCTGCTGTCAATTCCGCGACCCACGTTCCCCACGTGGAGGCGGCGCACGCTAAACTCAACGTCACTTCGGCACCGCATCACGGCACTCTCTATATAGGAGGCCATAGGTCAACCTGCTGAAGTGCGCGATTTCAAAATGGCGGACGACGTGGTTACTATGGGCCTCTCAGCCGTAATGGCGAGCATCTTATTCGGTCAGGCGCCTCCAGACCCCGGCAAGCCCGGATCCCCGTACTATTGCCGAAAGTACTCTAATTCGACGCGCGCTCTTCCCTAGCCGACTCCAGGATATCCTTGTTGGTCCCCATAAACTGGTTCCAGATCGGAAGTGCCGGCTCAATGCAATTCCCTGTTGGCATCTCTCTGCATACAAGATAGCAAGTTGGGCAGGTAAACACATCTGATGCGCTGAATCACTCCTCCGAGATATCATGGACCTCCAAATACCTTTGGTTCAGCAAGCGGCTGTTATCGAGGACCCAGGGCCGGGTGGAAGAATACTTCTTCGTGGTGATGTATCAGTTGGTGAGCCTGGCGTACACGAAATCCTAGTCAAGTTAGAAGTTTCCGGAGTCTGGTAAAGTCCCATGGTGACCGTTCTCTCGAGTATTTCTGACTCTTGCCATGTATGCAACAGCGGATCGGAAATCCGAGCTCTACTAGGCTGGAGCTCGTACACACCAATTGTCGGTCATGAGGGTGTCGGTATTGTCGTGAAGGCTGGCGCCGATGCAGATGACTCGCTCCTTGGCCAGCGTGTGGGAGTGAAGTGGCTCTATAGTGCCTGCACCCAGTGTTCGGCCTGCAATCGAGGTTTTCCAAACAACTGTGGCAGGCAATTGAACACCGGCCGCAATGTGCGCGGGACCTTGCAGCAATATGTCGTGGCGGATTCGAGATTTGTAACCAGAATTCCAGACGGCTTGGCGAGCGAGGTTGCGGCACCACTACTGTGCGCGGGTTTAACCATGATGGGTGCTATCTCAAAGCTTGACGGCCAGCTAGTCCCAGGTGATTGGCTCGTGATATCAGGCTCAGGTGGCGGCCTTGGCCATATAGGTGTGCAGATTGCAGCCAAAGTAAAGGGTTTCCGGGTCATTGGGATCGACTCTGGCGAGGAAAAGAGAAAGCTGAGTATTGAGTCGGGTGCATCTGAGTTTATCGACTTCGCCGAGGGTAACGTGGAACACAGAGTGAAGGAAATCACGGGTGAAGGTGCCCATGCGATTGTGGTGGTGTCGGGCTCGGAAGATGCTTTCAGAGCTTCTCCTCTCTTGGTGCGGAACATGGGCATCATAGTGTGCGTTGGGCTCCCGGCCAACGATTTCAATATCCCCATCCCTGCATCCTTGTGTTCTGCCAGAGGTATGTTACACGAATCATACTACATCTAGTGGGTGATATCAGAAGCTAATATGTCATGCAGCTCTCTCTATCACGGGAGTCGCGGTGGGAAGTGAGGGGCAAATGGAAGAGATACTAGAGCATGCATTGAGGGGAGACATTCAACCGTCGATTCAGGTCCTGGACTTCCATGATATACCCCAAATTCTGGATCAACTGAAGCTTGGTGGTGTAACTGGACGTGTAGTGGTTAGAATCCCGAGCGGTATCAACAGTTAACTGCCACGAACATGTGAGGCTCCTTCCATTGTAGACCCGTAGATCAGCCAAGCATGCGTTTTATAAATTTGTTTCACGTGTTTCCGACCCATTGAAACGTCAAATAGTCCCAATATGCGATATGCCCTCAGACGGCCAGCAGAGTGATCTAGACTAGCTGCTAGCTTCAATTGCTTGAGGGTTAGGCAAGGGATAATGTCTTGACGCAAAAATGGAAAGGACGATCCATATCTGGTTCTTCACATATTACTGTGCCCGAGGTTGTATCAATAACTTGATCCCAAGTTCCCCTAATATAAGTGACACCATTGAGAAGAGAGTCCTCAGTCCACTTCCAGTCATCCTGCGTGTAGTGCGACCATGTCTTCTATATCTATCTGGGCATGGCAACCTGTACAGGCGGGCGCCACAGGAGACGAAGTCTCAACTGTGATCTGTTACCGAGACCAGGGGACTTCCACCACCATACTGTCAGCCAACTAAACCCTCCCGAAAAGGAACCAGCTTTGTCGTGAGCATATTCCAATCGACATAGTCTAACTCGTGTATCAAGAACATCTCCAAGAGCCTTCATCAAATGGTCAGGTGCGTTCACTTTGTATCACTCAAGAATTTGGAGTACCAAGTGCCGAACAGATGGAAGACCAACATTGACACAGAAGGTATCATCTCTTCTCAACAGTCAGCTTCCGGAACTTTCACGCCTTACACTCAGACCACTGAAACAATTACAAGTACCACTGAGGGCAGTAAGACAACTACACCTCTGCCCGAATTCAGTATACTATCCGATCCGCCCGAGCACCTTGAGGCTGTGTCACCCACAACCACTATCTTGCCGGACCCCAGAGGCTCCTGGTATGAGCTCATTTTGGGCGTCGTAGACTGGAGAGACTTTGATTATGCCTTTCAAAGATCTGCAGCGTTCCCTGGACCTCTTGAAGCAGCCCAAGAAACATTCACTTCAGAGGCCAGAGGTGAAGGTGCTGGCTTGGGTGCTCGATTCTCGGTCATGTGGCAGACAATGCCAGAAGCGCAATTCACCGTCAAATCGGGTCCCAGCCAAACAACACACGTGCCACCCGAAGGCACGGTGACGGATGCACCTCGTACTAACAGCGGATCCTATGTCGGAGGTGTTTCTACAACAAGCTCTTTAAGTATCAGTTCAGCTGAAGTGTCACCTTCTGGAACTGGGCGCACATCTGGAACCGTACAAGCGCTTAGAGCCCAGGTTTTCTCAAAATTCCACTGGAACGTTTTTGCGGGATGTGGTTTGGGTTTCTAATGTGAGTTGTAGGAACCCTAGCCCCATCGAAGGAGCTCGAGCTAGTCCCTCGTATACATGTCTCAGACTATAGCAAGCTATTCAGTTCTTTGAAAGATTCAGGAAAACAATATCCTCATCAAAATTTTCTCTAGTTTTGCAGAGTTTCTCATTGTGGAGATTATTGTACACATGTATTAAACTCGCTTATCAGTTCTGTGTATATATGCTAAACTTTCACACACCACCAAATGGAGATTTCCATACAGCAGGTAACACGTTTTGAATTTAGAGAGTTTATGCCATAGAATTTCAAATTCTATTGTTTTAGAGACAGCATCAGATATGTGTATAACAATACACAACTCGTGTTAAAGTCACTAAAGTCCGTTTGCCTGGGTATGTATGAGTGAGGAGAGAGTGATGAAAGAGCTCAGAGATAGGAATAAAGGATAGTTTTATGTTTGTCTGTCTGCGAGATGAAAATTGTAAAAGAGTGGACGCGAGAACGCAATACTACCTCTTCGCTTATCCCGCAATACTCCAAGCAAAGGAGTCCGCAGGGTGGACAAATCTTGAGCTCCCATACAGCTACAAACATATTTCACCCAACGCCATTTTCCATTGCTCCGCAAAAAAAATCGCTAGAACTAGGTGCCCAGTTTCAAAAGCCAAAAATAAGGAAAAGAAAACAAGAAACAAACTGCCGCTAGAATGGTATCCCGCGAACCAGATAGCACTGACATACAACCGAGCTCTAAATGAATTGGAATCGAGAAATCTCTTTGTTGCTAACCAGATCACGATGAAAGACACTCAAGGAAAAACGTCCCGTGTCGCGGCAGGTAGGCATAGTATAATGTCAAGGTGACGCATTCCAGCTGTTCCAACCCGGCAGTATTCGGTGCGACGACGCTGGGAACCGTTCAATTTCACTTGAGGGTCCTCGCGGCGACTTCATAGCGATACTGCACCTTGACTTTTCGACTAGCCAAAAGGAACGAACAATTCCACATGTTCAAGAAAACAAAGAGGGAGAAAAGTAGGCTAGATCCACGTTAGTGGGATATGGGCATCTAACTTCTCACATGCCCCGTTCGAATGAGAGATTTCCGTTCATATCTCGGAGGTTATCCATCGACTCCTCCATGAGTGTTGGGCTAAGAGGGTCATTGGACACGGGAACAGCGAACGCCGAGCCTGGCATTGGGAAGGCGTTTTGATCGGTGTAACCACTCTGCGGTTGGTTCCAGGGCTGCAAGCCACTGCTTGCGAACATCGGCTCACTTATTTCAGGTGGGTGCCTAGTACCTATTCCAAAAGGCTGGAAAGACGATGCTCGTCCCTGCATTGATGCGATGTTGTTGAGAACGTATTCTGGTGAAGATGGTGTCATGGGAGCAACCCATTCCATATTGAACTGCGGGGGTGCTACCGTTTGGGACGTAGTTTGGTTCAGCATTAGAGGCGCTGGACGATAGCCAAAGCTACCAGAAGATGCATGGCTTCTACGGCTGTGTGAGCTTGGCTGCGAGTGGTAATAGCGAGAATCTCCGAGCTGGCCTGATAAATGGGTGGACGACCCACCGACCATCGAAGGGTACAAGTAACTACGAGTCAGACTCGAACTGGAGTCAGTAGAGGCCCTTTGGTAAGAAGTACCCAGCCATGTGCTGAATGCTGATTCTGCCACTGCTTCAATGCGTTCCCTGAGATTTTCAGGGAAAATGATGTCTTTTTGCTGAACCTTGTGGTTCAGGATAGCATTGAAGAGTCTCATAAAATCAGAGCTCTGCGGCGACTTGGAGGCCTTAATTCCATGCTGGCCTACGGTCCCTTCATACCCTGAAATCAGTTAGCGAGCATCAGTATGGTTCGAAGATGCGACATACAAGGAGAGCCCGGCCTTTCCTCGTCAGGAAACAGGACAACCCAGATCTCGAACCACTTTTGTACGCGATGCTTCTCTTGGGAGTTCTTGTTGCCCCTCTTGCCGTCCAGCTTTGCCCACTGCGCATCACTGATGCCCTCCCTGAGAGTCGAGTCGCCTCTCTCGCATGGAGTGGCCTTCTGGCGATGATCTTCCAGGAGAGACATGCAGACTGATCTGTCAGACCCACGGAAGATCTCATAGCATCTATCGCACTGCACGGGATAATGTTTTCGTTTCAGATGCTCCCTGCGGGATGCGTTATTAGACTCCAGTAGAGAATCGTAGCACAAGGTAAACATACTTGAGTCGCTGGATGCTCTTGAAACCCGGGCCACTGCATGACTTGTAATGTTGGCTCTCCTGAACCTCATGCTGGATGGCATATTTCTGGGGGTTGAGCTTGTGGAAAGGGCAAGCCAACCGTGGCAGCTGTGCAGACTTTCCTGGTGGTCCATCGCCTTGTCTGTCACCATCACCGTCTTCTTTCTCGTCACCATCTCCGTCCTCCTCGTCTACGTCCTTGCCACAGTCGCTTGAGCTTGACCTTCTCGCTCTTTTCAGTGGGTTTCCCCTTGATTGCTGATTGAATGAGCCGGAGTTTGTCTGCGCGGGAGCTCCATTTCCGAGGGCATCTGACTGCGGCGGAAACTGGCCGCCATGAGAAGCTACCATTGACTGCCAGTGGCCAACCTTGCGATTGATGCGTCTTGACGCATCGGCCGACATTTCTTGGTAGATAATGGGAATCAGGTATGCTGCCAGCTTCAGATCGTTCCCAACAGCTGCCAGCACCATGGGCTCAATATCGTCCTCTTGCCCGCTCCAATCGTCGCTACCAGAGCTTTCGTCGTCACTTTCTGTCTCGCTGTCACTGGGGTAGGTTTCCTGGGCGGCCCGATAACCCGAATTCGCAAAACAGCTACCCTGCTGGGCTTCAGTTGCAGACCAGAAATCACCTGTCCGTGCTGGATAAGAATCAGGTATATCGCAACTGTCCGTGTGGGGCGATCCCAAGAAGTGGTCCTCCTTCAGAGAAGGCGATCCTGATTGTGTTGATTCGTACGTCAACGAGGGTGTATTTGACCGCGTCGTTCTCCCGTCGTAAGCCTCTGTTCCTTCGTCGATAGCGGGCGACTTAGGCCTGTGAAGGAAGCGTTGCAGTGGAAGCTCTTTCGACGGTTTTGTCATAGTAGCCCTGAGATGGTTCACTGGGCTGCTTCTTCCGTGAGACGTAAATGACAAGAAGGGCCCTGACATTGTACTTGCACCAGATCTGGCAACCAGAAGACATTGAGATGGGTTTCTGGAGCGGTTTCTGGAGCTAGAACATATGAGAACACACCAAGGAGATTTGCAGTGATATGGGACGATTTAAATTGGTGGATATACGGAAGCCTTCCATCTTGGACAGATTTCCCTAGCCATGTTGACCGACCTTCCTCCCGAAGGTAGGGCTATCGCGTACCGTCTGCGATCTCACGCAACTGCGTGCAACATCATGGCACAAGGCTGTGGTCTGGCGTATGGCTAGGCCGGGAAGGGAAGCGGATTGCAACGCAGTCCTGCGGGATTGGCCATGGCTGCATCGTGGTGCATCACCACCCAGCCTGGGGGGCCAATAGGGTAGCGTGGGTGAGCATGGAGCCCTCGCAGATGCGTGAAATCGCAGCCAATATCGAACTGCAGCGTGGTGATTACCTGTCCAGCCGGATGGAATTTCCATCGGGGGGCCACGGGATGCATGTGGTCTGCATGGCGTTGCTATGCATGCCCCTGGGGGTTCGTTGGGCGGGGGTTGCAGGCCGAGATCATGTGAGGTCGAGACGCGCTTGACACTGCGTCGCGTAGGACGTGTGGAAATCTCCATTCTTGAATGCAATCAATCTTGAAATGGAGCCATCCCCAAAGTTTCGGGAGTCAAACCTGGCACAAGGTGATGAACTGGAGGCTTGATACGACAGGCAACCTTCTCGAGTACAGTGACCAGTAAGTGTATTTACTGTGTGCCCTCTGTCCCAGACACCACCGCGCGCGCACGCAGGCACCAGTCCAGCTCCAGCGCAAATGCGCAGGACCACCGAACGTGCCGGATTGCCTGCCCACACAACTGTGCGCAATGACGCTCCCGAGTCGCAGCGCGATCTTGCTGCGAGGCCGTGTTGGTATATTTCTAGTTGCGCACAGGGCAGTGCTCTGTGTGCCTCGCTGGTGGGAAGTCGAAAATTGAGTCACCCGCGACATACGGGGCCCCGGTGAGAAAGTCAAGTCGCAATTGCGCCTCAAGGAGGCACCTCTGAAGGCAGCGAAAATGGCCTCGTTCTTAAGGTGTATATATATGGCAATCATCCTGTCGTGTCGAGACGAGATAGGTGCCATGTGTTCCACCATATCGACTCGGGATCAGACAACCTAGCCAAACAACCATACGAACAATGATTTTCGCCATGACAGACCTCAAGGGGCGCTCCAACTTCCGCAGCGCTTCAAAGCCAAAGCCGCCAAAGCCTAACCCGCCCATTGACCCAAGTAAGGGGAACGCCTCGCAGTGCATTGCAAATTCCGATGATGCTAACACGACACCAGGCTTCGGAAAATAGGGCAGGAAGGCGACGGGCCGGGGGCCATTAGTATCTAGCATGGTGTTAGACGGTGGAAGGTTGGTCCACTCCCATTGCCAAGTATAGTGATCGGTTACTGACACCTTCCAGACTGTAAATTACATTATCACCTAGACAGAAGAGTACTCGGTGCTTAGAGAGCACATGGCCAAGTCTTTTTTTTTTTTTTTTTTTTGTTGGAGGGTTCGGGGAGCACGATGGAACTGCAACCGCCGGCGGTTGGACTGATCCAAATGTATGTGCGGAGATGCCAGAGTCTTCGCCTACGAGCAGGATCCGTATACCCTTCGCCCAAGAGTCGGGGAGTACAGAGTGCAGGTAGTCGGAGGCAGGCCAGAAAGGGCATGTAGAAAGGCGTTTTCAGCCCAGCTAGAGCACTTGGTGGGCGTAGAAATTTATTCGGATTACTCATACTTGGTCATATCCCTCCATGGAGAGTTGATCTCATAACGTCTATCGCGAACGCCTTTTTTCTGTCGCGTCTAAGGTACAGCAAGTGATCCGCATCTCTATTCCTCAGGCCCGTCCATGCCGGGGCCGGGGCCGCCTTGTCTACCCATCTGTCGTGCCTTGAGCAGCTCGTCGCACAAGAGCAGGTTCGCCGCGATACTTGATGATGATGCAACGCAGTTGCGAAGTACTCTGAAGGAATCAAAGACGCCCTCTAGGGTGGGGTCCATGGGCTCGCCCGTGATCAGGTCCAATCCGACAACGTTGCCGTCAACGTGCTCATCCTGGAGTGCCGCAACTGGACAAGGTTAGTAAATGACTGGCCGAGGGCTTCTGGGCGATACTCACGGGCATCCTGGATATCATGACCGGCGTTGGCGGCAAGCGTCTTGGGAATGATGAGCAGGGCATCTGCGAAGGCATCCACACCCCACTTGGCCTTGCCCCTGACGGTTCTCTTGAAGGCATCGCTCTTCAGGTGAGTAGCGCAGGCAACCTGGAAAGCACCCGCACCCGGTACAACGCTCTTGTCGACGATCATGTTGTAGACACTGCGCAGGCCGTCTCTGACGGCGTCAGAGATCTGTGCAATGGTGTGTTGGTTCGGCCCCTTGATCAGCAGGGTTACCGACTTGGGCTCCTTCACATCCTCGATAAAGGTGTACTTCTCCTCGCCCAGCTGCTGCTCGTACACCTGTCCTGCCCAGCCCAGGATGTCGGGCGAGAGATCCTCGACGCTGTTCTGCGCAATACCGCCGCAGATCAGCTGCAGGCGCTCCATGTTTCTTCTCTTGGCCCTTCGCAGGGCGAAGATGCCGTTCTTGGCCAGGACGTCAAGCGACAGCGGGTCAATGCCCTTCTGGTTGACGATGACAAAGCTCTTCTTGGGGTCGTTTCCGCACACCTCCTTCTTCAGCTCGACAATCTTCTTCAGCTTGGCGTCCACGAACCTCCGCTCGCTCTCGACCAGCTTGTCGCGCTGCTCGGCGCTCGAGTAGAAGAAGCTGGAGTTGATCTCGGACTTCTCGTACTCCAGACTGACGTTGAGGGTCAGGATGTGGGCGTTCTCGACGCGCTTGGGCATGTCGGGGTGTCTGGGGCCGTGGTCCAGGGCCAGGCCGCGGATCAGCTGGGTATCCGAGGCGGTTCTGTGCTGCATCTTCATGATCTCGACCATGTGCAAGTCGGGCTTGGCGGGGGCCTGGTAGATGGCCAGGACGGCATCGACGATATCGGGGGTCAGGTTGGCGGCCAGGGTGGCGTTCAGCTTTGTGGCGAGCGACGTCCGGGCGACGGACAGGAGCAGTTCGCGGTCGACCTCCTTGGCCAGCTTGAAGGAGTCGAGGAATTTCAGGGACTCGTTCTTGGCGATCTCGAAGCCTTCGGTGATGATTCTCGGGTGCAGCCCCTCGGAGATGTATCTGTCCGCCTGCTTCAGGAGCTCGCCGACCAGCAGCACGACCGAGGTGGTCCCGTCGCCGCAGATGTCATCCTGGGCGGTGGCGGCGCGCGCGATCATGACGGCGGTCGGGTTCTGGATCTGCATCTCGCGCAGGAGGACGTTGCCGTCCTTGGTGAGCTTGATCTGTCCAGCGCCATCCACCAACCTTGGCCCGGGTTAGCTGCGGGTCCTGGGGGTAGAGGGGGGGTAGAAACGGGAGGGCTGGCTGGCATCCAAAGCCGAGCAGCAAGCAGGAGAGGATGGGGGTTTTGTTTGCACGCACATCTTGAGGGTGCCCAGGGGACCCAGGTTGGACTTCAAGACATCCTGGAGGCCCTCGCCGGCGGTGATGTTTACCTTCAGAGCTTCACCCCTCCGCTGCGACGAGATTAGCTGAGGACCCCACCTCCCGACGGTTCTCTCGCGTACGTACCCGGGACTCGGCTTTCGGGTTCAAAAGCTGTGCGGCAGACATGGTGAGTCGACAGGGCTTCGGAGTCGTGCGAGGTTGGGTTGCGCTGCCGAAGTGCGTTGTCTCGTTTGTCGGTGGTCGTGGACGAGGTCGTGGTGCAGACGTCAGGCGCTGCTGTCGAATTCCAGGAGCTTTGCCTCGAACTTTTTTTCGGCGCAGCCTTGTCGGCGGTCGGGCGCAGGTCGGGGTAGGAGTAACTAGGGTCCAGTGTAACTTAAGGGGGCAAAGGGGGGTTGTGTTCGCTAGGCGGGCCGACAGATGGCGGCCGTCAGCTGCAGATTGCGCTATCGACTGCTAGCATGTACTGCACCTAGGTACGGTAGGTATCGTAGTTACATAATTCCCCCCTTAATGCGAGCGAGTCACTCCTTGAGGAGGACATCGAGCGGTCTGGGGTATTCAGGTATTCGGGTACTCCGTCGCTGTCGATATGACCAAGTTGACTTGTTGCACCGTTAAAAAATACACAGTCTAAATACATTTCATGGGTATCCAATCTAATAGAAGCAAGTAGTAGTCTTGTGCGCTTTGCACTGGCAGTCCGTCCCGTCCTCATTCAGAGCTCACCACCCACTGCCGTCGCCCCACTTTGATGCCCCTGCAGCACCTTCTGCTCCCGCTCCTGGTCCGCGTAGATTGAAGCCTTGTCCTTCTCTCTCGCGCCAGCCTGTCCCAAGTAGTCATCCACGATGAGTCTGGCGACGTTCATCCCCATCAGAGCGCTCGTCTCCATTGTCGAGATGAAGCTCTCGATCCCCGACGTGTAGTAGAGACCCTCCCGGAGAATGGGGTCCTGGAACGTGACGCGTGGGAGCTCCTGCGGGTACGGGTGGAAAACAACAGCGTGGTACCACGAAATCGGTTCGACCACATCGTACTCTTCTTCGTCCTCGACATCGGTCGCACGGACAAAAGCATCCGGGATCTGAACCCCCAGAAGCGAAGAGAGAAACTCAGGTGTGACTGCCTCAGGCGAGAAGATCTTGTAGACCCACTCCTTGCGCTGCGTCTTCGGGTTCATGACTACCTTCACCAGCGTTGCTGAGAAGAAGCCTGCCTTGCCCGCACCCTCAGACCCCGGGCGTGGCTCTTCCCCCTCGCCAAGCGTAGTCAGGACCGAGATCGGCACCTCTGTCGCGGGCTCTTGGTTGAAGAACGCCGGGCTGAAACGGAACGGCGACGCGAAAAGAGTCACGTGGAGGGTTGCATACGGGATCTTGTCGATCGGGTGCTGTATCAAATCGTCCTCATGGGCAATGTTACTGAACTGGTATGGCGTAGCGATCACAACGTCATCGAACTCGACGCCTTGTCCCACCGGTTCAGCGTCGACCGCAGCGGCGTCTGTCGTCTGGATCATGTACTTGGAAGCCGTGGAGCCCGGGCTTTTGCCGTCGGTCCTCTTGATGGAAGCCACAGACGAGTTCAAGTACACATGAGCCCCAGATTCGAGGACCATGTTGGAGAAGATCTGCCAGTTACCTCCAGCGACGGCCATGGCTCCTTCGGGGGCCATGGAGACCTAGAAGATATCAGCCCGCGTAGGTGCTGATCGACGTGGAGGGGACACGCACCATGGTACTCAAGCCATGGATGTAAGCAAGATTGGATGCATAGTTGACTCGTGTGCTAGTCTGCACGATGTGTTGCGCGAAAAGACCGTCAAGCTAAAGAAAGACCAGAGAGTCAGTGAGGCGGCTCTGGTCGGATAGATGGAACAGCTTGCCTTGTTCTGCGCCAGGAACTGCTGACCGGTGACGCCTGTAATCTTAGCCAGTCCAAGTTCATATGCTCTAGTGGTAAGTGATCGAAATGGGAAATACGGCTCCTGGTAGAGCTTCAAGAAAGTGGCTACCGTCTCATGCACCAGCTTTCGGGTGTAATAGGGCGCTGTGCCGTACTTCCAGAACAGCTTCGCGAGGCTCCACCATTCCCACGACTCTGAGTCTTGCTGGTAGACAAACTTGTCGCCGTCCCAGATCCCGAGGAGGCCAGCCTCGTCGGCTCCGGGGCTTATGACGGGAAGGTTGAAGTCTCTAGTCGCGTTGCACAGGATGTGGTTGACATCTACAAAGATGGACGCCCCAAGCTCGACGGGTTGCGCGACATCATCGTAGGCGTTCACTGTTAGGGTGCGGCCGCCTATCCGACTTGTCTTCTCAAATAGGGTAATGTTGACCGCAATGCCCTCTTCATTGGCATATTTGCGGATATGGTAGGCAGTTGACGAGCCTGCAGCCCCAGCGCCTAGCAACTGTTAATCTCAATCCCACTTCTTACACGTTCCTCTGGCCCCGGATCTCCCCATGTCTCGTATTTCCATAGGTGTATCTATCTCATGGCCCAATGTGCGAGGGTGGGTGTAATGTGTAAGTGATAGAGCTTACCAATGATGGCTACTTGCTTCACCGGCTTCTTGCTGGCACTGTCAGCTGGGGCGGCGTTGACCGTGTCTGAGTGGAGAAGCGTGCACAGAGCCGCGCAGATGTGTAGAAACCCACGGATGCTCATCATCGCAGGCTGTTCAACTCTGTAAGTGGATAAATGGATTGATACAGATAAACTCACTGGTGCCTGGGGTTGATGGCATGCACTCGGACGGGTCGTACGTCAGCGGAACTTCACGGAATGGGTTGCTGGTGGGGTGTGGCTGTGCACTCCGTCAGCGGCACCTGGGTTCCCGTCAAGCCTGTCAATCGTGTCGGCTTCGACTGCGCTGCAAGTTAACTAGCTCATCCCTTAGGCCCGCCGAGTCACTACTGAGACCTGAGACTTGAGAGTTGCAGTCTTATACCGCATTGCGTCACTACGTAAATGTAAGTATTGAATCCGTTCGAGTTCTTGTGAAAGAGGGATAAGCATGCACGCTTTAGCGTATTTCTAATTATTATTATTATTACTACGTAACATGTAGGAATCTATAACCCGATTCGATGTTTGGTTGTGGCCAGCTCGGTTGCACCAGGCACTAGGAAGGCTACCTACATCCTACGCACATGACTTCATTTGCCCAGGTGTTTTCTGGTCAGAATTTGCCTTACAGTGAGAGAAATAGAGTTTTCGCCTACTCCCGGTGGCTCACAAACCGCGTCCATGGACTAGTGATTGAGTCGTACAAAGTCATTCTGTTTATACGTTCTATTGCTCACGCCATCTCGTCGTACTTTGCGCCAAACGCTTTATACCAGTCCTCCACGATGCCCGCGCCCATACCCGCACCGATCGTATCATCGCCACTCTGAAGTTTCTTAGCTACCTCCTCCATAAACTCATCCACGGTGAGCGCGTTAGGGTTGTTTTCCTTCTTGTTGTCATCCGGGTTGTCACGCTCCCGATGCAGATCGGTAGCTACTGTCGGGGGCACAATCTCGACAACCCTCACGTCTGTACCTCTGAGTTGAGTCCTGCATTAAAATTAACCTCTGAAATGGCTTGTACAATTCGTGTTTCACAGAAGAGAACTCACCGCAATGCCATGCTCCAGAAGTGCAGCCACGCCTTGGTTCCATTATACACTGGGTTGACCGTTGAGAATGGGATGAAGCCCAGCACACTCGAAACGTTGACTATGAGCGCATGTGGCTTGCGCCTGAAGTGCTCCAGCAATCCTAACGCAAGATGCATCGGACCCCTGATGTTGATGTCAATCTCCTGGTCTGCCTTCTGCAAGAAGTCGCTTGGGTCCTGCTTCAACACCTCCAGCGGACGCTGCACACCGGCGTTGTTCACCAGGCAATCCAGCTCCGGGTGTTCCTTGACAATATTCTGGATACATTCCGGAATCGCCGACACAGCTCCTGTGTCCAGCACATAATACCCAGCTGCACCGATCTCCTTCGCTGTCTGTTGCAGCTTCGACTCCGTCCGTCCAGCGATGATGACCTTCTTGCCTTGCGAGATGAAGTACTGTGACATGGCTTTCCCGATGCCGCCGCCGCCTCCGGTAACAAGCGCACACTTGAAGTCCATATTCTCAGATGGGGCCATGGTGGTCGTCCTATTTGGGAATGTATGGAGCTCGATCGGGTCTTTACATCAGACAGATCACGGTTCTTGTCAGGCTTTTTCTCCTCAGCACTCTACTATAGATGCCTAGGATGATTTCATAGCACATCTGATCTACTGGCTCACCATTGTAGTCATGACGTATTAGTATCTAGCACTAAGTGGTAGGAGTGACGTTTACGGCTCGCCATCGTCAATCGGGCTGCGTAAAAGTGGGTCTAGCATCGACCCATTGGGGGGAATGCCGCATCTATCAGCATTTTTTTTAGTATAGCCCCCAGCACCAGTAATGTGCGACCCCGAACGCATATTAGTGAAACTATTTGTCTACGATCATATTTCGATCGGTAATGCAAAGCTCTATGCAATAATTCCATGTATGAAAGGCTGTGTAGATATCATTTCAGCCCTAGCATCCTAGTCGTTGTCACGGATGATAACCCATTGAGAAACCTAACTTTCGGCTTGGGACATAATAAATAGGAAGGTAAGTACCTATCTTCGGGTTAGGAATAGGGTTTCAAATCGCGACCACGGTTACTTCATGGCTGTCACTCGCCAAACTGTTGCCCGTACGACCCCATCTGACTCGATTCCATGACTTGCTCGACAATTGCAAAACTCATCTTCGCACCTTCGAAGATTAGTAGCAAGCTTTTGCAGTTAGTCACGTACTCTGTATATATGATCACCATTAGCCACCTCCAGTAGCCATTGTTTAGTATCACAAATTCCTCAATTCTGCTGATATGATATCAGCGACAGCATAGGAATGTTAAAGGGGAGACACCACCATGGATCATCAGATGTGACTTTCCGACTAGGTATATGCCATCATTTGTAGAATCATTTATCAGTAGTCTCAGCCAGCACACCAAAGCTGTGGTAGTATGAAGCGGGATGGAGAATGCTGCATCTCCTGTCAGTTTAGGAACACATTTCATAAGTATGCATGGAAGTTGGTGCTATTGCTGGCCCTAGTGGTTGCAGCTATGAGACCTAACTACGAAGTAATCATGTATTCTTCCGCATCCAACGACAGCAATGCCACACGGTTCCTAGCTTTCGATATTCTTACTTTGACATCACTTGCGGTTGGAGGTATTTATAGGCGCATCGTTTGATTACTACCGTGCATCCACTCCATGATGCTACTGAAGCGGCCCCTAGCGGCCCTAGTCTTGAGGTGCTTCCAGGAGCCAAGGGGGCTACAAATATGCACCCATATATTGACGACGAGACCCGATTATCTAATCATACTTGATTGCGAATGCGAATGAACTACAGCTTCAAGCTGGCAGATGGACCAATTTCCACCTAAGAAATCATCACAGCTCTTCTACATGCCTGCAATTCGGGTTGCCTCGCATAAACAAATAAGAGTCGGTAACCATCTCAGCGGGCTAGTTACCCGGTGGATAGGATGATTTTATGCATACTAATGATCTCGACGGTTTACTCTGGTCGCCGGAAATTCATTCACTACGGACTTTTGCCCCAAGGTTCCCCGAGCAAAATCCTGGCAATAGCCACGTACGAGAGTCTTTCACTTCATTGTTTGGACTTTTTTTTTTTTTTTTTTTTCTTTTTTCCAATTCTCTCTTCTTGCATCAACCTCTAGACTGAGCTCGCCTTCCCCTTTTCCATATGCACCATCACCAGAAGACGTCTCTCTCGCTTGCCAAGATCGCTTCAGTTCGATAGGACTTGTCAAAAAGTCATTGTACATTAACAGCAACGCAAAGCTCTTTCTGAGCCCCCAAACAAAATTTTATGTGATCATTCCCGCTACTGACGCACAAGATTCCAACTCTGTAACTGCTCTTGGTATACTGCCGTTCTCAATTGGTGAAGCCGGATGGAAAGCGGATATCCTTGGGGGTGCCAGGACAGCCAACACACGCTCTTCGAAGCTACTTGTAGGGTATGTGTCATGATTTGGCGGGCGGAGGATAGCCACAAGTACGCTAGACGTCGGAGTATTAATGGCTTCAGCCGCTTCGTTGCATGTTCTGAGTCCATCTAACATTTGGTCGCTTGACTATCTAGTCAACCAACTCTGACTTTTTAGCGTCACAAGTCCAGCAACGGATGACCAACTCACGAAGCATGTCTGGAAAATGCAGGCCAAGGGTGCGTATAGTAGTTTCCAGAAAAGCCGCGAGAGCCCGTCACAACAACCGGGATCATCGTGGTTTGACATGCGATACAAATCTGCCTCCGCAGAATCCAGTTCCTCCTGCATTGCATCTGGGACAAAGAGAAGGCTGCCCCAGACCGAAAAGATAATCAGACAGAAAAAATCCGTCACGACTATCCATGGGTCTGTGGACAATGCTACTAGGCGAAAGATGATCGTCCCAATGCCAAAGATACTTGACAACGCGGTACATGTGAGACTAAGCACCGGGTACATGTCTCCAACACGAGCAGAGCGTTCAATTTGATGCGTATTGCCCATCTCTCTGTCCCCAGATTCTAGCATTTTCTCCTGAAACCGTCCCGGGAACGCCCCAAGTGCTGATTTGCAGGCCTCCGTAATTGCTAATTGCAAGTAGCCCAAGAGCAAGTAGGTGTAACTGCTTCTCTCCCATCTGATATACGTCAGAATTGCGCCTCTAATCGAGCTGGGCATTGTAGTGTGTACGACAGCATTTCTCTGATAAATAGTTTGCCAGCCATCCCTGAGGACATTCATCGTGAGCTCTATGTCCTCTCCGTGACGTAAGGGGTGACCGAGGAACGTCCTTGTGGCCATATCTTCTATATGGGGTGCAATAGCTGAACGTCGGTACGCGGAAATAGCTCCTGGAAGGATAGTGACGAAGCCATGCTTCGTTTGGGCTGATCTTGGTATGTTGCCACCATACTCAAACAGGATGTCCAGGAGACGAGGAACCAGTGTTTTGAGGATGTGAGTTCCATCAGAAGCTACATTCAGTACCGAAATATGTCCAGCTACACCTCCAACGGTGCTGCTGAGAATCAATGGAGTGACGAGATTGCGAAGCGTCCCTGGACGAAGTATGCTGTCGGAATCAAGAGTCACGACAATCTCATGTTTGCTATGTCTGAATGCCGTGATTAGAGCCTCACGCTTTCCACTGTTGTGTTTGTGGCGCACCACGGTGCAGTCGATTGAAGACCCAATGGCAGCGGCTGAAGACTCCGTAATGTGAAGGTATGAATCGTCCGTCGATCCATCATCGACAACTACCAACTGGATTTTTTCCTTCGAATAGTCGGAGCCGATGACTGATTCTATCGACTTTCGAATAAAGTGTGACTCATTGTATACGGGAATGAGTACACTGATGTGTGGCAGTAGCTCGCGGTCCTTGATTCCCAGCAACGGCGCATACGTAGCCCATCGAAATACAGTCCACGTATAGTTTAGCATGAAAAGAAAAGAAAATGACCACAAAACGTGTTCGACGGGATGGTGCGGTACTTTGAAATGTAATACTTGCATCGTCATGAATGTGAGAAGCGATCCCCCAAGGACCAAGCAGCCAACTTGAGCTCGAAAGCCCAACGCTGACACCATGTCGCACTGCAAGACCCTCGAAAGATTCTGTCGATGTCGATGCAGAAAGTGTGTGATGCTTTTCCGTCCCAGAAAATGTTACGAATGAGCCAGATTCGTAATCTGGTTAGGGGTCGAGTTTGATGACCCCTGTTTGTCGACGATGCCAGTCCTGGCCTCAGACCCGCATGAATTAAACTTTACTGCTACAGAAAAGGACAGGTAGCAAGCTATCAAGAAGAAACATGCGATACGACACAAAACGGCCCAGACCTTATGGGAAGTTTAACAGAATAGGGCCTAGATCTACAAGTGGTGGGGCCAGCATATAGCGTGGCCCTGACCGTTGCCCAACACGCAAACTACTTCAGTGAGTTGCCTTGCAGGTAAACTTGATTCCTGCCATCTCATTTCTCACACTGTCCTTTTCTCACATATTCCTAGTACTCAGGTTGATTGTCAAACTGCCGGCAAGCCCAAAATGGCGATTTCAATGAGGCTGCTAGCAGCGATGATAGGACTGAAAATACCCATTGCCCACGGCCATACATTCATGCAGAATCCGGTGCCCTTTCCGAGCCAATATTTAGACAACGGACCAGTGGCAAAAGACGGGTCAAATTGGCCGTGCTCAGGCGACACAGAATACGATCGTGCTGGGATTGCGAACGTCTGGAAACGAGGTTCTCAACAGTATCTGCAGTATGAAGTCGAAGAGCGATAGTTCTCTTTTAATCACGTTTACTGACCAATTTCAGAGCAATGGGAGGCGCAACCCATGGGGGAGGGTCTTGTCAGATCTCGATCACGCTCGACCCCAAGCCTAATCGTCAAAGCCAGTGGAGGGTCATCCATTCGATCGAAGGCGGCTGCCCCATCAGAAACTTGACTGAGGTAAACTATGGCGAGTCACCGACAGTATTGCTTCCCAGCATATATAACTTCACGGTACCGAACTGGGTCCCTATCGGCCCTGTGATCATGGCCTGGACATGGTACGGGAGGTGGAGTGTACCCGAAATGTTCATGAATTGCGCCCCGATCATGGTGCTGGGAGGACCTCAGGAACCCGATGTTCCAGAGTCAGTCCGGCTCGAGAAATTCCACGCAGCACCGTTAGTATTTGAAGCAAACAACGGAAACGGATGCTGGACCATGAACCAGGGCAACTGCGTCAAGTTTCCCAATCCTGGGAACTCGGTTGAGGTCAACGAGGAATGCCCGCTGGATGAACTACACCAGGTGACTGGCACTTGCGGGCCGGAGCATGTCTTGGCGAAACAGGGGTGGTCAGGGGTGCACCTAATGTTGTATCAGGCAATGGCCGCCATTGCGCTTGTGGTGGGGGCTTATCTAGGCTGCCTACGGGTCCAAAGGCATCGCAGCTTGTCACACCGATCGCCAGCGTGAAAAATAGTGGTACCGATGTACTGTCAGAGAGGTGCGAAAGAAGAGACGCCAGCTTCATGAAGGAAAGGAACTTGAACCAAAGGCCAAAGGCCAAAGTGCGGATTGGGTAGGCTAACTTCCTGTTATTCATAATTCATGGGACTACCGTCAGTCAAAATCACTGGCACAGGTGCAATATATCTTCCCAGGCATTCGTGACAAAGTCCATGTAGGTGGATGGATCGACGTTTGACTCGGATCCGACAAGGTTTCAGGGGCTCCGCGGTAGACGCTTCTGAAACAAAGTTCAATATCACTTAGCTGCCATCAGACTGGATATTATGGACCTGGCCAGAAACTTCTTTGCCGCCCGGACATGTTCAGATGGAAGATGCTCCAAGACCTTGTGCAATGATATGTCCAGATAGCCCCAATAGAAGGCAATGAACGTTCGGTTGATGTTGGTCCGAGGCCAGATCACTGCGTCCGGCACTCGGTTTCAAATCAAAAATAAGGTTTTGAACTGTGGATATGTCCAGCTTCCTGACTAAGTCCAGGGGTAGATACGGACTTGTCCAATGGATTTAAACTTCGCTATAGAAAGGGGCTAAGTGTGGGACGCGACCTGGGTGAGACTAATCAGCTGCGGTATGTGTGCGTAGTCAACATTCCCTTTCCCCACCGCGGCGGGAGCCCGCGGGGTTGAGATCTGAACCCTCCCACGGCTTTCCTCGAGTGTTCCAGCGGGGCTTTTACTAGGCAGGGTTGAAGGGTTCTCTGATATGGCGTCGGAGACATCACCCGAGTCGTCTTGGCTCGCGTCGTGCAGCCCCGCACCTTGCGGACAAGCCTGTGCAGCACGTGCTACCAAATGCTTCTACCAGGCTGGGGTTACAGGCTATGAAAGGTACTGTACTGTTATGACTGCCCTACTCCCCATTGCTCAGCTGAACACGCTGCGCATTGTCTCAGATGCCACCGCTTGAAGAAACTTTGCATGCGCTCAGCCATTGTACGAAAGCGCAACACCCCCCAGGAGGACCTTAGGCCTAAACAGTCTCCAGTCTGGTACAGGACTCGAGGCGAAGCTAGATGATTCGGTAACTCTTTTATGCGCTCAAGTAACTGGCGAGGCATAAGCCACTAGTCGAGGGATCGTTACGGATTCGTAATAACTTTCGCGTCGTAGTCTCATCACTATGAGAAGGACAAGCTGTTGATGGTCACTATTTCACAGCTAGCCATATTACTGGCGTACGCACTTGGACTCCACACTAATATGCGAAAACAACCGAGGCGAAACAAGCCCAACCAGCGCGGAAGATATACGGCCTAAGCCATCGCCCCTGCTATTGTCTCGTGGCCTTGACAGATTATCTGTGAGGCGCCTAATACTGGAATAACACGTGAACAGTCGATGAGATCCTACGAGAGGTGATGGAGATCTCGGACAGTGAGAGCGGTTCTGAGTCGACTATTCACGCGAGGCGAGAACGCAATCCTGCAAATAATAGCTCCTCCATTTCTGACGTTTGCGACACGGTGTGGAGCCTACAAATGAACGGAAGGTAACATGTCCTGAAATGAGGCTGGTCCATCGCCAGAGTGACCAAAAGGAGCTTTGCTTTGGATGTCGACTTCCTGCCACCACCTGGTGTCGAACTACGACCAGAGGACCAATGTGGCCGAGAAAGTGAAACATTTGGAATGTGACTAAATAATAGGTACACACAGCCATGCGCAATGGTTTGCTATCCATATTTTCTCATTGGATGTTCGCCCTGTCGCACTGTCTCAATGCCAAAAGGTAAAAGGAAACAAATCTATCTTTCAGAACCCTTACTTAGCACTATCTTCAGGTTGACGGAGGTGTAGATTCTGACGGCCGTCGTCATGGAATATGTCATCTTCCCAAGCAAGTTACATGAAAGTTGCTGAGCGAGGATGATTTAGATTTCTCCAGCAAACTAATGATACATGCAGAGAATCACGGGTGGGTTAAGCGACAGGAGTGATAGATAAACGATTACTATACGCGAAAGTGGTCGATAGACTCTGTTGGGGTTACAAACTGCTATTCTCAATACGTGTGTAGATAGAGGTCCATCGCCCACGCTTCAATTCATAGATCTCGTCATAGAGGCGTACATTGAGGCATTCGACGCGATTAATAAAACTTCCTATTTCTTCTCACTTGGACGTCCCTGCGGACAACTTTTGTGTACATCTTTTGAGGCTTCCTCATTCACTTTTGCTTCTGGTCTTCCAACTCAGAGCACACCACCACTGAAATCGTTAATCTTGAACTTTTGCTTACATACCGCTGGTTTCCGTCTTCCAAAGCGGGGTGAATTGTTTTTCATCACTTGAAACAGATCAACAAACGAAGGATCCGGTTCAGCCTCGATTATCTCCAGGCCTACCTAATTATCTGGACAGAAATTACGGAGTGGCTATGCGAAAGGCGATTGAGCATGGCTGGAAAGATCCTCATATGTTCCGGGAATGCCTTATTGTCAGCCTCTCCACGCAATCCGTTTGTACGTGACGGGTAACAATTTCAATACCCCTACTGTGAGGCTCATCGCACTCGAACGTTTCTTCCTCATTGCGGAAGAGATTCTAGATTTCGGGACCCATGTTGATAAGGACGCCTGCTAATTCTACTGGGAGACATTCGTGGAATCAATTGGTGATTTTTTCGAAAACACCTCGGAAGACCGAGATTGCGTTATCCGCGCCCAGCTTTCCTCCATGCTTCGAGCGAGACCACATGGGGACCCTGTTCTGACCAAAGCACTCGAAGTCCTGATGCGCGAGAATGAAGACTTCAGAGACGACATGATCAGAAAGAGGAGGGCGAATATGAGTCCCTCAAAGCGTGCATAGTGAGGCATACGATCTGCAGATGCCAAAGCAGAGGGATTACAGATGACAAGTGGGAGCAAAACGTGTGAAAGACACTAGTGATTTGGAGATAAGGGACATGTAAGCCCAGATATGAAGCCTATGATGACAGACTCTCCTAGGACGTAATATACGTGTAAATACAAGTGCTGAGAATTGTGGGCAGCGCATTTGATCAGGACACATGCATCTCCTGATACTTCTGATCAGATACGCCGTAAGTCATTTTTCTTGGGAGTTGTCACAGATCACCTGTAATGTGAACCGTGAGCCTTGATTGTTCCGACCTTAGCCTTGCCGTGGCCCTTGATTTCTTCCTTCCCGATAGTACAGCAGCAAAACAGAGAGAATTTATGTAGTTAGCTGAAGATGCCCATGCTGGTGATGAACTAAAATCCATAAACTCGACCGTACTGATCCATTACCGGCCGGGCGTCCGCCGACACCACGAAGCTGCTGAATATTCGCAAAATAAATCACTTGACTGTTGCTGCATATGAGAAGGAAACGCCAGTCTTGCCCTCCTCTCCCGTCGGCTGTCCCTCTCGAAACCACCCTCGTAAGCCCATATGTCCTCCGTCTCGAGTCGGTGCTTTGCTCTTCGGCTTGCCCTATGCGAACCTGAACTTCTCGAAATAGACATACGCAGCGTAGAAGATGGTAGATGGGCATCCAGCTCGAGCACCTTTCTTGCCGCGAAAGTCATTGAGCGACTTGCTCTGGATGGCTGCGACCGTCGGGCATCGCAACTGCGCGTACAAATCACGGCAGAACTGGGCTTGCGTCAGACCTGGCGTCTTGAGATAAGCGTCGGTCGTCTTGCGGATCTCGTCACAAGTGTCGAAACTGGGCACCTCGTCAGAATCCTCCCCTTCAATGTAGATGTTGCTTATGTCAGGAATTGTTGTAGACTTGGAGGTCGCCCCAGAGCCACCAGCAACAGTGCCATTCGACGCCTCAAGCCTCTGCCTTTCTTCACATCAGGCCTCTTGAGTCCGGCGATCTCCCGTCGCTTGAATCAGACCCAGGCAGTCCTGAATACATCACTCTTGGCACCCTCCGATGGGCCAGTCTTCTTCAGGAACTTGTTGACAGAGTTGTTTCTACTTCCAATAACACTGCAGAACTCCCCTTTCTTCATGATGCCATTGTCAAGCAACTTGTTGATTCTGCTGCGAACCTAGTTGCAGTTGAGGTCGACATACATGCCGTCAACATTGATGTGATCCAAGTTCTGCTTGTACTCTACAATGTCCTCCTCAAGACTCTTGGCTGACTTTCTCTTCTTGCTTGCCGGCACGGGAGGGGCGGTAGTATCTGCTGATGGCGCTGTTGACGATTCGCCAGTATGTGTCATTGCTTTGGCCTCGGTGTCCTTTCCCTGGGTGACCGCCTCCAATTTGGCCATGCGAGCGGGGGCTTTCTTTTCCTTGACTTTACGCAAGACCGCACTGGTCAGGTCTTCAGCCCGCCGCTGGTTGTTCGTTTCGTCGAGCTCATCATCATTCTCCGACGCCTTGCGCTTGCTGCCAGCAACCTGGTTCTCGTCGCCGTGATGGGCAGAGTTGGCTCGTGGCATGTCTGCGAGTTAGGGCAGGAGACTGGTTGGCACGACCGCTAACGTCCTCTAATGCGGGTCGGGACGCCTGCAATTGCACGCATCAGCAAGAAACAATCAACAACACACGCTCCTCAATACACGCACCCCTTCGCGACTTTTGGGCATTTCGAATATCAGAGAGTGGACTTTTTAGGTAACGTGATATATATTCGCGTGTAGCAGCCTTTCTGGATGGCTGCTAAACAAATGGTCTCTTGTTTTACACGAGTTATGAAGTCCCGGAATCAGACAAGAAGGAAAAGTCAGAAAGACGCGTCCATTTCCAGCATGACGTGGGAACTACTTACCTAGGTACTGTCTATGGGCGCGGGTCGGCTTGCTTTTGGACCTCACGGTGGTATGTATGTGCTACCCTAGTGCCCGTTGGCTGTGGGGCGTCAGGTCAGGGGTAATTAAGGGGCCAAACCTTAATCCAACTTCGTCCCGCGGCACGTACGGGTTACTGTAGGTTAAGTATGCTCCCACACCACTGGGTGTCAGCCAGTTGTAATCTGGAGAAAAATAGGGGTAACGAAGCAGTATACTCCCAACTGCCTGACTCTTCTTCCATCTTCAACTCTAAATTCCGCTCGCCGAAATGAGCGCAATGCCCTGGTTTGTAGTATGCCCTTCCCAATAGTATCTCGCTAAACATAGCCCAGAAAGACGCTACTGCCGCTGGAATGGAAGAAGACGCTCGAATCCGAGGAAGGCCTTACGACGCTAAACTCCTTATTGGAAGCTTCGCCCACCTGTTCTGGACTGGCCTTGTGGAAGTGGCGATGGCTCAGGCACATTTCTCCAACAATACGTCAGAGTTCTCGCTCAGGTCGGTCTATCGCCATAATCGTCGCTGCCTGCGCCGGCGGATACTACTACCCAGAATATGGCCAAGGAGGCGTGTCGCCATCTCCCAATTGGTAGGTCTGTCATTGCGGGAAATTTTTGAGACAAGAACAACCGTGTACCACCATTGAGCCGTCTGCAGCTCTTTGAACGAGCGCCACGCAGCGAAGTGCCTGTTAAAGTCCATGGGTCTCCATCGGCTCGCTAAGGTGACCCAGGCGATGCGGTATGATGCATCGTTGGTCATTATCATGTACGACCTACTGCCAGTGGAACTTGTTGAGTCTTGGCCATCAATGCCTGCCCCTGATGGCGAACTCTCGGCGCATTTGAAATAATATCCTCGCATGTGAGGTTGTCGCTTGGCCTAAGCTTGTACTGGCAGTGCAAGACCGTCGTGCGGCAAGCAACCCAGACTGGTGCTGCGTGGCGACAAAAGCCAAAGCCCTTGGTAGAGTAGGTCAGAAATCAGTGGCCTTCAGGGGCTTGCCGTGTGTTGGGCGGTGCATTGATGGCTACTCAGGGACTACACAGACGCTGAGGCGCCGTAAGGGGTCGTCCGCACTGTCGCTGGGCCACTGTAACCAGGCATGGTTTGGACCTGAGGCAGAAACGGTGCTGGCACACTCGAGACCTTATCAATCCCATTAGGTTGATATTTCCCCAACGGTTAGTGGTCGAGCGGTTAACGTGGGCTATGGAACAACCCACATCCCTTGTAGTGGCACCTGCCGGTGTCTCTTGGGGTGCCTCGCATCATTAAGGCTAAAATCCTACACCAAACCTGACGATCCCACCATTGTCAGAGCACTCCAGCACGGGGCTGGCAACCTGCAAACGGGTTGGGGTGCTCTGAAGATGGTTGGGTCAGAAGGGGGGTTTTCATAGGGACGATTCCTCCTGAACTTTTGCCACTTTCAGTTGCTAGAAGTCGCGGGTTCGAACACGCCACGCGCAGTTCTTTCCTTCTTTTTTTCACCCTTTCCACTTTCCTTTCATATCTATTATTAGTCATACCAAATAAGATGACCAGACGCCAGCCATTATGGCAGCCAGATCTAGAACCATAGTCGCTAGAGCTCATAAAAAAGCCACACGACGAGTAGCACTCGCCGAACTGGGTGCCCGCACAGATAGACAGATGTCTCGCTTCCAGTAAATTTTGGCCCGCGCTCGCTATCAGTTGACGATGATCCTTCGTTCTCCGTATCAACAGCCTTCCGAGTAGCAGTTCCAGCGCCATAGAAGTCACTACTGCTGCCGCAATAGTTGGACGTGCTGCATCTCCCAAACTGAGATACTTGTACAGGTCCTTCTTTCGTGGGTCGGACGACAGCTGCTATCTTACACCACCGTACTCCCCGGTCCTAACTTCAGTACCTAGGGGTGAATAAATGCAGCTACCGTCCTTCATTTCCGTGCCGCTAGTGCTGACGCAATCTGAATATGCGACACCCACTTTCCAGTCGTGGTGCGAGCAGCAGTCACCCAAGTCACTCCCCATGCATGTCACACCGGCCGTGCAAGTCACGTCTATCGACACCGTCTCGTTCACTGCAGGGCAACTCAAATGCCATATTTGACCTAAAATTTCGATAATCACCATTCAAGCACGTGTTATAATCCTACAACTGGTCCAAGTCTAGGCCGAAACGCTGGTGGAAGGTAGGACAGTCGTCGCGAGCCCTGATGAGGTAGTAGTCGCCGCACTAGTTAATGGTCTCGTTGTGTGTTAGGTCGACGACTACATCCCCCAAACGGTTTTCTACTCGTAGTATGTGGAACTTATCGAGCACAGCTCGGCATTAAGAGACCAAAGCACTCGAACCCATTACCATACCACTCCGTTGTGCCCCAACTGCCTAGTAACTCATCTTTTGTGCTGAAGCCTCTCTACAAACCCTGCTCGAACAAAACGGCCGTATTCCAGAACAATGCGCTACCACAGCAGCGACGGCGAGACTTAATGAAGAGACAGTCAGGCAACATATTTCCTACGGCTGTGGAAAGACTCTACTGGATTACCACGTCGGGGAAATGATATACTCCCTCTAGTGCCTCGAATTGGCCTCTCTGGAGGTGTCAACAATGACCAAGTGTCTTTGTCAATAATCTCGCGCCAGCCGCCGAAAAAGCGTTACTCGACCAGAATGCCGCATGAGTCGCACGTCATACCGCCAGCACCGAGGCTGCGTCTAGAGCGGCAGCCGTGAGAAGTGGCTCCGGTTGGACAGCATTGGTGGCAGTACTGACCGGCAGCAGCAGCGAGACGTGCATCTCGACGGCGTCACACAGCCGATCCCATGTACCTATTCGGCAGGCGAGCTGAACCTCGCCGTAAAGGCATCGTCACCACGACCGAACCTTCTCGTGGCCGTATAGGGATGGTGCATCCGGCGAGGCCATAACCTCACCCAGACGAACGACGTCGATCCAATTGGAGAGAATTATCTCGAACGGATGCCAAAGTGCGTGATGCTCCTCGAAGGGCAACGCGAAATTCCAATCGCCAATGCTCGGGGAGGCGGCGGCGCGATGGCAGCCGTGGTGGTAAAACAGGACGCCGCTTGAGCTTCCGCCTTGGTCACAATGTGGAAAATACAAGACCACCAACCTGCTAGCCGGCTCGTCAGACAAATTGCCCGCTGATAGTCTATGAGACAATCAGGAGAGGGGAATTCATGGGACCAGACCAACAGGGGACCCATGAGTCGCAAGCATCTTGGACGATATAGAGGTCATGAATCTGGGAGCTTGAATGTTTAGGGCCACATCTCAACTAGAACTACATAGGCAGCCAACGACATCGCATACAATACTAAGTCCCGTGCTGAAACATGTAGTGACTGCATGAGATGAACCCCCAAATCGACAGGACTATTGACAACTGCGCACTTTCATTGGTGGTTTGACATGTTATAAACGATAGTCAGGCACATCCTCATGTACCCTCTCCTTCGAAGCCCGAAGCGTCGCAATAATGCGGTGGCTTTGTTCCTTGACAAGCCATTCCATCAGTGGCTTATACGTAACCTCCTTCCCGGCGTGTTTCTCTGTCAGCGCCGAGGTGGTCTGCAACCAACCCCTGTGCCTCAGAAGAGCTATCAATGATCAGGACCATGTTCACGCTCAACAAGCCGGTTCGCGTAACTTACAAGTAACGTCAAAAATTTGATTCCCAACTGCCACCCATGCACCATCCCACGTGGCAGGGTCAGCGTGCCTCGCCAAGTCGTCAGTTGACACTTCTCCAAGCTCTCTGGGTGCTTGGATCTTGGCGACCACTCGCCCACGCTGTAGATCGTAGAAGTGCGCTAGGCGAGTGGAAATCTGACTGTCTGAGGCAACTTCGCTGACCAACTTTTCAGTTGCGTCCGATCCGAACAGTGGCAAAATTGCGTTATGCAAGAATTGGTCTTCATTGGAGAGATCTGATGCCAATGTTAGCATCCCATGCCAATTTCGCACGTAATATAATTTACCTTGAACATTGAACACCAGTCCATGGAGGACCATCTCATTCTCATGAATCTGGCCAGGGCTTCGTTCAGTGATAACGCGACCAACCTTCAATCCTGCGTACTCGGGGCTTGAGAGAAGGTCTGAGTTATGACACTTGTAGAACTCTGATGTTCCGTCGCGTCCTGATATTCCCTTCAAAATGTTTCGCCCACCTGGATGAAAATCGACATAACCTACGCAGATCAGAACGGTTAGTATTCTTTCGAAGGCGAGATAAATTACACATGCGTACCGCTAAGATCATATACCACACCGTCTATAGCGGTATATATACCATCGCTTGGATTGTCGTGTAAGCGAAGCGTATTTGGCGTTAGGAGTTTTAGATCCTGATATTTTCTGGGCGCAGGATCCCTTGGCATGAGAAGGCCACATCGGTAAGGTTTCAAACGGAGCAGCAGTTCGACTATCGCGTCTTGGCCATAGTCTCGACCGAAGGTGATCACGCCACCTGGCCTCATGTGAAGCAGCTCTTTCTCTTTCATGGAAGCATATTGGAAGTCTCCCGGTTATTAGTCAAAGCAACTTATCTTAATTATTGGCCGAGATCATACCCGTGATGTCAAAGACGTCTCCTCCAAATGAGACAAAAGTCGGCATCTCGTTGGCGCCATTGAATTCCGCCACTTCCTCTGGCCTTATCCATTGAAGAAGCTTGCCTCGGGGCTTCCGGGTTTTGATCGAGGCGCGAAGTTCACGCGCAATGCCACTATCATACAACCGATACCCTTGCTTACCACAAGAAACTAGTTCGGCAAATTCGAGGTCTTTATGCTGCAATTGCTTCAGTATTCCTGCATCATGTTAGTACCATGGTTCAACCGTCTTTCATATAGGCTTCATCTTAACCCTTGATGTCAAAAACATCTAAAGTCCCATCTTCGTTAGGTTCCACGATCCAGTGCTTGTCTGCTGCCTCTGCGATGTGAAAGAATTTAGTCGACATACTATCTTCAAACCGAGTTTCGGCCTTGGATGATGACATCCTGAATGAAACGTTCTGGATCTTCGGGCTTTTCATGTAGCCTGTCAGGTTGACCCTTCCGTCAAGTTGTAGAGCCCTCAGGTTTTCGGCCTGGTATTTCGAAACTGATTGCCTATACCATGTCAATGGGCCAGAGGCCGTAGCCCAGTGAACGGGATCGTAATCCGGCACTCGGAAGCTGAATTCCCCCCACTCAGTATCCGAAATCCTCCTATTACATCGCATCTCTCTTAGATCCAACAGAACGTCCCAGACCTGTCGGACCCAGCGAATCGCCGCGTAGCTCTGTTGTTGGTCAAAGTGCTGGATAGTATCTTTCGCCGACTCAACCCAGTCACAAGGTGACTGTACTGTATTTCCATTTATCTTGGGTATGTGGTTAGGGGTCGCTACAATGATGGAGGGAAAAGTAAAAGTCTCGTTCGTCCACTGTGGATATCTGCGTTTAGCCGCGTCACTCGGGAAGTGCACCCTGTTCCACGTTGACGCAGGTTGACCCATTGGGTAGGAAGTAGCAAATGGCATTGATGCAAACATCAGCCTTGCAATCGCTTCAAATATCCAAAAAGTCTCATACTCATGTCCCAGCTGGGGATTCCACACAAGGTTGCCGGCAATCATCAAAAGTCGGCGAGCGCAATATGTAGCACCCGCGAAATTTCGTTGGCTGTGATGAATGCGAAAGTCCTCGATTCTTTGTCGGGCGTATTGCCAGCTCCAAGGGCTTTCCTGCCACCGTAGGTACCCTTGCGGATACCACCCACTAGAAGTGATGGATTGGCGCTCCCATTCCCTGAGCCTCTTGCAAATATCCACCAGTCTCCGGGTCATAGTGTCTCCCTCAGCAGCGACATTAAGCAAACGCAAAGAGAACTGCCGATTGAATGAATAATTCACCACTTGTGTCGAGTTTGCAAATAGAATTTTAGGGATACGGAGGGCCTGGCTCCCGAGCGAATCATCAATCCAGTTCCAGCTTTCCTCGTTCAGAAGAGTTGAAACCCAGTAGACGGGGACGTGGTAGGCTGTTCGTTGTTCTTTATTTACCATGTAATCTTCAGACGCACCAGCGGTGACTCGGGAATTCGACTGAATTGTCTCGTTGTAGCGGAAAGACGCTTGCGGATCCGGCCACGGGGTAAAGACAATGCCAAGCTGCCCTTGGGCGTACCAGAACCCAGCCCTCCGCGAATTACCGGTGAAGCTCACCTTTCCGCCAAAGATTTCGTTTTCGAAGGATATGCCTAGCTCGGATGCGAACTCGCCTTCCATAAACTTGGCGTCACAGAGTAAGCTTTTGGTCTCGTCGTATATTACGCATGCATGAATCTAGGTCCATATAGAAATTGCACTAAAACAGGAGAGAAGAGAGAGAGAGAGGGCAACATACTGGTTCTCTTGTGCGCGGTGATCCCACGGGAGGCCAACGGCATTGCCATATTGCATGCTATACTCGACAAATGTCAGTACTTATCGGAATTTGCACCACGGCGGCAGGCACACCGCGAAGACAAACTATTGTTTCATGCAAAATCTGTGAGAAGTCAGCGTCTTTGAAGTCCCCCATGTTGTTTTCTAGACCCTCACAAGAACAGCTAGCCTGAACCAATACATGCATGACTCGGCTGTTGATAAACCCCCATCTACAAGGCCCCTTAGAAATCTTGTGTTGATTGCAAGCAGCATTGGTGAGGTTGTAGACCCTTTCAAAGTTACCCAAGGGACTGAGCAAGTCAGTGCTTCCATCCGCTGGCCTTCGTTGTCCTCAGAGAATTCGTCTTTGAAAGTAAGAATGAGAGATTCCGACAATTCATTGAACCTGCGCACGTATTCCGCTGGCGAGGGTCGTTGGGCCTTTGGCCGTTGCTTGAGCCCGACAGCATCGTCATGTTTGGGCGACTGCCCGGGTGGATAAGGCGTTAGTATGGGGTCTCGGGAAGCTGATCCTACACCAGGTAGTGTTGCCTCAAGGCGATCTCCCCACATGACTGCATCGAGCCTATGATCGGTCAGTACCAAACTACGTCAGTTGCATATGACGGGAGGGATGAAGCCATGTCTGATTCACCTTGAAGTCGACAACTCACCATCCATTCTGCTCTTTGAATAACAATTTCAGGATCCTGTTCACGAGCTCAAGCGATACCGCGAGGTTCTCCCATATCTTGTTGTTGTCCACAGTCCAGTTTGTTGTTCTTCTGTACGCCGTCTGAACCTCTGCTGGCGTCCACCACCGACTCCGGTCAAAGCAAGGGAGCCAATTCGATGGATCTCTCCTGATGAGGTGACTCAAAAGCATTGTATGACCTCTTGTGATATCCCATCGGGTTGAATGCCCTCCCATCGCTTCTAGGGGGTACACAAATTGGTTCAACGCACCAGCCTGCCTGATCTTGAGACCAGACAGATTATCTTGTTGCATACGCTCGCTACGGAACAAGTTGTCCATCTGCTCGTACGTCGGGAACAAGCCGAGACCTTGTTGTCGCATGTAATCGAGGTCATAGTAGAACCTTGGGTCGAGAAGGGGGACATACGGTGCCAATCCGGAATGACGAAGCCCGTCTGCACCGTATAAGAAATACGCATCGCTGCTATTGCCAAAACGCAAAGCCCATGGTGATAAAGGAACTTGGTTGTCCCAAGCATGGGGTCCCGGCCTCGGATATACAGTGTTGCTCATCGCGATTAGTGTTGAGTTTTGGAGAGAAGCCTCTCGCAACTCCTCCTAGGGGAATATGTTTTTGAAACCGCGCGAGTCCCAAGTATTGGGAGACACGGGTGTCCAGAATTTGGCTTCATTGAAATGGATTGCCTTGTTTCCAGAGGTACGGTTGGCCGGTTCCGGCGCCAGTCTGCCTTTGTTCACTGAGTGGCGAACCTAAGAACAAGGATGACTGCAGTTGATTGGTGAGCTACACCAAAGCAAGGGTATATCTAGTGTGAAATGCAGTCCATTGCTTCTACGTTATTTAACATTATGTTACCATAATATTGTGGGCATTCCGAGTCTCCAAGCACGTACTCAATCTAGGAGGACCCAGTCCTCACCTAAGAGACTTGGCACCAGCCCATCTCCAACACGAGGTGATCCACCATCTCTAGTAGCTTCTCTCTGTGAACCACCGTTACGGCCTCTATCTCCCTGTTCTGGCTGCAATTCGTCCTGTTGAACTCCATCTAAGCCTCCTTCCTCTTCCGCTTCATCGTCCGTCGGCTGTCCAACTTCTTCCACAGCCTGCCGCACCATCTCCTCCATGTACTGCCTGGTCTCCTCGCGGTCACGCTGCCTCCTCAGGTCCGCCTGCAGCCGCTCGATCCAGACGCGGCGCGCGTTCTCGGACCTGCGTCGGTCTGCCCGCAGGCCCGGCCGCCAGTACTGGTCGGCCCAGGCGTCGGAAGCCATATTGTCGGGTCTAGGCATCGGCACGACAGTGATCACCGGAGAGCTGCGATGTGGTGCTCTGATATAGTCGTCGTAGTATTGTAATACAGGCCCGAGGGTCTCAGTGATATAGATGTAGCCTTTGTAGGCGACTCCTAGGAATATGGGGAAGTTTGTGTCCATTTTCGAGGCTTTACAAGGACCGGACTGGCTTTTTGAGCTCTTTGAAGAGAGCGGAAAGTTGGTACCGAGATGTGAGTGACTACGTCGGAGCCGGGGTTTGTGTTTGTGGTGCTTCCTCTCATGTGCTTCTTATGACTGTGGCCGGTTTGCAGTGTGTCAAAAGCTCCATTATGTTTTGGCAATGAACATCGAGAGACAAACAGTAGAAACATCTTGTAGAAAATATGGTTTCTTTTTTTCTTTTTTTTTTTTTGGCAGCTTGTCAGACCTACGATGTGAGAGGCTTCGCGTTGGTGATTCATGGTGAGGCGGCATGAGGGTTCTGTATCAAGTTATTCATTACTTCAACTCGAGACAGATTCACCAAGCAGAGCTGCGCCATATCGCGATGGTCAACAGATGGATCATCATCTAACAGGGATGCTCTATCGAGTGTCTTTGTGGGGTATCGCATATTCCTAGAGAGCTGCCTGGCAAAAGTCTCCTCGATGGCTAGGGGCTAGATGCTCCGGCTAAATGCTTGAGGCTTCCATGATTTTGTCCATGTGGCTTGTAGACTTCTTTCGTCTGGGCCTGAGCATAACGTAGGCTCGTCATAGAAAGCTAATATACACAATGTTACGTACAGAAGATTGATTGATTGTCATGATCAATCTGCCAATCAGTAGTCTGACCCTAGAAAACCACCGTTGGCAACAAACTGGATCTGGTAGTCTCGTAGACTTGCCCAGTGTTGCAACTCCTGTTCCTCGTCTTGAGGGGTCATGTGCCCTGTTCCGGTTGCCGTACTGGCACCGGTTCTCTCAAGCTTCATCAGAATCTCGAGAAACTTGTGGAGATATTCTTCAGCCTTCATGGCCACGGGCCCCTTGCGCTCAGGGGCATCATTCAACAGGGTACTCGCGATCTGTCGGATCTTGTTGACCAGGGAAACACCGTTCGGCTCCATATTGCGCTGCGTGATGGATGTCAGAACCGTCAGGAGGTTCTCCACGATGTCCTCCCGCTCCTGGTAGACCATCTCGTCTATCTCATCCTTGACGTCGTCGCCGTCAGCCTTGGCCTCGCCGTCCTCTGCTAGAGCCGCCTGTCCTCGATGGGAATCGCGCAGGTTGAGGTAACGCTCCACAAAGTAGGAGCGCGTCGCAAGCTGCGATGCGTAGATGTTGGCCTTTTGTATCTCCAGCTGCAGTCGTCGCCGCCTGAGCGGGTCCTCAGCCAGAGTGTGCCGCACGTCGTTGACGGGTTGGGTGTCGGGGAATGCGGGCGGGCAGTACTGCAAAGCAGGATCGTCAGCGACAGCTCCACCGCCGTTTTCGATCTGGCCGAGGTCGACCTTGACCTGCAGGGAGTCGGGCAGCCGTCCTAGATGAGCCTTTGTCGACGACAAGGCATTGCTGAGCATGGACTTCTGTGCAGACCACTCGAAAAAGTTGATGCCATAGCACATGTCGACGCCCACGAGCTCGTTCATGGCCATGTACGTGTTTACGTTGTGGTTGAAGCCGGTGATCAAGGACGGGGTGCCTGCAGGCTGCGCTAGGATCTGGTCTGCGTAGATGTACTCATCGTCGACCTCGACGGGCAGGTCCGGGTAGGGCTCCTGATTCGTAGGGGGGGGCAGGGGGATCTCATTGATTGAAGTGCCCAGCTGTGTCATGGACCTGAGGCCAGCGACCACCACCCAGAAGATGCGCTTGCTGATCTGATCCCGCACATGATCGACGGGTTTGTTGGCCCCGGTGAGGGCGGCAGCAATCTCGGCGATGTTGGAAGGAGCCTCGGCGCGGCGCTGTGCCGAGAGCTCTCGGCAGAAGGTCATTGTCTCGGCCATGTATCTCTTGCAGGGCTTCCACTGCAGCGTGTACGCAGCGGCGATGGCCAAGAAGTAGCTCGTGGCGGCATCGTCGACCGTCAACTCGTCCTTGGCCATGTACGTGCACCCTCGCGCATCCATGGCAACCAGGCGACAACGCTCGATCATGGTGACGGCGGTCGGGAAGAGGGTCGTGCTGTGGCTGGACTTGAGCTGAGCCCTGGCGCTCCGCGGGAAGGAGGCGACCAGGGCGCCGATCATACTGGCGAGGAGGGCGAGGAACTCGCGGCTCGTTCTGTCGGTGCGGGCGTTGAAGGCCTGGCGGAAGGTAGGCTCGTGGGGGAAGGGCATGAGCGGGTGGATGTAGGTGAAGAAGTCGTCTATGAGGAGGGACAAGACGGGCCAGGGGGCAATGGTCTCGGCGTCCAAGAAGCTGCTGCCCCCGATGGAGACCAGGGCCTCGGCGGCGTGCTGGGGAGTGGGCGAGAGGCCGGTCTCCAGACCCTGTTCCAGTCGTGCTCGCTTGGCCGCCTTGGCCGCTTCGGCGTGCTTGTTCGGGGGGCCGCGGCGCTTCATCTCGCGCGAGAAGGTGCACTCGACGTGGAGGTCGCGACATGGCTTGCAGGGCGGGCCGCTCTCGTCGCACTAGAGGTCGAGCGTCAGAAGGTCAGTTTCCATGGAGGAGCACTTTCTGGGGCGGATTTGGGGGGATGGGGGGGAGGGCCTCCTACCTTGACCTTGCGCTGGCTGCACATATCACAGGCGCGTCGCAGCCTGGTGACCTTCTGCTGATTCGTAGGGGTGGCCGGCGAAGGGGATGCGCCATTGATCATGGACTGCTGGTGCTGCTGCTGGTGCGGATGCTGGTGCTGGGCGACGACGGGGGCATACTGCTGCTGGTCGTCGGCCACATGCATGGAGGCCGACTGGGCATACTGTTGGACGAGGGCGTTGGGCTCGCCGGGCAGGGCGGCGGTGGCAGCTTCTAAGGCCTGCAGGCCATGGTGGGCGACGGCGGTGGCGGCAGCCAGCGACGGGATGCCATCATACTGCAGGGACGGGTCCTCGTCTCCTTGCTGCTGCTGCTGCTGCTGGTCAAGATGCTGTTGGTCATGGTGATGATGATGATGGTGGTGGTGTTGCTGGTGGTCGTGCTCGTGGTCGGGCGGGAGCTGCGAGGGATGGTGAGATTGCTGGTGCTGCTGGTGCTGATGCTGGTCGTCGGCAAGCTGGGCGACCTGGTCCTGCTCCAGCTGCTGCTGCTGCTGCTGCTGCTGTTGATGTTGTTGTTGCGCGTCGGTGTCAGCAGCGACCAGGCCGGGGTCGGGATAGGAGGGCTGAAGGTCGTCGGGCGCCGACATGATGGCCGTCTGCCCGTTGCGCCTCTGGGTCTGGATTCGCGGTCACGGCTTGTCTTCGGGTCGGTATAGATTCGGATCTTCTGGCTTGGGTTTTTGAGTGGGAATCCAAACCGGGCGGCTGCACCAGACAGACAGACCAGAGCGACCCCGTGGACCAGTCAGCGTAGCCCCCATACCCCGCTTTTCATTTTATGTGGGGGGGGGCGGGGGCGCCCGGGTTTGGCTGTGGCTGACACCGCACGGCACTGCACTTGTGCAAGTTTGACTTGCTCAACTCGGGTGGCGCAGTATAAAGGCACCCTTTGGCGACTTGTCCTGCCGCTGGACTCACTGGACTTACTGGACTTGCCGGTGTCAATTGGTCTTCAAAGACATACCGACCGACCTATGGCTAATCACACAATCGTCCCCTTGTAAACCATCGATCAACATTTCCAGGAACCAAGCAGGCCTCATACATATCCATGGCGATTTTCTGGCCTACACAGGCCTGTGCGCCTCCTTCGTGGTCAGACAATATAGAGATGATGTCGGCCAGGCACACACGGCCTCGGAGACAGAACCCAAAGGCCGCCCGGTCGAGTGGCGGGGAACCCACTCGGCTTTATTTGATTGTATATCAACCTGGCCCGGCCGAACCACATCGTCCTGGCCGTCTTGTAGCCGGACATGCTTCAGCATGATAGCCCCATAGAATAATATAGTGTACGGTGTTTCGCCTGCCGCGTCCGAAGAATGATTGCAAACATGTCGCTGGTCCGGACAAGCCAGCACTCGGCCGCCTCCCACGGGTGCCGGCCGTGATTCGGCCATGACTGTCGACGCCAGCACAACTTGGCCAACATCCACCTTGATCAGCACGTCGAGAAAGTCGGCGCTAGGCAGCGTGCGAGTCGTCTGGGTCTCATCCATGATCGGGTTGGCCACGCCCAAAGGAGGTGTGGTCTGGCACAAGCACGACAATCAACCAACGTTGCTGGAGAACACACTTGACAATTACATGCAGTCCAAGTCGGGCATGGTGTTCCTCGCCTACCAAGATGTCAAGCGCCTTGGTTCGGAGGGTATCACCTGCGTGGTGAGCTATGCTTCTCGGGACACCAAACGCCAGAACCGCAGTGCTGATCTGATGCACACAGCCTGCGTATCCTGGTATACTGAAAACATATCTACAGAAGAATTTCCCCCCAGTTTTTCAAAATGTCATCGTAAGTAAATCGAAAGATCTCTGGGCATCAATAATCAGGTCTTGAGCTGACCTCACTAGGGTGTGATATCCAAGGGCGTTGAGGCAGGCGCGCACACCGAGATCTTTGCTGGGCTTTCGCCTGAGATCGGGCTGAAGCACAACGGCCGCTTCATCATCCCTTGGGGAAGACTTGGCCTTATTCCCAATCACATTGCGGTCGGTATGGAGTTCAAAGCGGAATGTGGCACGGGATTGGCCATGAAATTTTGAGGCATGGTGCGCGAGTGTGACTAGGTAGTACCGTTAGAATAATGTCATCCGCGTTCGATTGTTCCACTTCTACATTGGCTTTTGTGACGAGACTCCTCCACCTCGTACTTTTACTGCGGCCTTCTTGCAGCTCACCCTTTTCTAAGCATACCTCAGCCGCCATGAATTTCCCCATCATCGCACCGGCTCAGCTGCAAGACAGGAAGGATACCTTGGATGCAATTTCGATTTGGCGCGACTGCAGCTGACCTATAAACAGAGGAGGTCCACGGTGCCACGGAGATCTTCGCGTTTGGAGACCATCTCGACCTCCCCGTATTCCAGCTGGCCCCCGGGGAGGTCCTTACCCAAGAACAGCGCCGCAAACGCCCCAAGATAGACGAACGAGCATACATTGTCTCGTCAAAAACCCTCACCACTTGGTTTCCTGCCTGGGCGCAGGCCGTCACTCAAGCTTCCGCTGTGAAGCCGCAAGGCGCGCTGGGCGTCGTACACCTTCCAATCGCCAACCACGAGAAATTCAAGTTCTTACTTGATGTCGACTCTGGCTTGGATGACCTGGACAAGCCTGATCACACCCATTTATTAATTTGGCTTGCGAGGCATTGTCAACAGCACAATCTACAGGAACTGCTCCAGACGAAAATGGACAGGAGGAAAATGATCATATCACAGGAGGTCTTTCACTCGTCTCACTGTCTCAACGAGTGGGAATATCTTGCCGTTGCCTGTTTCCTTGGCTTCTCAATAACATTTCGACAGGCAGCATATCGACTGAGCTACTGCATCTCAGGTGCTGAGATGCCAAAGATCAGCGCAGACGCAGAGGAGCTTTTGCCCACGGACATTATCGGTAAGAGCAGCATCAAGCCGCACATGGATCACAGTTGACGCTTTCCAAGATCATACGCTCTTCTGTCGAAGCGCATACATCGCGTTTGTAGCCTCTCACTTCTATACTGCCCGAGATCGGGCCCGTGCCGGCAGTTCCACAGCTACCCCCGACAAGGTCAGCCAAGGCGTTTGCGTGCACGATCTTGGCTTCTGCAACCGTTCACACCAGCGCAACATCGACAAATGGCTGGAGGATGTCCATCTACCCAAGTCCCTTGCCAATGTCTTTGACACTCTCCAAGCCACTCTATCCCCATGCAACAGTTTCGCTCACTACAGGATCGGTGAGGCTGGATTGTGTCATGATTGCAAAGAAGCTGCCATCACACGTCGTCTATTCCGCAGGTTGGAGGGTTCTGCACAAGAACCACAAGAGTCACTGATCATGTACCTCACGATGAACGACAGCCCAAGGGTTATGTCTGTGAAGGCACATGCCCAAATTGCCAGCGTAGCCGATGCAAGAGCATCTCGCCTTGAGGCTAAGAAGTAGCTGGGACCGGACATATGTTAGGAAGAATGACGCGGACTGTGGAACTTGAGAGGATTATCGAGTTCGGTGGCTCAAAAGCAGACTTCGTCTCCAGCGACTGATATTAGCAATAGTAGCACGTCTGACTTTCGCCCTAGACACAGGTCATCGAGGATTGAATTGGCTGAGTGTCGTAGTACGACGCCTCTGGATCAGGCTTGAACAAGGCCACATCGTAATCACGCAACTCGAAGAGACTCGGTATTACTGTTGGCAAAGTCTTTCAGAAACTGTGGCAGGTAGCCTCTCCATGGACATCTTCCGAGAGGGATTCCTTGGGATTTATACTCTTGGCAGCGAAAAATTTCTCCCATTTCACGTTGACGCCAATCATACCAATGCATGAAGAAGTTTCCATCTATGGCCTGATGCTTCAAGTAAATTTCGCAGTACCCAAGTCCCAAGCATTATGTCCACCAGCCCTAGCAACTCGATGCCCCGTTTCCAGTGAAGTTGCCGGGCTGGTACATGTTGGCAGCATCATCTAGGCACTCGGCTGCATTACAAGTAATCAGCAACCGTAGCTCCTAAGACGAATTGATTTGTGCATAGGGGAGAGTTCCACTTACCGACAGTGACGATCTTGAGATTGTTACTCTTGGCCCAGTTGATCAGCCACGGCACCAGGGTATTGACAGTTGAATCGTAAGTCTCGTGCATGAGGGGGATGTGGCCATTGCCGCTGGCACCGGCCGCCGTGAACTTCTGCTCGCTCTGCTGCGCTGTCTGGTGGTTCCAATCGCCGGCGTCAATGTCGTCCGTGATGACTACGTAGCCCATCTGCTTCATGACCGACAGCATGCTACTGCTGGTTGCCAGGTTCGGCGGCCGCATATACGCCGGCTTCTTGCCGAAGATGTTAACGAACGCCTGCTCCACCTTTGTCATCTCGGTCTGGATCTGCGACGTGCCCAGGTTGGCCAGGTTGGCGTGTGTCCTATTTTCTGAAAGTCAGAGTCTCTATCCATATCCGCCGCTCTACTCCGCAACGGTGCTGGGTCTTACCATGTATGCGAGGCAATTTGATGACCATTGTCATATGCCTTTTTGACGGCGGCCTTCTGGTTATATATGCAACCTTTGAACGGATTAGACTCGAGAACTCTTGTGTTCATCTTCGCACTAACCATAGAGCGTGCCAGTGAAGAAGAACGTTCCCTTGGCCCCAGCAGCGTCCAATTTGTCTACCAACGATGATGTGACTACCCAGATGTGAGTCTCAAACATTTATAGCAAAGATTTTTCAGGGCTTACAGGTATAGGGGCCATCGTCGAAAGCTAGAGCCAGCACTCCTGGCTTGGAACACTTCGTGATCACAGCACCAGTTGTATGGGCACGTCGAATGACCTCAATAGGGCTTGGTACACTCACGGCTAAGGCCCCGAGCGCCACAGATAGAGAGAGGACTAATGAGTTGAGTAGCATCGTGAAAGTTTTCTTTCGTCCCCTGCAGACCCTCGAATGATCAGTCGCTGTCGTACCACGTAGTGAGACGAGAACACTACATTTAAGTACATTCCGCACCGCGGTGGCCACAAGGGCGTACGGAAAAGCCCAAGGACGATCTTTCGCCCGGGATATTGTGCGAATCATGTGGTTCCGCCGCACCCAGTGCTTCGATATGATCCAGGTACATGGTGTCCCTGATAGTTTCGTCTGGGTTTATGGAGATTATTACGCTTCGGTAGGGGCTCACGATATGCTAACCCCTGGTTTCCCGGCTGGGCACTGTGGGGTCAATAACATGCCTTGCCAATATAGCAGAGCACGAATTTAGCCGCCAAGGTTAGCGTCTACTTGATTCAACCACCTTTCTGCATTGGGAACGGAGACGGGCCAATGGCTTAGAGCTTGAGCGCCCAGGGACCGTTTCCCATTCCATTGAAAGCTATAGATTGCGGTGAAGCCCATATACGCGTCATCAAGCTCGTAGTTGTGTCACGGGATGTGGCGGCGGGTTTGTCGTAAGTTTCGGGTACCCTCAGAGATTACTACTAATGTTGAATCATTTGCTTCAGACTGTTCATTCCTCGGCTGAACATAGAGTGAAGGTGCTTGAAATCTTGTGACAAATTGAATTTCATCTCAACCTTTTAGGTTCATCTGAATATGAGCATCAAAATTCTGAACTTCGATGTCTCCTGTCCAACAGCAGCCAAGGTCTCCCCGTCGTATGGGTGTGTCTAAGAGAACTTGCCCTATCATTGATTTCCTAATGTCCACCAATCTGAACAGGTAGTCCTTGGTTGACTCATCCGGCCTACGATAGCAATCAAAGGTGATCATCAGCTTTTTGACGGGCCCACTCCACGTCCACACTTGCTCTTTATCGAGTCCCTCGTCTGTATCCGGCTTGCGTTCCAGTCGAAGTTGCTCGTTATGCTGGCCAACTAGAATCCAGTCAACAATATCTCTATACTGACCAGATAATGAGAGCTGCAACCCAGATTTCTCCCCTTTCTTGTCTCTGTAGCGCAACTTTGCTCCATGACGAACCAACGTTTTGACCACGGAAATATGTCCAGCACCACAGGCAGCCATGAGGACAGTGCCTTGGGGGCAATCTTCTCGGTCGATATCATAACCGCATTCAATAAGATTGTTGACCACTTCGAGCTCTCCCATAGTTGCTGCAGCGCTGAATACTGACCAGTCCTTGAATTGAAAAGTCGCCGTTAAGAAGAAGACTCTTGAAGTGATTGTTGCACATTGCGATGTGCAATGGAGTAATGTCAAAGTCATTCGGTGAATAAGGGTTCATCCCATGTGCGACGAGATCGACAAACAATTCACAGCTGCCCTTAAATTCTGTCAGAGGCAAAGCCAGCCTGTGCAAGACAGTGGCTCCACTGTAGAACTTCTTCGAAGTCGAAGCTCCATATTTGAGGAGCAATCTAAGCTTCTCCGAAGATGTACCTGCACTCCACAAAATCGCGGTTCCTCCTAGTTTATCCTGTGGTTCGATTAAGGCTCCATGATCAAGCAGGTACCTAACAACTTCTACTGTACCTGGTCTGGTTGACAAGCTAGCTGCGATAAGCGGCGTTCGATAGTGCCAATCTCTGATGTTTATATCCGCGCCACTCTGTACGAGAACTTGGGTTTCATGCAGCAACCCGTCACTTGCTGTTAGATGAAGTGGAACATATCCTTCCCCTTTTATACTTCTGTCATTTAGAAGAGCGGCAAGAGCAGTAGAGGGATGAAGTCTCAGGAGGTATCTAACACGAAACATTAGCATTAGCAAAAGGCGCAGTGCAAACGAGATCGAATTTGCAAGGAGGACCACTAACTCGTATCTTTTAGCATGGACTCTGACATGATTGATGATGCTTTCCATGGCCACTAGATCTCCTTTGCGGACTGCAAATGAAAGTAACCCTTGTAGATGGTTTAGCACGCTGTATCCTGATTCGATATACGCATCTAGCAAGAGAGCCAGTGCTGGGTTGCCTCGTACAGATTCAATGGCCAGACGTAGAAGAGCCGGTGGATCTTGGTCTTTAAGTACTGATGCGCCCTTCCGAAGCAGCCATTCGGTAATATCTCGTTGGCCGCAAGTGACGGCAAGTTGCAAAGGTGTCGCGCGGGAAGGCATGAGGAGACAGCAGAGAGAGAGCTTGAGCGTGTCAATTAACAGGTGGCACCTCTCCAGTGAGCCCTCCGTGATGGCATCTTCAAGCAAAAGTTTGCCGGAAGAGGCACTTATTTTAGCGGCCTCGGTGGCTTCCTCAATGCGTTCGCGGTTGGGGTCCTCAAAGACCTGAATAAGCCTCGTGTTATTTATGTACAATGCCAGGTGGAATGGAGTCTGCCCCTTTGAATTCTTGGACTGGGACGATCCGAGCTTCAAAAGACCTTCAGCATTGCAGGGTTTTCCAAAACTCACAGCCCAGTGTAAAGGCGTATCTCCGTCTACATCCGGGACGTCAATGGATGCCCCAAGCTCAGCCAGGATCTGCAGAGTATCGCAATCGTCAGAACTGATGGCTGCAAAATGCATGCATGTAGCACCATAAGAAGGAGTAGCACAGTCGATGCCAAAAATTCCCCTACTCAGGAAGAATTCAATGACCGCCTTACTACCACTTCTGCAGGCAAGGTGTAAGACATTCAAATGGTATCGATATTACCGATCCTGACGACAGGCGATGGTGTAATGCCGTTGCCAATTGATCGATCGATCTGTATGTTCGCTATCCCACGCAACTAACTTCTCCAGAAAGCCTACACAACCTTGGCCGACTGCTTCCCCAAGAGCATCGAAGTCGAAGCCGTCCTTTGCTGTTGGGTCGGCTCCAAAGTCTAGAAGGGCGCATGCTGCTTCAACATTTAGCACACAAAGACTTTGGCCAAGCGCGGTCACGCGTGATCCATTACCCTGACGAACATCTGGGTTGGCACCATGATCTACCAATTCTTTCCGCTTTGCCTTAGATTGCGGTCCCCAGGCCGCGACGATTCTGTGAATGAGTGCGACATGGTCGAAAGAGTTGAGCTCATTTAGACGTGTACAGTCTGCACGGTCTAAAATCTTTCCAAAGACTTCAGGCTGGAATTCTCTCTGCATACAGACATATTCCAGGGGCGAGAATCTACCAGCCCCACCCTGAATATCAACGCCTTGGTCAATGAGATAATCTGCCAGAACATGGAAACTTTTAGTCCAAGGACTTTGCAACAAGGCCATAGCTAAGAGTGCTGTAAATGCTGTCGAGTCCTTGGAGGCAGATCGCCGGGTTGAAGCTTTCAAAATGTGCAGTATTAGCACTGGCGGCATCGGGAACGTTTTGTAGAGAACCTGAGCTCTTCTTTGAACAAACCTAGGCTCCCAAGTAGTACATGCCAAGCCAAAGGTAGACAACAGAGGATCCAGGCTGCACTGGTCTGTTAAAGCCTCGTATTGTTGCAGTAGTCCAAGCTTTATCAGGCTCATAACCGTAGCCTCCACGGCAGATTCAAGAGCTGCAATGGGAAACGAAACGGAGTGCAAATCATTCTTAAACATGGAACATAGAGATTGCCAGATATACACTGCTCCTCGAGGTTCCGTGTCTGATGCGTGTATTTCTAGGAGCTCACATAGTATTGATTCCGAAGGCGTGACTGGCAGGTATTCATCGCCCTCTTTATGCAAGAGGCACCGTCTGACAAAGTTAACGATTGGGGTTTGTTTAGAATTTCGCAGCCGACACAAGTTATCACAGCAATACCCGAGTAATTTGACAGCTTCCGTGGTCGATGCCGTCCCAACATGAAGCAAAGGACATGGAGTTCCTTCCTGGTGGGGATGAAGGTCAAATCCCAGAGCCAAAAGGCTATTAATGACTCTATGGCTCCCCATCTTGGCAGCTAGAGTTGAAAGCAAGTCTTCCGAATGGTGGAACTATTCCGGGTCATTGGTGATATGGGAAATGATCAGAAGAACGCATGGTTCATTCTGTCCCTCCAGTGCATGGGCGAGGACGGTGCGGCGGTTATTATTTTCAGTCGACATAGCTTTGGTGATTATATCTTCATCCTCAATTGCGAACAATGCCTCCAGAGCAGAAGGGCTATCACAGGCAATATGCCACGCAGTGTCCCCGTCATCGTCTTGTTCCAAAGTAGAAGCGCCGTGACGTAGCAGTAGACGAAGAATGAGCTCACATTCAGACTTATTGATGAATTTTCCTCGTAATGCCCACATGTGCATTGGGCCAGAGGTCTGGTCTGGGCGTGGAGCAGCGCTGCAACCAGCTTCCACTAGCAGCTGGACCATATTGAGAGACGCATACTCCACAGCAACCTCAAGCAACGAAAGAGAGTTTGAGATAACACTGGTGGGGTCTATCCGGGGGTCTTTTATTGCAGATTGGACAAATGCCAACCTGTCTTGTTCAACACCTGTAAACGTAGATGTGACCAATGCCTCCACAGTGAATGAGATGGTTGACTTCACGAAGAATGGATCACGCGCGAAAGTAAGGTTCCAAGCCAGAGCAGATTCCCACACAAGCGTACACAGCTGAGTTGCGATACTGTGCGGTTCACTAAAGGAATTCAATAACTCAATAAGGCGGCGGAAGGAATCCTCTGTTGTTTGCATGTCCTTTATGTCGCAGAACAGCCAAGGTTCTAGTTTCCAGCATTGATGAATAGCAGCGGATAATTTGGCTCCGGATTTCAAGACTTTGAAGGCAGCCTCTCCAAGTGTGGTAATGATATCAGGGAGGACACCGAGAACTATTGCGTGCTCAAAAGATGCCCTGTTAACCACTGTTGCTAGTAAGTGATCGATTCGAGTCGTTGTCAATTCTCCGACTGTCCTTTCTGTGCCCAAAAGCACCTGAACGGTTTTCTGTATTTCCACTAGGGGCATTTATAACCAGAAATTATTCCAGCCGCCCCATAGTTCCAGATCCGCGTCGATGTCCACATTGTCCTCAGCAAAGAACAACTGTGATGCAAATAGCTGTGGCCCCATAACGGCGCAGTCGAGAGGCGAAAGTTGAGTCGACGATTGAATCTCAATACCGGTTACTAGTTGTCGACACAAGTCAGACATTCCCAGGAGCGCAGCCATGTGCAGTGGCGTGAAAGTCGGTGCGAGGAACCTGGCGGTCAACGCGCGAGTGGGATTGATGAACCTGTTGCCGCCGTAGTCAGAGAGCACTGTCCCCGCCCACAGCCCAGCTCGGAGTGAAAACGAAGTCATCCAGGCAGTGTATGCACCATCTCCACCGTCGCGGAGTAGATTTATGGAGAGTTCTTTAACGTCGGAATGTCTCATGTGTTCATATGCATATTCTGGCCACCAGGCAGAGGCATGCTCGTAGAATGTGAACTTTTTATGCCTTTGGAGCACCTCTTGCAGCTCTGATTCCCATCCAAGAGCCGGGCGTACGAAATTGTCGACCTGCAGTAGCCGAAGACATCGTGTGGCCATGATTCTGGACACGTTCGAAGGATTGAGATGATACTGGTTGAGGGACGTTCTTAGTAACTCCCCACTCTCCAAGTACTGTCGAACGGAAGCATGTGCAAAGGTAAGCCGTTTTCCATCTGGCGACTTGCGGATCAGGCTGCTACAAGCGCGCAAAATTTCATCGGTAGGTTCATAGTCCTGGACTTCCAGCCGCTCACCCAGTGGGGGCACGGATACCACCTCACGAAGTTGCTCGATATTTAGCGGCTGTCGCGCGTAGGCAATGAAACTTAAGGTTGTAATAACCATGTCTTCATTTGACTTGGGGACTCTCTCAATGATGCGATGGTAACTCTCTGGAAGATCTCGCGGTAAATTCTGCAATGCTTCGCGGCGCCTTTTATCAGTGGTGAACTCGCAAAGGTAATCCATCTGACACGCGACCCATCGAAACCTGAGGTTGAGTTAGTGAGTGGGTTTCATAGCTTAGTAGTGCCCGGTAAGCACGTACATGCCACAGGCACCTTCCAGTAGGCACTCAAGTATCTCCTCTTTCATTTGAATTCCGATGTTTCGCAGCCTTCTCGAGCGCACCCGTGTTTCGATTTCACCCGTCACATATCGCTTCATATCGTCGCCGGTCGCTGCAACAGAAATCTCGGAGAAATCTGTAGCGACTTCGTCACGACTGATCAAGGCTAGGGAAATCTTTTCGCATGTCAATATTTCCAAGAGGGATGGAAGAAGCTCGGTTATTAGGCCATTAGCCTCGTCGATTCCATCCACCACAATCAAGACTCTCTCAAACTCGTAGGATGTTTCCTGCAAGATACGCTGGAGGCCCACGATATGCGGCCCCTTCTCCAAACTCTGGGGGGGATGCAGTTCATCATAATATTCTTCAACGATGTCAAAGGCCCGTGGACTTTGCAGAGAGATTTGGGCAATGATCGTGCTTAGTATGTTGAGGGTGGCCAGAGTTTCTTGATTTTGATAATCGCAAAAGAAGTAAGCAACAGCAGTATCGGTCCCGCTTCTCTGTAAAGCGTCTTCAATGAGAGTCCCGGCTAGAACCGACTTCCCAGCTCCTGGAATACCAGAGAGCCACAGTCGGCAATGTAAACTATCGAGCCACCGTTGATAGCTGGCCAAGTTCCGGATCCATATGCCTGTCATAGGATAACGGAGTCGCAAGTTTGTCTCCAGAGCCTCTTGGGGGTTTACTTTCAGGGAAAAGTCGCGAACTTTTTGCCGCTTGGTGGAGATCTCTACCCTAACGACGATATCGCTTATGCGCTCAACTTGGCCTTCCATCTTAGCCATGGCCCTCCCCAGAAACTCCTGTCTGGAAAGACAGAGAAGAAGACCGTTCATTGAATCGGCTGATATAGCCAATTGCAGATGGTTCTGGTGTCGCGATAGGTCGGCAAGTAGGTCTTTCGTTTCCTCAACCGAGAATGGCCACAAGAGCTTTCCCTTCCACTGGCTGAATTTATTCGGACTATTAAGGCCTTTCTCAGCTTTTCTAAGTTTTCCTTGAATAAGACTCAACGTGCGGTCGCAGGCGATGACCACACCAAGACTCGGGGTTTCGTCGAACGGTTCGTCGTCAAGAACCTGGGCAAGAAGCTCTAGCCTTTTCAAGGTCCCAGCGATTGCACTGATTTGATCTGCTATCCTTTTCACGTCGTCATCAGCATTCTTGGCTAGCTTCAAGTGCTTTCGGCATTGCAATGTTTTGATAAATATGACATCGGCAAGTCCAATAAGTCCTGCAATGCTGGCGCTGATAGAAAAGGGATCCGCCATGGCCACGAGGCAATCGAAACAGTAGCGACGCAGAAGAGATTCGATGTTACTATTCGAACAACCCGAGTTTCTTTTGAGACAATATCAGAGGGGTACGGGTGAATCATGTATCCTGTGAGCTCTGCAGATATTCTCCCTAAATAAGCAGTCACCAACCTTTTCAAGTGTGGTTGCACTACATCCCGCTAGTTGACGCAGCCTGATGCTCAGCCCCATTCGATACCCAAACCGAATATCCCCGAGGCAGCAGAAGGGGAAGCATCGCGATGATCCACGTGCAAAATCCTTAACAAGGCGACCTTCCAGCGTATAGTAACGGAGATTGATAACCGATTGTGAATGGAGCGAGCTGATATCAAACAGGAATGCAGCTGTCTAATAAGCTTGCAGCGACTTTTCCGTCGCTTGGGTAGTTGGACTAATTGCGCAAAAATGTACAGTGCAGAACCAGACGTCCTACAGTACTGTAGTCTTAGACCTGCAGGACCTCAGCGCCACGTCGACTCCTCACCTACGCGGCTACGCCTTGTCACCCACCATGGGCACGATAAGGCTAATTCAACCCACAAGGCTCGCACTACGACATACGCAGAAAGCCTGTCGATTTTCGAGTGAGGCGTACCAAGCACCATTCTGTACCCGACCTGCCCAGCGCGCGACAGGTCAGGTGACAGGGAGTTCCGTCGCGTTGCTTTACCTTTCTAAGCGCGCCTTGACTACTCGGCATTGTCGTTCAGGACTATCGCTCCGTGATAATCCACATCGCACGATTGTTTTCAACATGTCGACGCAAAGCAAGCCACTGAGAGTCCGTTGTCAATGTGGAAGCATCAGCTTTACAACACCATCAGCCCAGTACATTGACTTGTTCCACTGTCACTGCACGGAATGTCAGAAGCAGTCAGCTAGCGCATACGGCACCTCAGCTATCTATCCTGCGGAGGGCTTGTTTCCTTTAACGTCCGAGCTCAAATCAAAGTTGAAGGTGTTCACACGACCGACCGATGGCGGGGGTACTATGGACTGCTATTTCTGCCCTGATTGCGGATCCAGAATGTTCCACCGCATCATTGGGAAAGATGGCAAGCCCCGGCCAACAGTCAGTGTGAAAGGGGGCTGCATTGAGGGGCTTGACTGGAAAGGCGGCAAGCATATATACATGAGGTCTGCCGTTATTCAGATACCGAAGGAATGGGAACAGTATAGCACCGTTCCATGGTCGGACGAGGAGGAGGGGTAGTAGATGATATCTTTGCGATGGACTGGCTAAATGAGAATTGGGGATACTCATAATTGTACTTGTTTTGGATGATCTACAGAAAATGGCAAATTAAAGTGGCTGCGCGAGATTGAGAATGTTGTTTTTCTAATTCATGAGCTGCAAATTATGACTGTGCCCGTTAAAGCTTTACGGAAGTATCTGAGAGCTGCACTATGAAAGAGCCTTTCCCAACCTAGCTCGAACTCCCCATGCCTGGAAGTGATTTGAACCCTATTACATGTCAGTATATATAGCTAGCGAATAGACGCTTCGAAACTTACATCCGACGGTTTCTTCACCAACCATGTCTTTAACAGTGCACTGGTTGGCCGTATTCATTGCCTGCTTTGTGATGGAGCCACACCCATCATAAAAGCATTCTGACTTGTTCATAGCGCGCTGGAGCGCATCACCTTTCCAGCCGAACATGTAATCTGCATGGGTTCCACCACCGGTACCTTCGAAGCTCCACACAAAGGGGTTCGGAGCCCCTGATGTCCACATGCTGTTAAACTTCGCAGTATCCCATACGGTTTCGTATGTAACTTGTGGCATACGGACAGGGTGAGATGATGGGCATGCGGGCGCATTCGGGAAACCATCAGAGCTGATCGTGTTATACATATGAGACTGGTGGTCTGGGCTATCGAGATTCTTGCCATCCCAACACCTAAACCCAGTTAGAGCAAGTTTAAACCGGCTTTTATAGTGCAGAAGTTACTAACGCAGGGAAATGGTGTGTAACAAATATGCCACCCGGACATGGCTTGGTAGGTAGGTCAGGCATCTCTGCTCCTCTATTCCCGTTGCTTTGCAAGCACTGATAACGAAGGCCGACGTGGGGACGTGAAGTCACACTTGGGCTACCGACCGTCATACGGAAACCCTGTATAGTCTTTAGATTCTGACACGCATCGACGAAATCACAGGAGGTGGGATTACTGGTTGGAAAGACTTCACGGGTTGCTGCTTTATATTATCCCTGCTCAAGTCGAACTGGGTATAATAGACCGTAAGCCCACCCTGTGTGCCGCTTGTACCTGGAACTACAGGGATGGTTGATACACGGTGGTAAGACCCATTCGTAGGATGCTTGAAGTACAGCACAGCAGTCCAGTAGTTGGAGAAGTCCTCTGACATCTGGCAGGTAGTACACGTAGCTCTCGTGCTGACGTCGCCTGTCATGCTAGCATTGAAAGCATTGCCGCCGACAATATGGTGAACATGGGCTGATGGATTTGATCCTGGTTGGACAACCGGGTCGAGGCGTTGGTAAGTCAAAGTCGAGCACTGAAAACGCAGGCCAGCCCAAGCTGGCGCGACGAGGGCGATGGATGCGTAGAGCCACCTCATTTTGATTATGTGGTATTACTACAGTAATCGTGGTGGGTGTCTAACAATTCATCGAAACGAGTAAAATAGCACATCAAAAGAGGGCCCACGACCCCTTTTAAGATGAAGTCTCCCTTGACGTGCTGCACCGACTTCCCCAGCTCTCCCAAGGCCTACGTAGCATACTAGTGTTCTCTTCAATTTAAACATGGCGACATCGAGAAGCAGATGATGAACGGGTACAAGATATCCCAGGTCCCCTGCGAATCAGCTTGTGAGGAAATTATCCGGGTTATTATCCAGCGATACAAGGAGATTGAATTACCAATGCCGTATGGGCATGGGCTGTATCTGTGCGCGGCAAATATCCCACGTGATTGCGAGATCTCCGGCAAATGTTTTTCGCTCATGATGTACTTGCACCCTCACTGGCAAAGTGCCGAGAGTGCCTAACTTGCCGCTTCACCCAGTCGCCGCAGCAGGTAGTGGACCATTGGCTGATACAAAGAATATTTATTTTAGACAGACCTATGATCTATTGGGTCGTAGTAATTCTAGGCGCTCATCACACTTTCTGTGGGGACGCAATATACTAGCCTGTTCAATCTGATGTCTGCACGGAGTTATACCATTTACAAGTGGTATGATAATTGGCCAGACTGTCCATCGAGTGGATCAGATGCGTTGGATAAGTAACTGATCTTCCTCTTTGGACCCAAAAAATGGCCTTGGATTTAACAGCACATTTTCACAATTCACAGCGTTTCCTGACATCGAGGAGCTTTGTGCATTTCGTCCCAGCATTCAAGCAACGAAATTGCAGCTTGAAATCATCAAATGGCTTCCCTGCTAAAGTGAAATGACTCATTACTGTCTTGTGCCTTATTGTTCTGAGACAGCTCCGATCCTATGTTGGTGTTCCCACTACCTCTCTGGCACTGTGGTCACTTGAAAATTGTAGAATCCAGTTGTCTGGTTGTATTGGACATAATGCCGCACCTGCCCCTGAGTACTCAATATTTAGTATCACATTTCCGTATAAAAACAAAAGCAATGGTGCTGCTAACATTTCTTCATTACCGCTTATTGTAATGTGCAAGTGACACTCTCCAATTTAGCGGTGTGTATCATTATTTCTTTTTTTTAATCTCACGACAGGAAAGGTCGCAAACTGGCTGATTGAAGATGCCGTCATGATGTTGGAAGGTTCCTCATACCAAGCCTGATTGACAATATACGTTCGACTATGGTGTTTATGTCTTTGCCAAGCCCAGGAATCAACACACTCTCAATTGGCGTTTGACAGTCCGCGTAGCCATGCTCCAGTATATCAATGGCTGCTCTTTAAGCGATTATGCCCATCATATCTAGTGGCTTTTTTTTCCCCCAAGACGGATTTGCCTGTGAAGAGCAAAAGGTCCTGAGCTACTTGTGTAAGTGGACATCGTTTGTTTCTTTGAGGGTCAAAATTCAGGCTGATACGCGACACTCTACGGAGGTGCCTTCAAGGGACGCAGACCAATGCTAGTAGTACCAACGTTGGAGCACTTGATGCGCATCCAACGGTGTTGAGTCTGAACTCTGTCCCTTTTTGATACCTAATCCCCTTTTATTGCGTCCTAGTTGTTCCAACTCCTTCTTGGCAAGTCCAAGCGTATTCCGAGATCGGGATGGCCCGCCGAGTTTTTCTCCACGGAAGGGTCACATCACGATTTCCAACTCATCATCTGTGACGCTATCATTCACATCTAGCCCCGGCCCACGGTGATATATGGGCTCGCCTCCCAGGTCCGCACCGATGAGGCAGGGACCCAGGTTCTCGGGCTCGACTATACGTGACGATGCCAGTTGTTTCGGTAATGATGTCTCTTGCGATAGTGGCAAACCATTCGATGATATCATCCTCTTCGTCTGCTTAATCCTGACAGCACCGGTCTCAAGTTGTAGTCCAAAAGGTACTGGTGTCCGAAAGGCCTCAAGGAATTTCCCGCGGTGTTCGTACGCCATCTCGGGTTGCCACTCCAACACGCACTGTCTTCCAAGTAGAGCCAGCTGGTCCGCGTATTTATTTCCAAGAAGATGCTCAACGTTGGTGTGGCCAGGGACCCAATGGAGTTCGACCAGGACACCCAGCTTGCCCAGCTGTTGCATGCCGTCAAGAATGCTGTTGACGAGGCAACTAGGCCGTTTAGCACCCCGGGTACCTTCGTCTATCCCGCGAAGCGATGGCTGTGAATCGGTGAGGACAAAGACAGTGGGAAATAACTCTTCTCCGCTATGGTCTCCCTCAGCAGCTGGTCTGCAGCATAGTTGTGCCTCCTGGAAGGCGATTCGTAGCGCCCGCTCGATTGCGAATAGCTCCGCATCCTTGGGGCTGCACAAGCCGTACATGCCATAGGCGTTAAAAATCCAAGGAGATTCAGGCTCGAGATAGCGTTTGTATGCAACACCAGCCCCTGAGAGCGGATAGTTGACTGACTTCCAGGACCCGTCAGCCCAGAAGACGAGTCGAGGTACTGACGAGGAGTATTCAGGGTTCATCAGTCTCGCTGCGTGTTCGGCCGCTCCCACGAGGTCGTTGACCTTGATACGAGGATAACAAGATGCTTCTACATCGGGTTTGTCGATACTGCCGGCCTCGCAGGCGTCGTTTGAAGTCCGCTCGAGCTGGCTCTTGGCTAAGCCTGCTAGAATGCGAACGCGCCTTGACTCGTGTTCCTTATCCTTTCCCTTCTTCTTGGAAACCCTGTTCTTGACGTCTCGGATTGGCTTGAGTTCAATCACCATGGCTTGTTTCTTGGGTCTGTTTCTCTTCGTAGCTCGGGTCGACTGGGGGGCAGATGAACTGGATACCGATGATCGAAGAAAATATCTCGTGTGTTTGAGCTCGTGCTTGGCGTCCGACAGCAGTGATCTAACAGCATCGTCGGGTGCTGTGATCTCAGCACGTGGGATGGATTTACCACCTGACTTTGCTTCTAGCCAGCAAATCTCCTGCAGAACCTATCAGTACTTTCAAAACTGCGTTCAGACCATCGAGATCAGATCTCCTTCGCCTTCATTCAGAGAATCCCCAGCTACCGACAAGCTACAGCGGTGTGTTCCGAGAGCCTACGTCGGTGGGTCGCGAACTCACCGGAAGTTCAGGTCCATACTTAGGCGCCTCTCTCTGCGCGTGGCCACCGTCCTGGTAAAGAATCGCATGGTGAGTACCAGGCACATCGCCCGTATGTGGCTCCATGATGGGTAAGATGGGCTTCAAACGGCCTTCGGGCTCACCACGAGTATGGATGAATGGCGTCCCAGGACGGGGAGTCGAACAATCTCGATGACGGGAGATTTTCTGTGTCCAATGTGATCAGTCTGGGCCCGTGGTGGAGTTTCGCAGGAAGTCGCGCCTGCTGTGTCGTGTGCCCGAGATGTCAAGTTCGCTCGAAATTTTCCAAACATCTCACGCACGGGTTGCACCACCACCTCCCCCGGCCTCGCGCACAACTGAGAAAATTCCAACCTTGGATTTGAAACTGTGTTGAACAGCATCGTCTGTTCTTGGTCTCATTCCACTGCCCTGTGCACGCATGATCCCATCTTCCACTCCCTGGCCGACGCCAGTTTCCCAGGTGACTGATCAAAGCTGTTGACTTCACAATCCAGCTCGAGGCAACACCCCTTGCAAACGACCATATCTTCCCTTACTCGGAACCCAAGATTCTGGCAACGATTGAGCTCACTGTGGGGGCTGGGTTCTTCCAGCTTAGTTATAAACGGACCCAATGCATTCCAAACATTACTGGCCATGATAACAGCATGGATTTTCTTATTGATGGAGTAAGGTGGGTATGACATATAATGCTTCATGTAACAAATACACCTCGTAGAAAATACCAACAGTAATTATGCATAGGAATGTTGCTGCCATCAACGCGATCTACGAGACTGATGTGGTTTCCAGCTTAGTGCTGGATACACCGTACGTCAGACCATACGAAGCAAGTGGCCCCTTTCTGGGTTACATAGTACATATTGTATCTAGTATATGTTATAAACAGTATAATTGCTACCCTGAATATTTCTATGTGCCCTATTACCTGTTTGCGTCTGACAAGGCCGAACACGCGACATCGACAGAACTATCATCGGCACACGGGTCACCTACTGCAATAGTATGGACCCGCCACAGCATCAACACACACTTATCATATATTAACGACTCCGTAGCATGTGGCACCTTGAACCTTTCGGAATCAATCGTACATGAACAGTCACCAGCCGTAACGCAGCCGAAGCTTGAAGTTTCGGTGATGCTTGATTACGAAGTGGTTACATATGTAGCTAGCAGGAATGCATGTTGCTGAGTTGGGAAGCACCCTCGGGCTTGCATGGCTCGTATTGGCTCAGGAAATAACCGTGGCGCTGCACGGCACTTACTACGGACGTTTGGTTAGCGCTGGTGAACGCAAGCACTTGTCAGGGATGAGGTGCGCACCCTCGAGCCTGGTCTGCTGTCCAGGCCTCGAGGGCAAGGGGCGACGTTCTCGGGCAAAATCTAATACTTGGAAAACGTGGCCAGCAATGGGGGAACTTCTAGCGTCAACCTTGGGGGCTGAGGTGAGGCACAGGTTGAGTCATCGGAAAAAGAGCGGTGTGGGCGAAGCCAAATTGTTCGACTGGTGAGATGCAAAAGTAAACTGTAAGAGACAGCGTTTGTGGAGAAGGTTTTCCTGTCAAGAGTCTCCCATCCCAGTATGAGGCACCAGAACAGACATCCATCATCTACAAGCGAAGACACGGGCTCGTCGGAGTGAGTGGAGGTTCGACGCACCCTTGCCTCGAGTATGCAAACCGTCGCATGCACGAGACCAGACGAAACCCATAGTCCGATGCAATTGGTGATAAGCGGGGGAATAGGCAACGTGGAATGGCGCACATACGGGTTCTAGCGCAATGTTGTCTGTGCCTTGCATTCAATAGAGTTGGGGGTTAGCGGCCCATCCTGGCGATTAGAACTGGGGAACACAAGTAAATGCAAGGCACTTCCCAGAATAGGGAGGCATACCGGGACATGGAAGGCTACCTAGGTATGTATGGTGGACTGGTCGAAGGGCTGCAAGATTTTTTTCTGGCTGTGGCAGTTCAGGAAATGATTCACGGGCAATATGCAATTTTGGTGATGCTGGTAGTTATGATCTACTGTGTAACGGAGCCAACCTTCCATACTTAGCACCGACAGGAGGAGAGGATGCAGAGCCGCCTTGACGTCGGTCCCGACGAGGCTGCATATCGCAACCACGGGGAGGAACCACGATGCAAGTCTCCAAGATCCTTTCGTGAGCGGGCATGCAGAGACATGATGACTGTTTCAGAGTCTCATTGGATGGAAGCCTGTTGCCCATATGACCTGCCCTGCCGGCTCGAAGGCAACCTGGAATCTTGCGGCATTATGTCTCGTTCAAGCTGTGGCGAGCTGTTTCCATTCAATCAATGCATGTGCGAGACTGGACGCAATGGCGCGGAACAGTGGAGCCCGCCGCTTTTCGCTGCCGGTGCATCTACATACATACTACTGTAAGTCACTGATCGATACCAATCGGCTCAGAGGAGGAGTGGAATGAGGGGTTCGCAGCTGGGACCTGTCGCCCCGTAAGACGCCGGGTTCCTCGATTATCGATCCCGCGGTCTCGGCAAGCAGTATTGCATGCCTAGTCCTGTGGCATCGTAAACCTGAAACCTCGCTGTATTGCACTGTGATTGGATCTACTAAGTCTGCTTCGAGAAAATGAGGAGCACGGAACAGGTCGGTCGGCATATTCCATTCCTAGGTAGGCATAATGAGGACGTGGGTCGTGGGCTTCCGGATTGCATCGGCGCCCAGCCCATTCTGTACGCACGCGGAGAAATCGTCGAGAAACGTGCCATGAGTTGCAGCGACCTGACTGGCAGGACCGCTCCTCAGGGTCCCTTGATGGGATCACTCCATACCGTTTCATCTTTCTTACGTGGTACTGTCGGAAGGGCTGAGAGTGGTCACTGACTGGCTCGGGACACGTACTGCTCACGTACATGCACAGCAGCCAACCACGTGCAGGCGAGAAAAGGTTCTCCCGGGGTTGAGTGACTGCTCACCAGGTACAGAAGATACGAAAAGCTAGTCATGCTGTGGAGACGCCAGGCGAGCGAGCACGATGAGGAGGAAGGTTGGCTCGGAATTTATAGTCGCGACCATCTGGGACCGCAACGGCGATCCTGACGATACCTACTCACGCATGGATATACTGTAGTTGGGGTTCCGATATCGACAATGGCTGCCTCGCCTATCTGCCACGACCAGAACAAGCCGAGAAGTAGCTTGACGATACGATCACGGGGCAGCCAGGAGTGCCGAAGGCTGAGAACATGCTCGCTCAGACATGGGTATCTAGTACCATAGTACCTGAGGATGGAAAGCTTGTGGGCGAGGTGGGTGTCCCTCGTCGTCAGCTGGACGCCTTCTGTGCCTTATTAATGCAGGCCAACATCAGCGCGAGCTGCAGTTGGCTGCTAGCGCTTGATGGTGGACTGCAGCAGCTCAGGGACTGGGTCCCGAACGAAGCAGGTGTGCCGCCAGGTGCGCATTCATGAGGTCTTGGGCTGCCGGGCAGCGCTAGGGGGTGCTTTTAGCCGTATGCAGAAGGTTTCCAAGATTTCCAACCGCTCGCACAAGGAGCAAGAGGCTGAGGAGTCCGTTTTCCCCAGCGGAACGCTTGTGTGCAGTCAGGCAAGTCGGGACAAGAGCACACTGTGATGGGGTATGGTCGGATATGGCGAGGAATCGCAGAGGCGGCTGAGAGGCTGGGAGTGACTTGCGTGTGCACAGTCAGCCAGTCGCTGCTCCGGGACGTCCAAGTTGCTCACCTCCATGTCCAGGTCCATGGACGGATCAAATCTTGGTGCGATGGTGGCCGTCTAGAAATTCCACGCGTGATAGCGTACCAAGTGTACCCCGCGGTGGGGACGGCCAGGCCAGTGTCAATTTTTAGATCCGATCGACCAGGAATGGTCCGCGCAGTTGCGTCAGAGCCGCCAAGCCTCGCAGATCGTTAGCAGATCCTCTGCGCCATGATAGCCTCCCGCCCGCATTCCATATCTGTGTACAGTACGGTACGAGGGCGGATAGGACGGGCAATCAACATTCCAGAACATGAGTCGCATTTCCATCGCCATGCAGCCATATAGCTCCGGAGACACGGCCGATCCTCCGCCGCAAGAGCCCGATGGCCCTCCCGGTTGCTACCTAGGTAACCAGTCGAGGTATTGGTCAGAGACGACCCAGCGGCGACATCTGACATATCAGCAGGAAAAAGCGGTATCATCTTGCGGCAGACAATGCCTGTCTGATCTTGTTTCACAAGCCATCCTTTGGGAACTCAAGTCAAGGGACCGGACCCGTAAGCTTCAAGGAGAGCCATGTCATTTATGCCTGGGCGGTGTCTGAAAATAGACTACTACTAGGTAGAGAAGGATATCCATTCACCATTCTCTTGATCTGCTACGGAGACACTGGGCCACGGGCTACCCAAGTTTACCTACCTAGCGAGTGTGTTCGGTGGCTGCGGGGAGTGTTGGAACTTCCCATGACACCTGCTCGTGAACGCTATCCCAACATGCGCAGCGGAGACCAAAATGCAAGGCATATGATATGAATTCACGGCGGCGGGGTGATGTCGATGATGTCGTGGTGCCTTGCTGCGGGCTGACATTTGATCGATTGCCCCTCCTTCTCAGCCCCCTCCACTTCGCTTTGCCCGTTGTCCTGATAAGTTAGTTACCCTGGGCGCCGCACTGGCAATAGACCAGCGGCGGTGGCCCCTTGGCCCTGGGTGTGGGCTGGCTCCCATCCATGCGCGCGAACCTCGAGGCTCGCAGGCCCATGCCGTGCCCGACCCAGCAAGATCCATCAGAGCGACAGGGCGGCCGTGGTCGGGCCAGGCACCCTGTCGCAGGGCCAATGGCGCATTTCTGTAAGGGAAGCCCCCTGCTGAAGGCGTTGCTAGCGTCGCGCGGGTGATTCTCAGTTGCTTAGGAATCGGCCTAGCGCCGTGAGAGGCGCGGCTGAGCAGAGGACCGTCTGCCAGCCTCCCGGGGATGGGAAAAGCGAGCAGCCTACTCGCCGGCCGCCCTTCTAGACGTGCCCCAACCAGCCATCTCCAGCCACGCAGATGACGGCGGCGGAGTCACCGGATGGACGAAAGGTCCTCATGCCATGGCTCGTCTTCGGGCCTACATAGTACAGCTGCTGGGTATATCGGGGGAGGGGCCTGGGGCCTGGGGCCTCAGCGCCCTTGGGGTGGTTTTCTGAGTTTGGCCTCGACAAGGCTCGGCCTGTCACGGCCCCTGGAGCCTTTGCGTGGGCTTTCTCTGGCTTCAAAGTCTATCAACACGAAGGCTTCGTGGATTGCACTTTGTGAGTTCAGCGAGGGCGGAGACTTTCGGCCGTGGCTACAGCTAGCAAAGCATTTTCATCATCATCGAGGTCGGTCTGAGAAAGAAGTGCAGGGCTCACAGCCCAGACTGCCTCAACGGCGACGTGAGAAGACGAGCGAGGAGCAGCAGCCGCCCGGTGGCTATCCATGCTGTGCTATGCGCACCATGCCTGCCAGGCACACTTTTGTAGTTCCTTGACACTTGCTACTCACACACGCCCCCAGCGGCGGGTCCCTCTGTAAGGATTACAAGACTAATAAGTTAATAACTTACTCCATACGCACATAGACACACCACACGCACGGCCACACACACACACACACACACACACACACACGCACACACCATCCGTAACCCCATCCATCCACTCATCCACCCATCCTCCTCCTGCCAAGCGGCGTTGTCGTGCCCCTGTCGAGGTAACTGCACTCGGACTTTACAGCAGCTAAGGCCAGGCCCAACCAAGGGCAGAGGAGAGAGGGAGAGGGAGAGAGAGCAAAGCAATAAGTCATCATCATTGACAGGACTGACAAGACAGCCCGTCCCATCCCGCATCCACCAATCCATCCATCCATCCCATCCCATCCCATCCCATTTTGTTCCATCTCATCATCCTGCCTACTCCGGCGCCCATTACTTCGCCCCCATTCCGCAACCGCAACCGCAATCGCAACTCTCAACTTCTCCTCACTCTTGTTGCCACCTGCACCTGCAAAACCTGGCTGACGGACAGACAAACCATCTTGTCCCATACTACTCGGGACGAACACCGTTGAAACGATTTCGTGATCTCTCTCTGTCCTGCCAATATCGGCTCGCCCGCTGTACGATTTATTCTCTCGACGGCCGGCACACAATAGGCTGGCTGGCTTGTCGTCATTTGCTTAGCTGCGACTGGATCGTCCCAGTGCAGTCAGTGCCCGCCCGCATCTGGGTCTCCGTCCCCGTCCCCCCCAGCCTTCGCGGTGGTTGGTCATCGCCCGCTTACCTGCTTGCTGCCAGGCACGATTTGCCCGCGATATGAATAGGTCCGGACGCTAATGTCAACCCACCGGCCAACAACTTGGATAATTACATTCGCGGCCTTCTTCCATGATCTCGCCTCGCCTGGACGTCGAGATTTCACCCGCCGTCTCGTCTCGCACGTACTGACCTGTGCCGCCCCTTCAAGTAGAAAGTGGCTTTCTTCTACCCTCTCGGGCACTGCACAGTTCCAGCTCCAGCTCCAGCTTCAGCGTAAGCGCCAGCCCGCGCCCTCGAAACCCCCCACCGAGTGTCCCGGAGCCATAGCGCCGTTCGCCCATCACGTCCCAACTCCATCTTCCTCGTCAGTCTCCATCGAAAAAAAAAAAAAAAAAAGGAAAGACAGGGCCAGGGCATCTATCTGCGTGGAACAGGCCTGCGGATGAGCTGAAACGGCACACTGATATTTTCCCCCCTCCTTCTCCTTCTGCTTCTCATACCTCTCCTGCCTCCGCCCTTCTCTCTCTTCCCACCCTGTCTCAGACAGATCCCTTACGTGGTCCGCACCAGTGACACCTGGTTGCGCGTTCGGTGAGGCTGTGGCTACTTAAAGCGCTCAGCTCGACCATCGCACCCCGCGCAGCAGTCTGGTCCGTCTCGCGACCAGCAATCCCTGACAGCACAACATGGCGGCAACATTCAGGCCCGTCAACATCGAGGTGAAGAAGGAGGATCCGATGGCAGCAAGGCCACCGTCGCCAACGACCCCGACCCCGACCAAGGCCACCTTCAGTCAGAACCACCAGCGACCGCTGCCCACGTCGCCATTCCCGCAAGCAGTGCAGATCCCCGAGAGTATAGACGAGAACAAAGTCCCGCACCGGGAGGACTCGCAGCGCTCGAAAAGGTCGAGAGGTGACTCGGAGGATGTCGACATGGATGACTCGGACGGCGAGGGGCATGGCGACGACGGTGGCTCGGACGACGAAAGCGTGAACGCCGATGGGTCCAAGTCGAACAAGAAGAAGAAGTCTCAGAGGTTCTACTGTACCGACTACCCCCCATGCAACCTGAGCTTCACCCGGAGCGAGCACCTCGCCCGGCATATCAGGTATGTCCGCTTGCCATACGCCGCCTCGCTAGATAGAGGTCGTACATCAGGGCAGTGGCGCTGACTTAAGACAGAAAACACACGGGAGAACGGCCTTTCCAATGCCACTGCTCCCGCCGCTTCTCTCGCCTGGACAACCTACGCCAACATGCGCAGACCGTCCATGTAAACGAGGACATCCCTGTGGATTCCTTGGCTGCCACTGGCACCAGGTTCCAACGCCAGATTAGGACTGATCGAGTGCGGCAACCGGGTAGGGCGCGCGCCTCGACGGCCGGTAGCATGGGTGGCGCGGCCCGGGGCCATGGAAAATCGCTGTCGACGTCCAGCATCGGCTCCATTACCTCCAACTTCAGCGTCCGTGACGATGTACGGCGGCGTCCTCCGCCCCTCGTCATGGCTGACCCTCGCTCGAGGCTTTCGTTTGAGTCTTACCACAGCGGTGCAGACAGCCAGTACTCGTACCGACCCGTGTCGCCGAGCGACTTTAGCACCCCGACATCCGCGACCTTCTCGACTGGACAGAGCAGCCCGAAATGGGGATCTGGCATTGCCTCGCCAACGTCAGGCCACGCACGCTCGCATAGCATGTATGCCGGATCGCGCACTCCTGGCCGTCGCCTCAGTGTGCCCTCTGGTAATCCCTTCCAGTCTCCTCACGGTGCCAACGTAGGACGACCACTCTTCGGACCGGGTGCGATGAATAGTTCCAACCCCGGTGCTCTTTCTCCTGCTACCAGCGTCATGGCCTCGCCTACGTCGTCAATCTTCTCGCGCCGGGACTCTATCACGAGCGCTGCCGATGAGGCCTGGCGCCGTCGTACGTGGCATCCGGACTCGAGCAATTTCGCCGCTGCCAACGCCAGTAGTCGCCTGAGTAACGTTCTTACGCCATCCCAGTTCCAGAGCCCGGTCTCTGGTCCGCTGCCTATTGCCAATCCAGCTTCCCAGAGCACTTCTGTCAGGTTACCCGGCATCGAGTCTTTCGATCCGATACCTCACCGACCAGCCGCATCTCCACCACGGCGCAATGTGTCGCCAATGATGATTGACCCAGAGTCCGCACACCACTCGGCTCTGCAGCCCGTTGCTGAGAACGTATCTGAAGAGCGTCCAAGTACGGCCAATTGGGATATGGGGCTTCATCGTGGCCTCACCCGGCTTGATATCACCTCCAACACCACGCCACCGAGAGATGGTGCCAGTAACTGGGCTCAGGAGGCGCAGAGAGCCGTCGAGGCCGAAGCTGATAGAGTCAGGCTCAACCCGCCAACAGTTCGTTTCAACGACCATGTCGTCGTGCAAACTAGTGCGTCAAGTGCGCCGCCCAGTCGGTCGTTTCACCAGCATACCATGTCGGCCCCGTTGATTACTCACAGGGAGAACAAGAGGCACGGATGGTACCATGGTCCTGTGACTGTACACAGCGAAGCACGTCCGGAGAAGATGGCACGGGTAGAGAGGATGGTTCATCCTAACATCAGCCAATTCCCCGGCTTTCCCGCCCGAAACGAGGGTTCTCTACCGCAGCAGCCTCCACCTCAAGCGCAAACTGGCACAGACAGAGATAATATGCTCCGTCTCGAAGCTCTAGTTGCAGTGGCCACAAGCGAGAATAACGCAACCACCGCATACTAAGTCTCAGCAACCCACCCTTACGTCAACCGCCTACGTCCGGACTCTTCTTTCGAGGGTGATCACAATTCGGTCATTCTACATGCATGCTGTTACGACTTTCCCGGGTCAACTCGACTCAACCCTCATGATATATGATCGCCGGTTTATTTGGGTCCTTTTCTTTTTCCTCTCTTTTTTCGTATTTGACGTCTTGTTACCCACGATTTTCTATGGCATGACTTTTGCATTTGCTTGGACATGATGCTTTATTGCGCTGGCGTTCAGGTTTGCATTTCTCGGTTGGGTTTTTGTGGGTTTTTGAAGATACCCGCCGCCATATACATTCGCTGCATGGATCGGACATCTCACCTCACGAATTCCCTTTACGATCGATATGGGTTCATGGTATATCTCGGGTGGCGCTGCTGTTGGCTTTCCCCTCGACATCTAGATACTACAGGGGCGGTCGAGCCGCTGATATACGATTTTCCTTTTTGATGACTGAACGACAACAACAGATACCCCTTCATTCTAAGATGATAAGGGTTCACAAGGATGGGCGGAATGTAATGAGTGGTGGCCTGGGTTTTCGTCGGCAAAAGTCTCTGGTACACAGCCCGACTTGGCTACAGGGTCGCGGGCTACATTATGTCATGTTTGCACTTGCGGGCTTGCCCATGAGGACGTGACTACGATGCTTTCTACTCCCCTCTTGGCAGACTGTACAGAGCCTGCCACGGATTTTTGCTACGATGATGACTGGATGGATTGATGGATGGATGCTGGTGGAACTTTGATACCCGACGTTTTATGTTTTCATTCTGGCTTCACGCAATCGTTGGAATCTGGTACACGGTTACGTTGTTTATTTAGTTGGAGATGATCGCAGATGCAAGTTAGTTGGAGATGAGTAGCTGATAGATGAGTAGCTTTCGTTCTAATAAAGTCTTCCAACGCGAATCGAGTTCAACGTGAAACGTGAATTGCGCCTTGATTTTATTTTCAAAGTGCATATACACAACAAGCAATGATACCCTTTTTCAAAGTATGAAATGGTCAGCAAATAACAACACAAGTCGCTTGGTTATGGCCTTAGTTCGACTCAAGGCGGGAACCCTCCTACTTCGCTAAGACATGACCGGCGATACCCGGAGATCAGATAGGAATAGTAGCAGATGTTGCCGTCAATGAAGAACATGGACGCGGAATATTAGCCGAGGCTCTTTGGGCTGGGCTTTTGGGTTTCGCGAGCGCTTCAGTTGTCATTGCACCGACTATACTGGAGAATAAACTAGACGAGGTAGGCGACAACATCGTAAAGCTGTGTATCTGAATGGTGCCCCTGTGCTGGCAAGCAGATGAAGGGCAATTAGTCGACTACTAGGCACGGTGTAGGGGGTGAAAACCACTCAAGTTCGCACACTGATGGCCCAGTTGCCGTTTAAATGACGAGGAATTCGTTGGCGGCTCATGAAAAAAAGCAATAGAGAAATGGCAACCGAAGAAGTGAGGGCAACTACTACTCTCGGCGTGCATTGTGAGGTGGACTGTTTGATACTGATTATGCCTTCTGGGTGCTGTCGTACTTCTCGTTAGCATTACAACCAACGGCAAAGCCTGATTTTTCTGTACTTGTATCTTCCTCCCAACTCCATCCAAAGTTGCGTATGCCAACAAGAGCAAATTGTGACTCAAGTGAATTCTCCCACGACGCGTTCGCGTAATCATGTAGCCGCTCGCGGCGTTTGGGATTGCTTGCAACCTCATTCCCTCATTCATTTGTCAGCTTCACATATCAAATCATTGCCTTTTGTAGATAGAAAATCAAAATCTTTCCGAGGTTCAAGATTACTTGAAACAAATCCCGCTACTATAAAATGAGAACGAATTAGTTTTGCGACATCAATTGGCGGCGTAAGTACCCGGTAGTAGATTGAAGGAGGCACTATATTATTTTGAGGCAGTACGGTGGGGTGGTGTAGTGCCTTTGTCGGTACAGTGTACGAGCACTATACTAATAGAACAATTCTTTCGCGGAAACTTATATGTGGGAGTTATGATCATGATCTAGTAATGGGCGTGCTGCCGGGGAGTTCTGTGACGTGCCATCATGGGAGATGACGGGCTACAGTTGAAGGGTCAGCAATGATCCGTGATGTGTAGTGGCCGCTACACTTGTTCGTTTCGAAATCAGGCGACACAAATGCTGGCAAACGGTATGCTATGTTGGCTTGCTCATAAGCCTGCCTTCGACATCCAGATGCACTGATCACCACCATGCGGACGGCCAACTGTAATCCCACTCAAAATATGAGGGGACGTCGGGGGACCGTGAAAGAGAAGTCATGTCATCAATCTTATCACTGTATATTATCGGACCGCCCCACGCCTTGGGTCGATATGGACACCTCTATCGACTCATTTGAGTAGGCGGGATCCACGGAGAGCAGTCTGTCGAAGAATGATTAAGCAAAAAAAATAAAAAAAAATTAGGACACGGAACAACGTCAACAGCATCGAGAACAATTACAAAATGTTATGTATATGAATGTAACAACGCTAATCGTGTCTTCTGTCCTATAGAAACCTATAGAGACGAAAGATTTCTCTCGTCTTCTTTAATGAAGAGGGCACTACTATTTCAAGTCAAAGTGGAATCGGAACAAGGGCGACGAGTTTCGGGAAGTGAGAGAGCCGCAAATCACGTCGAGCCGACTGCTCCTGTTGCAGCTACAAAACTGCGACCGGCCTGAGGGTCATGTCCTTTCAGACTGACAAAATGGAACTCTAGTTTAATTCGTTCTTACGGACCATATTCCACGCATCTATCTCGGCATCATCAGGAAGGTAGTTATCCAAAAGGAAGTCGAACTCATTCTCATCCGGATCTATCTCTCTGAGCTCGTTTTCAGAGGCGAGATTATCCCAGTCATCCGGCTCAGCATCATCAGAGACGCCGTCAGAGGGTGTCATGGGTTCTGGCCCATTGGCCGTCTCGTCGGCCGGGCCCGGCGTCAGCGTGTCATCAGCCGCCTGCGGAGGAGCCTTGTACATGTACAATGTGGTGTGGGTAAACACACGGGCGTCTTCAATCACTTGTTCGTCGTAGTCCTCGCGCATCAGATCCGTGCGGACCGAGCGCGGGTCCCTGAAGCCGCCCACGTCCATCGATGTCCAGAACATGGCCGCAGGCCGCGCAAGATCGGCCACGACTTCGCGGATCGGGAACGCCGGCTGCCGCGCCATCACGATCGTATTCTCGTCGACCAGCAGGAGGGCTCTGCCCCCGAACCCGGAGACTATGCTTATTCCCGCACCGGGCACCACGTGCTTGTCCGTGCTGGTGTACAGCGGGTCCTGGGCGTACACTCTTACCTGGTGCCCGTCGCCCCTGAGCGCCTCGAGATGCTCGGCCACAGCCACGGCTGCGGCGTGCTGGCGCATGGGGTTGCTGGGGTACGCCAGCGACTCGTCATCTGAATCCATCTCCACCACCACTTCATCCTCGCCTACGGTCTGGTCCAGCCGGCCGAGCCCAAAGCACACGATCTTGTCGACATCGCGGAGTTGGTTGTGGCGCGCCGTCAGCGCGGCGCGGACCCACGCGAACTCGGGCGTCTGGTAGTAGCTGGCGAAGCATGCGGCGAGGTACGCCGTCGACTCGGCCTGGGACAGGACCGGGCCTTCGCGCGTGACGGTGGTGAGATGCACGCAGCGGTACTCACCCTCTCGATTCTCGCCGCTCAGCTTCTCGAATTCACGCTCGCCGCGGAACCGAATGTTGTTGCTTTTCAACACCTCACCAGGCGCTGGGTCCTGGTTGACTGGGCCGCGACACTCGTTACGCTGCCGGGCGCGAGTGCCGTCGCGGCAACGCGGCATCAGGATATCCGAGCCGTTGCGGTCCAGCTCTTCCTCGAGTGTCTGGATGGCCTCACGTGTGAAAAGGGGTTCTAGGGCTGCCATTGTATCTTTCATGGAATCGCCTGTGTAGGTTGGTAGTGTGCTGGTAATTATGGCTCTGGGAACTTGACGAGTCAAGAATTAGTGGAACAACGTTGCCATTAAGTACATCAGTTCTGTTGGCCAAGATCTGGGTCAATGCCATTGTTCACGACTTGGTGAGATCAGACAAGGCTGATATCTCCTTTGGGTCTGAGGTACCCGAGGTAGGCGTAGAGATGGAAGAAAGGGCGTCTATGGCATAGTATGGATGCAAGGAGAGAGCTCTTTATTACAAAACATGACCTCCACTTGTCTCACCGGCGTGGCATTGTTGAACGGGACAACTTGCCTGTTTGCCACGTTACAAAGACCTGCTTCGACACGAAGCGCAGCATACTTCTGCATAGTCATCATCCAGCTTCTCGTACGCTCGAATGAAACCTCTTCCCCCCTGCTTGAGAACTATCCCCTTCAACGAAGTACGGCTTCAATTTCGGAGTAGTAAATTCTTCATGTTTTAACTATTTAACACTATGGTAGATTACCGCCATTTGACTTTAAGTCCCAAGACCAAGCCATGCTTTATGTTCCTTCAAATAGATCTGCCGATAGCCGTAACTCCATATGCAATGTAAATTCATAATGCGTAAGAGGATATTCTGTCATAATCAGACCAGTCAGTGGTCTGTGGCCAGCAATAAGCCCGCGCTCAGGCCTTCGCCATTAAATATCCAACATGCTCCGGACCTGCTGAGGCTGCCCGTTTAACGACTGGCTACTTTGCGTGCTGTTGCTACGCTCGCTCGTACCAGGTCGCACATTCGATGCGCGTGCTTGACTGGAAGTGCGGCCTCTAGGCTCATCTGTGGTGACAGATTCCGAGAAGGAGGGCGGCGGTGCCGCATTGGGGAACAAGAATCCAGCGGCAGCTTGCATGGCAACCTCCGTCCTCCGCGCTTCGGATTTACCGGTATAGGGGGTGTACGGGGGAGGAGCGCGAGCGGTCCTGATGCTGCTGGTGCCGCTGTTGGCGCGTCTCATTTCGTTCATCTCGATCGGGGCAGGGCTGGCGGTTGTGTCTGCTTCGCGAGCCCTCCTGTCGACTACTGCATCGACGTTCTGGTCGTTGGTATTCCTGCCACCCACCTCCCGAACATTGCGCATGATGAGGTCTCTCATGTTGCTGGCTCCCCGATCGCCATTGACGCGCCTCCACCACGCTGGCTTGCGTGCAATGCCCATCTCGGCATCGATGGCGGCGCCACGCTCCCTGCGCTGCTGGATCAGGGCCTTGTCCTCGTTGGGGCGCATAAAGCCGGAGACGTTGAGGATAATAATGAGCAGCAAGGCTGGCACGTAGCCACCCACATACATGGCCACGAAGTTGGTGTCCTGCTTCAGGGGGGAGACGGAGAAATCCCAGGCTGCCAGGCCCTGGTAAGCCACGAGGCCCAAAGCGATGGGCAGCATGAGGACAAAACGAAACGGCATGTAGCCAAGGCCACCAATAACGCGGTTGAAGAGCCCGCGACTGCGCTCTTCGTAGTGGCGAATAGAGTGCCACAGCGACACGAGCGTGGTCAGCCAGCAAGCAAGCAGACAGAAGGTGGCGGCCTTGAACCGGGAATCCGTCGCGGTCGGCTCGGCAAACATGGCGGACTGGTCAGGGTCGCGTTGGAGCTCGAGGTTCCCCCAGTTGCGCGGCACAATGAGGAAAAAATTGAGCCACAGCCACATGTAGAAGACGATGGGCAGCCAGAGCTCGAACATGCCCCTCCTGTCGGTCTGCTGCAGCACAAAGGGGTTGGGGTCGATGTACTGCCTCTCCATCCAGCTTCCCCAGTGGCGAACAGATTCCCAGACCAGGGCCATGGCGCCCATCTGCAGGAGGAACCAGAAGAAGCTGTTGAGGACGATGGGCAGCGAGGCGATGTAGTAACGGTCCACGTCGATGCCGGTGAACAAGCCAATCATGGCGGCGACGGCGACGAGGATGGCCCAGTACCATTGCCAACGCCTGCCAATGGGGTAGAACCTCTTTTCGGCGGGCAGGTACAGCTTGCCATGCTTGGCCAGGTTGATCAAGGTCGGGACGAGGGACAGGCCGAACAGGCAGGCAAAGGCCACGCCGACGCCGCCTCGCACGCCAATGTGCTTGACGGGCGTATAGCACCAGGTGCCGTTGATGAAGGTGCCGTTGGGGTACAGGAGCTGTGGGACGTAGGGCTCAAAGGTGAGAAAGCACCAGGAACCGTTGGAGATGGTGCCATTGCCAAAGATGGTGTAGTTCCAGTGGTTCAGGGTGGTGAGGTTGAAGTGGACATTGCCTATCACGTAGTCGGTAGCATTGTCGCCATTGGCGGCGAGGTCGCGGACGATCAGGTCGTGGGCGTCGAAGATGGTCATGGTTGTGTGTATGTGTGTGTGTGTGTGTGTGTGGGTGTTCGTTTGGTGCGTGGACGGCGAAGAGCTCAGGAGCTCGACGGGCTCTCTGCGGACAGGCGGCGGCGCTCGTTGTCTTGTCTTCCTCTGTGCCTATACCTATACCTATACCTATACCTATACCTATCAATACCCGAGGCGGCTGGCTGGCTGGTGGCACGGAAGCTGCGGTGTCTCAAGCAGAAGCAGTGGCAGGCGACCGGAGACTTCGCATTGGATCAGATCAGGCGCGGCAGGAGGATATGGCCGGCGAGAAGAAGCGAATATCCCACTGCGCAATGCGAGGGCGAGGGCGAGAAAAGCAGGAGTGAGATGGGGAAGAACAGAGTTTTGCAGCTTCTCCACAGCCTCAAGCCTTAGGCCTCAGCACCAGTCGAAGGGATTGGATGCAGGCCCGCGACAGAGCAGAGGCTGGAGTGGTGTTTACCTCGACGCACTTATTTTTCTGACTCGCCGAGTGCGCGCATCCGAGGATCCGGGCGCTGGGCGGCGGAGACTCGTTTCCTTCAAATCCCTCATGCACATCCCATCCAATAAGTTATGGGGGGGAAAACAGCGCTACAGCCTCGATAAGAGAGACGAGACCCGCCCCGATCAGGCCGATAAGCCTGCCTATGACGTTCGCCATGGGGTCTTGAGGGGCAGCCGGCAGCTTACCACCCCCCGCTAACTGGCCTGACGGGGCAGGGCTACCGGGGCTACCGGGGCTACCGGGGCTGCCAGGGCCCCCTCCCCTGTCCACTCGCCCAGAAGCTCGGAATCGCGAATCACGATGCACGACGACGGGGGGGGGGGGGGGGGGGGCGCGTCTTTTTATTCCCGTTTCAGTGCTCCGGTCTACCTAGGTACCTGCTCCAATTCGATCGCCGTGAATTCTCAACCTCGTCGGTGTATGCCAGGGGCACAATGCAAGCTCCAGCATCAGTTTCAGAGGTGCGTCCCGTCGAGGAGTCCAGATCTAGAGAGGGGCAGAGCAACAACGTCTGCGTCTCCCTAGTAGTACTCCGTGGACTCCAGGTGAACGAGCTTTGCGTACCGGCAAACCAATCCGTGTTGTGCTACCATAACGCATCCTCGCCCTGAGCAGCCTCATTCCATGCAAGTTCAAGTTCACCGATGCAGGCATAAGGTAGTGTTATAAGTGGACTGGTTCGGACCCTTTCCTCTCTACACAAACGTGACTAGGCGGCCGTACGCCAGCCGTACCCGGATCATGTCGCTCATCTGGCCATGATCGCAGTCGGAATTGCGCTTCCGGCTTCCGTCAATGGACAGATAACTCACCATCGTAAACAGACTCATCGTCACTGGACTCGACGTTTGTGGAAAGGTATCTACTTCCCTTTACCGGGATCCAATGTGCTATAGGCACCTATCGAGCCAGGTCATCTGCTGCCAACAAGCCTAACTTGGCCCATGTTTCTCTACCATGGTGGGACCTTGTTCAACCCGGCCATGTTTAGTTCGTTGCTGTAGCATCTCTCACGTCGGCCTTCTTGTCTCCAAGGCCGCTTGGATCCGACTTGCTGCGTAGACCATGCCACGCTCGGCCGTGTCAAGTCTGCGCCTGCTAAGAGCGCCACAAGGCTGCATCCGGCCTGCTGGTTATGGACAAGAATCATCATTCCCGATAACTGGCTAAATGTGCCCACTGCAGTCAATGCCGTTGTTCAACTCGGCCTGTACCTAAACTACAAGTTTCTTGCCGGTCTTCCCCAAGCTTGCCCAGGAGGACTTCAAGGCTGTCCATGATTGGTCCTAGGTAGTGACGGCACTGAACACGGCAACACCCCTGCGCGAATCAACCAGGGGCCAAGGGTCCTACAGTACCATCGGATTGGACGTATGCGCCTTAACGCCTCGAGAAGTTGTAGTTAGACCGTGCTGGAGAAGCCGCTGGCCCCCTATGCCAAGCAACTACTCCCCGATTAAGCCTATTTTCCAAGGGGTCCGACGCGCTTGTCGACTGCAACCCCGAGGATGCGGCACATGGTTATCCGTAAAGGCCACGATCTCGACCCTCAAAGATCCCGAAGCTGCGACGAGGACCAACTGCAGGCTTCTCCAACAACCCGAGGCTCGTGGAAGAGCTCGGGCATCGCCTGCGATCAGCCTCACCTGCAGGGCTCCAGCCGCGGAACTCGATGCGAACCGAACCAATGCCCCGGAGCTATGCCAAATCGCTGTTTGCGGCTGCAGCGTGTCTCGCCGCCACATCGGCCGCCGCATCATGCCCCAACTACGCCGACTACTCGAGAACGTACCATGAGCCGGCCTCCGAAGGCGCGTTCCGGCTGAGCTCCATGCGGCCGGAACCGGCGTGCCGGACCTTCAACTCGACCGGCGTCGAAGATGCGATCCAGCGGCTCAAGGGCCAAATTTGGGACCCCGACCTGTTCCGGCTCTTTGAGAACACGTTCCCCAACACCCTCGACACGGCCATCAAGTGGAGGGGCGTCGCCGCCAACAACACCGAGGAAGAGCTCTGCTTCGTGATTACCGGCGACATCAACGCCATGTGGGTGAGAGATAGCGCGAATCAGATTGCACCGTACAAGGCCGTAATGAAGAGTGCGTCTGATGACATCGCATCCGTATTCCGTGGCGTCATCAACCTCCAGGCTCGGTATCTGGTCGTCAGTCCGTATTGCAACGCCTTTCACCCCCCAGTCGAGGCCAATATGCCGGCCGGCGGCAGTGGCGGCGTTTACAGCGTCACACCCCCATACGATCGCAAGTTCGTGTAAGTTCATATATATCCAATAATCTACGCCGTTCTCAAATCGTGTCTGATGCCAACATTGGTCGGCTAGCTTTACCTGCAACTTTGAGTTGGACGACTTCGGGGGTTTCTTGCAGCTGTCTCATGACTACTACACTGCGACCGGTGACGTGAGCTTCTTCGGCAAGTTTCAATGGATCTACGCCATTCAGTCTATCATGGCTGCGTCGGAAGCCATGAGGCAGCCTAGCTATGGGCCAGGTGGTGAATGGCTCAAGCCAGCGTACACGTTCCAGTCCCAGACCATGTCGGCATTCGGGACGCTGGGGAACAATGGCATGGGCAATCCCATAAACGATACCGGCCTCATCCGATCACCCTTTCGGCCAAGTGATGACTCGGCCACTTTCGATCTACTAATTCCGGGAAACATGATGATGGCGCGGTATCTCAACTCGACGGCGGACATCATGGAACGGCTCCCCAACGCGCCCAAAGGACTGGCCCAGCAGATGCGAGACATGGCCGATGAGGTGCGGGAAGCAATCAAGGACTATGGTATCGTCACTGGGCCGCACGGAAAGAGAATGTACGCGTACGAGGTCGACGGCTTCGGAGGAAGGATCCTCATGGACGACGCCAATATCCCCTCGCTCCTGTCTGCGCCGTTCCTTGGCTTCCTGGAGAAGGACGATGAGATCTACAAAAACACGAGGGAGTTTGTGCTGAGCCGGAAGAATCCTTGGTATTGCTCCGGCCCTGTCATCAACACGGTTGGCAGTCCACACATCAGACCAGGCGCCGCCTGGCCGATGGCGGCCATCATGGCCATCATGACCACTGATAACGATGGCGAGATCATCAGGAGTTTGAAAGAGTTGGTGCAGAGCACCGACGGCCTGGGTCTGATCCACGAGAGCGTCGATAGCTTCAGTGCCAGCAGATGGACTAGACAATGGTATGTGGCGGCCTTTGCCGCAGTTATAGGAAAGTATGGAGCTGACAAGTCATAGGTTCACATGGGCCAATGGTTTATTCGGACAGATGATCTTGGACCTAGAGCAGCGGAAACCTTTCCTCCTCCAAGAGAGCTTCCAGCCAATTTTCATCGACAAAGAGTGAAGGCCACCGAAGCAATATCGAAATAGACGGAAAACGACATGTATGTATTGACTCCCGAGGCCATCTGCGTGATCCGTGTTGCGGGCCCCACGCGGAACTTGGCGTCAGCAATACCATTACCCGGTTGCACAGCATGCATGATGGATCAGAAAGTTGCCCAATCCTGGGTTCAAACACCTCGTCGATATCAACGTATTGCTATGCCGTGCCTCTCCAGGGTGCAGCAGCGCATAATCGTATGTTGGCCAACATGACACCCAATGTCCATGGTCAGTCTTCATATGCCGACACCTGCAAGCCGGAGAACGGAAGGGTCCGGGCGACAGCGGCCCGACCATCTTGCACGCTTTGAAGATTTATGGTGCCGAGAGCACTTACGAGGGTAAGGTCGTCTTACCGAAAAGCCAACTCGTGGGAAGTGGGCCTGGAGAGAACACGTGCACTTGCCTTTACATGCGCCAGCCTTTTCCTAGGGTTGCGTGGTTTCGAGGAGGCCGTGCGCGTGCACGCAGGCATACTTCCGTTCAAGGCACAGCTACTTCAATTCAGGTTTTTCCATCTGCAGAGCGTTCGTGTGCCTGTGACCAGGTTACTGCGTGCCTCTAGCGGGCGGCTGAATTTGATGATGAAAAACGCCGGTGTCATCGCACCTCTGGGAGTTCAGCGTCGAAGAGCTCGAGTCCCAGATGGGCGAGTACTACCGGGCACCCTTCCTCCTCTTCAGCCTCCTTGGGCAATTCTGGCTCTCCGGCAACACGCCCGAGTCGCCCTCATGAGTCGTCGACGTCTCCAGTGAGGCGCACCAAGTTAAGCACATCGACTCCAACAACCTCTACCTACGTGACAGGACGTTTATATTGGATGGTATATCAACACAATAAGCTTGCGCAAGTCTACATAGCTTTCGAGATAGAGCACCGTTACAAGGCCGAGGTTCGCATGCTTAGAGACTCGACCTAAGCATCGTAGGTCCCCAGGTACGGTAGCGGTAGTACCTGCTTCATGCAAGATCTGACGCGGGATAGATGGAAGTACCCTATACTACAGACCTACAATTGCTGTTGCCTAACGACTGGTGTGTGCGATAACAAGTGAGGAGGCGTTGGGGGAAGAACGCCAGGAGACTGTGGATTGCTAGCTTCTGCGGCCTTGGAATTGTGCTAGGGAGCTATGGCACAGCTGGTTATGCAGAGACGGGACCCCAAACCTCTACTACATGCGTGTTCGGGTTGGTATCGAGGGCCGGCGGATAGTACCTGAGGGAATCACCGATACGGATACCTGAATGCCTGTGGCAACCACGAGAACGGAACTGCCACTAGTCCTCTGCAGCACTATGCTTCACTCAGAATATACTTGCCGCCAGCCACATCTAGATCTGAGTCTCACATGTGATTTGAACATGACTAGATCTTCGCCGCCAGAATACCATCCTGGCTTGCCTGGCTTGCCAGTAGATGCCCTGGGAGGTCACTCGAGTATTTCCGCCGTTGGGAAAAAAAAAAAGAAAGAATTGTCACTAAGTGAGAACTCAAGGCTCCCCCTTCCCCAGACGGGACTGCCCATTTTCCATTCGGCGAGCTGAACCCAGTTCGGCGACCACTAAAGCGTGTCGGAACTGTCCCGAAATCAGAAACTAGTCCTAGACTAGAGGCCAGGCTAAGGGTCCCGAAGTAGGGGAACGCGTTCACCCACAACCCGCTTCGCAACCTTAATCTGACGGGTTGTCTCCAAGCGGCGGTGCCTAGTGAGCGGTATAATCGCTAAATGCCGATCTGTACTGTAAGTTGGTATACTGTAGGAACTCCGCGCGAGAGTTACATTTTCTTGTCCGCGACTCCGACACAAGACTCCCTGTGCTTGATGGGACTTCAGGAAAATCAGTTGGCTCCTTTTTGCTTCTGTGTGTTATGATAAGGGACTTTTGTCCCATGCATGGATGCGCTAGCTAAATTTTTGCAGACTACCCCTGGTAACCAGGAGCTTTACACTAGCTATTGGCATCCCTAGGGGTCCGAGAGCTGCAGCCCTCCGAAAAGCGGCACTTTTTTCGCAAGCTGGACTCATCGTTCGGGCTCCAGCCAGAAGGATACTTGATAACTAACAATTTGTCGTGCCATGTACAGCCAGTGTTGGAGGTGCTCTATTCTAAACACAAGGTCAAGTACTTTATGCTACTAAGTTTGTTCCATGACTTTAAATCGGATTATTCTCCGATTCGGAGATCGGATTGTGGTGGCTCCTGGTTCCGAGGCGGCGGGAACTCTAGTAAAGTTGAGAGGGAGGGTAGCTGAGGACTTACCACTCTGTAGTTACTATGTACGGTACTTTGCCGCCTCGTTAGCTTAAAAGAGGCAAACGTAGGTCGCCTTAGGACAACCCGTTTCAAGGATCGGGCAGTGACAGCCCAACACCGTGAGGGGAGATTAAAGGCTACGGCGTGAGTAGAACCCTGGGGAAATGGTCCCAGAGCTGGGAAAGTCAGGCTTGGTTTGAGGCCCCTGGCAAGTGTGTGGTCGTGCTCCCCTGGACCGTCTCTGAATAGAGCTTAGAGCCTCGCTAGCGGCTTGCTCCCCAACAGGATTCTGGTATGGGCGTTGAGTCATGACTCGCAGACGCCAAAACGGCATGGAAGATCACCAGTCCGCCAAACTTAATTATGCTGGCCCTTGAACAAACGTCCCTTTGACAAATTGACAATCAAAGGGCCTAAACTTTTGTCGACCGCGACTAGTCTCATGACCGCGCGGGCAGTTAGTCCGCTGCGCCATGACTATGGAGGAAAGGAACCCAGATATCTGAGTCGCACGTCCTCTTGTGTGACCTCTGTTAGACTCATCATATACTGGAGATGCCTATGGACTATCCTACGTCGACCATGTAACTACCGACTGAGCGTTCTCCTTCCCGGCCGGCGACCTCATGCTCAACTTGGTCGATGTAAACCAGCTCGCGTCGACTTTTTGTGCCCTCCGACCGGAGTGTCTGGCAACTCGCTCGTCGACTCAACCCTTTCGATCACTACTACCGTGCATACGAACAACACACAACTGCAAACATGGGCGGCTTTCTCGTGCCGGACCATTTCCACAAGCAGGACATGTCGGAGCACTCCGTCATGATTGCGAGTCTATTCTTCGGCTTCACGATCGCGATGGCCGTCTGCTCCGCGGGGACGGCGGCCCGACAGTGTTTGCAGTGCTGGAAACGATCCCACCGAGCAACCATTTATGTGATCATGATCTGGGGGCACTGGCTTGCCAACAATACTTTTGGTCTGATCAGCTTTCTCTACCTTCGGGATATAATCGAAGCCAGGTAGGCCGTCAGATATATTGGTATTTTCGTGTTGGCCAATATGATAGCTAATGTGTGCTCTGATAGTTTCTGGTTATGGTTTTTCATTTGTGAGTCTCGATGATAGCCTCTTCCACGTCAAATGGAATGGCAACGTTCGCTCCCGCTTCACATATGGCCAGTGCCAGCTAACAGGCGAGACAGTGGTTCTCTGGGTGTTCCAGTCGCAACTAATTGTGCAAATCATCGTCAATCGCTTATCGCTATTAATATTGGTGAAGAGTCACGCCCAAATGTTGAAGTGGTCAGTCTTTGCCATTATGGCTGCCATCAATGTCAGCGTTTTCATCATCTGGATACCGGCTCGGCTCGAAATCAACGACACATGGATCCACATCAACTCCATCTGGGACCGCATCGAGAAATGCATCTTCCTGCTCGTCGATGCATCGCTGAACTTCTACTTCATCCACCTGGTCCGACATCGACTAATCGCCAATGGCCTTACCAAATATGTACCATTATACAAGTTTAACATGGCGATGATAGGGATATCAGTTGGCTTGGATGTCAGTCTACCCCACCTTGGCCTGCAAGTCGATTAAATATATCTAACACACCTTGCTAGGTGGTTCTGATCGGCATGATGTCTATGCCAAATGACTTATTGTGAGTGTAACCTATCAACTCGTCTGGAGCCAACACTCATAAATCTACCAGATACCTTCAGTTTCAATCAGTTGCGTACGCCGGGAAGCTCCATATCGAGATGAACATGGCCGACCTGATCAAGAAGGTTGTACGAGCCTCGAACATCAGCACCCAGCCGCAGTCCTCCGGCATTGGCCACAGGTCGTCGACCGGAGGCAGGACCAAGGGCAGCCATAGCAGCGCACCGGCGCAGAACCACAACAATTTCATCGCGAATATCACACGTGGGGCAAACCTCCCCTATAGAGGCCATCACACGACACATATAGAACTCGGTAGCCATGAGAACCTAGACCTCAAACGGGAACACGGGCAGCAGTTAGAAACCTTGAACGGGATCCAAAAGACAACTGTTGTAACACAGACAGTGGATGGACACCCCACACTATCGGGTGAGGATATTCAGTATAGACGATCGACCGAGGACGACATATCGGCTCACACATCGAGCTCGGATATAGGACTCAGGAGTAATGTTGGGCCATAAGAAACGTCATTTTCAATAGAGCTTTGGATAACGACGCGAGTCATAGCGAGAAGAATTGATCACATCTAAGTGGAAAGACCCAGGCGACTCCGGGGCACGAACCTTTCGTGTGATCTATCTATACATCTGGGAAAGTAACCTGCTGAACAGCTGATACCGGACCAGGTGTTTGTGTTGCATGTGTTACTCCAGTCTAACCAGTTGAGTGGGCCACTCGACCACCAGACCCTACTCCACGGGGTGGAGCCTGATCCATCAAATGCCGACATCTTAACATCCCGATTTAGCCCTGCCCAATGGTGAATGATGAAGGAAAGCGGAGGTCGAAGCAGGGGTGGCGAGGCACAATAAAAGCCAGTAACCCGTTCCAGTTGGTGAAAGGGAGATGTTAGAGTCGACCTATGTCTTCTTCATGCTTCTCTACAGCAGAGATGCTCAAATCCTCTTGGTGAACTGCTGCCGGCCGTCTACCCCATTGCTGTAGCTCAGGCGGTTCTTATCCCAACATCTAGCTGCCGGCTTATTACCCCGAAAAGTCCGCACTCCAGCGAAAGCATCTCCCTTGCGTCGTCACTCGCGATGGCACATCTTCCGGTATCATAGCCAGCTTCGCCCACGTAAGGATATTATGCTCGTCGACTGGTGCATACTTTGGTCCGTGTCTCTGCTCTCAGGGCCTTTCACGAAATAGAGAAGTATTTTGATCTTGATGGATTGAAGATTTCTCCCTTGGAACTAAGGATACTTGGAAGAACCAACACTCAGCTTTTTATATGTTTCGTTTACATACGCAGCTATAAAATAATAGGTGAGTAACCCTTCATTGGATATAGAGAGGTTTCCCTCGTGCCGGAAAACAGGACAGTCAAGTCGTCCTCTTGCCCATCATGTCCCTAATCTCATTCACGCGGCGGGCGATAACTACTACGTTCATGCCATTAAAACAAAGCTCGCAGCAGGGATTAGAAACCTCTCAGTGTGTGGCGTCTTCCTCCACATACTGCAACAGCCTAGAAGTCGTGCCATAAACAAGGTACGCTTTAGTGGATCTGTTCGTAGTTATAGAAGCGATCACCCACCTTGTTTAGTGAAGACCTCGTCTCGCACAATATTTGAATGACAATGAATTCCATTGCACCTCATATTCTCTTGCCACCTATGACTGTAATTATATCTGTAAATTCTTGGTCTGACGCCCCGCGCGGTGCTGTGCTTGAGTGAACATCAATCAACCCTTTATTGGTCTTCGGCACAATTTCCCCAGTAGGATTGACTGAACTCTTGTCTGAGTTCTCCATCACTTAGGCCCTTGGGAAGTCTGCGTACAGCGAGCACGGCCCTTCCTACCCAGCGCCTTGCAAGCTGGAGATGGGACGTGCACATCTTCGGGAGAGTGCTGGGAAGTCTGGACTGGAAAATCACTATGGTTCTGGCCATTGGTTCGATTTTCCATCATCCTAGAGGAGAGTCCGAGCACATTCGTGATCTGGCCAAGAGCTGGGTGCATGTAGTTCAGTGGTGGTTGCACCTCTATAAACACCGAATCTTTTATCAAACTTGCATTTACAGTAGGGTTGCATATAGACCCAGACACATTTCCTTCATTCTCGATCCTTCAGCGCGAGATGCGACGACAACTTTGGTGGACAGTTCTAGAGATAGTGACTATGGCAACTTTAGACTCAACACTTCCGCTTCTTATAACACCAGATGATTTCAATTGTAGATATCCGTCCAACCTTGATGACGAGGACGTCTACCCCGATATCGAAGCCATGCCTGAGTCTCAACCAGATTCCGAGTTTACGAATTGCTCAATTTCGCGCTTACTGCAAAGGTTCCTGCGCTGTCGCCTGATTGCAGTCCGGAAATTGAACAATGTTGGCCCTTTGCTGTCACATCAAGAGACGGCGGGACTTGGAAGCGAACCAACAGCACATTGCTGAGGAATCTCTAGTTTCTTTCAGACTATGTGCGTGAGAAACTCGACGACAGGAACCTTCAGTTTCAGATTCATGGACTCATACATCCGGAGATACTCCTTGTTCGTTTATCGATCGTTCGCACTCCAAGCCAGGGAAGACCCTCGCTTTCTTTCGCGCAAAAAGCCTGTCTGGAATGCTGTCAGATCATTGCGTCCCAGGCAGATGATTTTAGTCCCCCATCTCCTGTCAAGGACGATTTTTGCTGCTTGCTGTACGAGGGAGTGGCCTGTTCAAAGGTCCACTTAGCCAGGACGTTGTTCTCACCCTCGGGCTAGAGATCTCCACCTGGCAGGAAGAAGAGCGTCTACCTCTCGGTGGTGACTTGGGGGACCTACTGAGGCTTCAGTCGATCCTCTTGTCGAACTGTTAAGGGCAAACAGACACCCACTTATTCATCGCCTGAGGCACATCCGTGTCCAGCTCCGACAGATCATCGCCCTCGGTAGACCGAGCTGTAAACGCTACATCATCCTCTCCGCGATGCTAGCAAAAATTGATGCTACCGAATCTAACTCTCACAGTCCTCGGAATGTGGTGTTGGATGCATTGTTGGACACAATTAAGGACTGTTATGAGTTATTACAGGAGACAGTAGCTGCCAGGTCAAGCCAGCTTGCCGACAGTCCTTCAAATGGTTCTAGCATGACATGGGTCGAATTTCTTGGCCTGCTAGGCTTTAATCTAGATTTTCTAGGAAGCCGCGCTATTCCCATCCAGTTGAAGTGGTCGCTAAGCTGAAAAAATTGGGTTACAGGATCCAGGTTTAGGCCTTGATGTTTCGGGCTCACCAACGGTGGAGAATGCTAGTAATGTCAGCCTCATTGAAGTGTCGGCGAACGATCAATATTAGATGAGTTGAGGCGGACTGATTTTCATATATTTGCTAGCTTTTGAATTTCATGCACCCGGATACTGAAGTCTATCTATTCACTTGGCCTCCGCGTTTGAAGGTATAATACTGTATGGAATACAATTACGCAGGTGCAGGCTTCTGAATTTCCATACGTACAGTCTCGTCGATTTTAAGTCTCCTTTGGTTGACTGATTAGTGTTTAATAGAGTCGGCATACCTGAACTCCGGCTTCTGTCTGCAGACAACAAACTCCGTCCTACTTCTTAGTTCGAACTTCTACCATTGCTTCACAGCCTGTAGATGTCATCGTTCAGCACCGGACGAACACTATGGCGCCCAACAATATGATCCCATTACTTTAGGGCATCTGGTCTGCCAATCAGAATCATTTTTTGGGGGATGGGGGGCGGCGGCGAGGTTCAGGCGTTCCTCCACGACCAAGGCTTCAGGACTGTTGACCCGTCGGTAGTTTCATCCGTGATTCATGGCAGGGCTTCATGTTCCATATTACCGACGGTAAACATCAACACAGACAAGCTTCCCATTTACACCTTCGACCAGGGCGTCTAAACAACAGTCCGGGTGATGATCCCTGGAGATGATCTCAATGGTCCGTGGAGTCAATATCAATCGTTGGGCCAGCATTCTATATTGGACTTTCTACTCGGAAGGCCGGGAAATTGGATCGCCACATGCATACGCCGTTCGTGGCGGTACTACGAAGGTCAGCCTTTCTTGAGTCGGCTTAAAACCGGGAAACGTTCTCACAAGAACAGCGTTGCGCGTTCTGGAGTAGTTTTGGGTGCACCATACCACAAAGGTGGTTCTCTACTGATGGAAATGCCTCAAAAGCGGTGCGGGCGAACGAGACTATTCGCGAGAGCTTGATGTTGGTTCAAGATCACTGCTTGCCCCTCGAGGGTGTAGAAGAATGTGAGAAAGGATACAAATGAACCGAGAAGGCAAGACAGACGAGCGAAGAGAAGGAAACAAGCGAGACACAGTGCTTCCCAGCTAACAACCCCGGAAGATCAGAGCCGTCCTTACTCGACCAAGTCAAGATATGGCTAGGTGCGTGCATCCCCCATTCTCACACTTGCTAGCTACAGCCCTGCTCCCAGATTCGCCGAAGCCATATTTACTGAAACCTCTGAACTCGTATCTCCTTGGGCTTGTGCTGCAGGCGTGCGTCTTGATTGCACGTATGCTATTCTGTGCAGGGGCTGAGCAGACTTAGCTACCGTCTTGGGAAATCTGCCAGTACCGTGACTTATACTAACTACCGTCGGGTCCGACTTTCTATGGAGCCTGTCAGATGCCCAGCCCGGTCTCCACCTCAGGGCCCAACAAACAGCCTAGACCCGCAGACCCCGTTTGATTTCCGAGTCTCCAAGGCTGTATAGTCAGGAATATGAATGTGCTTTCAGCTAATTGGAGGTGGTCAGCACTTAGAATCCTAAGCTTTAATACCAAGTGCTGCGGAAATATAGAGAAAGGGTGTGGGTTACGTCTTTTGTGGCTTAGAGAATCATCACGTGACCGATTGTCTCCTCGTCGTGATGACAGATCTTGCCGGTGCTCGTATCCTGCTAAATATACAGTAAGGAAGCCGCAATCAAGCGGCACCGAAACTGATTGAACTGACCGATCACAGCAGACTACATGCTTAGCGCCGAGGAGCGGCGGGCTATGACTCGCAAGCCACGGGTCAAAACTGGCTGCATAACTTGGTAAGCCGGAACAAGTTACACCGCTTGCGTGCTCTATGAAATTCTGACCTCGACCATATAGCAAGTAAGCGGGAAAGCTCTCGGATACAAGACCAAGAATTCACGTGAAACGCGCCTGAATATAGGATTCGACGCATCAAATGTGACGAATATAGACCCTTCTGTGTTCGTTGCACTTCCACGGGACGGAAATGCGACGGCTATGTCACGGCTACAGGCCTGCCTAAGAAGTATGCCGTCTCAAGGTCTAGTCAAGCCGTGCCGAAGCTTCAGTACTCGCTCTCTGTCACCATCCTCTACCACTGCAGCCTAGTCCGGATATCCAAGGTCCAGCGGCTGAGCAGCAGTGCTTCCATCGCTTCCGCGCAGAGGCCTTTAAGGGCCTTGCACTACACACTGCCAATCTCGGCTCATTCTGGGAGTTTCTGGTTCCTAGATTCGTCCATTACAATGACGCGGTTAATGATACATTGGTGGCTCTTGGATCTGCTTATCTGCTGCAGGTCCACGAGGAATCATCGCCTCCCAGCCTGATTAATACGACATCACAAGTGTTCACACTGCAACAATATGTCAAGGCAATTCAGCCACTTAATCGGCATATTTCATCGGATTCAACTCAAGATAAACTTGAGATTAAACTAATCTGCTGTCTCATCTTTATCTGTCTTGAGCGATGCGTCAGAACCGTGAGGGCGTTGTCTTGCATTATAAGAAGGGCGTTCAGATACTTGAGCCCCTTCCGACGCCGATGCTCGTCCATGTTATGTCGGAGAAAATGCCAGACCCTGATGGATTCGAGCGGAGGATTTCAAGGTCAGAGATGCGCCAGCTGCTAGGCTGCTACAATGATCTTGAAATGGGCCGGCAGGTTGGGGCACCTCTGAAACCTGCTCTTTCCCTGCGGCTTTATGAGATCACTCCGGATAGAATTGTTCCTTTAGACGGCTATCAAAGCCTGCCTGACTGCCATGCGGAGTTTTTGAGATGGGCTGGTCACCTTTGTGCGCGAGTATGGGAAAATTTCCACCACCGAGGTGACAAAGAATACTGGTCTCGGCCAGAACAGGTCCAGGCACACCTGAACGTTCTATATCGCGGACGGCGCATCCTAGAGGTTACAGATCAATTCATGACCGGCCCAAAGGCTCCACGACGCGAGATCAATAGGGTGGACTATATATCTGGGCTGTTAGACCAGATGCATGCCAGGGGCACGTTTCTTATTGTCCAGGCCATGCCGGAGACGTACACCAGACGGCAACTGCAAATATTTGAGGCAGAATTTCACGAGATTCTTAGACTCGCAGAAGAACTTGTTGATCTGCTTGGTTATCCGTCAGGCGATGAACCGAAGAATAAAGTTCGTCCTCGCTTGGACTCTGGAGGGCACCCAGCCATCACGCTCGACAATGGACCACTTATTGCCTTGTATGTTATCCTCTATGGCAGCGGCGATCGCAATACTAGGCGAAGGGCGATGGCCTTGCTCCGACGGATGAGAGGCAAGCACGAGGGTTTGTATGATGCAGGGCAGCTAATCAGGATATTCTCCGCCTTGGAAGCAAATGGGCATGGCAGTTATTCAGGTGACTCACTGCTTGACGAAGATGCCGGCCCTAGTTTCGGCGGCTTGGGTGGTTTAATTGGTCTAGAAGCCAGACTCGCATCGCTGAACGTAACTTGCCCGCAGGGAAATCTGTGAAACTTTCCCAGTCCTGGTGTTCAGCATAGGTTGATAGCGCATCGTTTTTACGAAGTCAGGTTGTCCAACCTATGTTCGAATAAAGATAACGCCGGGTCCTTTAAATAAGAACAGCTCAACTTCGCACAAGCCCTCTAAATTTTCAAGACAAGCCTATTGCACCAAAGACTTCATTCACAAAGACGGCTACAGTTGGGAAATTTCGCATCCTATTTGAAAACCCCGCTAATAGTGTGCCGTCATACGTGGTACGAAGAATGTAGCAACCTGGCGGACAAGCCATACTGTAATGCTAAAGTTTCAACTAAGCACAGAAGAAAAGGCGCATATCAGAGTAGGTGTTCTCAAAGGGTATACCTAAACTGTGGATTCCTTTTGTCCGTTAAGTCGTCGTTATAAGCGTGCTGGAACGCTTCCATTTCCCCGGTCTTATCGCGACGTCGATTCTCCCACGCGCACAAGCATCGGTACACGAAGGTCAGCACAACAGCTACAGCAGAAGTTGCAATAGTAGTGATCCAGCCTGTGGTGTAGTGCGGCGCCTCCTCCGCCTTGAAAACAAGCGGACCGAGAAAGTTACCTACCACTACAATTAGCGTTTCGTGGTACAATTTGACCACACGTATAATACCTAGACAGTAACCCACAAATATTCCACTTGACCCAAGCGAACGTTTAGTATAGCTATAACAGTCAGCATGCATCTTACTTGATGCACCATAGCTCTGTAAATTCTCACCCAGCTGTATTCGCGATTTGGAGACCCATTAAAACTGCATAACCGCCTCCATAGCTTGCTAAGATATACACTGCAAAGAGTCGGCCACCAACAGCGGATGTTGGAAGCTGCCATAGCAAAAGGCTTGCTAACAGCGTCAATGATACCGTGACAGCTACTAAATAGCAACGAGAGCCGGGGAACTTCATCGTAACGAATGGCACCATGAGCTCGATTGTGCCAATAATCGCCCCAGCAGGCATGACAAGGAGAAGTGAGTTAAGCCCAGAGAACCCTAAGTCAGATATAATAATCGGCGTGAAAGTCGAGACTGGTCCATTGGCAACCAAGACCAGAAATGCTATTGCAAAGATGAGCCAGAATTTAGCATCGGAAACGAGCTCCAAGAGCTGCTGGCGCTTGAAATGGGTATTGCGGATGCCAGAGTTATTACTTCGCATTCGTGCCACGGCGATGTAGCGTTCCTATTAGTAACGGAAGTGTCAGTCTTGCTTGAGGCATGAGGAAGTAGGGTTTTGAATGTAGACCTACGCGATCTGAGAAACGCTTCGCACGAACCGGTTCTGGAGGCATCAGAAACAGAATGACGAACGACCAAGCGATTGTAATCAGGCCAGCTACAAGATACATATACCTCCAGGGAGATAGTGATCCGGTGATATGTCCCAGGCCGTAGTTAATCACAGGCGAAATAATCGACACGTAGCCGGTTGCGCAATACCAAGCTCTGAAATATAATTCAGCGTGATAAAAACTGCCAGGTGCCTAAGATAGTACTCACCCCATTCGAAACGCCTGCTCCTGCTTTTTATACCAGCTAATTACCGGTCAGTATTGAGAATGGCGGTCTGTTGCAAAATATATACCTTCCAACGACTAACATCCAGGCCGGGCTAACACCACTCTCCAACATGCCAAGGAAGAATCGCTGCGTGTATAGGCCCTGGTACGTTGCACAGCCGGCTGTGGTCAGGAGACAAACTCCCCAGAGACAAACAATACCGAACATTACTCTCTCGATTGGATATCGCTGTGCCATTAAGATTGCTGGGTACGCACCGCAAATGAACCCAAGGTAGAAGATGGCTGAGGAAAACGAGTATCGTATTCCAGTGTTGAGATGCAAATCCTCAATTAAGCCGAACAAAGCCTACATGCATCAGTTCATCATATCGAGCTTCATGAAACGGCCCGACTTACAGCCTGTGAAAGCATGGCCTTATCGTAATACTGAAGACCGTACGTTGTCACAACTATAGAAAGAAGCCTGCGGTCTATCTTTCGTACGAGCTTCTTCTCCTCCAGTTCGGTCCATGTCTGGTCGCCTTGATAGGTAGTTAGCACTCGAATTGCTTCATCGTTGCGAACGGTGTCGAGTGGTGTCGAGTTCTCAAGCTCTTCGATCCGTTTTTGTTTGGATCCTTGGATGCATTGATCGTCGGTGCGTTTTCCTTCCATTTCCGCGTTGCGTAACGACGTTTAATCAGAGATAGGTTGGATGATCACACCAGACGGAATGGTAAGGGGGGGCCATGTCGTTCTCCTAGTGAGCTAGAGCGGTGGCAAACCTGTCATTATATACATACTGTGCCAAGGGCTTGGTGTCTTGGGCCAGCATAAGCTTATCCGAGAAAGAGAATTCCCCGCAATCGTTATAAAAAATAAAGACGCGCACATTTTTTAATAATAAAATAATAATTTAATAATTAATAATATATAATAAATTAATATATATTAATATTTTTTTAATTGAAATATAATTATAATTAATATATTATTATAAAATTATAAAATTATTAAATAAATAAATTAATAATTTTAAAAATTAATTTTTTAATTTTTTAATTTTATATATTAAATTTAAATATAAAATTATAATTAAAATAATAAAATTATAATTAAACATATTAATATATAAATTATAAAATTATAAAAGTAATATATAAAAGAGTTTATTTATAATAAATTATTTTAATATATTTTTAAATATATATATTATATTTAATATTAAATTAAATATTAATATTAAAGTTTTAAATATTTAAATATATTTATAATTATTTAAATTGATTTATTAAATTTAATATTATTATATATATAAATAATATAATCTTTTTAAAATTTTAAATATTATAAATATATTTATAATAAAAATAATTTATATTTAAAATTAATATATTTATTAAAAAGATATTAAAATAATTTATTATAAAAAAATAAAAAAAATAACTTTTTATATATATTTTTATAATTTTATAATTTACGTATTAAAAATAATATTAATTAAATTAAAAAAATATAAAATATTAATATTACGTAAATTATAAAATATTATATATAAAAATAAAATAAATTAACTTTTTTTACGTAAATTTAAAAAAATTAAAATTTATTTTTTATATATTATTATTTTAACTTTTTTAAATTTAATTAGTATATATAATAAATATAAAATAATTTTTAAATAAAATATAATATTTATTTATTTTTATTATATTATATAAATATAAAATTAAATTTTATAAATAATAATATTTAAATATAATTCTTTTTAAATTTAATTTT